CAAAATTGTCGCCAAAATACACATGTAAAGAATAACGATGCCAGTCTGGATTGTGGAATGGGTACGAATAACTGCATTTATACACGCATTATTAAAATGTAAAATGGTTCATGATTAAGCGATCGACTCTGTTTATGCGGCATGTAAATCGGTTTGGTGGTTCTGTTGCTGTGTCATATATTAAAATTAATTTAGCTCTATTCGTCGCCGCTGCACGTATGTTTTTCCCCCCTTCCGACCACAATGATGATCGCGCATACATCAAACTCACTGATTTTTTTTTTCTCGCACTTTGAATTGTGTACGGCGTGCCATTGTGTGTTCTTTGTCAATGGAATAAATAGCGCCGCGAAACCCATTTCTCTTTTTCTTTCTTTCTTCATTCAACATATTGACAATGGAGTACTTTTTGTGCACCAAGTGAGAGACAGACCGATTAAATTAACACACAATTGCCGTTCTTTTGTTGTGCGTGTGTGTCTCTTCACGATTCATTTTCTTTTTTAAACATTATCTCATTTTGGGTTATCTAAATTCGCATCGTTCATCTAATGACAGTCGGTCGACTATACACTCTCACCAGGCGAATAAAAAATGAGTCGAAAATCAATTTGACTGTGTATTCTGTGCATGAATTAAATTTGTTTGTCAAAATATTTCCGATTCGCAAAGACTGATGACTAATCAAAAGTGGACATTTATATAAATACACATTAAATGTCTTTCGGAATTTTCTCATTTGGTAAAGTGATACAAAGTCGACAAAAACAGAATCGTATATCTCTCACACGAAATGACAGGAAAATAAACATCAAAAATCTATATGTTGTTTTCATTTTTAAAAATATATTCGCATCACCGCGACACACATCACATTTTATTTGGAAGGTCTATCATTGACCTTTAAACACGGTTTGCGTTGAATTTTAATGCGATGCATAAAATTGAGTTCAATTGTCAATCGATGTTATCTGTCATGTATATGATATAATTGACATCGATTCAGTTCAATTTTTATTTTTGAAATTGGGCCATAAACTCAATGCCGTAAAAAAGACTCAATTCCCTTCGTAAATAATTCAGGGAAATCGAAATAGAAGAAAAAACAACAAACGGATGGAAAAATAGAGAAATGCAGTTATCTTTTTTTTGCTGCAAAAATCTATTTATACTGAGTCTATGAAAAATAGGTCCATCTGCATCAGTAACAAAAAAAAATCGGGTTGCATAAGCTCGGTTTTGCATGGAATAAACATTCCTAGAGAGAAATTTTTCTAATTACATACAATTTATGTGCACATTTGCGATAGGCCAACTTCATTTGTGACAATGTGTATGTGTTTGTGTTGTTGTTGTGCCATTGGATGGGCACAATTTGCATTTCAAGCCAACGCAAATTTCTCTCTTCCCTTCTGATAGCTAACAATTAATCAGTATTGAATTATAATCTATCAAACCGTCATTTGTGTCTCTTTCTCCATTGTTGTGTCGAGTCTGTATGTGCGCTCCCAATTGTGGGCTGTCAGCGCTTCATTCTGTTGCATGGATGGAGTTGTCATGAATAACAATGATAAAAACCAATCAGTTTTTTTTTCTCACTGTTTGAAGCAAATGTGGTGAACAAAACGACGATTTGCCATTTTTTAATTAAATAATAACAACAATGTCGTCGATGATGACGACGACAACGACAATGAAGTAAAAATCAAAGGTTTTTGTGTAGGTGAGATATCGTATAATATTCAATATGAAAATTTAAACCTATTGACTTTGGGCTAAAGTGATTTTTAAGCTTTACGATTATCAACGACTCAAGCTCGATTATGTTATAACGAGTGGTTCGAAAATCGTTTTTAGCTCGATTTGGCTTGAGTAAATACCAAAAATACACCCGAAGAAGTACACAACTCAACGAACAATGGTCTATTCAGTATAATGGCTTCATTTGACGAGCTGTAAATCGCGGGCGCTCATATGCCACTGAATTTATCGCCGTTTATTTGTTTGCACTTTTTTTTCGTTCGTTCATTCGAATTTATTTATGAGTTTGCGATTTGAATGCTATATCAAAAAGAGTGTACACTGTACACAATAGACGGGCAAAGACAGTGCGATAATGCATATGAAATTCACTATTTTCACCAAATCGTTCGCTCGTCGCATACACATACAATAGTCATTGTAATTTATGCAAATTGCTGCTAATCCGCCGAAGGTTATCGACGAAATTCACTTTAAATAAATAACTTCAAATCGTTTCTATGCTCGTTTTTTTTTTGTCCATTCGTTCATTTTGAAAAGGAAGCGAGGGAAAACGATTGTCTAGCTATTCACTGACTGACGTGATAGATTAATTCTGTTTTGCATGGAATTTCTCTCTCTCTCTCTGCCTCTTTGTGTATAATGTAGTCAATCAAAAACGGAAAAGGCTGTTCTTAAAAGCCCAGTCCATATTTGTTGTTCGCATGGAAATATAATATTTGAATGAATTATTGAATTGTGAATTTATTGCGACCAAAAAGTTGCCTTTTTGTTCGTAGCTACTGTGGTTTTGATGGCGGAAACGGTTCGCTTATCATTTATGATAGCAATTAATTCGAGGAACTCGTTTGTTTTTCGGTCAACAAAAAAATTAGCAAATAAATCATTAAAACCGAGATCCAATGTGAAGGTTGTTTCACGACCGAATGTGAGATATATTGTTCCGGAATATACAGTAATTTTCACAATTTTGTGTTATCTTTTGCCATGAGTTGAGAGACCACATTGCCTTGCAAGTTCAAATATTTAACATGTTTTTAATTGACACGCTGTCGTCAAATGTGCACACACTTAGAAGTATGAAATGGAAATTAAATTAAAGCCAATTCAAATTAACGCCATTAAATGCAAACACCACTTGCCAATGAAATGTAGAACGTTTTAATCAATGGCTCATGTTTTGAGATACATTTATTTGCTCTACTTTTCGCAGATCGTAATTCAGTTCTGATAAATAAGTGATTTTAGTTTTAGATTTTTTTGCCATGGCCATTTTTTTATATCGACGAAATTTTTTTTCTCGTTCGTACCATATAATGTAATGCGTGATCAGTAAACATGAAAATGTAGTGTACATAGATAACGAAGTAAAAAAAATAGCATCAAACTTCATTGCAGGGTATTGAGTGCTTATGTCATGTATTTCGTTTTTGGAATGGAATTCGTGTGTTATATAGACAGGCGAGAAAATTTGACGGGTCTGAGATTTAACGCGCAAGGTATCTGTGAAAATCGAATCAGTATTATCGATAAACTGTGAAAACATTGCATCGTGATTAATCGCGTTCGATCGATAGTTTCGATTAGCTTTTTGAACTCGAGTGGAAATAATGTTTACTGCGTATCATCGGTAGGTATTGGCAGCAGCTTTATGCTTCGTCATATATATTAACGTTCCGTCAAATCATCACCCAATCAAAATAAATGAACTGTTCGTGTGGCTTCCACACGCGCTTTTTTCCGCATGAACAAAATAAAATAAATATTCATTCTTGAGGAGAGAGAAACTAATACTTCATGCTTATTCATTTATTCTCACTTCCAATAAATGCTTCGATCCGTTTACATTCCGTTACTACAATGCTTCATTGCCTCATTTTATTGATTATTAGTTTGACGCGATATTAGATAGTAACTGTACATCGTATACACACAATCGATTCCATTTATCACTGCTCAATTGATTTTATTTGAAATCGAAGCAAACTATTGAATAGATTGTTCAGAAAATAAGATAGATTGGACGTATCGATTGTCGCGCATGTAACATATAACTTGCAATTTGTTAATTGCACTCCGATATTACATGTACGGCTTCTCTTCCGATGCCTTTCTTGTCGTTCATTTTTTTTTCGCTTCTAATTATTATTTACCGCGTGTCATTTTTTTCTTCTCATCTTCACTGCAACACAAAATACCACTGGGTCGACTCAATTTTGTTGTCAACATACTATGCAGTTTTCAAAGCATGTAAAAGAACGTCATCGTGTGTAAATGATTGGAATAAATGTATGAATGCATAAACATAGGACAGGATGTTGTTGAACTATTCGTTGGTTTTGTTGGAAATTGAGTGCATATATAGGTTTAAGTTGTTATAACGCAAGCATAGAAGCATAAATTTATGTATATGAATCGGGTATAGGCAGAACTAACACACAAAGAACATCAAATCAACAAAGTGAATACTGAATAGTGTTTTTTTTTTTTTTTTTTTGAAAAAACGTAGAGCGCACACAAAAAACTTTTTTGAATTGAACAGTTCAAAGCTGGCAGACAGTTTTTTTTTCGAAACGTTGACGATGATGACGATGATGACAACGACAATGGGAAAGCAACAAGAGAAAAGAGTGAAAAATACCAGTTGAATTGAATTGAACCACGTCGTTGTACTGGAAGTGTATGTTTGAGTTGTGAGCGTTTTATTTGGTGTTAGCGAATTTCTATATGCACGACGGCCGATACGACGTGGTTGGATTCAATATGGAAAATTTATTCATGAAAGAAAAATGCTTGACAACACACGAAACACATACACATAGCACATCACACAGCACAGCATAAATGGACACAGTATCTGAAGTGTAATCTTTCCTCCACGTCGTCTTCGTGTAAATTGGTCTTTGTCTTTCTCAGCCATTTTTTGTGTTTTTCTTTTCATTCTCTGTCTCTCTTTATCTCTCTCAACTATTCACTTCTTTTGTATATCACACAATTGTCTTCATTTTTTTTTTGGATTTGCTTCTGTTCAACATGATATTCTAACACGTTTTGTTTCCTCTATTAAATTTTCTGTATGGGTTTCCTTTTGCGAATTATAATAACTTTTGATTGTTGTTTCGTTTAATCAAAAAGCGTGCTTTTGTGAAGGCGAATGGGAACCCATTTGGGTTGTTCGTGACAGATTTTTTAAAACCAAATCGATGAAAATAATGAATGTATCTTTGTAGAAAACTTACCAAAACAAAACGTTGATTTTCTTTATCCAATAAAAATTCCATGCTTTTATGTGGTCGTCGTGGTTCGATTGTAGTTGGATCATTGCCTTTGGCACCATGTTTACCTAAGCGAATATTGGCCGCTGTGCCATTTGAACGGTTTGCCATTTGTGGACCAAGTTCCATAAGACTACGCGTTTTGCCCGATATAATCGTTTCGTCGGTGTCGAGATTCGTTTCGATGAGACCGATTTTACTATCATCGTCTTCATCTTCGTCGCCCGTACAAAAACTATTTTCATTCACATCCATCAATAGACCATCACTTGAAACTGCACCTTTTAAGAGACCGCCACGCGAATAAGACTCGTTTGTTTGTCGACTGGAAAGCAACTGATAATCATCATCGTCGTGATGGTGGTTTGCCAAATAATGGAAATTCTTGCCATTATCAGTTGGGCTGTTAAAATTGATTTCGCGCGGTGGCACCGATGTGGAACGTTGTTGTTGCGCATGACGTTTTACTCCTTCACGTTGTGGATTCGATTGTGACAATGTAGCCGCTTTATTATTGCTTTGCTGATAATAGCTTGGATGTGTGGAATTCAATGTGGATGCTTGTTTTGCGCATACACCGACTACACGTGGTGGTTGTCGTGGTAGTGGTGGCTTTGATGTTACCACATTATTTTTCTTTTCGGCGGCGATAAATGTGCTGTTATTGTTATCATTCTTGAAATTCTTCGTTGCATTTTTCGTTGCATTTATCGGTGTGCTGGTGTTATTTGTTGTTACATTGCCCACATTTTTATCACTTGTTTGATTTGGTGTGTCAAATACAACAGCAATCGGATCTTTTAATGGGATATATTCGAATTCATTGCTTCGCATTGAGTTTCGTTGATAGCAACCCGCTCTTGAGCTATTATTATTGGTTTTATTTCGCAAAGGTACATGATCGACGACCGATTCACCGTGTTGATTATTATTTTGTGCGGTAGCACTCTTTGTTGACACAAGTACAATATTATTGGTGGCATTTGATGGTGTATTTTCTAGTGATTTTAATTTCTTTTTGCTACCACGCAATGAAAATCGAAAATTGGTAAAACGTGATAGGAAACCCGGTTTGTGCGCTGATTTCTTATCAAAATTATTCATTTTTGCGGGCAATGATGCACTTTTACTTGTTGCTTGCGGTGATGATACTGGCACATTTATAGCACTCACATTCGATTTGTTGGTTTCCATTTTAATTGGTTGTTTTTGATTTATTGTATTATCGGTTTCACTATCACCACTGCCGTTTTGCAATACAACACCACTACCACCACCACCAACACTTATACGATTTGAACAATTTTCTCGTAAATCAGTTTTATTATTTGGGTAATTTGTGCATGAAATTTTACTCTTATTTGACGTTGTTTTATTGTTGTTGTTGTTTAATTTTTGTTCAGCACTTAAACGATTGTTGATGTCATTACTTCCACAGCTAATACGATTCACATTATTTGACTCAACCGACACTCTGTTCGCATTGACGATCATCGCTGAACTGCTGTCAATTGCATTCGCTTGAATCGACATACCGTCTCGACTGTCCACCAAAACATTACGATCTGTGCTTGTGTTTACACTTTGATGTTGTTGTTGTTGATCTTTCTGTTGCTTTTTCGCCAGTTTCTGTAGATACAGCTGCTCACGACGTCTATCTCGCTCGGCTAATGCTGCCAACGATCGAGGTTGTGTTTCATAGTACAAATCATCATCACTACTATCTACCACACTGGAATCATTAGTGTCGTACGTCTCATTTGTGTGTGTATTTATTTGTGTTGTTGTCGTCGCCGTCGACGATGACGACGTGACTGTTGGGCGACCAGTCAATGTATTAGTTAAACTTATGTTATTGTTTACACTATCGTTATTTGATTGTATTTGTTCCGTTGATGGCAAAATCATATTGCTGGTGTTACTGTTGCTTGACGAATTACTCGTATCGTTGTAACTCTTATTATTATGATTGTCGCTGGAATTTAGAATTTTTTAATTTTATTATTTATATTTGAATAAAAAAACAACAATGCCTATTTTTATGATCGTTAACCGTGCTCTAGTAGACATTTAATTACCACATTCTATTCATTGTTTTCAGAGATCTTAAAAGTAACACCGTACAATCAAATCGCATCAAAATACTCTCTTTCCCCCCCTCGAATGTTAAAAAAATCGTAGAATTACATTTGATATGATGACCACATCGTAGCTATTTCTATCGAATGATTATCTCGTCACTGGAATGTTCTCTGTTGATACTCAGCCTAGTACTCAGCTCTTAAACAAATGATTCATTTGTTTGAATGATGATTAAAAACTTGAGAATTCGTAACGAAAACTTGCATTTTTATGTTTAAAAAAATAATTCGAACTTGGTGTAATTGACTGTAGCTCATACAATCTATCACATTTTTGGTACGATTTAAAATTAGTCAAAAAAATACCTATCAATCATGCATTTTAAAGTTGCCTTGGCTACTTCAATCAAGCATTTTGAAGTTTGCCTTATTTTTCGGGAGACTATTTTGCATAGTTTAAATTCAATGCGTAGAATGTGCTTTATTTTTATCACATCATCTTGACATTTATATGTAGAATAAAACATGGAATTCGTGAAATTTGAAATTAGAGAAATGTTCACAGACGAACCGAACAACCGACTGAAAAGATTTGGAGAATGGATACATATTTCAAAGAGATTCCTTCATGCGATTGGATAAATTTAACTTGTTGTGTCTATTTAAATACGAATCTTTGGCGCATTTTAGAGAATTCGTTTAATAAAATGAAATTGCCTTAACCGACTTCTGCTTTTAATTTAAATCAGATAACATGTGAAGCGCGAGCGCGAACACGATGTAAAATGTTACGACGATGCCAGTATGTAAATAAATAGAGAGACGTCGACAGAGGATAGAATAGAAAATACAAAGCAAACGGTGCCCATATGTGATTCGATGCTTCGTATGCATACATACACACACGCACCAATGCTCGGTGTAACTCATGCTACGTATATTGACTTTAAATTAAAACGCATTTGAACAATCGTTATTCTCGGCGAAATGGTGAATGGGTGTATCTGGGAGAAGCATTTAAATGAATCTCTTACATTCTAAATTATATCTGACATCATACGCCGCATATGTGCTTTTGCGTTGTAAGAAATGAAGTAATCGACACAGAACACACACAAAGTGCAAAGTCAACAAAGACTCTTTTGGTACATTTGGAATTTGAGATATGTTGTTTTTGTTAGCTACTACCTGCAGTCAAAAACAAAATCACATCCAAATGCCAAACAATGTGCGATAGGGAGAGATGAAAAATGTGTTTCAAATACAGGAAATACACCGTTTGTCTTCAAATATGGTTTTTATAGAATTTGTCGGTGTGTTTCTTTTGAGATCCCTTCTTCTTGAATTCCATACTCAACAATGAATATAAGTGTCTTCAGAATGGTTCACAGAGGAATTAAATTTATCTAAATGACTGTATTTACCTGATTTCACTATCACTAATTTCGGCCGCATCTTCGGCGGATGATTGTTCTAGCCAACTGATTTGTGAGACATAGGGATAAAAACTGACGCCTTTGCCCAATGAATTCCTTGAACCGCCCGATAGAATGCCTTTCGTTTGTGGCATTTCGGATTGTGGCAGTGGATTTAAGGAATTATATGCGCTAGATGAATGTAAACATTCATCACTTTCCACACATTCCGATCGATGTTGAATTAAATTCGGTGTACTCGCGACCATTTCACGTTTAGCTGGCGTTGAATGTTTTACTGGGCTAAAATTATTTGATGTTGTCTCGTCTTCAAACAAATTTATACTGTTTGACGATTGAAAGTCGACATTGCATCGTTCCAAACTTTCGGCATAGCATGTTTTAAGATTGGTTGGATCACGATCAAAAGTGTAATTCGATTTTTCCAATAATGTTGAATCGGTTTTTGCATCACGTTCACTTTTCGTTGCGCATTTTTTCAGTTGTCGCCGTGGTGGCGGTTGCGGTGGTTTTATTTCACGTGCAATTAACTCTTTCACTGAATGCGAAATATTGTCTGGTTCATCTTCGAAATCGCCTTTATCATTTAAAATCGATAGATTCTTATCAAAATGCGCTGAAATTTCGTCCAACAAAAAATTACATTTGCTAAATTCAGTGCTGCCGGTTGTGATGCTGCCGTTGCTGCTGCGATTACTTGATAGGCTGTGTCGTTTTTGATTTTCTGCCATTGCACGTAATTGATTACGTATACTTTTTGTACTTCCGGAATAGTCTAATAGTGTTAAATTGCTGTAGCTTGAATTGATGATCTTTTGCTGTTGAAATGTTTGTTGTGACGATGATGACGGCGGTGTTATTGTACAGTGATAATCAACAACGCCAAACGTTCTTGTCAAATCGAAATTACGACTTGCAATGCTTTCGGCATTTGTTGTGGTCGGCTCTTGCCAATGACTATTTATAGTGTGTCGTGGGTTCTTTGATATCCAGTTGTCATTTGATGTAACATCGAAATCACCATTGCTCGAACATTGTGACGCGAATATATTTAAGTTGTTCGGTACACTTGCAACATTAAACGAATCTTTTTGCAACAACGATACTGTTTCACTCAATAAATCACCGCACACCGTATTTCGTTTTGATTTTCGATTGGAATTTGTTGTGTCACAGTAGAATATCGATTCGTTGGTATCTGAAAAATCGAGAAGAAAATGTACAAAATTACTCAATTCGTGACCTTTTCGATTTCCTGGTTCTTTCAAAAGGACATTAAATATATTTGTTTGTTCAATTTGGCAAAATAGAAATAGAAAATTACCGTAATCGTCAGCAAAATGGGATGAAATATCTGGCAAACTGGCTGATTGTGTATTTTGCAACGATGTATATGAAGCTGATTTTTTACTACTGACGCCATTTGTATTTGTTGGCGCTGTAAAAACATGCTCACTCCAATCACACCGATCGTTACGACTGTTATTTTTGGAAACACCGAACGTTGATTTTTCGTCGGTTCGCCGTATTTCGGTATTGTTCGTGTTTATTTTTGAACTATTATTATTTGTCGTGCCGTTGATGCCAGTGCAACTATTTATTTTGACTTTCGTTAAATTACGACTGTTACTTATATTATTTAGACTACGATGATTATCCAAATCTTCGTCTTCTTCGATTAATTGATCTTGATTTAGATTTGGTATGCTTTTCGATCGGCATTTTATCGATGGGAATTCACCGTAGCCACTATCTTCACTCAGATTCTCAACCGAATTCTTATTTCGAAATGCCATTTTTACATTTTGGGTTTGACGTTGTTGTGTGTCTTTGGCAACCAATTCGATTTCGGTTTGATTATCCGAATAGTAAATGCTATTGTCTGTAGAGTAACTCGACTCCGATGAACTTGTCTGTTCTTGACAATTTAAAAATAGAGCCGAATTAAAATCGATCTTCTCAATGTCATAGTAGTTGCGCGACGTATTGTTCGTATCGTGGGCATTTTCGTTGGTTTTGGGTGCAATGAATTCAACAACTTTGTTGCTTGTCTCTTGCGGCGTTGTTGTTGCTGTTGGCGGAGCTAAGTTATTGAGAAATGGCGATGAACCACCAAATGTATCGCCCGTTTGAATTTGACGCTCCAGCGATTCAAACTGGATCAGAGACGATGACCGTGACAAGGAATTGAATGACAAACTATCCGGGTCTGAGAATCGATCAAAATTCACCGGATCTATGCAAAATCTGTAAAGAAAAACAAAACCACATTAAAAGCAATTCTTTGAAAAGTAAAAACAAAACTGTCGTCTCTCTTGATTCGTTTCTTTCTTTGCGAAAAAGAGAATTACCGTTTTGTAAATGCATCGGCATTTGTTGGTTCGAGGAGATCGATTCGGTATTTGTAGTCATCATTCAACGATGTGGACTTTTTCAGCAGAGTGTCTTCATCGTTTTCTTCTTGCTTTCGACGCTTTGGTGGACACGCAAAATCCCTTTCCGAAATGGTATCGGCTTCTGAAAATGCACATAAGAGAAAAAAAAATGCGTACACGAAAATTACGCTCATCATTATCAGCATGAATAGAGAAGAGCAATGCTTTCGTACATATAATAATACGTCTCAATGGACGTGTGCAATGTATGAAACACATTCGATTATCATTTTCACATTCAACGAAATAGAAAAAAGAAAAAAAAACAATCAACACAGAAATGGCAATCAAATTTACAAGCTATTCATTTGTGCAACGAAAAATAATAACACGAGCACCAATTTTCTGATGAATTTGAAATGGAATCTTATAATGGGATAGTCAAATGGAAATTGCATGCTATTTGCTAAAGGCTAGGAGCCTCACAGCAAAATAATACATGATTGCTACACCATTTACATTTCATAAAATTAAATTTTGATTTTTTTCTTCTTCTTCTTTGTTTCACTTTCGATTTACTGGAATGGAAAATTTAAGAAGATACAATCGAATGATTTCTAGATGCAAATACAGAGCAAAATGGTTCGAAGTCTAATGAAATAATGAAGTTTGTATGTTTTTATGTTTGTTTAAAACATGAATATTACCTTGAATGAGTTCGACACGGATCACTGAACCGGCATCCGATTCAGAACTCCATTGGTTTTCATTGTGTGTCCAAACATGACCGCAGCTCACATCATCATCATCCGATGTTTCTTCGATGATTGGTTCCAGCATGGCACTGCGCTGTGAAAAATAGCTTAGATCACCATTCTGATAGTCAAATTGCGATGCTCCATACGGCAACCACGGAAACGATGAAGACAGCGAATCACTTATATCTAAATTATCCATTCGTATATTGTTCGTATTCGTTTGTGGGTTTTGTTCGTTTTCGAAGGGGGCGGTTTTGTTCGATTTTTTTTTCGTTTTATTCCGTTGAGGCTTACATATGATTGCAGTTGATTGCTTCCTTTTATTTTAAAGAAACACTAAGTACTACTTTGATTTTGCTTCATTGCCTTTTGATGCGCTCGGCTATGATATAATGTGTCGGATCGTGTACCATTTAACCTAAAATTAAATGCAAAATAAACTGTATAAAAACCATATGTACATATTATAAATAAACATTTAAACTAATTCAATATTTTTTTTGTTCGTTGTTTTACATTCACGTGCGCGCACGTTGTTCAAGCCAATTGATTAAATGGTATTGTTCGCTATGCACCATATTTGATAGGTGTTTTTAATTTATGACCAAATTGAAGTGAAACAAATCCAATGCATTTCCGTTACATTAACATAATCGCACCAGCGTTCACGCATTCATTCAATTTTAATATGTTCGCGGTCGTTTTTGCACCGCTCATTTCTCGATTTGTAATTATTTAAATGATTTTCATATGCCATTTCCATTCCACCATTATGGTTTGCTCTGTGATAGCGCAAAAATCAAAGCAATTTACGAATTTGGCTCATTGGTTACTTCATTATAGTCCATTCACTTGGCTTGCATTTGTTTCTCTTTTTTCTTTCTTTTTTCCAAATTTCATAATTTATTTGAGCCTTTCTACGTGAACGGGCGCACTCACATTCGCTTATAATTGTTCACAAAGTGAGAAAGTTGTATATTTTTTTTCTATGTTGCTGCATTTCTTTTCGCGAGTCTGATCTGAAAAAGGAGATATACAAAAGGCAGAGCGATTTATGTTTCCATTGTATGTACATACAATGATTGTCTCAATGATGTGCCGTTAGCAGTAATTAAAAAGAAATAGCGCTCATTTTGGAGTTGAAAAACGTTTTTGATGTGCGCAGTGAAGATTTTTTTTCGGGCAATTCAGAGCAGAGCGCTCAAGTCAGTCCAAGTTGGAGTAGAAGAGAGCAGAGAAATGTAAAACCTTTGTGAAATGCCGCGGCTGCCGCCTTCGCACCGATATATTCGCAAGCAATGAAGCAGTGAAACGAACTGATTTGAGAAATACCAATTTGAAAGACTTAATGTTAAAATTAGTGCATTCTCTTCACACCGTTTGACTTTTTGCAATCTCCAGTTACTGCATGGCAATCCCAAATATCGTCGACGAGAAGAGAGTGAGAGACGAGGCAAAAATATCACGAAACATAAATACATAATCTTAAAATTCCAATCTCAAATCATTTGTGCACACAATCACATTCACATATATACATATGCATCATTTAAGTGCAGAATGTACAAAATAACATTCATTGTTTGTTTCACCTCGCGCTTATTCCGAATGCAGATGAAAAATCATACAGTTTTTTTTTCATTCCAATTGCAGCAATGAAATATTCATTCTCGCATGAAAATGTCGTTTGATCTCTTTCACACTTTCAATTTAAGCATCGACAAACACGCATCGAATATCATAATCCATTTGTATATTTGAAATTTTATTTGCCATTCACGTTCTTATTTTCTTTTCTTTCATCGTTTTTCTTACATTTTTATAGGTCGATTCATTGACATTATTGTGAATTGCTATTTGACTGGATTGAATAAATTACAAAATGTTGTGATTATGAGTGAGAAATCAAAAAGTCTCGGTGAGACACCAAGAACAAGACTATAGAAGCAAATTAGAAAATGACGAAAAGAGAAGAGAAAATCAAATTTTAATTTGGCTCCAGTGGCATTTTAACCGAATCTATTCATAATGGACACCGAAATACATACACATATATGCAAATTTTTCGATGTAATCAACAGCTGCTGTGAACCGTCAGCCAAAAAAAAAATCACGACCCAAAAGGTGAAATCATTTCATTTACTTTTTATTACTTTGATGAGCCGCGAAAGTTTTTCAACTTATTTATGATGTTTTTTTGTGCGTTTCTTTTCATTGTTCGTTATTGGTCTCTTATTTCATGTTTTTAAATGAATAAATGATCAATATACAGAATATCAAATTGAAAATTGAACTTATCACCATATATGCATCGACACATGGGTGAATGACTTTTACTTTAACAAAAAAACGGCCACACATATGTTTTGTGTTATGTTTTTTCGCCTGAAAAAATAAAAACATATTCACACTGTGAATAATCGAAATGAAGAGTTACATTTGGCATATTTTATGCGTCGACATTTATTGTTCGTTGACTCTAAAGCAACTACTTTGTGAATTCAAAGAGAGAGAGAGAGAGAGAGAGAAAAGGAGAGGAAGAATATGGCCAACAAAAAGCAAAAAAAAAAATTATCTGGAGAATCCGTTTATTCAATGGAATTTGCGTCAATTGTATGCTTAACTCTCAATGCAAATGTGTGTGACCTGTGACTAAGCCGTGGGATTTAGCCAAACAACATACAACAATGGACCGGATCAAATTGTCTGCGTTTGTCGGTCTTTCACTTGCTCATACGCAACATCCATAAATGGTGTAATGATACGGCGCAAATACATGATGATCATTCATATATGTGATTATGTGTTTTGTTAAATGCGTTTCTCAAATGAAATTGCGATGTCTTATATGTGTGAGATTTAGTAGTCGCGAAAAAAACAGATAGAAATGTTGATTTCTACAGATTTAAGTCAAAGTCATTGTTTTCTTTATTTTGCTGACAATCTTCATTCAACAATTGTAAAATCGGCCTTTCTGCCAAATTTCTATTTCTTGAGATTCCATTTTATAACGTGACTATGAATAGGTTTTCATTGTTATTATTTCATGTTGTGGCCGAAGTCATAAAAGTACTGCGAATAATGGGCTTTTTTTTCTTTTCAGAAAATAAAAATTCGAAATGGTCATTGATTCGTTTTGAAATGCTCAGCGATTCCATCAGGTGATTACAGTATATTTAATTTGTATATAGTCAAAACAAGTACGGTAAATTCAGTCCAATTTGCAAATAAAGAACGGCCTATCGATAAACAGAAAACCTGATCGTCAAGTGTGGTATGAAATACAAACAAACAATCGTTCATATCAAAGCAAATAACGGAAATATGACGACAATAAAGGCACGAACAAAGTAAAAACATGGCCCAAATTATAATTGAAGTAATAAAAAGGGAAGAAGGTTATGAATGTAAAAAAGCTCCATTCGCTATAACTTGAGTTGAAATGTTTTATCGTTTTTTGAAATTGGGACGAATACAATACACGAATGCCAATGCTTGAGTGTGCATATCATCAATATATGTTGACATGTGAAAATAAAACTGATTCTGATTGTATTTGGCATGTCATCTGGAGAATAGAACGTGCGACTATATCAAGTGGCAGGCAATTTAACATGCGAACACGGTGAAAATGTGCAATTTGAGGAATTCAATTGTCAGCGAAAAAAAAAACAAACACGCCAAGTGTACACATGCACAAGTTGAATTTGGTCGAAGAAAAACAACAACGATGGCAGCGACGATATATGATATCTTCTAGGCGGTCGTAAGCGGCACATTGCACGTTGTACGGAAGAAACAGGAGACGTAAGACTCAAAAAAGAAGCAAAAAATCACGCCCGTAAATTCACTCGTTCAGATTATACATGTATTCGGTCGTGATTATCATTTCCATGTGTGTATGTGCTTAAGCATTTTTCGGCCGAATGCTCAATGGGAACTTGGGAATACGTGTCTTTGAACTAAAAGAGTCTCGTTTCACTGACTGGCTTACGAATCTCTTGAGTAAAATTGAAACCGATTTTCGCGTATAACTCGTCGCTGTGGCCGTCGTTTGTGTGCGATGGATGTACGACTTTTGCCATCGATATTACCGTTCCATTTGGTTTATTTGTTGTTGTGTCTTGGTTTATGTTGAAGTAGTATCGTTTTCTCTTGATAATGTTTTTGGGGGCTTCATGCATCGTTCACCACGAAAATAGCCATAATCAACTTACAAAGTGCGCACGTAAGAGTGCGATGATGCCATGCACTTTTGTTTCCTCTTTTATTTCTCAACCAGCAATGTTGTTGCTGTTTTTTAAACGCATTTTTGTCGTAGCAGTTTTGTATTCATTTGCTTTGGTTTTGTTTGATTTTATTTTTTTTTATCTTTATGTTCCTGTTCGCTGCTATCTACACCTTTTGATAAAAGCAACGGCAACGATGACGCAAAATGTTGTTGGACTGAATTCGCGCAAAAGAGAGGAAGAGAGGCACACATGTAATAATTTTAATACCCTTCATTATTTGATCGCACTGTAATAACCATCACGCAACTTGACATATAATTTTAAAACGCCAAAGACAAAGTTTTCAAGTGTGTGTTTTCTGTTTTGCTGCATGCGAACAATGAAACAATGGCAACGACAACAGTTGAATACAGAAAAATGCCAGCACAAAATGATGCAGCCAGTATAAGAGAGAAATGAAGACTATTAACCAAGTTTGCCAAGCATTTCTTTAGAACACATCAAATATACACACTGCAATTGTAGCGCGCACTTCTGCAAGATAGCAACAACAAAAAATGCAATATTTTTGCATTATTTTCATGGCTCATCTTCTTTATTGGTCGTCATTCGTACACGAAAAACCAACCGTTGGCTTATTTTCTTCACTCGTTACGTGAGAGAAACACACAAACACACACACTCACATGTACAGAATCTCAATTTTCGTGTTCTGCACAAATATTTTCGCATCATAATCATTCCATTTATGTTGCAGTGTATACGATGATTTTTTTTATTCCTTCGACCGTCTTGTCCGATCGAATGCAATGTGGAAACCATTACATGTACTGCAATTTAATTCGTGCACACATGCAATAAACGCGCGCGCTATCTTCGATTTCCATTTGCATTCAACAAGTTGCAATGCACCGATTTTTTTTTTTGCTTTTCATCCAGCGTCACGTTCAATTTATTAGTTGATACGTGTAATGGGCTGGTGAGACTCACGTATATGAAAAACTTTCAAACCTGTTCTTACACAGAGTCACAACGATAATAAAATAGGTGAATTCTTGTCGAGAACTCGGCTTGTATGTTTTGTAGTTGTAATTTTTCAAAGAGTTGTCGTCGTCGTTTCAATTCCTCCCGGGTTGGCTATTACGTTATTGAGGTGTAATAGAGAGAGAGCACTGAACGCGAGATTGGATTCTTCCTCTGAACACTTTGTATGAATGGAATCGGTGAATGCGGGCGCATCCAACTAATCAACTAAGTAACCATCACCACAAAATTTATTCACAATACACTCACTCTTCGAATTTTCGTTCTCAGCCAATGATCACGATGATTTTTTTATTCAATTCGGCAACAATTTTCAATCTTGTTCAAACCCATGAACATTTATTGGTTTTATAAAATCTCAAAGCACCGTGGCAGCCAAAACAACTAGATGCTTAATTGAATCTAGACGTAAAACGCAAAAGAAAAAAATCTTATATATGGTAAAACGTGTTGTAAATTACGACCGAACATAGCAAACACTGAAAAGCCACTACACAAGTCACCTATACCGATTGCGACTCACAGCGCTGCTAGCTATTACGTACGGCAAATGGGAAGGCAAAAGAAATGAAGATGGAACACAGAAGAGAGAGAGAAAAAAATAACATGAACAGAAACAACAACAACAAACCAAAAAGTGTGTGTATAATAATCATAACAAATACACTTAAGCGTTTGCTTTGCTATGCATCAACTTGACTTCTTTCAAACATATATGAGGTGAGGCGATTGAGTGCAGTACGAATGTTGTTGATGAACCGTCATCGGGCGTAGGAGAGAACATACCTTTATTGTTCTGTCTACATGTCTCTATATGGATATCAAATTGAAGCTCATCTCAAAAACGCGCTTTTTTCCAAATCAAAAACACCCGCAAAGAAACAAAAACAAGAGAAAAAAACACGATGGAGTTTACAACGTATACAAAAGGATTTTTATACTGTGCAAAGCTGTTGTACATTGTAGCCAAGCAATTATCCATGAAATTTAATGGAGTTTTGTTTCGTTATTTTTTTCTCCTTCGTTTTAGCGATAGCGATCGCTTGGAAATTTGTCATGTTCCTTTGGGTGAACAAAACACACACCCATAAAATTGTGTGTGTTTTTTTGCTGCTTATGAAATTGCATTATACATATTATAATATTACGTTTTTTTGTACAAAATCTAGAAATCGAGGCTGCCGTACGACCCGCAATTTCATAACATTCTGTGGTTTGTATGCAATTTTATGTTTATTTTGATCTTTATTCGAGCAACAGCAGCAGCACTATTTTTTTTCGTCAGTTGGCAATCGCATTCAGGGTATGTTGTTTCGTCAGATCACAGAATTTTGCTACTCTTATATGTTTCACGTGCAATACGCTCGGTTGCTAAATCTAATTGTGCTAAAACTGACAATATTTCGATTCGTGGTGAGAGAAAGAGAGAAAAATAAACTAAAAACCAGCAACAATGAAAGACAATGGAAATGCCTGAGCAGGCATTTGTTCATTGCTTCACAGAAGCCGAGTATTTATCTCTTGCACAAAAAGTGGCAGTTGTTCTTTTTCATTCACATCAGTGATTGCCAGCCAATTCGCAAGCACACACACACATTTGACGTTTTTTACAGTTCCGAATGCTTTTAACACTTATTAACTTTTATCGCTGGTTCGCTGGCTGACTGGCTGTGTTTTATTTTCTTCATGCGCTCTATTGCTGGAATATCACATTGTATATTTGAAAGTTTGCTATTAAATCCGTGAATGAATCATTCACTTTATTTATGCTCACTTAATCCGCTTTGCACTTTGCTGTAAACAATTTGGATGCCTTTTTGTTATTTTAACAGAATCACAAACTGAGAAGAGAGAAAAAACAACATTAAACCAATTATATGCGCTGAAATTCATGCAGTATGCAACTGATTCAGTGGAATGGAAGAGAGGGAGAGAAAAGCGCGTCGACACTTTTTTCTCCTATTTGTACAATGTACTGTTATCAACACTGAAGCGATTCATTTGACGACAGTTGTGCCGATGTTTACAGTTTTGTTTGCCCATTCGTCGTTTTTATTTATTCGTTATTTATTGATTATGATTGTTTATTAGAATTCATTTTTGTTTGTTTACATAAGCTGTTCGACGGAAATTTGTTTGAAATTAATGACGATCGCGAAATGAAAATATATATTTCATATTGATGAGTTTGTATATTAACCTAGTTTATTTGTGGAATTTATTCGAGGAATCAATGTACCTTAATCTCGGATCGAATGGTTTAAGAGATTCGAAGCTCGGCCAATTATTATTGTGGAAGTGGCGGAATGTTTAAGTGAGATAGATTAGATAAAAAGTTCGTGCCAAATCACTACGATTTACACACAATTATGGCGAATTTTGATTTCAGTTTGACGAATATTGATTTGCGCAACGATAGCTGTTAAAAAAAACACTGAGTCATCGAACTTGAAAATTACAAAAATTAAGACGTTTTACTTGGAATTTTAAAATTTTCATGGTTCAGTCAAAATTCACTTATTTTTTTTTTCACAAATGACAGTTTGGTCATTTTGCGATTGGCTCACATCAGCACACAAATTATGCTTTGCTCGACGGTGAGCTCACTTTTTCTCTCTCTCTTTCTGTTTCTCTATTTTTCCCTCTGTTTTTTTTTCTTTTTCAATGAAAAAAAACAATCAAGAGCGTTTCTTTTCGTTGATCAAATTCTTGTTTTTTTTTCTAAACTCCAAAATAGTGAATGCTTCAATTAGCGCCGGATCGTTAAAATCGATTGAATGAGGCAAGAAACTTCCTCAATAAACACATGATCGAGTTATTTCTTTATTTACACATGTGCACTGGCACGCATATCTTCACAAATCGAGAGTATCTAAATGATGCTAAAATGTAGTGTGTGTTTTTTTTCTAGTACCGTTGTGTAAATCGCTTACCAAAGCTGCAAATGTCATGGCACGGCCAGAGGTAACAGAAAGTCGGCGAAATAAAGAGATGACCAACGAAAAAATCTGGGCAAACTGAGTTCCAATACTGAATGCGAATTAGAGCCGGCTAGCAGAATCGCAATAACAATAAACAAAAAAAAGGTGCAAAAAAAAAACGTAGCGGAAAAAAGTCGGCACGTCCGATTCGTTTAAAATCAACTCAACGATTCAATGGTGTATACTTAAACACAAAAAATTCACACATAAATACGCTAACGCGATTCTACGGTACAGTTCGGCGAGGCATTAAAAAAACGGCAATCGCACACTCGCTCACAACAGGGCAAAAAAAAGAAGATATACACTGACACCGATTCATAACGGGCAATATCGACGAATGCAAAACAGACACAAAACAAATCATAAACGATCGTAATATGCATTGAGGCTACAGAATGGAAGATAAACGATATGACGACGCGCTTTTTCTCTCATTCAAATCCATTGACAAAACAACACGAAATAAAAACGCATCAGTCCATAATACGTTCAAAGTGTAAAATGAAAGACAAAAAACACCTAATTGACTTTCAGCTTAGGTCTTTTCAAGCTTGAAGCCATTGAAAATGTGTACGTCTTTCGAATGGAAAAGCACAAAAAGATCTAACCATAAGATTGACAGTGTCATGCGCCACCGCCAACATTTTAAATCACTTTGTTTTCTTTTACTACAATCGAACCACATATACTTGCATGTCGAAACAAGTGAGCTGTATGTGCGCTGAATTTTGTGACGATAATAATCCTAGCAGCAGATTGCACGTTCCATATTTTATAAGTTTCTTTCGTGTGTGCTTTTTTTTCACTCGTCGAAATCGCGACGCTTCTTCTTTTTCTTTCTTTTGCTCAATTCGCGACTTTCTTAATTTTCGTATTCTTTCGGTGAATGTGTCTTGTGTACGAAAAATTTACATTCACTTTGAAATCACTTTGTTGAAAATCACTAATTCTACGTAGCTTCTTCTTTTATTGTTTTAATGATGATATTGCTTGATGTACGCAAAAGAAAGAAATGGAGTTTTTTTGTTAGTAAGAAATGGAGATAGCAAAGAAAAAATTTGCTTTTGATACAAGAACTCGATGAGAGCGCCCAAGAACTACCGGTAAGATGATCTTTCGAAAAAAAAAAATAACCAGAATAACCGATTGTGAAGAGTAGCTCTAGTTTAACAAACTACCGTATTTTCATGAGTTTTCGACTCTGTTAAAGATGGCTCTAGTACAGCAAATTTCCATTTTCATACATCTTTAAGCAAAAGTTGAGTTAGTAGTTGACCTGTGTTTTGGTCTTAAAGTTGGTAGTTTTTAAAGCTTCATTCCATTTTTTTATATTTCATCAATACAAGTCACACTTATGTAAAAATCTACATCAAGCATTACTACCAAGTAATATTTTTATGGCACGATCTCTCTAGTGATCTCACTCTCTTTCTCTCGTGCTCACTTTGTAAATAGATTCAAGTATATTGTGAATAATGTTATTATTTTTCATCAGCATGTGATTGAATGATCTTTTTAAGTCTGAATCAGTGGCTTAGCTCATGCTCACGCTGCTGTTGATTATAATTATAAGGGAATTCTGATTCAGTGTATGCGCGTAATTTGTTGAACGGGTCATAGACGGAGAAATAAGTAGCTTTAGAATAACTTGGAAATGATGTAGACAAACAACTATGCATACACACGGAATACAAATAACTTTTAATATTTCCAGTCAATCTGTTCGAATGCTTTTTCTTCGCCCAATCTCTCAGCACAATCAATTTTATCTCTTTTCCAGTTGTTCTTGGTTACAAATAAGATAAAAATTTGTGTATGAGCCGAGATGTTCATATACATCAACATTATTATAATCGTTCACACGGCGGCAAATGCGGGCAAAAATTAGATCACAAATTGAATACATAAATTGTATTTCACCGTTAATTTGATTAATAACAGCACAATTAAATGATGCACCACCATATGAGGCATGCTGCATCAAACATGTATTCTGTGTACTATATCGGTCGGGATGAAGAACATTGAAGATAGTTGCAGCGATCAAACAAACGAATTAAACCATTTCTAATAATTTTCTTCCCTCCTCCTCTCTTTCTCTCTCTCTCGTGCTCTCCATCTCTGCACATGAAAATGGTTGAAATGCAATGCATGCCAGCGGAACGAACGGGTTCCATTGTTTTATAGATTAGGTAACAAATAGCACCGAAAAAAAAACGCCAACCGAAAACCAAGAAAAGGCACAAAGAAAAGAAAACAATGAGTTTATTATCAAGATATTCTAGTTTCATTTCACTCCATTTGCCTTTTTTTCACGTTCGTTTCTCCTAAACGTATAATTATATTTGTAGTTGAACATATACACACAAACACACATAAACATTCGCATACACAAAACACGGTTGATTTTTATTTTTCGTTCATCTTGCATCAGTTCTGAAAAGCACTTGAAAACGTGGCTTGAGGAACATTTGAACGAAACGGTTGGCTTGTTGCTAAAAGTGTTATACTTAATATACATGGCATTTTTAAAATGTGTCTCTGTTGAATTCGGTATTTTTTTTCTTCTTCTTCTTTGAGGGGCCATCAATCCACAAGATCCACTTTACATATAAATTACAAGAGACAGTGAGAATCATACACGAGTGTGAATGATATGTGCGTGAAAAGCGTTGACAAAGACAAAAGACTCTTCCAAACAAATACGACGACTTTTTACGATTTTGTGTATGAATGTCTCTCTTTGATGAGAAATGCCACGAATTCAAAGAATGACCCAAAATCTCAGAAATTTCAAATCACTTTTTGCTATACACACACACATCTATCACTCACTAACTCATTCATTCCATCTCTCTCCGTCTCCAAACTATCAGATCATTCCAAAACTGGTTTCTTTTCACTCACTTGAGTAATGAACAAATCGGCTTTTATCTTGATTTATTGGAAGAAAACGGACAATATTTTCATCGGGGCGTCATACAATGTCTTCTTGAGTCGGATTTATATCAATTCTTAATTTTTTTAAGACACTTATTTCGACACACTGACGAACAACGAGGAAAAAAATGCTAGAAGTTTTGCTCACAGTTTGATTCATTCCACAATAAACTGGACAAAGGTTTTCTTAATGTATATTTCACCAATCGATTTATTAACTTTTCCGTTTTGAAAAACACTTACAATTCGATACATGCACGCAAAAATATCATTAAATTTTAAAATTGGTTTGAGAACAATTTCAGCAGTAAATTGTTCTTTATCCCTTTTGATTGCAGCTAATTTTGGTATAAACACTTGTGTTTGGATTTCTTTTCTTTGTATATATAGTTTTAATTCCCGTAAAAAAAATGTTTCGACTAGTGCTACAGCAACGACACAAACAAACTAAAACCGATTCATGCCATTCACATGGAGAAGCAAGAGACGGGCGCGCGCGCACTTTGTTTATCCATAGCAATGGCGGTCGCAACGCAACTTTTACGATACCAATGGAATGAAAGAGAAAGAATAAAACTTCGAACAACAACAAATTTTATATATTACCGTTCGATCCGTCCACTATTCGCTTGGACGCGATCGTATAACATTGCACAAGGTGCGCTTGAAAAACAAAATCAAAACGCAAAACAACGACCAGAGGCGCAAGTGGAAAATATGTACATATGAAGAGAGTGAGTGAGAAAAGAAAAAAGTGGTTTTATTGTTGGTATTGATACAGGGCACTTAATCCAATCGCATCGGACACGCAGTCGGCTAACAACGCTTTACGGACACATCATCACCGCATTCAATACAAAATTTATGTGTATGAAAAAAATAGTATGGTATTTCAATCGGTTTCGGAGCGTAAAAAATTGGTTGAAACATGGAGAGAGAAAGAGAGAAAAAGAAGGTACGTGTTCGATTCGAATGGAATGTGTGCAGTTAACATATGAAGAGCGAGCTGTATAGAGTGAGAGAGAGAGAGAGAGAGAGAGAGTGAGTGTGAGGGAGAGAATAAGCAAGAGAGCGGGATACGTTGTATGCGTTTTGATCAGGTAGAAGGGCCAGGTGCAACGCTGGATAGCCAAACGCATACACAAATTCTCTGGTCGTGTTGTTGTTGATTTGTTTGTTACTCTTTGTTATTGTTATGTTCGTATGCGTACATACATATCCAAACTAATTGCATGAATAATTTGGTTGTTAATCGTTATTGAAATAATTTGTTTGGTCAAAATATAGAAACAATTCTCACACTCACGACAAACGATGCAATTGATGATGAGTTACGTTTATTTTTTGCATATGAATCATTAATTAAAGGGACCAATCCGGCTGCATATATGTGAATAAAGAGACATTCATCCAACTGCATAATTTATTACATGAATGACGCTATTATTCGAATAAACTAGCCAAGTGCCTCGTTTCACTGTTTGCACACACAAAAAAAAACTTACTTTTATTTCAACACATGCTCATGTCCATTTTGCAATTTCATTGAAAAGTTGGCTAGTTGTCATAATTTCCGATTGCTGCAACTGTGGCAGTGCCAACTGCAATACATATGCAATTCGGCTAATTACTTTTGTTCTTCTTGCTTTTTGTTTGTTTGGTATCTTTTTTTTATTTATAAACAAATTACCGCTAATTTATTCGCTCTATTTCCAAAATCGAGAACATTGTGTTACATAAATCATCTAATTTGCAATTGAGCGTTGATCTACATTTATTTTATAAAACAAAAAAAACGAGAATTTCAAATGATCAGTTTAACATTTTGGATGGTTTAAACCAAATCGCCTCTGGCGACAGTTAAAATGAGCACAAAAACTGCTTAATTGAAAATCTTGTTTGTACGGTTAATAATTGAAAGATCGTGCACAACGAAAAAAAAGGTGATTGCCAGCTACAAGAGTCGTTAGATTACGTCGGCTCGATGCAAAGAGCAATTTGTCATCTCAGATTTGGATTATGTCATCAAATGAGTTTTATTGTAAGCGTGTGTATCTCTCTGTTCTGAGATTGTTTTGATATTATCTGACATTTTAATACGGTGGAAAAATAATAAAATCCACATGAAATAAAAGTCGCAATTAAATATTAGATTTATTCAGTTTAGTAGATTTTATTAACACATGGGTTTTAATCAAAGTATTTCAGCTTAAAAATTCAAAATGAATCATTGCATATTATTATTAAATTTCCTTAAAATACAATTTTTAAAAAAAATGGTGTTGATTTCAAAAAAGAAACACATTTTCACCGCTAATTCTAACTCAGATTAATTTTCATCTTCAATTTTCCATAACATTACGATTGGATTTTTTTAAATAATATAAATATAAACAAAAATATGTAGAAAATATTTTTTTTTTAATACGACTTACAAGCTAAGTATAGAGAGACTTATTCCATTCATTTTTATTCGTTCACATTTCGATTAGTGGTTATATAGATAGTTAAGTTATAATATTGAATACAAATTGTATGAGGTGTGGTTAATTAGTTTTAGTGCAATTAAAAAAAATTAAATTATAAACATTTTTAGTCTAAAATACAAAGAGGGGGGCACACTCTTTATATTTGAAAATTTTATACATATTAATTTGCAAAAAAAGCGTTTTTATTACAATTATGCTTAAAACAACAAGGCTCTGCCCCAAAAATTTTGCTAAATAAAACATCAACCACAAAAATCTTCACAATTTCTATAGTCTTCTTATACAATATTTGTTCTAATTAGGTATTAAAATAGTTCAATAAAAATTTCAAGCGTATCTTTTGTTTTTTTCGAGGAATTTTGAGAGATTGACATTGTGCCGATTGAATTGATTTTATGTTGTTGATCGACAATTGCATTGTTTCACTTTCTCAATGGCACATTCAACGGCTGATTTAAGATCATTAAATACAGGCACTTCTTGTCGTCGGGCTAAATCCATTAAATAGGAACGGCCACGATTATAATCCTTCACTGCAGCTGCCGTCAACTAAAATTGAACACGAAAAATACATTATTACGTTTGATTTTTTTTAAATTCAATGAATTATTTTTTTTTTAATCCTCCCACCTTATCTTTGCCAATGGTGCAGTCATTGGACAGCATTTGAACACATAAAACGACATTGTACCCGAGTCCAACGCAATGTGCTGCTAATGTCATCGGAGCTAATGATCGTGTTTCATTTGAGATTACGAATAGCAGAACTCGACTCGATTCCAAAAGTGACAAATGGAACATTCGTCTTCCGGATGGATAAATAACCGTACCGTTTGTTATGCGATAGCTATTTCTTGGATGGCCAGTGCTGATGCCACTGTCATTGCTGCTCGATGTTTCAAGTGGTTTCGATGAGCTTGCCTCATTTTGAACGGGCGATGATGTCGATAGTTCTGTATCACCGTTTTGCGTATGCAATAATGAATCGTGTAATTGTGGCATGTGATAAGTGATGTCATGTTCATTTAACATGGCAATAACTTGATTTCGCCAATTCGATCGCAGTGCACAACTTCCGCCCAAATAGATGTCACGTAAATCGAACGATTCATTCTCTTCATTTTCTTGGCCATTGTAATTGAGAATGGAATCGATGGAACTGCCACTGGAGAATACTGAATCATTTGAATCACTGAGCTCTTCTTCGGTTTCATCACTGTGTGTCGTTTGACGATCAAAACTAATGGCTTTTGGTGACGCCACCGTACTTGAATTTATTGAAAAACATGTCAATTGACTTTCGTTTCGTGTGATGATTCGTAACGTTCGACTTGAATGTCCACTGTCTGAATCCGGATTTATTGGCGATGATGTGCCACTGTCGCGATGTGTATCATTGACTATCGTCGTTCTTTCCTCGAGCACGTTTCGAACAAGTCCATGTGTGTGAAGCCATTCTGGAAAATAAAAAAAATAATAATTTAATAATTTCCAAAAAATAATTTTAATATGCATACGAGATTCGGATTGAACGCATACCTGGTGTATTTGTGAGAAAGATGGGTGGAGGTGGTAGATTTGTACCTTTGATTGGTGATACGCAACCACTCTCACTGATCTCATCCTGTAGAATTGTTAAGTACGATGTTAACACACAAAATTCTTCAAAATCAATGGTGATGTCCGTATTGACCGAATTTCGATTGTTCGAATTGGTCATGTCCCGATGAGATTTCACAATATCCGATAAATTTTCGATTTGTAACAAATTTTGTGAGCAGCCCAAGAAATTCAAAGCACAACGACATTGTTCCAATGTAATTCGTTCGCCAGCAAGATTATTGGATTGATCGCCCAGCGCTCGATCGAATGCCCTCCGAATTGTTCTGGAAACATAAAAGTTTTTCATTTATTTATTTATTTTTTGGTAATTCATGTGGCTTTTAAAAATGAATAAACAAGTGGTTTAGAAGCAAAAAAAACCAACGAAAATATTGAACTCTCATAAAAACGTACTTCTTTTGGTTTTTGACTGTTCAAAATTGAGTGAAAATCTTCCATTTTGAGCACTTTTTAAAAACATTTAAGAAAATGCCGAGATTCGACAGGAGGTTAAAGAGTTATTCGTATGGTTTTAAATTCTTCATGAACAAAGACGGTTGGCGTCTCGTTAAACTTACTTTTTACACAACAAAAGATGTATGCAAGAAAAGATGCAGAAAAAGAGTTTTTTCAAAAAGACAATAGTATTAATTTACTTACATCAGTTTGGATGCGACGTTCTGCGGTGCTGTGAAGCATGTACCTGTTAAAATTGCTTTTGTTTGCTGTAAACCAGATGGAACGTCATCCAAAACAGGTAAACCTCGTCGTGAAACAACTTCTCGAAGTAGCTGCTGATTTCTTTTCAGATCTATATACTCTCTGTCAGATAAAAAAAAAAGTGGGGTTTCTTTTAGTCACAACGTCACTTGTTCCAAATCAGTAATATGTTCAACATACTGTGATGATATGGGTTCGTTCATAATGCACTGTTCTGGTTTGTATGGATTTAATACCAATACTAAATGTCGAGGATTCTGACCGGCAATGTATGCAACTTCAATGGCTGCCGATGAGGCTCTTGTCTCTGAGTCCATAACAAAAAATAATACTCGTGCTTTCTCCTTTGCCCGATGCTCCAACTCAATCAGATCGGGGGTCCAATCCGACACTTGCTGTAAAGAGCGAAAAAAGAAAATTAATTTCATCTACTGATATTAATTCGCCACGTTATCCATCAAATTAATACCGAAAAATTGATTTAGTAATTTAAAAACGATTTTCAAACTTATCAAAAAAAAAATTAAATTGAACTGATTGTACTAACCGGATTGTAAAATGAAATGCCTAATTTTTGTAGTGTTGGTATGGCAACGTCAGCACGCCAAGTGGTTGGATTGCATGAACCGCCCAAAAACACTTCGGGCACATTATTGCAGTCCGTTGGCTTCAGTTCGTCTTTGTTATAATTTTTCGTCGTCTGTGTTTCATTGAATGATGTATATGCATTGTCTTTTCGTGATGATGCTGCCGTTGGGCATTGTGTTCGGAATCGTTTCAAATCAGCTGCCAACACACAAAATTCACCAAATGTTAATCCATTCATATGACGATTTGATAACGTTGTTCCACGTTCGAAACCGTTATTTCCACGTCGTGCAAATAATTTTGCCGTTTGCAACATTTCGTTAACTAAAACAGAGCACCGAAACGAAAAAAAAAAATTAGATTAATGACACAAAATACAATGTTAATGTGACTGTCAACTGTATAAATAAATCGTTTGAAAGACAATTGTCACTTTTTGAGAGTGTGAAAAAAAAATGTATGTATGACCGATATCGACTTACTTTGTTTTTCGGTTGGATTGAATTCAAGCTCTTCAAATAGTTCGTGCAGTCTCTCGGCTGGAACAATATTGCATCGAGCCTTTGTTCGCCAAGCATGCAAAGCCTCACTGTAAAATAAAAAAAAGGTGACACCCAATTTAATTAGTATATATATGTGTGTATTTTTAATCTTTATAAAAACCTTCTATTATACATGTAAACCAATTATTGGTTTCGCAAAGCCACAAAATGTACATGTGTGGAAGATAGAGAGAGATAGAGAGGTGATTTGAGCGAAATGAAAGATCTAACCAGTTTAAATGAGATTTCAAATGTATCGGCAAAGTTCAACTGCATAGGCTCGCTTGAGTTCCGAGTAATGGGGGCTCTTTTTTTGAACCCAATGTCGCAGAGGTTGAGTTCTTTTTAAAAACCGAAAGAATTTGAGTTAAGTGCTGTCTTTGTCGGTTGATAAATATAGTTATTGCCAATTTGTCTGCTGTTCCACTCGATTCAATCACATGTTTTGCAACCGCATGAACCAGACAAAAGACGACGACGAACAAAATAAAAGAGTGGATACAGAAATAGAGGCGACCAAGAGCAAAAAATAAAACAGAATATTTTTAATTCAACTAAATTTAAAACGTTCCATCATGCAATTTGGATTTCAGCACAATATTTCGCGTAGAAATAATCTTTCAGGCATTATAATGCGCCAATCAAGCATATTAACATTAATAAATTCAGTTTAGCGTTCTGTTTTCTCTTGAAAAATCAATAAATTGTTTTAAGAAATGTATAAGCAATACAGTAAAACTGTGATGCTATAATAGCACATTTACTTACATACATACAACACATATTGTTTTTGTATTTTCATATTATTCAATGAGTAAATTTGTGTTATTTTCTTTTATTACGTATACACGCTCGCCCGAGAAGTAAATGCTCGATCAAAATGTGGTGTCGTTGAAACAAACACTGAAAAACAATAGCGACGGCATCGATTTGGATGAGCGAATATTGTAAATGATAACGAATCGTCATAATCTGGTCGACTTTAATAGATTGAAATATGAAAATGTAGGCATTGAACGTAAAAAGTGAAAAAAGGCAGACATTACACACATTTTCCCTTTTTCATCATCGTCGTCGTCGCCTATATCAAATGTGATAAACAATGAAATTAACATAAACGTAGTTCAGTTACAGTTGCTGCTGTTTGGCAAGACCATGTGCACACAAACAATGAAATGAGACAACAATCACAATAATAATAATATCGCAATGGAGTGAAGCGAGAACGAAAAACAAAGCATGTAAAAACCGCTCGGCAAAAGCAATACAACGATTCGTATTTTATTCTTGGTTATGATCTCATCGCTCGACGCTCCGTTTGCATTACACACACAAAGTGAATGTGAGAACAGTTTAATACTGAAACTCTCTTTTACACATCAAAGCCTCACAAACACTCTCTCACACACACATACACACGATAATCGTACGTATATTGTGCCTATTTGAATAATCGGAATAGCTCTATACGAAACTTTGAACTGCGATTCCCAGTTTATTTTCGCGCGCGCACACAATCAAAATGATTTAAAATTTCATCGACATTTACCTCCGTGTGGATTTGTGTATTTTTTTTTCGTTCGTATATCAGCTGCGACAAACACACATACGTCAAAATGAAATGTTTATTTTTGTAAATGACAAAGTCGTCGTTGCACTCTCGCTCTTTCTTTCTCTCTTTATCTCTATCCTCATACATTTCTAGATCCAGTTTATTTATATATCTAGAAATGTTTTCGTGATTTGTTTTTAATAATCTACAAATACGATTATAACGATTTATATGTCATTTTATCGCATTACACTTTCATCGCTCTATTTGGCAAGATAACAACCGTAGAAAATTATCGAATTTCATCGAATTTTGAGATTTCGCGTGGAAATACGTCATACTGTCCCGACGAAGCGTAGATTGTTTTGTGTTTTTTTTTTTTCAAATCAGAATGAAAACGCACGGTGATCGCTTGCTCATTTTTATTATTACTCATTCCTGCGTTAGTTGTGTGATTGACTCTCAGTGTCATTTGGCATAAATGAGAAACAAGGCGCTTTCATTGTTGACACAATTGCAGATCAAGGTGATGAATATTCATTGATTTTTGTTTTGATCGCACATTGTGTTGCTCGCCCGTCAATGTGATTGGCCTAAAAGTTAAATCATCGCCCGCGTATATACTTGTCAGTTTGTGACCCCTTACAAAGCCACCTCTTTCTTTCTTCCTTGCATTCGTTGGAGTGTTTCTTTTTTCCTTTTCGATCCCCACTTTCGACTCAAGCTTGACAACGACAAACACTCGAGCTGAAGTGAGAAAACACAAAAAAAGTTCAATGGACACATTAATCGTCTACATCGACTTAACAAAATCAAATTCGTGTGTTTGAATGAACAACTTGCAAAATTACATACAAACAAAACTACGCGCGCTAGGATAAATATGAATACCGAAGTTAAATCAATGAATTACAACGATTTTGCATACACATACACACAATACAAATGAAGAAAAAAACGAAAACAGAACAAAAATTAAAATGAATTAAAATCAACTTCATGATATCACCGCCGTTTCAATGTTTAAAAATACACATGTTCCGCACCGAATATACGTGTATAATATAAATAGCATATGCCCTTTTGCGGAGATCAGCATGAATAAAATTCACGGAAATTGGACGAGAATTTCAAGAGGCTCAGAAATGTTTAATCAAACCGAAATAGAGCATGCAAAAGTTAGAACAAAAAAATATGTTGTTTGTATTCATGAAAAAAATATGACAAACTGTTGTTGTTTGTTTAGGCGAGAAAATCAATAAACAAATCTGCGGTAACAATACCGTTCGTCTATTTAATTTTTTGCAAAATGAAATGCCATTACTTTTTTGTTCAATCGCAAATTCATGCCAAACAGGCCATAAATAATTGCTAATAGCCAGTTTATAGCTTAATAATATTCCGGACGATTGTTTCATTGTTTTGTTTTTGCGTCTTTTGGAGAAACGAAACAAAATGCCACTTTGTCTTTCCACCAATCTTGGCTTGATATTCAAAGTTCATCGATGCTAGATTAAGCGATGAGCGTTTGCATTTTAATTGTCAATTTATTATGAAAGTTGATGTATGTAAAGATCACGAGGATTATTTATCATAAATTTAAAACCGCTACATGGAAAAATTCCAATCCACTAGAATAGGAAGCAAAAACAAGTCGTTTCGGTTTGTTTCTTCTGGGTGTGAGTGTGCGCTCTTTGGCGTGTATAAAACTAGTTTTGCCGCAATTTTTTGTGTGGGCATATGCATCTTTAACTTTCGTAATAAGTAAGGTATGACTAACTCTCACTTTAATTCGGTATACGATGGAAATAATCGTCATGACGTCGTGCCGATCAATTTGTATGTATTCAACTTCAAATATTTATTTAACAGTCAAATGTTGTGTTTGTTTCCCTCCTTTATCAACCCATTCAATCAATCTGGCCGAGCTACGAGTGCGGCAATATGTTTCATATGTTGATTCTATGAGCCATTACACAGTTGTTGTGTGTCCAAATGCATACAAGTTTTTTTTCCTTCTTTGTTTTTGATTTGTGTATGTGTCACTAAAATACACACATGTGGTTTTGAAAGTTAAATAGTGGGTGATTCGTCATTAGTTCCAACAGTAATTAACGCTTGAATAGCATCTGTACCAGAAATGATACATCAAACATCTAATGAACAAATTGCCATTTTTCATTTTTTTTTAAAGAAAATTCTGAGAAAAAGAAATGAATGCCAAAGATTTAAATGAACTAATGGAGAGTGTGGCTCTGTAGCACACACACAATACAAATTCTACAAAGACAAGGAATCTTGTCTGCCGAAGACAAAATGTATTTTTTCAGACAATAGATGGATGTGAAGTAATGCGACCACGGTATGCAAACACCTTTCTATTAACACTCGACTATTTGCAGAATTCAATGTAACCTGATTCGCCTTTTTTTGTTGAGCTGTTTTATGAGTTTATGATATGACAATAAAAAAAAAATCGTGCAGAAAAAAGTGTAGGTAATAAAAGTTATGTGTCACATGCATATTCTGTGAGTGCTCATGGACAAATGAAAAAAAAAAAAAAATCATAGTATTTTTTTAGGTAGATGAAGCAAAAGAAATATTGCCAATCCTTTCGGTATAATGAGCTTAACATTTTGAATTTTACATCCACATTTCGAAAATGGCAAGTCTTAACCACTCCGAAAATGGTTATATTCTTCATATTTTCTCCACATGAATTCATCACCATACTGATTTAGCATTCAAAACCAACTTTGTAAACCAGCTGTCATCACTATTTTATTATTATTGGCAAAATATTAGAATTCCTTACAATCTCTCCCACATTTTTGGAGCGTATGTTGTTCTACTTCCGAGTTAATAAAAAAACTACACATTTTTTCACGAAGAGTCATAACTTTTTTTCAAATTAAACGTCGAATTGCCCAATTCTGGCAAAAGAGTCAAAAGTCGTTCTTAAAACGTGTCGTTTCTTTCGTTTCAGAATTTGTCGGTTTTTTCGATGAAAAAATGACGAATAATAAGATTAGAATCTTCTAAGGGCAACAGTGTGGAATTGCGCAGTGTTTTATTGAAAAAAATCCAAACACGTGTTCAAAATGTGTGAAACCGATGGAAGATATAATCGATAAGACGTGTGTGACTAATTCATTCGTCATTTCGATTGACATCTTCGTTCAAATTAAAATATATTAAAATTCATTAGGCAGAGAGTAAAAATTATACATGAGATATGACTGAGTTTGAGTTTCGCTATAAAGTGCGTCTCAGTATTTGATGCGTGCGATACACACATTTGCGTGACACACACCGGCATACCTTTTCGATGAACAAATTTGTTTGTATTTTTCTTATCTTATTAACTCTGTATCATCTAATTATTGCAATATATGATCAACATTTTATGCGGAAATGAAGGTAATCGCAACGATTCGTTAAATCGTTAATTTACGAAATGGAAAAAACTGGCGATGACAACGTATTCGATCTGTCGTCATTCGATTTCAAATCGAATGAAGCAATCAATAAAAATAAACAAAGCGTTCATTTCACTGTGCATGATCACGCAACCAAACGATTGTGGATAGACAATTATAATTGAACCGTTTTTTTTTGTGTGTTCGTTTTCGTGAGTGAAACTCAAAATGAAATCATTTTCTAAAATCAATGATGATTCAATCAAATAGTCAATAGTAAATCAGTTGCTTGTTCTCGCAATCGTTTTTTTCTTTTCAGCATTTTTTTCGTCTGTAATGTCGATTTTATCGATGAGTTATGCGCGCATTTATTGAACAATCGGGCACATGGTCTTCATTTTGCAACTTTTTATGTGGTAAATAAAAAGATAATGGTTTTGCCATTTTTACGAGTAGATAAAATTGATATAACAGTAGTGTATTTGAGTATTTATTGACGGTCATAAAACAAGAAAATTTGTTTAAAATGAAGTACATTTTGTTAGTTGATGTAAACCGTTAATCATTAAGCCAACCGAATCGAATTTTGTGTACGCGCCCATATGCAAAAACTCAAGCAAATGCGCCTCGGGCCCAATCATAAAAAGGTTGACCGTTAATCATTGCATTTTAACTCTTTTTTCTTTGTATCAGTTTCTGCCGTTTTTTTTTTTGCAAACTGAATTTCCGCAATGACTTTTAAGATGTGATTTATATCGAAACCAGACAGCTTTTGTTGTTCGTTGCCTAATTGAGAGATAATATGCAAACACGAAACGACATATCTCCGTAAAGGAGAGGACAACGTGACAAGGCCTATCACAGAGCAATCATGAATTTGTTTACAACGTATTTAAATATAGTATATTCATTTTCAATAAATCGTCTCCGTAATCGCAATGTGTAATCATTATTAAAATTGATACAAAAAAAATTCCTCTGGAAAAATGATTCATATGTGTATTTTTTTTTGTGTCCATCCAAATGTTCACTCAATAATCAAAGAAAATATAAAGTTTATGGTCGGTTATGATGACGTCGACTTCTAGTGTGTGTATGATTTAAAAAAACTAGTAAATTGTGATTTAAACACTCTCATTCTAATTTGGCGTGGCAAAATATAGTAATTTGCAAGAAATAGGCATTTTTGGCGCAATGACGTGGGCTGTCTCCGTATAGTAGTTTATTCAATTTTTGTAGAAAGGAATTGATTGTAAGAACTGCGCACCACGAACTCATAGGCTTTTGACCGTGTGTGTGTGTGTTCAAGTTTTGTGGCGCAAAATATCATAAATTTGGTTAAATAAAAAGGAGATCGAATGCGAATGGCGGCTAAAGGAAAAATAAACATCAAACACTATTCATCATATCCATTTATATAAATGATAGTAATACGTATTATACACGCTCACAACAATGGGCAAAATTGGTGTTGATCCATAGTGTTTTTGCACACTATTCATACTCAATTATAATAATACGGTATCTGTTTTCAGTATTTCTACGCATTAAATTAACATTCGATTTCCATCACTAGATCAACACACATACACACTCATTGATTTCATTCACAAGCACACACACACGCTCGCACTACCTTACCAATTGAACACACAATTAAGTATTGTATGATGTCATTCGTATTTTGATTTTTGTGTTTGGTTTGGTTTCGTATATCATTTTAAGCAACGGTCTATCTGGTGGTGAACATCTTTTTGCGCCGGAAATTTGGTTGTTGTTGTTGGTATTCAAATAGCTTGTGGACATTTTGATGCGAAGAAGGAGAAAACGTGCCGTGTGGTGCACTCACTCAATTGGTCGAATGTATGAAAGTATCGCGCTTGATAAGTTGGTTCAATGACACTGAATGCTTCGTGCGCTTGCAATATGATTAATTTAAAAAAACAATTCGCCTACATGTGATAAAATGGGCTTGCAAATCAATTAGTCAAGATCCCAGCAACAAATTAATTACGTGAGATAAACGGCCTTTTAAATAGTATTTTATGTAAATTTGACATTCATTCTATTTCTCTTGGCGATAATCCTGTTTCATCTGATCAAGTGAGACGAATTTCAAAATGCTGATCAATATGGGGCCAAAATGGCTGAACACACCCGATTTTAATATGAATTCAGGTTTAAACTGCATTTTAGTCAAGTTTTTTTTGTTTATCAAAAATTTTAGGCTGCTACCAATAGGGGTCGTTAACTTCACACGCAGCGTCTAATATGAATCATCGATTTCCCGTGAAACTTCCGCAGGAACAAAGGATCAACGGTTCGTTTCGGTTGCGGTCGATAAAAACGAATCCAGTTTTTATTCCATTTCATTTTATTATTCGTTTTGTCTGTTGTATGTTTTATCTAATTGATGCTAATTCATTCGAAACGTTTTTTTTTTTTTGGTTTTTTCGTCATAGTTTTAAATGTAAAATTTAAGCGGAAAAAAAATATTAAAAAAACGACGATGAGTGTGGCATATTTAAATATTGACGCACTTTATTCTCTTTATATTTAAAATGTGACTTCAATTCCAGAACAAACAAAAAGCGGCTACATCGATTTTGTTTCTTGACTTTCCACATTCTATTTAACATTGCAATATATGGCTTTGCAGCGATAATCGTAATTGCCTCACGAATCATAGCCAACAAAGATAAGCGGCCCACATTTATAGTTCTATGGATCGTAGTACAAAGTGTTCCATTTATATATTTCACAACGATCAGATGCCATGCAAACCAAATATTTATATTACAAAAAATGCCACCGTATGAAATCGTATGTAAATTACTGCACGGTATTTTTTTCTTTCTTCTTTTATTTTTTGTCTATTCATATTTCATTTAAATTAAAGCCAAACATGACTTACGAAGCAGCTTATGATGATTAGAGTGCGCACGATGTGTAAAATTATTGCTCGTATCTTTGCACAATGATAATGACGACAACGCTTACAAAAGTCGTAAGTGATATTCACGCGTCTAATAGCACACGTCTCTGTCTACCTCAAATTCTCTCTCTTTCTCTATCTAACTGTCACTCTCCGTTCCAAAAATGACGTTGACAAAGAACATGTTTAAATAATGATGACACAATATTTTCTTTTCTCGTGCTTTTTTTCTTCTTCTTTTTCTTCTCTTCGATTTAAAAAGAAGGAGACATTTAAGTTGCAGTGTAGCCGTTACAAAGAGTCGTGAATCGGATCATTTGGGCAGCTGTTTAATTGTTTTAATCGATTGATACGTTGAACAGAGGAGTATGTACATTATACTCAATGCTAGACTTAATGTACACACATTTTTTGAGTCATATATCGTCGTCTACGTGATATTATTCATATTATAATTCAATTTATGCGCAAATTGTATAAAAAACACCGTTTTTTTTTTTCATTTCAATAAAATAAAAGAATGTGCGCAATTCGCAGAAAACTACGCGATGTTGTCATCTTCTAATTGAATCACCATTGTAAATGTATGATTCTTCCCACAAACAACCATTTCATATTTTTAGTAATATAAAACTTTCATTCAACAAATTGAGAATGTAAACAAAATCTCGTGTGTAAATAGTATTTTATTTTTGTGCGTGAGTTTCCGGATAGTTGACAAAATATCACGTTGTTGTTATTGTATTTATTATTGTAATCATCACAAAGTGAAAAACGTTTTTGTTGACGATCCCAGAAAGGGAGAAAGAACAATGAACGTGAACAGCTTGCGGACGTGCCAGAATACATTCAACAAGTGTTAACAGACATACAAAAAGAATCAGCACATATTCAATAAGGAAATGGATTGCATTGAAAAATACACAGCAAAAAGGAAGCGCATACACACACATGCACATACAAACACCACGTGTTTCCTTTTTTTGAGGTGCAGTGCGTCTGTGTGTGCAATGCAGCTAGGTCGGCGAGAACGAATATTTTGTTTTTCTTTTTACCTTATGAATTTTTGTGTATCCAGATGTTTTCGATACTTAGTAGCAACGGCCAGCGTATTCGGTCGCATTTTGATGAATAATCAATTTGGAATCCAACACACAAACAAATATCAATGGAATTTCACCAAATGAAACGTTCGATGTTGCTTCCAAATTTGATGGTTTCAATACTGTTGTGTTTTTTTTTTATTTGCGGTTCACGTTTTTTGATTAACAAAATGTCAGGAAATATCGTTATCGGTTGTTTTAATTTTCTTTCTTGCAATCGTTAACACAATATAAATAACAAAATGTCACATAAAAAAATGTTCTTCACTTTTCTTTCAAACTTGTTCGATGTTCTTTGAATGTTTTCATTCCCATTGAATTAAAAAAGAAATATTCCAAGACGTTCGTTTATGTGATGTATTTTTTTTTAGTTGCAACACTTTTTAATAACGTCCCATCAACAAATGTGGTTTTGCTGTGTTTCTTCTTTTGGTTTCGTTATAGATGGGTGAATGGATCCATCGAAGAGAGAGAGAGAGACAAAAATGGACGTTGGAGTGTTTTGCCGTGAGTGCGGTTTTAGAAATTGTCGGCAAAAATCACACAAAACCCAAAACCAATCGATGAGGTCATGCCTTGAATTAAATCACATATATGCATATAAAGAAACCTCGATCGTTGTCGAAATTAAAGCTCTCCCCATTCGATTTCGTGCGCTTGATTATGCTCGATTTCAATGTTTTTCGATCGAATTTTCAGCGCCAAATTAAACGTAAAAGTCACAAGTTTTTTTTTAATTGTCACACAAGCCGCCGTCAAACACTAATACACAATTTCAAAGTTTAGGGCTTGCACGTGAATTTACATAAATAACGATAAAATGCAATAACAATAACACGTTAGCCACAATTGTAATTTATATAAACAATGTTTTTATTATTATTCTGTTTTCCACTTTGCACTGGTGCTGGTATTTAATTTCACATTCATAATTCGCGCCTTGTGATCAAAACTATCGTAAACAATTCATCCGTTGATTGTAGATTAGATTTGGTGTGTGCTACTGCTGTTGTTCTTTTTGTGTGTGGCGTTTGACGACATCAAAACGATAATATTCAAAAAGTTTCGTATCGGTCGATGAGAAACGAAAGCAGCCTTACTATCGCATTGCGCACCAAAACAAATAATGTGTGGGTTTGTCAGTTTTGCAACGATATCGACAACTCTAATACAAGCACACATATGCCGCGCGCACATACACACATGCATAAACGATCGCGTCGTCACTCACTTGTGCAGTGATTGCTGATGCGAACAGATGGACGCAAACAAAACAAAAAAATATCCAAACACTTATCACCACTAAATAACGAGTCCGCACAAATCAATGGCCCTGTGACAGAAAAAGACGAAAAGCTGCGATTAAAATAGCACCACATGGAATATGTACGGCTATCTCTTGAGCATTCGCGTCCGTCAATGATGATGCTCAATGCGCTTTTTTATCTAAAGAAGCATTTTTTTTTTATTATTATTCGATTGTTTATCTCGCCATTCGCAAAAAAAATACTGAATGTGCTAACGGTTTGATGCGGATTAAGATGCCATTCTCATGGTACGATTGTGATCAAACGCCTTAAATCTCTGCATTTTATTATGTCACGCTTAATTTTATAAACTTTGTTTTGCAATGTGTATCGCTTTCAATGAGACTGTGTGTGGTTGTTGTTGCTGCTTTTATGAGTTGTTTGGAATGGCGCATCCTTTAACATTCAATGCAAATCGGAATCGATTGAATGTGAATCGAAATAATCGTCGTCTGTTTTTGGATCTTCTTATTTTTAACGCATAAATTAATTCGTTTGTATCAAGAGAGTTTGTTTTTTTTTTCTTTCGCTCGATCGAACCGTATTTCTTATTTTCGATTGTTTCGAGTAAATTTTTGTTATGTTTTCGGATATGATTCAAGCCCCCAAAAACTGAATCCTGCCACACATAAACACGCGTACTCAATGTAGTATATTATTATTATCTGCTTTTATTCTCTTTCGTAACTTGGCGCATTTGCCACATTCGAACGGCCAACGCAAAGTTTCACACAAATGTGCGTTGTTTCAACGCCAATCGCAAGTACATAAAATACTGAGATTTGTACATGACTCTCGCATCGTGGATATCGATTCGTTGTTCTTTCATTTTATTTCTGCTTATTTTACCAACACACAATTCGATAGCTCACTGAGCAGAACCATTTATATGAAAAAAATTGAAAAGAAATTACTCATATGTTCATTGTACGTATGGTACGGTCCGTTTTGTGTCTATGTTTGTTTCATACATCATCAGTGTTGTTTTTGCTGTTGTTTATCAATAAAAATTGTTTTCTCATCTTTACTTGGCTTTGTGCTCATTATTTATTCACGCGAATGCTCTAATCACTTTTTGGCGTAGCTAGTCGGAAATAAGTTTCCTCTTAGTTCCGTAAATATATAAACAACACACTCATTTATTTATTCACTCTAACTAAATTTCATGATCCACATTTTCCGAGTCTATGTTCCCATTTCGCTCAATTTTTGCATTTGTTACTCAATTAGATCGACACACAAAATACCAAATATCATTTGATGGCATTTGTTTGTCAATGTGATTACACCAATGTCATCGTTTCACAATCACCACTTTTTGCATCCACTCTCCAAAAAAAAAAATCGAATAATGCCAACTAAATTGCTTTAATTCGAACACAATTTTTCCTTCAAAAACAAATGCCGTATTTCTTCTCTCAAAATCGATGAGCAACGTTTTGCGCAATACAAAAAATTCTCTTTTATTTTTATATCAAAACACACACCTCACGGCGACAAGACTTGACGATAAACTGAACGCGGTTTGTACACCAAGAGAATATTGCTCATCGTCAGTCACTTTTTTTTGCTCGCTCTCTCTCTCACACTCAGTCTTCCTCTATTAATATTGTATGTTTTTAGTTGTTGTTGTTGTCGTCGAAAGTTTCCTAAGCTCAAACGTACGAAATGTATGAATGTGTCTAGTATTTACTAACTGAGTGAAATACACACACGCGGTCTTACTACTAAACTGACACTATTCGCAATGGAAACTGAATATTCGAATAATATCAAACATCCAAACACAACGTACACACACATACAATCAAATGCCGTACGTTTTGAATGCCGCCACATTTTAATCGAATCATCGCCGTATTTTAATTCAGTCCGAATTTGAATCAAAACAACAGCACACAAACGACTCGAAATGGAGTTGTGAGTAAAATAGAAATATGAAGCAGCATATTCTGACAACATGTATTTTATTTCTCTCTTCATCAGTTTCGGTGTTTGTATGTGTGCGTTGTAGGGCCCATTCACAACGAGAGAGATGTGGTTGTTGTGATTTTAACGCATGTGTAATGCTTGCCATATGAAAAAACAACGTCACAATGAAAAGCAAGTGTGTGACAGCATAACGAAATCCAGAGCGCTCACAAATACCAATCCACTTGGATTCACAAATGCATTCACATTTCTCATGCACACAAACAAGCACAAAGCGTTGAACGTAGAGTAAATGAGAGTGAGTTGTTTTCAATGCTCAATTGTACGTTATCAACAAAGCCATATAAACATGAACGGAAAAGAGAATGTAAAATAGACAGAGAGGAGAGCGCCACACTGAGAACAAAGAGTGTGTGTTTAATATAAGTTCGCGTGTACCAAACATTCATTTTTCTTCGTATTTCTCTAGTTTATTTACAAAAATATCTATAGAAGATCGTTTGACTGCGTGGGAGTTAGTCAAAAAAAAAGAAATTAATGCACAGTATGAAGATTTGTGAGTTCAGCTGTGGGCCTTGGAAAAATCGACAAGTTTTTCAAAAAAAAAAAAAACAAACGGTGAAAAACGATTGAATCGCTTTTCATCCCACTGCATTTTCCACGCCAGACTCTCGATCAATACGTAATTTGTTATTTTTCTTGTTGAATAGTATTTACCAATTCATTGCTGATTTTGAAAATGAACCGAGTTATGCAGACAACGTCCAAAAATAAACGTCAATCGGACTCGCGTAAAAACGGTCGTCACTTTTGGCAAAGATGAAAGAATTTATTTAGTTTTAGAATTCACGAATAACAAAATGAAATTCCGAATTAAATGGCACTTCTGGCTTGAAAGACTCAAATTTATGGAATGATTTACCGTTTGGTGTCTTACACTCTATTTATAAATCGTTTTGCTGTTGTCTCTTTGTTGTATATGCATCGGTCGTCGAACAATAACACCGGCAAAATTTGCTGTTGTTGTTATTATTGACGCTTTTTTTTATTTTCATTTCAGTTTTTGAGGCGGATCGATTGTATGGTTTGCATCGAGCGAAAAGTGCTGCAGCGAAACCGATTAAAACAAACTGTTTGTTTTGATTGCTGTAATCGGTGTTCTGGATCGAATTTTGCCAGCCGCTCCCAAAACATGCATCGGATATTGTCATTCCAACTCAACTGCTCACGAATATGTGGTGTTTTATTCCATTTTTCTTTTTTTAATATATCATTTGGGTTCATTGAATTCTCAATCGAAAACAGAACAGCAAAAATACCATTTTTTTTCGCTCAAAATTCTGAGCGACAAATGAAATCTTTCAAACGAAAAATCGATATTGCATTTTTCGTTTAAAAAATAAAAAACAAACAATAAAATCTTGAATGCATATTGGATTTCCATTGTGCATGCAAAGGATATATGTAAATGATTCATACAATTGTAAAAAAATAGTGTCGTTTCATGATGAGAATTATGGGGAAATGTTTGTTGGTTTCCAACATAAGCCAATGATTAAATATGCATTAACCCTATGGCCTCGCATTTATTCTCAATGAAGGTCGGCCACAATAAAAATGACGTTTTATTGAATTTTCAGACTCGATGACGCCGTATTCATGCATTCATTCATCCATACACCAAGAATGGTTATTATTTTTTCCGTACACAATATTTGAACAACAAAAAATTAAATCGATTGAGAAGTGGCAGGCCTATATACCATAGTGTCAATGTCAGTGTCACAAAACCAATTTGTTTAATAATATCTATCATTTCTATTGATTATCTACTTACAGGTATCGTTCGGTAGCTGCTGAATTTTTCATTAGTTTTATGCTCACTTTTTCACCACTTTATTGTTTCACACAATACACACAATTCGATTTGTGAATGACTAACAGAGAATCTTTTCCGTTCAGCACTAGATTTTATTGCACAATTTCACTGGCGCCATATCGTTAAAATCCAGAGAAAACATCGAAAATATCGTTGACATCATCGAATGCCAATTGGTTTTGATGCATGTCCAAATTCATACTCCCGCTGAGTGGATAAGAATAAAGTGTGTTGTTAAGCTGCTGTAGAGAAAAATAAACAAGTGAAATTGTTTTGCACATGCTTCAACAACCGCCACGCGCACACATTCTTTCCATCGTGGATGTTAACGGTTTCCATCATCAATTGTGTGCTTTCAGCTGATTCAAGTTGGAAAAAACCACTCGAAACTGTTGATTGTGTTGGAATTTGTCGCGACAATCAAAAGGAGATTTTATTCGATTGCTTCGGAAACAGTGAAATTTTAAAGAAAAACTTTGTGACAAAATTGAAATATTGTCAAATGAAAATATCCAAAGTAGAGAGCTTTTGACAGAAAATGGATTTTAAAGTTTTGATGAAATCGCCTAAAAGTAGACTTTCGTACCCAAATGAGACTAATTACATTCAATATGCGTTTTTAAATGTTCGAATATGAATGGATGACTGGCTTGTGGGCTGTGTATATCATGTGCATCGTACACATATATAGATATCGTTTGTTTGATCTCTTCGTGCCTTCGTGTGTTTTGCTGTCAAAATCCACTGTGGATGATTGTTACGTGATCGGTTTGTATGTGTTTTCTGTTTCGTTGTCGGTTATGTCTTTTAATTTGAAAAAATGCACTCACACATGCGCTCACATTCCTGTTGTTTGTCAACGAATACGCATATACATTATCATCATTTTATGAATGTTTTTTTTTTTCTGGGTCTGATTGTTACTGGCGACAATATTGTATCCAGTGTCCACATTAACATCGTTTTTTTTTTTCGTTGTTGATTAAGAATTCAAGAGATTCACATAAATCACTGCTTAATGATTGCTGCCTACCAATGCGCGTTTGTCGATGTGTGCGTTGTTACGCTGTCCAGTGAAAGTCAAATATTTTTGAATCGAACAACGCACACATTATATTGGTTAATTTTTCCGTTGTGTTCCACATTAAAAATTAATAATTAATTGTAAATGCATGCAATTATTTGAGATCAACGGCAACTCTCATGTGTGGCGGTAGATACAGGGAGGAGTGTTATGAGATGCATTGACTCTTATCTTGTGTTCGAAAAAAAAAATGTTTCTCTCATTTCAGCATTAGTTGTTTTTTTTGTCGCTTTTATTATCAATAAAAATTGAAGACATAAAAGTCTTCGTTCTCAAATGGCGAGCAATTCAAAGCTATGCGTCTGTCTCTGTCCTACAATATGTTGATTATTGAGTTTTATTACTTTTTTACATATATATGAGAGTGTGTAACACAGTATTGGGCACTTTGATTGTTGGATATGTGGTCGTGCCAGCAACAAATTGTACTGGCGCGGCTATTCTCTTCGTTTCGGTTGCGTGTGTGTCTCTTTATGGTATTGATATGTGTTGATTGTGTTGTTTTTATTTTTTTTTCCTCTTCAATCGTGCTCGCGAATACATTCCGAATGAGTGTGTTTTTGAGTGTGAGTGTTTTATTTTCGTTGTTGTTTTTTTTTCTCGCCAATCATCCAATCTTATTGCGCTCGCAGCTTAGTGTCGAAGAAAACGAATAAAAAAAAGTTGGTGCGCCGCACAAATGTGTGTTGTTTTTTTCTTCTTCTTATTTCGTCCAATTTTGGATGCAATCCAAATGGAAAGTTTTGGTCTTTTTATTTAATTCAACACATCGCCGAACTGATTCAGATGTCATTTTGTATTCATCTGTTGAGCGATAATAATTTTTTTTAATATTCGTTTCATATCTTAGAAGATATACCAAAAAGAAATCATATTTTATTGGTCTGGCACTCTGTGAGTGTATGTAATGTGTTTGTACTGTCAAATGACAAAAACATTCATCAAGTGTACATATCAAATGATATAGACAAACGATTTTTTTTTCGGTGATTTAACTTCGTTTATTTGTGCATTGTGACATTTACATGTGTGAATATTGTTGAGAGAAGTGGGACATTCAGCGGGTACAGTGTAAAAAATAATTGTGTATATACAATTCTAAATTCAATTGATTAACAAACGAACGATCATTTCAATTGAACATTCTTTGATAGACGATTTTTTTAAGTGTTCAGTGTGCCTTCTTTCTTCTACAGACGTTTAAATTTCGCATATTTTCGTTTTAATTATACTCTAGTCTTGTGCATGTAGTATGCAAGTGTGTGCCAGCTGAGAATTGGCATCGACCGCAATTTAAACAAGAAAATAAAGGATGAGTGTAATGAAAGGTGTGTGAACTCTAATTATTTATATATACGACATATAATTACATCGAAGAGTCAAAGAGATTAAAGCTGAAATCAGGAAAACTTTTTTTTATCATACTGTGGCACTGCGCGAGAAGGAGAAGAGACATTGTGGAAACAAAATAATTAGTTTATAGCAAACTTTGAGTTTAATCCGTCACAGATTCGTCAAAGTCGATGATTTCGAAACGATGATGAGGCATAATGTCACGTACATAATTAAACAATTGCCGTGTAATCATATGCCAAGTGTTGTGCAAGCTTATGAAGAAAATTACTGATAAATTGATAAGAAGTGAGGAAAGGAAAAAAGACGCGGCACAATTTTTTTTGCAATTTAGAAAATTTGCGGAGAAAAAAAGCGATGCTAATCAAATACTCGACTCGAACACTGGGTTGGGGCAGAACTCGTTCAGCTGCATTTTCTGATTGATGTTGTAACATTTTTTCTTCTTTTCATCGATTTTTGTTTTTTTATCTCACAATCGCTCATTTGGACTGGTTTCTTCTTCTTTAATTGTTGTCAGTTATCTGGAATTTGTAATATCTTGTTTGAAATTTTGTCTCATCATGACAGCGTGATATCAATATAATATTGTTTGCGCAGACTATCGATGCCGCTTCCCGAATGCAACTACAATATTTCGATTGTGTGGCTGTGTCTTTCTCTCGCTCCGTCTTTCCGTCAAAAACATTGTGAGGTCGATTCAGTGTATGATCAACAGCGTGCGCATCATGATCGAATGCCGAGAGAAATGCAAATAATAAAATAAACATTTCGAGAATAAGTTTTATTAAGTGTGCCAAATAACGACCAACAGAAGGATAAGAAGAAGAAAAAAATTGGATCAATTTAAATGAGCCACAAATTGTGTGAAGTGTTCGTAAAACTAAATTTTATTGATAGAGGAAAAAAAAGGCAACCATCATCGTCCCTTGAATTATAAAAACGAATATATCGACTGTAATTCTTATTTATATAATTTTTGTATGCATATTCATATTGTGAACATTTATATACGGTGACTTTTGACAGTTTGCACATATATAAACACACACGATCAACACCATACGTCTTCGCTGTCAGCCCATGGGTGTGTGTAAGTGTAGATATGAGACTGCAGTGAGCGAATGAGTGAAATATATGTTGAACAACGCATGTGTGAAACGATCGCGTGATTACAATAATTATCGTACGACAGTACGCAAATGCCTTAGTGAGTGTGCCTTCGATTGAGTGACGTATGAAAAATCTTCGTTTATGAAATAAACAATATTCAGTGGTGATTCTCACGTCGATCACATCGGAACAGCTCAAATATACACGTATTTACATGTGTGGTTCGGCGAGCGCAAACAGAAACCTGTTATGTATTTGTGTACAACGAAAATAAAATCGGACATGTGTGTAGTTAATGCGCCAGCTTATCAGAGAAGAAGAAGCACATAATAATAATAAAAAAAACAACAAAGCAAACTCGGTGATTGCTGCTACGTTTGTTATTATTGTTAATAATTTTTTTTCTCTTTCATTCGTACAAGAACTTCAATTTTGCCGCTCTTTTCAAACTGTTTGTTTTGAAATCGAATGAAAAGAAAAATTTTAAGAAAAAGAAAATCCGTCAGAAGAAGCAAGCAAATGTGAATATCGAGAAGAAAAAAAAATCAAACATACATGTATGAATCGAAAAAAAAAACAAACATTTTCTGAAGTTTTGTCGACTCACATAATCGCATCGAATCGATCCATACACTGTTTGACGACGTTACGAAACACAACTGCACAACATAAAATGCAACTCTTTGATTGATATATTAAGTAAGTACCTCTGGAGTAATTAAATACAAAGTTAATTGATCGATTGAACATTTTCATATATACTTAAGTCATGCATATCGCTGTTGATTTTTTTTTTTTTTTGATTTGTTTATTTGTTGTTGTGCATTTATTTGACGACGAAGAAAAGTAGTTTAACCAGACACAGTTGAATTTCCTATTTCAAAAATAGTTTTAAGATTGTCCATCCATATCACATCGTTCCATTTATACATGATGATATTTATTCATTTTTGTGCGCTTATTATTTCTCTGCAACGGATGATATAATTTTATTTTCGTTCTTCGGCCAAATGCCACATTTTGATTTCGTTTGGATTTCACACACACACTCACACAAAAAATACAACCGAAAAAATGGTTTGTCATGATGAGAAATGATGTTAGAATGTATCGATGTAAATATATGTAGAATAAAATGAAAAACGGTGACAAAAAAAGTAAATGTTAAGTGAATTAAATGATATGGCTGTTTGTGAAGTGGCTCAAACATTCTCATAGTGTTGTCATTGTATTTATTTTAAAAACCACACCGTATCAAATGGTGTGGAAGGAAACACGACGGAAAAAAGGTTAGAAAAAAGGCATAAAATTAAAATATGAAGTGTAATTTTATTTCAACGACGTTGATTATTTTTAACGCACCGTTCGAAAACGAAAGTGCCACAAATCATCGAATATACATATGTATCAATATGTGTTCAGGCATGGTATGTCTGTAACAACAATGTATGAAGAGCTTTTTGCAAAAATTCGCAAATCATCAATAAAAATATACATTTTGGTGTTTTGTTTGTCTCTCCTGTCATTTTGACGCCTGTGTCTTGTTGCCAAAAAAAAAAAAACTTAAACCCGAATTTGTGATCGCTACAAGCAAATATCGTCGTCGATTCTTTGTGTCTGCGCGCTTGAATGCGATGCAAATTTTTAATGAAAATATTTATGTTGGTGTGGACAATCTCGCACAAACGAGAGCAGAATATGAGAAGATATACACTTAATGAGCGCGATCACTTTAGCGATTACCATGTTACAAAAATACTTTTTGAGAAGTTTGGTCAGTCAAGATCATGTTAATTGCGCACGTTATTTTTCATTCACGTTTTTTCCAGAAATATAATACGATGCCAAGATAATTACCATTCATGTTCATTGAATGTGCGCAAATCTACATTTCATTCAATTCTCTCATTTGCAAACACCTGATACAGATACAGACATTAAATTAAGATATTTTCAGCCAGCCAAATCAACTCAGGCAGCGTTCAGACGATTAAATAGAACATAAATCCTGAGCTGCTTGAAATTATCTAAATATTATGTCTGGATCAGGTGTTTGTGAATGAAGATCACACTCTATGTAAATGCCTGAACATTTCTCAGCCGTTTAAAATAGAAAAACGTGAATTTTGAATTTAAAAATCTAGGTCCGGCCCGTCAAATCCCATTCATAATAATGATAATAGCAGATGCAATGATAACACGGTGTTATTAACACCGATAAGATCAAACAAATAAAATGAAACATTGTATGGAACTTAAAGTCACGAAACTCTATTTCCCAATGAGTTTTGTTTTGTATTTCTTCTTTGTTTTTTGGATTTGCTTATATTTGGAATCATTTTCTGATGACATTTTATTTGTAAATCGATTTTTACAATATGGCAAGAACGCACATTTCCACAACAGGTTTCGCATTGCAAATCACCATTTAAATGAACGTTATTTTTTTTAAAATTCAGAACTGGATATGAGCATTAACAAAAAAAAACACATGAATCATTTCCTTTTTTGCCGTTTTGGCACTGCCAAAAACGATTCAAATCGAACGCAAATCATACACATACCATATAAACTTTTCATGCACGCGTTCTGAATGCATGCATGAAAAATATGCAATTTTCAGCATAAATTTTTCCAGCACAAAATCCGAAATCGATGCGGTGTCGGAATTTTTGCATACTCGTTTCAAACTATGTAAGGCACCGACTGTGTTTTCCAATTCATTGCCAGTTGTTCGATCGGATTTTATGTGTGTTTTGTTTGTGACAAAAAGAAGTTTTTCTAATTCGCTTAAATTGCAATCAAATTGAGGAAAATGACATGCGATTTGAATGCTTTGAATTTTATATACAAAGATAAAATTAAAAAAAAAACAAATACAACAAATATGTGTTTGAACAAAATAAAAACAACACATGCATTTCATTGTGCATGTTTTTTTTTTATTCGCATCGTACTGAAATGTGTTTAACAACAAACAAATACGGATGCTAATTGTATTTTAATCAATCAGAAACAGTGAATAGAAAAAAAAAATCAATCACCTCATGTCGCCTGACAACCCTTTTTTAGCGATAAATTTCTATGTGAATAGCAAAAATTGTTTGAATTTTCCGTTTGTAGAACACACACATTGCACGCACTCACGTTTGCCCAACACAAAAGCCGATCAAGCAAATTGATACCCGATTTTCATGTGTCAATTCAATCGACAAATTTTTCGATGAAAAAAGAAACAACAACGCACATTTTTTTTTCTTTTAATTCGCAACAAGTTGCCTGTAATTTGAATTGAAAATCGCACATATTAGAATGTGGTTAATTCTAATTTGGAATGCGATTTTATTTGATTTTAATCGTTTTTCAATGATTCAACGCAACAAAAAAGTGAAATAACAACGCTCAAACCGATTATATAGTGGCTACGATTTAAGCGAGATAAAAACAATTAAACCTAATTACTTATAGCACACATTAGCTACTGTAATTTGAGTAACATTCGAAATGGAAGCGTTTTTTTTTCTAATTTGTATTTTTTTTTTTGAAGAAGTAGACCTCATCGTCAGTCATACACACATCACGGTATTCCACTTTTATGTGGCACATCAATCTTCGAAATGTGAAAAAGTATACTTTGTAATATGGAATTTAATTTTCAAATGCAACAAAGTATGGAGTCAAACATGACATTCGAACATCTCATTTCAGCGTCCAAATTCGATAATAATTATAAATCTTAAGATTTTCCCTCTTCATGATTTGATTTTTGTAATTTTCTTGATTCAACTCATATCTTTTTTTGTGTCTTATGAAAAGTGTCATGACGCGACGACAATGCATCAACAATTCCAACAGTATTCAATCAAATGCAGTGTGTTTTTCTCTTTCACATTGTTGTGATTTATGACTTGTATTAAAACAAGTTCTTCTTACGAAATCAACCAAATAACAATATATGTATATATATTGCATTTGAATATTGACTCTATGACTCGGTGTATAATATCTTAATTTCATGCACTCAAAGTGGCATCATTACCGATTTTATGATTGGCCACTTCTTTTTAATTTCAATTTTGTAATTTTTATGTATTGCAATCAAGATTACACTCACAAATTGTACACATTGGCGGTTGCAATTGAAAAGGCCACGCTCTCGCGCAACACTAATACAAGGGAAGAGAGAGACATCAGCAAGGCTAATTAGTTAGTCATTAGTCATGCTTACAATAATTACATTAACTAGTAAATCAGGAGATAAACAATGACAATGTTGTCTATATGTTGATTGAGAGGTATACTTTGTTTGTGTGTATGATACCGAGCAGGAACTTAGCGTAAATCCGTCGTCAATTCTAAGCGGACACCATTCGTGAGACAACCGTTAAAACATCAGACGTTCGATTGTAAAAATCATTTGTCGTTACAAAAAAAACAACAACAATCATATACCTTCATATATCTCAATGCAAATATTATTCCATGAATGAAACACATCTCTTTTTTTGTATCATTTTATTTACAAAATCTCGCAAACGGTTTCTTCCACTTGCTTGATTTGGTGTGCCAATTGATGAGTCGCTTGATGTGTTTTGCGTCAATGATCCTCATTTAAATTATATGGTCGTTCGATATAAATTGTGTTATTTTTAGAATTCAAAAATATGGCATTATAATAAGTTTTGACGGAATTTTTAATGATCGTATCACAGATCGTTGACTGATTCCAAAATTCGTCAATCTTAATCTTATGGTAATTATACAATGACGTTCATCGAACGTCGTGCTCACGCACCGCTGACGAGCTAGATCATTATTTGCCAAACAACAAAAAATACTTTCATATCTTTGACGTCCTGCACACAAAGCAACATGTTGTGGTCATAAAGGAGGCTATTTTAAACAAAGATTTTTCGATATTTTATTTTTTTTCGGTTTCCAATATTTTTTTGCGTAAATTCTATTCTATTTTTATGCATCAAAATATCCGCGATGTTTATTTTTGTTGATCGATCGATTTTGAATCAATGGATTTTACCAAAAAAAAACGTCATATCATTTTCTTTGACCATGAACTTCCAAAGAAAAGGTGCACTTGGTGTGACATTCCGTTGATTTCATTCGAGTAAAAATATTCCTTAGTCTTGATGACTGTCATAATTTAATCTGCGAATCGAAAGAATTCATTGTTCGATTAAAAGTACTTTAATTTCTATATATAAAAAGTAAAATTTCAAAATTGCGGATATCAAGCTATAGCTTTAACACATTGTCAATACAAAGGACTGATACTACATAAATTTAAAACAATAAAAAAAGAGATTGCTCACATTGTTTTTTCATTTAGAAAAAAGTTAACTGTTAAGTGTCGTAAATATGTCGCATTATCGAATGATAGCGAATTCTATACACACTACATATTTTTTTATATTGTAAAATTCACTTGTTTGTTGTTTTCATGATAAATGATTTATCGCTTTGTAGCGTCATATTTTATCCTGTTGTTTTTTTTTCGTGGTTCTAAGACAAAAATCATTTGTAATTCGCATGCACATAAAAAAAAAAGATATTTATTTACAAGAAAAATAAAACATAATTAACAATATGCACTCATCGTGCGCTGACTAATTCCAAGTTGTTGATTGCTTATTTCATTTTCTCTCGAAAAAACTGAACGCAAATAAACTGTTGTTCGGATTAAATTTCAGATGTACATAAAATTGCGCATTCATTTGTTTGCCACAAACGGCCATATTTCCCTATAATGCACAAATTAGTCAGCCAATTAATCATTTCAACAAAAGTTGGTTATTTTATTCTCATCGCGCCCATTTTACTAATGATATGATTAGCCGCATAATAGTGATAAATTTTTCTAAAAAATGATTTTTTTTTCCTTCTATTTTTAGACCTCACACATATACAAATGATCGCAACAGAGCAGAAAAATCGAACGGATTGTGATGTGCACAAACGCAATGAAAAAACCAATTATTAATAGTCAAATTTTCAATGAAGATTTCTTGCCATTTTCGTTAGATATATACTACGTGAAAAATTTACAAAGAAACTGTAGTCAGTTCTTGCCGAAAAGAAGACAATCAACAAAACAACTCATATCGTTAAAGTTCAAATAGACAAAATGGATTCATCGTCATCACCATCGGACAGCCTTATCGAAGAAAAGCCTCTTGCTGCGGGTATGTTTTGATTTATTTTTTATTATACCATCTTAAATCCTCTGCTCAACTCTTCGATCACGTTCATTGATCCTTATCGATTTAGTTATAAAACATAAGTAACCGTAACAATAGTGCAATCTTATCTACTTCACATACTCTTTTTTTAATTTTTGTTCCGAATGGGCTTTAGTGATCGCTTCCTTTTGAAAAGTGTGCACCATTTCTTTGTAAGTGAAACAAAGACAAGTTTGCACTCTGATAGCAAGCCGAAAAGAAGCAATAACAAAAAAATAAGCACACATCTTGTAAGTGCAATAAAAGTACTTAAACTGATATCATTCAGAAGGTATGATTGAATGCAATTTTTTTTTCCAATTCATTGTGTTGTTGCTGGACAGAGTTTATTTTTGAATTACAACAATGACTAATTTTATTTTTCTTCATTGCACACTTTCTTTGTTTTTGTGTGCAAAAAAAAAATGTGTTGATAGTTATATCGGTGGGTTCAGGCCGGTCACACCTTTGCAAAAACATATTCCGACCCAAATCTGTGAATGACCAATTGTGGCAATGAAAAATACATACATATTTTTTTATCAATATTTCAACCGTCGAATTAGTCATGCTAAAGTCTTGATTTCGCAATTTCATCATTTTAATGAAGTAGATAACAGCATTCTGTGCTCCTTGAAACACATACATGTGGGAAAAACAAAAACATTTTTTTATACCTAGATAAAGCATATCCATAAATAGAGATTGACAGTGACTGGAACTACATGAAAACAACATGCTCTTACTTCCAGCTGAATGGTTGTGTGTTTGTGTTTATTTATTCACATAAACATGAACAAGAAATGTTGCGAATAATGAAAATGAATGTAATCATCAGAATGGGATGCAATTCAGTAAAGCCTATCTCATTTTCAAGTAGAAAACATAAGCTACATTTCGGGGAACACCCAAACAAATACAAACGAAAGAAGCATTTTTATGAATAAATTATAAATTTGAAATGAAAAGATCCGTCCTAAGTAAACATGTTTATTTCTTGTTACAAATTACTTTATTGCACCCGGATTAGGACATCTTTTCAATTTCGGTTACCCTTGAATTTGCATAAAATGGAAGTGAAAAAAAAGTACTCTAGAAACTATTGTGTCTTGCAAAAAAAAAATGTTGCACATGATCGTAAAATTTCAAGAACAAAAACATATATACACACACGCTTTCAACATCTTTCGGATACGTGTGACAGTGGCATTTTGCATATTGCAAAAAAAAAATTCCATTCAATTATCGAAATTAGTTGGTCAACCATAAATGCTTCGGGCATTCTCAACAGTTCTTTGTTATTTGTTTATATCTTTAAAAAGCGTAGTTTCTCTCTCCCTCTTTCTCTCTCTGGCATGATTCTTTATTTTTAAAGTTTAAGATTGCAAATATACAATCGGTCACCGCACTGCCTATAAGTACATTCATTTCGAAGTGTTTTTTTTGTGTTTTCCTCTCTATCTCTCCCTCTTCCTCTCTCTTTCTCTCTCTATCTCTCCCTCTTCCTCTCTTTTTCTCTCTCTTTCTCTCCCATCGTGTTGTTTAAACAAAAATAAATTGTAAAATAATTACTATCGAAGGAGAAAAAAACCTTGAGTATCGATCGAGAATTGTGTATAATACGTGTCCAATAGCGCGCATTAGCGACCATACACTTTGTTTAATCGGCCGTTTTCCCAGTTTTGATATGTCAAACCAAAACAAAAATGAACGCGAAAAAAAATCTATATACTTATATATATAATAGAAATGGTTGCATGAATGCAGAAATTCGTCGTCGCACAAGCGTTTCAAACGTTGGCTATTTGAAATGTTGTTATCAATTTTGATGCATCCATAATTACAACCAAGTTGCTATGCACCGTATTCAATCTTTCTCATTCGTTTTCTTTGAAATCGAAAACTATTTCTGTGGTGGTTGGGCATGTGCATACGAATAACTTGTGCACACATAATCTGTTCGTGATGTAATTTGCATTCAACGAAAAAAAAAATCGTATCAAATAAACCGTTTCACTTCTCTCGATTGATGCCGATGCACAAGTCGAACCGAATGCAATTTGATTCTCAAGTGAAGAGAAAAAAAATGTTTTAATAGAAAATGACTGTGCATTGGGATGTTGATCGCGATTCATAACGATCAGCGATTATATATACACACACAAACCTCTCTAGCTCTCTCGCTCATCTAAGTCTTTGTTTCAAAATCATCGTCGTAAATAAATCGGTTGCAAACAAAACAGTACTGTAAATATTTTCAATTTCTATACATAGCGACAGACAGCAAGGATTATCTATAAGACACAAAAAGAAATATTGTTTTTTTTTTTTCAAGAGATATTACGAAAAATCTTCGTTGAGACGTCATACATAATATAGTTAATAGTAGTTACTAAAAGACATGTTTCCTATGTTTTCGTTTGGACATCAATTAGTGATATGTTGCACAGTGTTATTCTGATGCTATTTGTTTTGCTTTTTTTTTCAACTGTCTGGAGGCATTTTTATGGGATGCTAGTCTGCTCTCGCATCGATAACCTTATTCGGATCGCCGTATTTTATTTTATTTCCATTTTTCTGATAAATTTTTCCCTCGATTTCGAATGACTGAAAAAGAGAGCAACAAAATATGTGCAGTGCACATCGCAAGGCTCTCGCACTCTCTTGTTTATGTGTGTACAATAGACAATATTTATTAAGCGATAAACAATTGGTTCCGTCTGGAGGCTATACGCATCTTGTTGGTTTTGATTAAAACATTTGATTGGTAATTTGGCTTTGATTACAATCAAATGCACGATAACATTGTATTTAAATGGATGCTATCTTGGCAAATAGAACACTTCTGTGATTTTCTGTTCATGTGTGTAAGTGCATCAACAGATAATGAAAGTGAAAGTCGGTAAAAGCGATGATGAGTTTTACATTGAAAAATGAATTCGAAAACTGCATCAAAGGCACTTTGATAATGTTGCATTTAAAATAAGTTTCATAATATCAACTAGGTAGTGTGCATACGAGACGTAGGGAGAGAGAGATAGAGACCTTTAATTACCCACTGTAACAGCGTCATTTTTACCATTTAACAACTTATGAAACACAAGAGATGTAATTAGTTCGAGTAATACATCCGTCTTGTCCGAGATGGTTTTCATGTTGATCGTTCTTGTCGTCTCGCTTGTTCGCCAATTTTTTTCCTTCTTCACATACTGCCATGTTTACAAACAGATCATAAATGTAGGAATGTCATAAAACCCGAATATATAGCCCATAAGCAAATAAAAAATACTAAACAAAAGATATTTGCATACGATAATTCTTGCAAATATTTCGGTGTATTTTTCCAGTGTCAATGCTATAGAAATACTCCTGTTTCATTCTAGTTTCTCTAAAAAGCAAAAGCAAAACAAAAATGTATTCCAATGGAAAAGACGATTGCAAATTTGATTGAAATTCAAAGCAAGAGAAAAAAAATAGAATTTAAAAATTCCATATAAATATATTCGAATGTTGTGAATAAGCAAGTCAAAAAAGAGAAGAAGAAGCCGCCAAAACCGCTATGGTTTCAAACACTTACTACAAAAAAAAAATAGTGATAAACAGATAACTCGCATACTTCGTCCAGTTATACACAGGCACATGCACACACACAAACAAATGAAATAATGAAATGTATAGTAGGTTCGGCTGAATATCGTTTCAACCGGCCAACAAACAAACACGCTGGCGAATGTGACATACCCGAGAACTGGCAAAAAAAAAAACACAACAACAGAACGAGCTAGCGTACACTGAAGTGTCTGTGTGTATGACAGAGAGCAAGCGATAATTCGTAAACAATAACAAAATATTCAAGTCGAGCAACCAACAAACAAACACACAAACATACACTTATTCTCTTACTCTCATTTAACACCGAAACGCAATGAATGCCTGTGCTTTGGGCTAACCGTAGACTACGACGACGTTTTCGATAATTATTATTTCTTATTTATGTTCTATCGTTCCGTCGATGAACATGTCACCAACATTGTGTATCGACTGATATAAATATTTTTTTGCCGTTTGTTTTCAACACAATCGATCCTGTGAATAAAATAGCTGTGAATAAATTTTCGCCAGAACACTAAAAAAAAAAACGACCACAGTAGTACATAAAAAGATTTTCATTCGTTTCTGTTTTACATTTTAAATAAAATTACGCAAATAAATGACAGAGCAATCCGCACCACTATTGAAAACGAAAAATATTATTCCTTATTCGGTACATATTTTCAACAAAAAAATTCGACATTTTTGTTGTTATTGTTGTTCTACGTAAATTATAAATATAGATATTGTGTGTTGTTGTTTTATTTTATAAAAATAAATCGTGCATGAAGTACCGACAGACAGAGAGGGAGAGAAGAACAATTCGTGTTATTGTATTGAAAAGAAATTGATTGTGTGACAAAATCCGTCTTACGCACGCTATCGCACCAGACTATTGCACCAATTACCGAAAGATAGCCATTTTTAAGCGCACATATTTACTTTATCGCATGTCTACCGATTTTTGCGACTATTTTTGTGTTTGGTGAAATTCCGCATTTGACGGTTTGATGCAGAACAGAAACTGCACATGAAATCAGAGACTTTTTGCATAAACTGAGTAGAACGCGTTTATTCTAACCATATTTTTTTCAAGTGTTTAATTTTTTTTTGCTGATTACACCGATAAAAAGTGATTTGAAAAGGTCGTTGTTATTTACATCGTTGCGATTTGTAGATTATAAGCGATAAAAGACATTTTAAACACGACAATTTTCCAAATCGTTATGAGAAGTGATCCTATTAATTACGAATATTACGGCGAATTAAACGAAGCTTCAGCCATGATGGTTGCAAATGGTCATTCTGGGCTGCATCCAATGCACAACCCATTCAATTTGGAAGAAAACTTTTTACACATACTCGGTAAGAATAATAATTTATCAAATATCTTATTATGACTGCGCTTTCATGAAAAAAAAAACACGCACAGCGCAACAAGTGCCAATTCTCTTGACAACTGTAATCCAAACAGTTAATGTTAGATTTATAATGTGCCAAAGTAAATACGAATACGTAACGTAGATCTTTACAAGAACCAGGCGACAAAAGAATAAATCGATTTCTTTATGTAATTTTTTTGCATACGTATATCCTTCAATTTAAGAAGAAAAAAATGGTGGAGTTTGTGTTGAAAGAGCAAACATATTGGCGGTGATCTGTTGTTTTTTCGTCTCTATTGTGTATTATTTTCGCTTTTTTCCACGCATTATTTCGTAGAATACTTCATATATTTTTTTTTATTTATTTATAAACAAAACGAAGTTGTTTTGATTTAAGCCAGTATCATAATTTCCTCTCGGTCTTTATGTTGTTTTTATGCGTGCGCATTTTGCAGAGTGCGTCAATGTTTTGATTTAAATTTACACAACGATAAGATCTGGTGTGGTGTTTTGAATTTGATGCGCTAGAATCCATTGCCATCGTCGAAAGAAAACTAAGAGACGAAGATTCAAAATCTTTTTTTCGTCTGATTTCCGTTTTATTAGACTTGTCCCAGAGTCTGAGACTCTCGGTTGATAGCAGGCACATTTGCATACATTACGGTAAAAACCTTGACGTTATTTTATCTGAACTTTTTTTATGTCAACAGAACTCCGAAAATGGAAGTTTTTTCCACTTATATTCACATAACCGTAGACCGAATCTATTTTTGGAGAAAAAAAAAACTATATAAAAGTCATCTTTTTTGGGATCGAATTTATAAATGTCTTGAATAAACATGCTCTTATCGCTTGAAATCGGAAAAGTTCATCAACGAGTAAAATGGCATGGATCAACTTGCTGACTTTAAAAATATGAATAAACCTTATCTGTGCTGCATGCAAATCATGCACTCATCACTATTTTCTGACTTTCTGCATCAACAAATCAAATTCATTGAAGTTTAGTTTCTGACTTTTCAAACACATCCATTTACATAATCACTATGTAAAGGAGCACCACCACTAACAATTAAAAATAACAACATTTCACGTCATTTAGTAAAATAAGTAATATTATTCAATTTCAAACAGATTTTCTCGACATTTCGTAATCAAATCACGATTTACACTGTGGTTGCGTTTCGGAACCACAGAATTTATAACAAAAATCATATTTTTTTAATTACGCTATCACAATTTGCATATCGTTTTTAAACGTTTTTTTATTTTGAAAAGAATATTTTTAATCGTCTGATTAACGAGAGTTGCTGTAGTTTCTTATGTTATGATTGCGCAAGTAACTCGAATGACAAGTTCATATCTAAACCGTCTCATACGTCATGTTTTCATCGAAACGATGCCAGTCACACGAAAAGAAGAAGAAGCTATCGTAAATCAGTTTGAAAAAAAAAATTGTTTGTTGTCGTGAAAATGGTGCTTGGGAAATGCGGAAGACAAGAAGAAGCTAGATATATTTAAACTGTATGAGTTTTCGGTAGATTTTAAAAATGAAAATAGGCATTGGACACTTTCGCTTTCGATCAAACGTCGCTCATAAAAACCAATTCGTGTAAATATGTATGTTTTTCATGGTAAAATGATTAACGATCGGTTTTATAGCTCATACATGCATTAAATGTGACATTTCTGTATGATAAGCAAAAATTTCTGGCGATAATGAACGGTGTTTTTTTGTGTTCATCGGTTTTCTTCGTTCGGCTCCTTTCGATTTCGAAGCCAAATCACACACGTCTTGAAATTTTACCGATTTCACTTTTTTTTTTCGTTCGTCCAACACTTCAGTTCTAAAAATACATGTGACCAATTCGACGTATTCGGCCACTGTCCGTACTGGTTTTGCATTTATCGTGGCATGAAACCAAAATACCAACAAAAAAAAATCAACAAACACAAACAAAGTGTCAGAATTTGAATTCAATACTTTTGCTTCATAGTTGATGAATTTAACCTTACATGTTAACTGCGCAGAAAAGAACCTTTGATGCAATTCGCCTTTCGCTGTAATCAAGAAAAAAAAAACAACAACCACACAGGAGGACATGCGAAAAAAACAAAATATCATAAGGGAAGGCTACTGTTGTTTCCAATGAAACAAACCCATCGACACATAATAATTACTCATTCGTACTCGTGCTCGCGAGCTCGCGAGCATTCACCGTTCAATCATATGGTACAAAACAAAAACAACAAATTGATACTCGTTTACTTCGATTAACAAGAAAAAGAGCAACAATAAATGCTGAACCTTTATACCTTTGACGTCATTTAACGTCACTTACACACTTGAAATTCAGCGGCTATTTAATCCATTCATGTTTTTCTCGTCTTTTTCTCTCCATTGTTGCTGTTTTTTTTTTGTAGATTTTTAATTAGTGTTGAACTAGCTACATTTTTGTGATTAATTTTTGCGACGATTGGTCGAAATTTGTTTGTAATTTAATTACAAATCAGGAATTAACGCAATTTTTTTTAAGCGAAAACGTGTGCCAAATCGCAACCAACACAACTTTCTTTGTCCAACGCCGATTCGTCGAAAATGATTCGCAAATATGGCATAATGTTATTGTTTTTGTCACTTTTAATTCACGCACAGCATTTTGTATACAGTGTCTAGAAAACTGCCTGCCTCAGATTACGTGATATTTTCAGTTCATGAGCAAGTCAAAAGCGGTTTTTTTTTTGTTTCCACAGTGTGTGGCGATTCGACGATTAAGAAAGAAAAATAAATATCAAACTAAAAAAGTAAAAAAAAACTACTTGAAAAACTGATTTTGATTTGACAACAAAAAAGTAGTAACGCATCAACATTGATAATACATTTTTCGTATTATCAATTTCCGAGAAACGGCGCGAGACTTTTTTATTTCTCTCTCTCCCTCTCTCTCTCTCTCTCTCTTTCTTCTTTTCTCTCTCAAACATTCCATTCGAAGAGCAACAAGTTTTTTCGATTTGGAAACAATAGAGAATTGATTTAATTAAGTATATAGGAAGTTGCTCAAAACATGTTCGACTTTGCCACGAAATTTATTGATATTGTTTAAAAAAAAAAATAGAATTTATAAAACGATCGCATTTATGCACCGAATGACCCGATTTCCGAAGCCCATGAAACCCGAATTTTCGAATCTCTCGAAGAAATGTAACAAGAATGAATCATTGAATCAACACACTCTTCAATGATCGAAAGATTATGCTCATATCAGCGCTTCAGAACCTTGTGAATATTTCACAATCATCCATGTCAAAGTAAAACGTGTCCATATTTTCATTAAAATTCGTTGCGGTAAATTTCTAATTATTTAATTGGCCACATGCCACTTCATCGGAACACCAAAATGACCGTGAACGGTAACTTTTATCACCTTTAACGATTAAGTGGATCTCGGTGAAAATATTTTCATTCTTATCAATCACAAATATTTCGACAACATTTTGATAACATAAAGTGAAATTTATTTTGATTATTGACACCTGATGTATTGAAGAAGAAAAAAAACATATACATCGACCACTTTTTAAATCAAGAGTAAATGATATGATTCCATATCTCCAACTGGTGACTATTTTAATTTTGCTACTTGTCTTCGAAATCAACACTGAACATTTTATTGTTTGTAGACATATCGTCGTAATCTGCACGAGTCGCGAATCAACGTGCGCTTATCGAGAATTAATATTTATTTCTTTATTATTTTTTTTGCTAAACCACAAGATTTATTACGATAAATCAAACAAACCTGCCTTAAATGATTGCATTTAAAAAAAAAAAATTCCACTTCTTCTCATTCACCCCATTCAAGAGAAAATAAAATTCGTTCCAAATGACGCGCGCGTTAAGCGATCGAAATGGATCTGCTGCTGATTAAAAAAATTCCACACGCAGTAAAAATGCAAGATATCAAGAATGGCTGCAAGTATTTGTTTGTTTTGAAAGAAGAAGAGAGAGAGAATGTGAAAGATAGAGAGAATATGTTGTTTTCATTTTGCCATGTACAAGTATGTGACCGAGGCGGGAATCCCAAGCGAGCAATTCAAATTTATCACTATCATATAGCTAACGAGAACCAAAACAAATCTGTTGTAATACATTTGCATGTCTGCAGAGTTGAGAGGCAGAACAAAAAAAACATCCAACCAATTTAAAAATAGAAGTCCACCAAAATTGAAAAAGAAAAAAAATAATTTCTGAAACATGCAAAAAGACGATATCTAAAAAAAACCAACGAGAGAAATAAAACACGTCGTCAAAACAAAAATAAAACGAGCGCATATCATTTGATATGAAAGCAAAAGAAATAGATAGCATACACCTACATCCATTGTCGAATGTGATTGACACACAAAAAATGACGTACAATTTTGCAACACAAAACTCATTAAGAAATGATCGATATTTTCCTTTAATGTTCGCTCGAAATAATAATGATAATAAATAATTAAATTTAATGCTATTTTTAAAATTGAAATCTAAAACAAATTCTCTTCTTTTTCTCCCATCAAAATAGAAGCCGATATTCCAGTGGCCAATGAACAAAGTAATGCGTCAGTCATATTGCAAAATAATGGCAACAGCAATAACAACAACAACAGTTCTGTAATGAGCGTACAATCGCTTCAAACGTGTGCAATTTGTGGTGATCGTGCCACCGGCAAGCATTATGGTGCGTCGTCATGTGACGGTTGCAAGGGATTCTTTCGACGTAGCGTACGCAAAAATCAGTTCTACACGTGCCGGTACAGTATTGCAATTATTTTTATCACTCGTGCACCACATTCGGTTTCAAGGACAAACAAACAAAAAATAACGCGCTTTTAACCTTGTTTTCAGATTTTCACGGATTTGTGTGGTTGACAAAGACAAACGGAATCAGTGCCGTTACTGTAGATTAAGAAAATGCTTTAAAGCTGGAATGAAAAAAGAAGGTAAGTTATTCTCGTTGTGGTTTTTTTTTTCGTCATTGATCATTTTCATTCATATTTTTGTTCATATGTTGTGGTTACAGCTGTTCAAAATGAACGAGATCGAATTAGTTGCCGGCGTCAAAGTGCTGAAGATCCAGGTAAAAAAAAGCATATATAAAATAAACATAAATCGATATCAATAATAAAATGTATTTGAATGAAATACCTGGTATTTTTTTTATATGAATTTAATAGACCCAGGTAATGGTTTGGCTGTTACGTCATTGCTTAAAGCCGAAATGGAGAGTCGCCAATCGAAGGCCGGTTCAGTGTTAGAAAATGATGCAACTAATGAAGATTTGGCAAATAAACAATTAGCCAGCATCAACGATGTATGCGAATCGATGAAACAACAGCTATTAACTTTGGTTGAATGGGCCAAACACATTCCAGCTTTCAATGATCTGCAATTAGACGATCAAGTTGCTTTATTGCGCGCTCATGCCGGCGAACATTTATTGTTGGGATTATCGCGTCGGTCGATGCACCTTAAAGACGTTTTATTATTGGGTAATGATAAAATCATTACAAAACATTGCCCTGACTCACAAATTTCACCAAATTTGGATATATCACGTGTCGGTTCACGAATCATTGATGAACTGGTGCGCGGCATGAAAGATGTAAATATTGACGATTCAGAATTAGCTTGTATTAAGGCATTGGTATTTTTCGATCCACAAGCCCGTGGACTCATCGAACCACAACGCATCAAAGCGTTGCGTCATCAAATTCTCAACAATTTGGAAGATTATGTTTCAGATCGACAATATGATTCACGGTAATTTTGAAATTAGAAAATTTGAAATTTAACGACATTTGAAAGTCAGAGCTGGTATTGGCACTGCGGACCTGCACATATTCCAAATTGTTTATACCTAAAAACGAGAAAGAATATTAATAACCTTAAAAGTGCCTACCTCCGCAGTGAACAGCTCTGGTCATAAAGTGAAAGTAAAGAAACTTAAAAAAAATAATTTTAAACGATTGGTTTCAAATTTCAGAGGTCGATTCGGCGAAATTTTATTATTGTTACCCATATTGCAATCGATCACTTGGCAGATGATTGAACAGATTCAATTTGCGAAATTCTTCGGTATGGCCCATATCGATACATTGCTACAGGAAATGCTCCTAGGTGGTGAGCATACTCTCGAATTATAAAAAGAGACATACATTTTACTTTCGATTTCTTATTAATTTCAGCTGATAATTCGTCAACACCGCCAATGGTTGGTAACTTCAGCCCAGTAAATAATACAATGTGTGATCAAGTAAATACATTAGATGGTATAACGCAGGATTTAAATCCAATGACACCAGCACAACAAGTACAACAACAACAACCGTCACCGCAACATCAACCATCTCAAAATCAATTAGCCGACATGCCAAATATGGTGGACCAGATAGGTGTACCACTTCAACAAAATATTATCGATCCATATCGCAGAACAGGTAATAATCAATTGCAGTTTATCGTCCATTAAAAGTTCAATGACGATCGAAGTGTTTACTCACTTGGTTTTGAAATATGCAAATATAGTTATAAATTTTAGTTATGAAAAAAGCAACAACAACGATTAAATGGTATTTTATATTTTCTAGGTGCTGAAAATACGGAAATGTATCGTAACAGTGTGCCAAGCAATAGTTATGGGATATCAAATCTTGTGAATGGTCATCACCATGATATGCAAATGAATAACTTCGGTCAGCCAGCCGTAACCAATGGCTATAGCATGAACTTGAAACAAGAGCCCGATGTCAATTTTTGACTAAAGACAAATATCGCCGTGTGACATCGATACACACATACGAACAAACAGCAATATTCAATCACACAAACATTTTATTTTTGTACAAATAACTTCATCATTTGCTCATATTCAACAAACCACTTGGATAGCCACAAAGGCATCTTAATACGTTATTTTTTTTTTTTTTTTCAATTTTATATGATATTTTCATTTTTCTCGATTTTACGATATAAAATTACGCATGCGTTTTCTCATCATCTCAAGCAATTTATTTGGTGCTAATGTTGCCAATTTTTTTTTTATTGAACCGAATATATTAGAAGTAAACGGTGATGATAATTTTTATTAACTTTTTTTATTAGCTAAAAAAAAATCATAAAGAGAGAAATATTGTCATTAATGCATAAGCAAATGGCGGCGTTATAGAAAAATACACATGTTTAATTGTTTACGATAAAAAAAATACTAAGATATAAGTACGCCTTCCGTAGCAATCGATGAACATTTTTTTTATTGTATAATCCATACTAGTAAGTTGTTGAAGTTTTAATATTACGCTGCAAATTTAATTAAAGAATTATGTGATGGATTTTTTTCTAGTAGAACCTAAAAATTTTAAGTTACGATTAGAGAAGAATGAAAATGAAAAAAAGAATGATAAGGACATAGAGATAGGAAGAAAGAGATGGGAATGTTAACGATTACCATTATGCAATTGTTATCGCTTTGATGTTGATATTTTTTATATTGCTATTTTCTGTTATGAAGAGGTAGATTGAATTTAAGTAGTCATAGGCAAAAAGCAATCAACTTTTTTTTATATCCGGTTTCAATTTAGAGTTTATTTCGTAGTAGATAGACAAATATGTTTTTCACGACACCCGAAGCGGGATAGAAGTTCAAAAATCAAGATTTTATAGCCAAATAGAGAAATCATTAATTACCCAAGCAAAATGCTCCCTTCATTACATACAATGGGACTATTATGCTAAATTATTATTTGTCGCCAGAGTTTATTCACTACATGAAATTTTACAAACAATTATAATAAATGAGGTGTTTTGAATATAAATCAATGTGTTTATTTGTGAATAGTTTTTTCGAACCGAAAATTTTATTATCAAATGACATATCATCTCTATTTAATAAAAAAAAACATTATTTTGAAACAAAAAGAAAAGTTATTTTTGTATTTATTTACAAAATTTGTAAAAAAAAAAATATTCCATCAATCAAAATTTCGAATTCTAATAAATTACAAAACATTCTTGTGAAATATTAAAAATACATTAAAATTTGCAATTTATTGTTGTGCACCGAACAATGATTTGAATAGTTCGTTTTTTTGTTCTTCACTCCAAACGCCGGGATCATTTGGTGCCATGAAGCTAACTAATTTATTATGCACAACATATCGAATTTTTCGTCCTTTTGATGCGCGCGTATCAACGGTTTTCTTCATTTTCTTTCGTAATTTTTGTAGTTCCGAAAATTGTTTGGCCATTTCATTGGCATTGCTCGATGACGATGTTTTGTATTCAATTAATTCACGCAATTGTGTATGATAAAAATCGGTATCGTCGTACACTTCATTAGAGTATGTACATTCCTCCTGATTATTTGCATTTTCTTCATTATTTTCATCTTCGTCGTTGGCTCTGCTGTCGAATTGTTTTTTCTCAACGAATCCAGTGCTTTTATCGAAAAGTTCATAGCCACCTTTCAATAGATGCGATTTCTTAATTAATTCTTCACGATTGGCCAGCACACCCTCGATTTTCCGTAACACATCAATGTTTCCTTGTTGTTTTTGTGTTTTTATACTGCCGGGCGTGAGAACTTTCGTTCGATCGTGCCATTTTGATATCACCGAATACTGATATTCTTTGAAATTTGAATAGTCTTTCTCCAATTCGTCGGCCAATCGAGTACGTTTCGCTTCCGGATAACTTATGTCATCAATTTGAATTGGCTTTCTTTTGGCCGCTATTTCTTTTGTTTCGGTATATTGTTTCAATAACAGCGATTGCAAATTTCGCATTTGTGACACAAGCTGTGACACTTGATCTACTGTGTCCGTAGCTAATTCGGAAAATTCGGCATTTGTCGATAATTTTTCAAATTTTGATGGTTCCGGCAGGCTATTGGCTTTGATTAGCGTTTTATGTGAATGTATTCGAACCTCAAGCAGTTTTTCCCAAATTTGTAACTGATTTTGTACACAAAATCCTTTGCTTAGACTATCAACGGCTTGTGGTTTCGGCAGAATTCGGCTTAAATCTGGTTTTTCGGTTGGTTCTTTGGTTTCACGGTGTATTATATCACCGCCATCGAAATCACTTTCTTCTTCATCGCTGTTGAACTCATCCTCCTCGCCGTCAGCGTCTTCGTCATTCTCTTCATCCAATTCATCATCACTTTGTTCTTCTTCAACTTCTTCACCTTCGTAATCATCGTCCCATTTTTCCAATTCGTCATTTCCATTTGCGGCAATTTCACCATCACTCTCGCTTTCTTCGACAATGGCTGATTTTGACTTTTTTAGTTTAGAGGCGAATGCTTTCAAATTGGCTTCATCATCCGACGACTCGGCACTTTCGATTTCATTTTCTTCTTCACTGCCAACAGTTTGCTGGGCCATTTTTATGCGCTGTCTTGGTGTTAGCATCATTGAAAATTCATCAATCGATTTTTCCGTTGATTTGTCTTCCTCTTCTTCTTCTTCTTCTTCTTCTACTTGTTCATCTTCGGCGGATTCGTCTCCTTCTTCTTCGACAAATTCATCACTTTCATTCGAATCCATATCGAAATCTTTCCGTGAAGCCACTTTTCCTCGATACTTTGCATCAACATCTGCCAATAATTTCACATTTTTCTTTCGAAAATCACTGAGTGCTGAAATCGGTTCATTGTCATCATCGAGATCATAGTCAAAAGCACGAGCTGTTGTTTCGTCTTCTGAATCGACCTCTGGATCCAACAATTGACGTGGTGTATACAATTCAGCAATTTTATCCGCTAAAATGGGTTTCTCCTTCTTTTTCGACATTATTTATACTTTTGAAATCACCAAAAAACTCAAAAAAAAAAAAGATTTGTAAAGTCCAACGAAATGTAAAAAATCAATTGACTAATACACAAAACACACACGTGCAACAATGATAATGTGAAATGTCACTTTTGACATAATGCATGGGCTCATTCACAATAGTACGTACATGACACATTTGACACATGTGCTTCAACTGTGAACGGGCATTCATTCAGCCTTTTGACAGGAGAAATATGTAATGTTTTTTTTTTTGCGTCATATTTATTTACTAAAAATTATACTCCTACATAAATAAGGCTGTGTGAATCCATACGTTGGATTTAAAACATTTTATTTACCATTTGTAGAGCAGATTTTTAGTTTTTAAGTGTTTATCATAAAAAATATGACAGATGATAGTACAAAGAGTGACAAAACCAATATATCCAATTCAAATCAGTGAGTTTACTTCCTTGTTCACCTTTACTCTATCAAATCAAATCGAATATTTTATGTTGTTGATTTTTTTTCTTCTTCTTCACAGGGGTCTTACAACAGAATTAACCATGCCAATACAAATGGCTGGTAATAATCAGCTATCGAGCAGTCTTTCATCGAATGGAAAACGAAAAAGTGCATTTTCTTTGTATAAACCAACCGCAACTGTATTAACAAATTTACAGCGAGGAAATACCGAAGCGAGTGTTCAGGCTGAAATCTCACTAAATTTTCATGAACGATGCGGCCAAGGAGAAATAACGGAGATTCAGGCACGACAATTACAGAATATCGACGAAATAGATAAGAATAATTTGACAGGATTGCATTGGGCATGTTTCTATGGACAATTGAGTGCAGTTAAAATTCTCATAAATTGTGGTGCAAATGTATCGAAACTGACACATGATCATGTATCACCTTTATTATTAGCAGCGGCCGGTGGTCATCATGAGATTGTTAAATTACTTCTTCAGAACGGATGCGATCCAGATCAAACTGATATCGTGAGTATTATAATATAGATGGAGCGTAATAGTAGATGACCTTCAATAGTAAAAGATTAATAAAAAAATACGTTTCTCTTGTTCGCTAGGTGGGGAATAATGCTTTGATGTTTGCCGCAGCTGGGAATCATCCACATACGTGCCATGAATTGCTTAATTATAAACCAAATATATTTCAAACGAATGAGTATGATGATACTGCCTACAGCCTAGCGGTTCAAAATAACGCGAGCCTAGCTCAAGCCGTTATCGAGAATCATGTTGTTTCACTACTTACCTCTTAAATTTAAGCACACTACCTCTTTAAATGTAAATTATAATTGTTTTTGTCTTAAAGCGAAGAACAAGAAAATCAAATCAATCTTTGTAAAAATTGTGACCAGAGTAATATTTTTGTATGTGTTTGAAATACATTGACGTAAATCATTAATAAAAATCTAGTTTTATTGTTTTTATGACAATATAAATTACCAAACAATATAAGATAAGATAGTATTAAGTACTTGATGATGTTTACATAACTTTTTTAACAAATTCAATTAAAATTATAATTTTAATCCGTACTTCCCCTTTCTATATTGCTTTACTTGCTGTTGATGTGGTTTATTATCATCAAAGTTGTTCAGTTGATCGGTTTGTTTTTATAGGCAGAAAAAAATGGAAAAGAATGTGCCTGAGCGAAATATTTCATCAAGAAAGGTGTTTGAACTGGTTTTTAATATATTGAATCATATTAGCATAGTGACTGTTGCGATCCATGCAACATACTACTGTTATCTCATGTATATGTCAGGCAAATTGAGGACACAATATCATATGCATGTATGGTTCTGCACGATTGGTGTAAGTAATTTTTTTTCATCAAAAAAATTATATGATATTCGAATTTCGAAAAAGAATTTTCAAAAAAAAAATTGTATCGCATTTTATTTTAAAAAAATTTTTAGTATCAATTGTTAATGGCTGAATCGATTTTGACACTATATTCAAACAATTATTGGTCATTAATCTTTACACCGAAAACAAAACGAAATGTTCATTGGATTCTTCAAGTGGTTGGTTCTGCCATGGCTATTTTCGGCTCAGTTATTTTTTATTTGGTCCGGAAGTTTCATTTTATGCGTCTTCATTCAATTCTTGGCCTGATCTCATTGATATTGGTTGTAATCTCCGGTTTTAATGGAATTTCAGCACTTTGGTCATATGAAATTTTCAAAAAATATCGCATACGACCTGTTATTTTGAAGATTTTTCACAATTTCATTGGCATTTCCGCTTTTGTTGTGGGTGAGTGATCGTTTTTTCTAATTTGATTGAAACTTAAATATATTCGTCGTGCCAAGTTTAACTTCAGACTCCATAATGGCAGATAATAATCGAAGTGATTCGGTTAATTTTTTCTCATTTATGGCGGCTGGGGCGGTATTGGCAAATGACTCGGTTTGTGTCTTGAAATTATATGAATAAATGAACAAAAACTATAAAGAAAAATCATAAAAAAGCAAATTAAAACACATACTTCGTCATCTTTATATTCCTGTACATTTGTTGATTTATGTTCCATTTTGTTAATTGGATCGGTTTGGGTTGGAATCGGAATTGCTTTGTCATAAACTCTAAATTAAAATTATTAATTAAATCTTGTTAGAACAATAAAAAAAAAATATTTTTTTTTTCATTTCCGACATTTTTAGTTTTGCTAATACCTTTCTAAGCTCCAAGTCGATTCAAATTCCACAACTTTATTTTTACACACCGAAAATTGTGGCAAATCTTCAATTTTTGCACTCATTTTTAATGGTTTTTAAAATAATTTAAAAAGCGTGTACGCTTTGTGATTTTTTTTCGTGTTATATTTTTGGGGTTTTGTGTTTGACATCATTTCAATAGTGTTTTGTTTATATTTTTCGTTGCCAAGCAACCAGTTTGTGAACAAAACAAGTATGTTATTGCATTTTATTATTTTGTAGGAATGGCAAGTCTTTACTATGGACACGACTACCAGTATTTCGGCAGATTGGATGGAACAGATATTGACTTCTCCCCTTGGCTGCAAGCGATAGTAATTCTTACAACAACACTATCTCTGACTGGAGCCGTCATTGCGTTTTACGGCCAATTCAAATCTATTACCGGCTTATAAAATATTTTATCCGTAAAAATATTAAATTTGGCAGATAAAAAATGTTCAACTCTTTTGTATCAAAGATCGACTTGGATCTTATCTCAATTTTTAAAAACAATAACCAAATTGTAAATTATCTGCCTTTGATCGTGACACAATGTAATAAAGGACTTTTTATTCATTAATTGAGTGCAATAATCATGCACGTAATCATTATCTAGATATCACTGATTTCTTTCCCAGCTGATCGTCGGGGTTATCTAAAATGAGTATTTCAGGGTAATAATTCCGAACATACACACTATATGTGATGTGTAGCTGATACCATTGATAATAATAAAGTCTTATCGATATTTTACGGTTCAGAAACTTACGCGATAAAAATTACGTGACCATTGCAACGATGTGACTGATATGCACATTTTATCGCCAACTTAAAAAGATTGAAATTAATATAAATAGTAAAATAGAACTACCGGGGGATTTTGCTACTTTGAATAATAATGGCTTCTGACGGAGGCAATTCAAGGGAAGGGAAAAAGGGGGCATTTGGTTGTAATTTTCAAAAAATGTAAGGGAATAAGTTGATTTATTTTGTTTTAAAACCCTAGCAAATCGAAAGATTTTTCTCTCGTCAAAATCATTTGCAATTTTCAAGAATTCCAGTCCGAATCATAAATTTGTTCTCCAGAGTGGGGGATTTAATCCGACCCCTCGTACCCCTGCTCAAAAGCTGTGATAATAATAGTAATTGGCGACATTAAAAAAATTTCCTCGGAAAAAGGCGCTAATGATAACACGCCGTTAAAACTCATACATTTTTGTGGTATTTACACAAGCGTGCATATAAAAAATAGGCACATATTACAAATTCACAGTTGAAAATTGTCTAAATTAGTAGATAAGAAGCGCTTTTGATATATATTTATTAAAAATTATCTAAAAACCTACAGGAATTATACATCCGGCGATGACTGTATGCGCAAACAGTTTGAATCATGTTCAAAAGAAATTCGTTAGCAAACAACTTGAACGGCGTACATTGTTCAATCTTTTTTTTTATTAAGCGCATTTCGGTTTTTATTTGTGCAAACGTAAACCATATAAACACTCAGTTTTAATCACTTGAACGGCTTTGAGCCGAACGGTTGTGTTTATCACATTACTGAAAGTGCTGTTCAATTTCAGTGTTGAATTTATTTTCTCGAGAATTGAAAAATTAATAAAAGCAGACAAAAATTGAAATATTTATTTTCACAAAACAATTTGAATTTTTGTTGATACCAAATAATTGACTGATTTGTCGCAAAAATATATTTAAGGTGCTTCAAAATGCTCAAAACAGATACAATGCCTCGCAGTGCTTGGCAAAAAATACAAACGTATTTAAATGTTCTAAATCATGTGATGATTTCGATTGTGGCTGTATATATGACTTTTTTGTGTTATAATGCTGGAAATAGAGCGATCAGCTGGCATGCGTGGCTGTGCACACTTGGTGTAAGTTTTTTGTTTTGTTTTTGACAAATAAAGTTAAAAAAAAAACATAATTGTTGTAAAAAATATTGAGTTTTTGTCTCTTTGGAAAAAAAATGCAGTATCAATTGTTGATGACACAATCGATTTTAGCATTTTATTCAGAAAATGTATGGTCAAAAGAACATAAAAGACAAACCCAAAAAAAACTCCATTGGGTTCTACAAGCCGTCGGCTCATCGGCTGCCATCGTTGGAATGATTGTTGAATACATTGGACGAAGTCAAAAATTGAAATCACATTTTTCGAGTACACATTCGATCATCGGTTTGATTGCAGGCATCTGGACGTTAACTGGAATGTTCAACGGCATTTTTGCTCTATGGGCTGTCGAATTGAAAAAATATTTTCGACCCATCTATCTCAAACTTGCACATAATTTAAACGGGCTCATAGCATTTGTGTTGGGTAAGTTATTCATTGAAATAAAGAAATTTTTGTATTAACGGAATGAATGTTTGTTTAGGTATGACAAGTCTTTACTTTGGATATGATAAGGGATTCATGAAATTAAATTCACGTGAAGATATTCGTTTGTGGTTACAGGCATTGGCAATTATAACGATCCTCTTGTCGTTGGTTGGTGCCATACGCTCTTCACTCCATTTAATACGTGTTGCGTTTTTTAAATAATTTCAAATGATGTAAAATTGTATAAAATCCATTCGAAATACATAAATTGAATAACAAATTCAGTCACTGGGAAAATACATTTAAATTTCACTGATAAGCTATTTTGAACTGCAAATAAAAAAATCTACTGGATTTTATTTTGCCTTTACTAACAACGCTAATTGATTGATAACAAATGTGTCGACTTCGCATGAGATTAAATCTCGAATAAACATTTGCATAGTAGTAACGATATCGCTCTTCGTTGAATCCTCTTGTGATGTTGTAAATCTACATACTTTCTCTGGATAATGCCATAAAGAAGGAATATTCAATGAAAAATGGCAAAAAATGGATTCATTGGCAACGTAACAAACAAGTCGCTCAATGAAAAATGTCATTTATTGTCACTTGATAACCTTTCGGATATCACTCAATCAATTTTGATGCTTATATGCTTTTAGCCAAGACACGGCATTCAGAAAAGACGTTGACAACAGCGCTGTACAGCGATTGTCAGACGAACTATCAAACTCATTGCTGCTAGTACAAATTTGTGCCATTTTAAAATGCCATGAACTTGGCTACTTTGCCCAAGCTGACTGTTTTTTTTATTTTGAATTCTTTGTTCTACTCTTTCTCAAACTTTTTGAATTCATGGAACCATTGTTGAGATTATAGTCTTTTTGTCGAATTTTTTAATATTTAAGAATTGAAAATAGCTTTTTAACATTTGCGATAAATAGTGAATATGTGAAAAAATTCTTAAATATTTTTTTTACAAAGTCTAGATATAAATGACTCAGGTCGATAAATCTGAATGAAACAGGGTGTTCTTTCGATCGTGGTTAATAAATTTGACCGTTTCCCTTTGATTTTATTGAATTCGTGATGAGAATTTGAATTTTGCGGTTATCATTAGGCATCCATGATGGTCGCTGATATGACAGATCGATCTGTCAGCGGTCCTTGTTTGGTTCGTTTACATCTAAAGCGGTGGTATTTTTATGTTTCTTTCCATTTTTCGGTTTGTTTTTTTTTCTGGTGTGATTCAAAACAAAAATGTAAGTATTTTGTAATTCATGATTTGTTCTATTCAAATTAAATGAAGTGATGTCGATCAGAAGTGTTTTGATGTGAAAATTCATCAATTGAAATACTACATGTGACTAATGATGTGGATCGGCATTTTTTGTTTTCGTGGAGTTTCTCGTTGTTTTAATTTTGTTAATGAATTTTCTATGCACTTTAATAATTGATATTTCTTAGGTCAGATCGTTTTGCTATTCTAAAAATTCGTGATTCCAATGGAAACGATCGTTTATCGTCCGTTAGATTAAGTCCCGATGAAGATGTCGTGAGTTTGTTGAGCGTTGACGGTACACATTTGTGGGGTAATTTACCTTTTTAACTCTATTTTTTTTCTTAAAACTAATTTTTTTGCTTTTTACTTCATTTTAGGCGAACCAATTTTCAGCCGACCACAGAATGCTGGTTCGAATTTAATGATTAATGCACATTTGAATGCCAATCCGAATTTGTCTGATGCTGTAGCTGGACTTAGTGATACTTCGAGTGCTGATTTGGGTACCAAGACAGCCAATGACTCAGGTAAATATTGAAATGGTGTTGGCGGCGTTCTTTAATTCGTTAATTGTTTTCTTTTTGTTTTTGGTTTAAAAAAAAGATCGTATTGTGAAGCGTCGAAAACGGGGATGCGGTATTGATCTAGATCCAAATTTAATTGGAACTGGCCGGCCAATTCGAAGCGGTGAACGGAATCCGGCAGAAAGTAAGTATTTTCTATTATAGTTTCGATTGGTGTTTGTATGAATATTGAATAAACAGGCAGTTTTTTTAATTTGTCTCTCACTCACTCACAGCGATGAGGAAAATTACGAAAGAATACAATAAGCGTAATCTGATGGCTGAAATGGAATCTTTGAAGTTATATCAACGTAAGAAAGAACGAGCTGCCATACGGGCGATTTCCCGAAATGTAGATGCTAGTGATGGGGCGAGTACACCTGAAATTAGTGATCATGTCGGAGTCTGTACATCTCTCAGTCCGAAAATAGAAATAGAAGAAGATATCTGGTACAGTTACTGAATCGGCTAGTTCGTCTTGGCGTTTAAAAAGAAAGATCAAGGCGACAAAGTAAGCGTCTAACTAATTTTGTACAATAAAAGAAAATAAAGTTAAATAAAATATATCAATTGCTATTGATAACTTGATTATTCCGTTTATCGTAATCAAATGTGTTTTTCTTTCTCGCGTAGCTTTCTTGAGTTTTGTATTTTCGAGATAGGTTTTGGTTGTTCAAACTTTGTCCAAGATTTGATCATTGCAAACGGTACTCCTTAGTAAAAATAAAATTATGGATTTTTCTGGAAAATTATGACATTTATTCTTCTCACGTGTCTTTTCAAAACTAGCATGTACAGTTGTACACCAGTGTCATATGTACAGTAACAGAGGATGAGAAATACTGCGAAAGAATCAAGGAATTATACACATCCACAGACATTGTGTTTGATATGTTGAGTGTTGAATTGTTTGTGTCTAAGTCGAATCATGTTCTCTGTATTTAGTAAATATGCAGACTGAACAACAAAATAAAATAAAGACTTTTTCTGTGTAGAGTATCAAAACCGTCAAAATTCGTACATGCTTTTGTAAATGTATTTCCACCAATACAATAAAAGCTATAAATGGAAAAAACGACTCACTTGTTTATAATTAATTGGAACTTCACACGCCACCCTTAATAACTGTTATGTGACTAAAGCAATAGGAAATAATGAAAATGTGCAATAAACTCCATTTTTAATTGTAAATTGATCTTTATTTAAAAAAAGAATACATACTCGTATTAAATCAAATCAAAACAATTTTAGATAGTGCACAGACAAATTAAATCAATTTTTGAATTTACGTATTGCAGGCTTTTATGACACCTGAAAATGCATTCTCATTTCAATGGCTTAAAAATATTATGAAAAATGAATGGATGATGAAACCGGTGTCTGTGTATTCAAAAGAAGATCTGGAATCGAAACAAAACTTTAGCATTGATATAATTGTCGATCTTGTTGTCATTACCCACGATCACTGGTCCATGTTGTAGCGGTAACTTGATGAAATTTGAAATCTCTTAAAATCAATTGCTTAAGTTCGAATGGATGGCTTATATATTAAACGATTATAATCTTAATGCTGGTGGTGAAAACGGTATTATATTTTTATGTTGATTTCTGAATTAGTCTACCAATTGAATACGAAAAATAAACAGATCACGACAGTCATTTTATTTATTTGTTAAAATGTTAGTTTTGCAACGACAACCGAGACAATACTTTATGCTTTAATTAAATACGGGCACAATTTGCAAACCATTCGAAAGTTCTTTCATCCATTGCATCTCTCATTCAATCTATCGGAAGATTTATTTGATTTTTTTTAATAAAATAAATTAATGTTCTCCACAAAATCGAAAAAAAAACCGCTTCAGTAGCCCAGAAGAACGGCTTCTTTGCAGGACGCACAGCAATTTTCGATATAATATTCATAGGTGCATAATTTTGCTTTTACTACCGACATACAGTTTTTATAACGATCTTCACACTCTGAAAAATAATGAAATGGCTCGTTTTTAATTTTTATAAAAAAAGCAAAAGACATTTTGTTACGAAAATAGGCTTACTTGGTGTACTGTCATTTTGAATGAGCCGAACTTTTGGTTCAATATGTTTTTTTGTTGGTACAATAACTTTCGGAGCCTCAGTCGCTTCTTCCAATTCAGATGATTTTCCATCGCATTCATGTGTGTTGCAACTTCTAAACGCTGGTGTTCGTTCGATATAACGGCATTTATCTGAATCCTTTAATAGCGTCTCTTTCACATCTGGCTCGAAACATTTTACAACTCGCCGTTGAGTGCCGGAACCACAGCTTCGGGAACACTGAAAATTCGTTATGAAATTTAATATTGCGAAATTGACTTAATCAACAAAATGTTACCTCCGTCCATTCAGAGTAATGCCATTTTGGTTTGCAATAAGATACATCTTTCTGCTCACATTTTTCAATTGTAATTGGTTTTGTTGTACTTTCCACATTGTTTGAATCGACACACATCGAATCGCCCACAATTTGATCGTCTTTAATGCATAAAACCGAACGAGATCGCATCAAATTGAAACAATCGCCAAAGCAATTGCTCCATGGGCCAATAAACCAATCGCCAACATTGCAGCGAGCCGTTTCCGTGCATGATCTGGTTGTGTCTGGAGTTAGACTAATGTCGCATCGATCATTTTTCGGTGAACGATCGCAGAATATTGAACGGTATTGAGTTCCTTCACCACATTTCGTTGAGCACTGCAGGCGAAAGAATAAAAAGTGTCATGTATGTGTATCATTTCGACATATTTATGGGTTACCTGTTCACTCCAATCACTCGCGATCCACACCCCAGGTTTTCGACCTTCCAAAACATGAGCTCGCTTTCCAATCGTTGAATTTCCAATCAATGTAATTGGCTGTGAATGATGGTGGTGATGATGACCTTTATCCTTTCCTTTGTGGGAATGACGATAATATGTGGTTTGTTGTTTTGGACAATTGCACTCTTGACGCGTATCCGGTTGCTTTTCAACACAAGCACCTTCATTCACGTGAATTACAATGCCAGAGCCCAATTCTTGAACGCATTTTATCTCTCTGGTTTGATAATCATTTTCATTGGGTAAACCACAGTTACAAGCACTCCATTCGTCAACTTTCCAAAATGCTGGACATGGTTGAGTGTTACAACGAAGTATATTTTCATTTAAATTTGGTTTCGCTTGATTAGCGCACCGTTTGTGATTGAAGAATTTTGATGTGCCTTCACGAACGCAACGAATAATTGGTGACAATGTTCCACCACCGCAAGTTTTTGAACATGTTGAAAAGCTTACAACACGCCAACTGTACGTGTGTTTTTTCTTTCGTTTTTCGCTTTCAGTTTGTTTTGTTTCAGCATCCGGGGGCATATCGGCTTCCATTTCAACACTACGTGGCATTTCATCAATAGTTGACGAAGAAGATGATGATGGTGGATTTACAGGAATCAAATACTCATATTTTATTCCCGGATTTTTACTTTGACTCAATACCTGAGTGTGGAAAACAAAATATCGAAAAAAATTAATGAAAATGTTTCGTTTAAATCAAGAGAATGTTTCATGATCTTTCTTAAAGTCACATACCATCAAATGAACGGCTTCTCTGATTGGACCTGTTGCCGTAATCCTTTAAAATGAAAAAAAGACCATTAAATAAATTGTTCAAAAATAAAGGCGACATTTCTTTTGAATTACCATTCGGTAACACCCTCTGAATTTTCATCGCTAGTCTCAATTGCGTCGTCAATGCGGCGATAGTCAAATACAGCACCGGCTGCTCTGTATACACCGCTATCCGATATGATATTGTCTCCATTGATGATAAACGAATGATCACGCTTCAACACTGCGAAATTAAGCCGTAAAAAATATTGTATGAACACCGTTTTGTTTTATTGGTCAACATTTTATGGCTGTTTTGTGCAGTAGTGAACAGAATATCACTTAATTAACTGAAATAAATATTTTGTCATCGCAATTGGCCTATATATTGTTAGGTGATAAAGCTATCATATTTTGCTTGTTATTTTTGATCGTAAAATGCGTCTGTAATAAAATGTTTTTATAAACGCGCCCATATAAACGCAAACCGATTAAAAGTGTATAGTCATTGGATGTGCGAATAAGAGTTACTTTGTTCTTAAAACTAATTTCAGTGGACACATCAAAACGTATGTCACCATTTCTTTCACATTTTATTCAACCTATAAAAACATCGTAATTCTTACATTTTTGTTTTCATTTCTTTTTGTGGTGAGAGACTACACAAAGTATACGCTCGCATTCATACAAAGCACTCTCTGCTTACGTATACGAATAAAATCAAAATGTTCAAATATAATTGGGCGATTTATATGCACGCAAATTGAAACAATCCAAGGCGATGGTGATATATGAGAGTGTTATGCAAATTGAGCAAGATAAAATACGATTGAAAAATCGAAAACATTTTAACAAAATTGACAGATTTATCGATAAGAAATCAGTTTACATAAATGGCTCTATAAATTTGTGATGTCTACTGGATTGATTTGTCCACTTATCTCGATTTGTTGAAAGGCTTTTATCATTAATTTTTTGGAAAATGAATAATGAACACATTTTTTTCACTGTAAACACGTTTTTTTTTTTTCAAAAACTGATTCTTACCCAAATAGTTTTCGCTATTTTTAAGCTCGAGAATTGAAATATTTGAGGCTCCGGCCGGAATGGTCACGATGTCATAGTAACCAATTGGTAATGGATTTTCGGTGAATGTTTTGCTAACTTGGTTACAAACGGTGCTTCCGCATCGAACAGCCCCATTGTTCATGAACGCCCCGGTTAATATTCCACTGTTGTGAATGGCCTATTAAAATTTATAAATCGAATTATTTTCATTAAAAAATTCCTTATCATGAACCAACTCCTTATGATATGTTCTCTTGTGAAACTCACCAGGCAAACGAATAGAATGGCAAATAAATGCATGTTGGATTATATATTTATTTGATATTGCAAGTAAGCAAGTATCATTTGCTTGTATTTGTGAGATAAACGGCGTTGTTTTTTGTTTAATGAAATGTTGAATCATCAACTGCAAAAGTGAAATCAAGTAGATGTGATAATTAGCACATTTGGTTTTCTATTATCAAGTATGGCAAACATTTTCAACAATTTCGGCTTCGATCAAACAAATTTTCTATTCGAATTTTGAAACACTTGAGCATCTATATTAAACAACATTCGATGAACGCATCATATTTCGACAGAACAAGTATTAATCTCAATTAGATGCATTTAATGGATTTCGACACCATCGAATAAACTGTGTGGAGTTTCTTATCTCATGAGCTAATGGGCGAAATTTTTGATGAAATTTCTGTTTTGATATGTGTTTTTTTTTCTTAGAAAAAAGTACTTATATTTCGAAGAAAACATTTCTTATTTAAGTAAAAAAAAAAAACAGATAAAAAGAGATGTTTCATAGACCATATATATAGAATTTGGGGAAATCCCAAATTCATGCGCATCAAATTTCGAGCGAAATCCCCACCAACGAAAGAAAAAAAAATTCCCATTTTAGAGGAAAAAAGATAAATTTCTCTTTTGTTTCAAATCAACATGGTCTTGGTATTATTGACTGGCTTTTAAATTCATCAAATTTGCCAATAGTGCAGGCGGTTTTGATCTTGTCGAATCAATTAAGTGCGATTGAATTCTACAAGAATCCAGTGAATGCACTTTGCAGCATGTCCATATTCCATATGGCCGTGTTATGATCATTTATCTGACTTAATGCGTGCGTGTTTTATTTTTCTCGTTACGAAATTTGAAGCGAGGAACAGAAGCATGTTGTTTCTGTGATTTATATGAATCATATCACATCAAAAGTGCCGACGTTGATAACACATACGCATATTTTTAAATTTAAATTTAACAAATTAGATTGTCAGAGAAAATTTAAAGTGACAGAAGCACGTTCGCGAGAAGAATAATGGATATTTGATAAAGAATAGCAAGAGATTCATGTTGTCGCCACCCATAATTCGCGATGAATTATTATTGCTCAGCATGATGAAAAAAAAAAATGAATGACATAGTTTTCAATCAAGCATATCACATTTTGAATGTAAAGAATGTAGGCATCTTAACTGAGTTGGACCATTGCCAAAATTAATCACAATTCCATTGTTCTTTATTGTTTTCATCTCTCTTTCTTTCTTTCTCCGTCTCTCGCTCTTGTTTATTGTTCGCGAGCTGTTTCGGTTATCGCAGTGTCTGTCAGATCGGGTAAACAATTTTAGCGTTAAGTGTGAAATCATAAATATAAATACGTTCAAGCAAATACGGAAAATGCCTTGATAGTGTGCAAATAAGTTTGGAATGTTGTCACAGAGCATATGACGTATTTAGACAGGATAAACATGTGCTAATGCTGTTGATTTTCGCATAAGTTTTTCGCTTCATTTTCTCAAAATTTGTTTCATTGAATGCTTTGGAACTAAATTGAATTTATTCACACAAAAAAAAACTTTGAAAAATATTGACTTTCGTCATTCAAACAAATATCTAACGCATTTAAATTAATTAAATTCAAAACGAAAACCACAAACCGCTGCGATTTTAACTAAAGAGAAAGAAAAGCAGGCGACTATATTTTATCTTAATTATGAGGTTTTCGTGGCGCTCAATGCATTAGTATACAACTGCTTCATTGGCAAAATAGTTTTGAAATGACCAATCGAACTTGTATAATTTTTTGTATGTTCAAGTCTTCACTTTTTTTTGCGCTATTCTTTACGGGAATTTCGCAAGAAGTGAAAATATTTGGACGGAAATTCGTAGCAACAGCAAAAATATTGAAAATTAAATCTAGTCTAAATTGATGATTGTTTTGGATGGTGTGTGCGTCATACAGAGCAATAGTTTATCGTTTAACGTTTACAGACATTGGTCATGCTGATTGATTTCCAACTAATTTACTGATGTCCGGCCGTTCTAAATATATATGAAATGGAAAAAAGTGAATTCAGTTTTCAAACCAGTGCAGAAAATTGGCGTCATTGATTCAATATGATTGTTTCTATTTTTCTGATTCGTGACAGTGATGAGTTTTTTTTTCTCAACATTTTGTTATTTAATTTTTCGAATTAGATATATTTTTATTACAAAACGACTTATATATTTTATGACATATCTGCGTGGTGGGTGCGACTGGTACCACTGCTTGTTTCTATATTAATTTAACAATTTGTGCCTTTTTTTTGTTTATTTAATCCACGAGATAAAAGAATGTGATGCTAATTTACGACAGAGATATGCGCAGATTAGTGTTGCACATAAGACTATGTGAATACAGCGTTTTTGCAATTTGATGCATAAATTAATGCGCATATGATTGGAAATATGCAAATAGAAGAGCATTTAAAGTGGACGTTTTTTTTTTGTTCGTAAATTGGAAAATACCATAAACAGCACAAGCTGTCAAGAGAACTCGCGCTCTCAATCAACTAATCTGCAAATTCGAAACAAAGAACTCGTAATCCAAACACCAGATTTTCAACGGTATGTGAACGAAAACATTTTTTTATTCTGCTGAAATTCTAGTTAACGGACAGTATGAGTTTTTTTTTTCTCTCTGCAGATTGCTTGGTGAATGTTGACATGTTTACAAATGAACGGTGATACAAGCACACAAAAACACACATCTATTATCTTTAGCAAATATCAAGGGAAAAATATATCTGCATGCGACGAAATTCAAAAGATATGAACAACTGATATGATTTTCTACGTTTTTTTGTGGTTTGACTAGTGACGATGTTTTGTTATACTCAAAACAATATGGAAACGATGATCGTAAATGATTTTATTTAAATCACTGGAGGTGTTCCAGGCGGCGGTCTCAATAAATTGTTATCAATTTAATCATAAAACGTATCGATTCAAATACATTGGCACATCGATTGTTATATACAAAATGTTGGAATGCGATCATCGAATGAAGGCCATTCGATTACTGCTCCGTTTAAGTTACATTCCACTTGGCTCAACAGTAAAGTGGTCATAAATTTGTTTGAACATAAAAACCGTGTTTATGATCGATTTTAAAAAGCCGAAATTCCAAAATCTATTATTTTTTTCTCTTCTTGATAAAGTCAAATATGTCAAGAATACTTTTATGCCATTTTTATCTTAATTCCTTTTGAATCACTAAAATCAATTTACTTCTTCACGCACCGATCATTAATTTAGTTTTGTTTTTCGATTTACACAACACTCTTCTTCGCTGTGCGAAGGATTTCACGCACTTTAGTCAGTTTCACGAGTTTTGTTCTGAGACGTTAGACGACTATCTTCATCGATCGACCGACACAAACTGAATCGGTATTTGATTTTGTCACTCGCGAATTATTCCGTGCGAATCAGCCAAAATCACAGCTATATGAATCAAAAAAATCATATTTACACACAAGCGCTGTGAACGCACATCACGCCGCTCACTGATGAATAAACATTGAAAAGGAGAATCTTGGTGCTCGCAATAGAGAGAGACGATAAAACAAAAGCATTTGCATAACATTTGGACGCGGTTTGTGTGTTTTAAATAATGGGAGAATGAATGAAAGGGAGGATCGAGTGCGGCAGGCGGCATCCGAACGCTTTTTCTATTCCGTATGAAATGTGTCGATATATTTGGTACCGCATGAATGATAACAAAACATCCACAACGGCATACTCGAAATGTGCAAATATTTTCTGAAAACAGGAAAATGCGACCGGCACCAATACACATCGTTTACTTCCACAAATACACACACCATATTGGCTGCAAAGATATCGCTTGAATCGTAAAAAAATTGTAATAACTGTAGCATGAGGCAAAACCAACCTAAATATTTACCGAATAGCTTAATTGAGTTGCGGTGCGTAGTAAATGTGTGACTGTATGTGTTTGTTTGTCGTGGCGCGAAAGTGGCTGAACAAAACCACTTTGAGTACTATCGCAAAAATATGCAAACGATGTGTACGCATATTTTTCTCTGCTATTTTTTCTTTCATTCGTTTCCACCAAACTCAATTAACTGAATAACTTCGATTCGAAGCATAACAGCGTAAACTAGTTTCCTACTCAATGACATTGGCTTATTTCTTATCTAAATTGTTTTGATTCAATAATACTTTGCATCATTTTCGATTGACTCTATCATAAAACACAAATATCGATTATCATGCTCTGAATCCGATTCTTAGATTTTGGGCTAAAAAGTGTGCGCCTATATTATCGCAAATTCAACCGAAATGAATGAAAAGAAAAGGCTCACTGTTTTCAGGCAGAATATAAAACCGAAAAGATGTTCGGCAAATTTCAATTGATAATTTATATGCAAATTTTCAATTCGAGAATAATTCACATACACACACATCATAAGGCAACTTTAATGCCAAGCCCAAAAAACCCTAAGCATAATTGGAATCGAGACGAAAAGCGCACGTCCATTCAGATCAAATAATAATCGGGAACAACGAATCAATTTGTTCGTTGTCGATGTTCACATGACGTTTTTTGATATGTTCGGTGCTTTTTTTTGAACGAAATATTTCCATTCATGCGATTTTGTTTGCATGCAATTATCGACAATTTCGTCAATTGCTTTATTATGCAAATGTCGTTTTTTCAGAGTTCGTTCGCTGGCTTTTTGAAACAATTAAATGCCATTTTTGGAAGATATAAATTGTTTTGAACCCGTTATGCGTGTATAAGCAAGCATTGCGCAATGGAATCGATTCTTTTTAGATCAGTCATCAAGTCAATCAAATATCCATTTTCAAATGTTACACATATCGGCCAGATTTTGAGGCGAAACATTTAAATCAAAAAATCATCGATTTCATCGACATTTTATTGATTAGGATGTTGTTGTATTACATCTTTTCTTAATAGACCATGATTTATGGTTGCTCATTAATGAGGTCACAATTTGATTTTGCACAGTGTTCATAAATCACAATATGCAGAAAATTTAATTGATTCTCTCTCAAGAAAAAAGAATTTCATTTTATGATCATATTAAACAGTTTATAAATGTTCAAATTTGCGATGAAAGCCAACGGCCGAAGTAAAAATAGCATTGCTTCCTTCTCGGTTGGGTGTCTCGCCCAATGAAGAATTCAATTTTCAATGAATTAACCCAATGACATTCAAAAAGCCGAACGCATCAATGCGTAAATGACATTGACAACACATGCGAGAGAAGTAAAAAAAAAACAACAAACAATTCAACAAAGTGTTAATTTGTGAGAATTCAATAAGTCAAACATGTATAATAACTTAACACAAGCCCCATTATGTCATTAAAATGTGTGATAAAGATGAAAGAGAAGGAACGAGAGATGAGTAAGTGTTAATCAAGACATAAGCCCGAACCAAACATAATTAGTCTTAATCATGGCGATTACACTGACAGATATATTAATTTTGCTTCCTATGCACAAATTAATGATTAACTCTTTTACAATGTAAAACGTTTCTACATTCAAATGCTATATGTGATGAGTAAATTCTGTCAAGCGGAAAAACAACGCACAATCAAAAAAAGTATATGCTAGAAGGAACAATGTACGATAAGATAGGGATAAACACATCCTGTTCGACTCGGTAATTAATTAATTGCTTTGACTTGTGATATTAATCATTATATATCAGGATTTTTACATTGTTTTTTAATAACGGCGCTGCTTTTGATTTCGATGTGGAATGAAAGTGAATGGCGGCATTTTGATGGCTTCGTCTGAATTATGTGCGAAGAATGAAAGTGCTTTATGAAAAGATGGAACTTGAATTTTCATCTGTTATCGATTTTACATCAAATTCATCGCTCGCAGGCGAATTGAGAACACTCCAAAGAACACAAATTGAAATCGAATTTAAATTAACAACAGAAACGGTTAATGAATCCCAAATGGGTTTCAAATTTCAAAAGCTTTCTTTGTTCAACCGATATAATCAAATTCATATGCAAACATCGCAAAAATCGTACAAAGAAAGCATCTTATTTGCATTGAATTATAGAATTATTAATCATGTGCCACTTTCAATTTCATTTCCTCTGTATTAACTCAACAAATAGGTTTTCAATACGCCTGAATTTAGATAATCACATAAATTAGTTGCGCATTGAAACGCGTGCCTGTTTTTAATTGCGTTACGTTCAAATGTGATAAACGAAAGCAGACGTTCAGCATATTTTTTTGACTACATCGAGTTTGCGTACCATTTAGAAAATTAAGCAATTATTATTAAGCCCATTGTTTATTCGATATCAAAACAAAAAATCTACTAAATGAATCAATCAAATATTTGATACATAAGCATTATTTTTTTTAATATTTATTGCGAAACTTTGTGAATAAGAGATTTATTCAGAGTTAATATTTTATAACAATGAAGATCGAGAGTCAAACGAAAAATGAAAGAGCATAGAAACGAGACGGAACTTATTATAAATGGAAATTTTGAATTTTTAATCAAAATATGCAATCGTTTAGATTGAAAAAAACATTCTAAACCCTGACAATTTAGATAAATGCACTATTTACCACGTATTTGAGAGGAAAATGCTTTTGAATGCGATGAATAGACAAATGATTTCAAATCAATTGAGAAACATGGATGAATTGGCTAAGAATTTGTTGAAATAAAAGAAAATACAATGCCAATATATTTGCAAGTGATGCTTGATGTGTCCATGTATAAACGAATGTTTATGACTCCGCGGGAAACCTGAGTAATTTTAATCAAAATCGAAATTGATTTGAAGTCAAATTACATCGAATTTTGTTTGATAATGAAAATATTCAGAATTCGGTAGTTTGATGTATCAGGGATACTCTACAAGTTCAAACGAGCATTTTGATTACGTTTTCTCATTAACATCTTCTCATTAACTACAAACAGAGCAATTTTAATCAAGTTTGAACTCGAGTTATAACATATACATTCAAAGGTGTCTTCAGATTTCCATACAAATTCTTAGGACAAACTTCATTTCCATGGAAAATTATTTTCCTGGGCGAATTTTCCAAAAAGAAAAATATGTTATCTTCGAATATGGATCGAGTATCCCAAAAAATAGGTTTCAAGTTGATAGTTTGCTTGAATTATGTGTGGTACAAACAAACCAACCGATTTTAAAGCTTGATGATACATCAAGCATTATAAATGTCATAGCCGGAGTTAGATTCGAAGTGTGGAATGTTCCAAATTCTTCATGAGAGATTGAGTTTTATTTTGTGATCTCATCAATTTTGGGCATAAGTAATCATTATGTAAATTTAATGGTCTAATGTAAATTCCAAATAGAGAGTATCGAAATAAATGCATTCAATGAGTCCGTGCTTTGATTTGAAATCAATTGTTCTTTTCAACGATCAAGAACGATTGCAAAACAGACGCCAATAATAAAATCGGAGCAATGAATACTGTGAACCGCAATCCGTTCACTTTATTTTCATTGTCATTTGCATATTATCCCAGCGCATGTGTTATCGTTTTTTTTTTATTTCGAGCCAAACAAATTGGTGCTGTAATTCATTGTGTTAACTGTAAATAAATTATGTGATAATTTGAGTTTTATAAATTAGCATTCAGATAATTTATAGCTGATTTAATGTTTCATGAGTCCATGGACCATGGAATATATTGTGACCGTGTGATTTGTTCAGCATAAATCATATCACCTATCAATTTGTCGATACGATTTGCATTGTAGCCATGCTAAAATTTCCCTTTTTCATAACGCAACCACATGCTACATAAATTGATTGGAGAATCTTAATAAACGAAACTAACTGCTGCAAAATGGATAATTGCAGAGCGTTTTGTTCATCCTCCCATTGTTCATGTATTTTATTATATGATAACAATGATTTCTGATTGTTTATATAGGTTCATATGCAAATTGCAGGCTCTCTTAAGCAGTTGGCTGAATTGTGTTTGCCTATCATCACTTTGAGCGAGCATTCTCGCAGCGATGCACTCAGTGTTTTCAATCAAAGATGAGAAAAACTGACATCAACATTTGCTATAAAGCAAATAGCTTGCAGTAATTGTAGAAGCAGGTAGTTGGTATTTTATCTTCAAAATCCAAAAAAAAAAAGATAACATGTTAGTTGTTCACATGTTGCAACCAGCTTCTTTCACCATTCAACAAACTCTATTATATCCAATGTAAACGTCAGCTGAACACACTCAAAATATTACCAGATAATGGCCATTAACCGAACTACTTTTTTAAAGAAGAAGAAAAAGCGACTTATTTGTCTGTTTTCTTATCGTTTCATTTTATGTGTTCATCATTTTTATTTATCGTAATCAGATTTGATATAAAGTAGCTCATTTATGACGATTACTGTAAAATTAAACGATTCATGAACAACGGATGTAGAAACTATTCGATTCTTTCAAAAACTTAAACAAAAGACACGGTTGCATCATAAAATTTAACAAGAGAACAGAAAAAAAGACAACAAAGATATCAAATGGCTCTTACCTTACAACTGCCTTCAACGCACATAGCACGTCCACTGTGATTTTGTCGCACAAAATCAACGGGCCACGAACAACTAGTTCCATCAATAACCATATCATTTAACTTTGCAAAGTACTCCATACCAATGGGTTTACAATTCAGTTCACACTCCGCATCATCTAAATAGATTAGGCAAATTCATTGGCGATTTATTTATATTGAGTATATTTGAATGGCCAAAATATATTTTGAAACCTACCAGCGATGTACGATTCCCACGAATATATTTTACCATAAAACGATTGATTATTGTAAAACATACATTGTTGGTCTCGAAAATCAAGTTCATCGTCGGGGCAACTCTGTATGTTGAAAGAATTTTGATTTTTTTTTTTTAACACTTTCCGAAAATTCACATCCTTTTACCTGTTCATTACAAATCCGGTATCTCTTGTAAAGTCCAATGCATTCGTTGCTGGTTCGATTTTTCAATGTTGTATCTCTGCAATCAGATCACGATCGAAAATTTACAACTTCATTCAAATATAATTGTTAATTAATTACCACAAATACATATGAATGATTTAATTTAAATATTCAAATGCGTCATTTCATTCTCAATCTTCCTCAACACTTTCATTGTACACTTTTTGTACATCATTATAAGCGTGTCTCAATGTTAATTAGAAATTGTGTTAAATGAAATGAAAATCTGGTTTGTTTCATGAATTTTTGTTTTCCATGAATTTATTCAATCAAATAAGGGCATATGTGCCACTTGAAGTGTGAATTTGAATGCAATGACAATTCATATCGTCAAACGGTAAATTTGTAACAAAGAAACCCGTGCCTATTGTGTGCGTGTTTCAATATCTCCATATGTAAATCTAATAATATCGATTTGCATGAATCACACTGTAATATTCACAATATAATTTATATACAATGACTCTGCTCTCGCTATGTCAACGTAACATTTATTGTCACAGCATAGAATATTAAATGTTGAGCTGTGTGGCGCTTCAGCCAAATCTCAAAACCTTATATGTAGAAAGTTGAGCAAAATTACATTATTTCTTTTGTTTTGATATTTCTATCGAATTCAATACGAAGAGACGTGCGCGCGAAAGATTGCCTAATCGATTTTAATGTGGTGTTTTATGGACATTCATAATAGCGACGTGAGATTTTTATTCAATTGTTTTGACCAGACTGTGTGGTTTTCTAACAGTTCATTTTTCCTGCTATTGAACATTATATTGCGAATGACCGAAGATGATTTTATTGCTTTTTGCACGAAAAAGAAAAAAAAAACAAAGGAATTTCGTGATAGTTAACATCGAAATATTACTAGACAGGATATGTTGGTTATGTTTTATAATGAAAAAAACACAAATAAAAAAATGACATCTGTTGAATGGAAAAGGACACGAAATACGATTTAATGAAAATAATCAAAAAAATTCGATTATATCAAGTATCTTGATTCAAGAGAATATAATTTCCATCACACTTATTCTTCTAAAATGGCATCGGGCCTTTGTCTAGGGGCTTTCATCATTCGTTCATACAAATTTATACACAATATTCACGTCCTATTCATCATATATACGATTAAAATTTCTCGTCTATACCAGTGAATAAGATGTATTTCAAACTTCAGTGTACACACACACACAGTATTGCTACACAGAATCGAAGAAGATCCGCACAAAAGAGAACGAAAAAACATGCCATAGACGAAATATATACGAAATATACACGAAATATACACCAAATATATGCAGTTATGCACATTTATTGGCGCGTATTACAGATGATTTTGCAATATAGTTCACTATTTACAGTAGAAATCGTATACATTTGAAGATAAAAGCCCCTAGGCCTTTGTTTGATACAAAACGCTATTATATCACTCTTTACATGGTATCTCGTCTCGTATTTGTATTCTAACAAAACATACAGAGACTAATAGGAAATTTCGAAAATGTACCGATTTAAAAACGATAGAAATTCCTTACAAAGTGCATCATTTTTCTCAATTGGTGTTGAATGATTTCGAAATATTCACTTTATCTTCTATTCTTAAAGCGACGCACACAATTAACGTCCGTAATTTAAATTGATTTGAAGTGTTCTATAACTAAAAATTTATGTAACTCCCGAAGGCGCGAACGACTGATAAATTCTGTTTGAATCGATAACGCATTGTACAAAGTCGCTGTTGACCAAACAAGTGCAGAAAAAAGATAAACATAGGGCTTGATCAACAAGTGATAAATTGAGCCCGAACAAAGGAAGCCCTTTTTGCCGCTATTTACTAACATATTTATTGCTTTTAAATCAGCAGCGTTTAAGCGTAGCATTAGTGTTTGATCTGTTCACTTTTAAATCTTGTATCAGTCGAAGTTCAAACGAACCCATAGCGATTTGTGTATGATGTGCGTGTAATTAACTTATAAAATCGAAATAAATTCCAATTACAGTGTACACTTTGCCCTTAGTTCATATGTGAAATTGCTTTAAAACCAATGTGATTTGGTGTGAATTAAAATTTATTGCTTCCTTAAAACGGCAATTTTATGTATTGGTTTGAAAAACATTATTATTTACCGGTTTAGGCAGAATCTCGATTGAGACATGACACCGCCACCACAGCTGCGTGAACATTTTGTCCATTTTTGCCATCGTCCCCAAATTGCGTTCGATTGTTTATTTCCTTTCAATCGATTAGCTGGCCGAACACCTTTTGTATTGTGAGCCGTTACATTGTACGTGATAGAATGTTCGGTTGTGGTTGACGGAATTATAGTGGTTTGACTGTTTGTGGTTTCATTCAAATTCATTCGGTCATTGATGTGTGCGTTTGCATTGATTTCCGATGTTGTGTTCTCTGCGAGATTTGTAGCTTGTAGTTCTTGCGTTGATTTTGTTATGCCAGCTGTGGTTGTCTGTTCTGTCACATATGAAGTTAATGGAAGGAGTGTTGTTGTTGGCGCGAATGTTGTTGAAATATCGTATGATTCATTTGGCATTACGGAATTTTCTAAGATCGGCTGTTGTTGTTTCTTTCGTTTCGACTTTAATTGCAGATCTAACGGTTTTCGTCGAGATTTTCTCTCATTTTGTGATGTTGCATCAGGTTTATAACGGTAGTGCGATGGCCAAAAGTCCTTAATTGTTCCATTGCTGGCCAATCGCTCTTGTATTAACAGCTTTTTCCGCAGTTCACGTTGCTCCAGCCATTTTTTGTGCATCTACATCATTAAGAAGATAAAATTTAAAATGCAATATGTAAAATTAAAAGAAAAATTGTGCAAAACTGTCGAAAAATCAACAAAGCTGGAGAAAGTCTAATTAATTTCAATTTAAAATGTAAAAGTTTAATTCGATTGAAATGAATTTGTTCTAAATTGAGTGTAAACGACTTTGCACTTTGCCAAGTTCATGTCAAAAATTCACATCAGATTTCATATGCAATTGCTCGAAATGTGTGTCACCATTTGATAAATCGTAAAAGATTTTTATGACCATGTTCAATTGAAAAGAACATAAAATTGTGCTTCAAATTTGGTGTACAATTCCATTGACAGTGTGTGTTATCCCAAGTCGAGTTGACTTCATTGCGTGAGTGCAATAGAATTTGAGCCCATGAAATGTTGACGTCGTCATCATGCTAATTTGTTACGAGCAATTGTTTAGGCACATTTTGTTGGCTCTGTCACAAATTTGTTATTGTGTAGCAATTTCAGTTCTGTCTCAAAATTGAGTTTTATTCAAAAATTGAATTATGTATCTCAGTCAAGGAGCATTTTAAAATGTTTGCTTGATTAATTTACGATTTTTTCGTTTAATTTCGGTTCAAATGAATTTTGAGCTCAAATAGAACAGGCCTATGAAGAATGCTAATTAAATGAGTATTTGAAATAGTTTTTGGCTCTGCATCAATGATTAAACACAATGACTGTTTGGTATCGTTCTAATTTGTTCGAGTTATGTCAAAAATTGGAATAGCACAAATTTGGCATTCGCTTAAAACAAATCTCTCTCTCTCTCTCAAAAAATCAAAAAGATTTGGTGATCGCCCTCGTGTCTGATTTATGCGGACGGCGTTTTAAGCGACAGAACAATAACCGACAAGTTAGTGTGTGAAATGACAACAAACGATGCATAAACAAAACCGAACCTATCGCATTTCACAAGCACGAATCAAACCGTTCAAAACGCATTGATACGTAAAGAGAATGTCAAAGAATTTTGCGCCACACAATCGACAATTGTTTCTGCAATATACATTCCATCTCGTTTTAATTTGATTAATCGCAACGATGATTGATTCCACTTACCGCAATCCGTTCACGCGTTGATTGTTCGGTTGATGCCAGTTGAAATGAAAAATACGCTAAAATAAACAGAAATCTGGAACCGAAAAAAAAAATTGAAACCAAAATATGAATTTCACACATTCACAGTCGTCGATAAATTTGTAATCAAAACATTAAGAGAACAACTACGTTTGGGCGTAACTTTGAACAAAAAAAAGTTATATGATGCCCTTATGAATATACATTTTTATAATCGCGAACGTTCAAACAATTATTGCCTCACACTTTAATTCACTTGCACACATATTATGACGTAATTTATAAACAAATCTCAACTATATCTTATCATGGTGGTGTACATTCATTATTAATAGCGTCAAATGGAATACTACTTTGTATTAAAAAAATACGCTACATTCTTGACTTTGACAATATTTCTTTGTCTTATTTATTGGAACTAACAATTTTGATGACAAAAAATCTCATTCACAACATAATATAAACTTACTTAAATATGTGACATTTATTGTTATTTCTCAATTTAAAAAAAAAGGACTAACAAAATACACGGATAGTTTAACGAATGATAAACTTTGTCAATATCACATGAACTTTTTATGGAATTGAGATCAAGCCTATGAGTCTTATGAGAGCAAATACAATTGATAACGCAAAATATGCAAAAAAAAAAAATGTTCGATTTCACTATGGGAGCGGATGTGTTCGAACGACACATACTATTATTCATCGGAATATTTGAAATTGTTTCAGCGAAAAAAACGACGCCCAAAACAAACTTTACTTATCACGTGTGGTCTGGATTTGAAATGACGATTATCATTAAACAACTAAATCTATTTGTCATCTGTATGATTTGAAATTTTTGGAATGGTGTAGTCTATTTTTGGTTTACTACATACATCTGGAACTGAATCCCAGATATTTTACAAAATTGGCGCTAACATTAAAAAAGTTTTGCTACAAATGTTAAGGATATGAAAAAATGATAGTGTTCAAGTTCAATATCTGACAACTCATCTAATTTTTTGCTTGTGAAATTCGACTCACCTTAAAATTGTGTTCATAATTCCAGTTTTTACCTATGTTTCAAAAAAAGTTGAAGTTGCACTAATTATGGCATTTTTTAAAAAAATCAACTAATTTCTTATGATGTCACTGTCGCAACACTTCAATTTTAATCGAATAAAAGTTTTAGTTTCCAGTGCAATTCAGCAAATTTAGTATTTTTCCCGTTAAAATCGTCGACTTTCACTTATTTATCTTTAGAATGTTTAAATCGAAAAACACAAGAGAAAACATGTTTGTATTGATGTTGCTTCACTTCAAATGAAAATGTGTCAATTGGTTAGAAAATTCAGAAGTATCCGCACTTATTAATACCACTCAAAATAACATTTGATGTGTGTGACACTATAAAATGAAAATAGTCTAAGTTTCATGACAGCATCCACACGAAACCAGAACTATGTTCTGTGTCAAAATTACTGGAAAAAAGTCACTCTTCATAAATTTCGGGCTCTTTTTGTTTTCTTTATTAATCTCATTTTTCCGTTTTTGATGTAATCATATATATCCTCTGATGCATATATGAAAAATGGTTTCAATCGACACTTGAGAATCAAATCCAAATATCATTCACTATCACAATGTCTCTTTAACACAATAATGTATGGATTCGTTGCAGTCACTCTTGATGCTTCAATCTGTCAATAATATGGTTTTATTTTGGTTGTTGAATCTATTTGATTTTTCCGTCATTTTCATAAATTCATTTTGAAATGGTATTGATGCAATCAAAATATATTGGCGGTTGTTTTAATGTCGCCGACATCGACCAAGACCGTTTCGTATATGGGTCATGTACGATTATTATTTTCATTTGGTTCGACTTGTTTCGTTCATATACACATTAAAATGGAACCGAATGAAATGGAAAACAAGAGAGTTGTCGTTATGTGACACTCCCGCGCCTCTATTTGCAATTGCATTAATCGACAACGACGATGACAAACCAGAGACAAAACATCAGCTCAATTCTCTATTCTCGTCCAATTAAATGTTAAGTACACGCAGTAATACATATATTGTTTGGCGTTGGATTGTCAAAATAGACGATTGATTAGATTTGGGCATTTGGATGAAGAGAAAAAAGTGTGCATTCAGATAAATCGATTGAATGACAAGCACAATGCCAACGAAACAATGGCTCGGGCACAGAACAATACCGTAAAAACGGCGACTGGTTTCGATTTCATCTACAGCCGCAGTCACACCACCGCAAAACGATCACTTAAACGGCTCTTTTTTCTGGTGTTAAACATTTAAAATGATACGGTTATTATGATTTGTGTGATCTGGCTTGCGCGCACGCTCTCTCGCTTATTTGATGTGTTTTAATTGTGAATGATCTGTGATGGGAAAACCTTGCGATCATAACGAGCTACATTCTTTTTTTTTCGTTGTCTCCGAACTGGAGTACGAGAGAGTAAACGAAATTTGTTTAAAAATGCACACGAAAAATGCGATCATGTGGAACATTCAAATTTTTGTGCTTTAATGACCGCATTCGTCATATTCCATTTTACGTGTGTATATTTTGAGCGCGAGCGTGCCATTCATATAAATTAACAACAATGATTTAATTGGAATGGATTTTATTGGTTTTTGCTGCTATTTTCGCCTCATCGATTGCTTATTCTGAATATATTCGATCAATATGCGATACACACATCTAATATTGAATCAGTTGTCAGATAATTAATGATTTGTGATTGAAGTGTCACCTGGCGTGGAAAAGAAAAGGTTCTGCGGTTTTTCTTTGCTTGTTTGAGGAAGGTTTTCTGAGATGGGTATTGGGAAAATTGCGTTTAAATTGGATTGAATTGAAAAAGTGGCATGTTTTGACCAATCTGATTTATGTGCATAATTTTTAAATGTTAATCACGGCAAACTTATTTTTTATCAGTTCGAATTTACTCTCGATATTTGCTCCGAATTGATTCGCCACACCGACTGACCTTCGAAATTGAATTTCAGATGAAAAAAAATAAATGAAAGTTCATTATCCTTCAATTGTATTAAAATCAAATATAGACATTTTGTGGTCAATTTCAATTTTGCGTCGAACTCTTGGACATTTGTATTCGCTTCGAATGATTTACTGGATTCATTTGAATATCATTGTAATTACTATCTAAACGTCGATCAAAAGTTACCCGGAAAAGGCTAATTTCCAAGCATAAACATTTTGTTGTTTTTTCCATCGATTGTGATTGATTTATGATTAAAAAAAATTTAGTCACAACGTACAAAGTATTGATAATTACTCCGACGCAGAACGTAAATTACCACACGTATCGTGCCTTGCATAAATATTAATGAGACCGTCCACGGAGACAATATGAAAGTGTAAAGACATGCGTTCACTCAACTGACCACACATTTTTTTTATTCTACAACAGTCAACAAGAAATCATTTATTTCAGCCAGTGAACTCAATGCAACAAGACAACCACCTGGCACATACGATACATACCAAACACTTCATATTTCAAATAACCACGAATAAATAAGTCTTAATCGACAATTCATACATCCTTTTGTAATTTATGTGATTGGATTGGTTTTTCCTTTTTTTGTTCATTCGATTGTGAATTTTATCCATCATTATCGCATTCATCATACTATTGAGGCATGTATTGACAGGTCAAGGAAAGAAAACACTATATTGTGTGCCAAAGTTCAATGAAACATGCATTTGATTGCATCACCACATTTTTGTTTCAAAAAGAAACGGTTACACAAAAAAATCCATTGTTCGCCTCCACAAAATGTGATTCATTTTAAACGGAAATTCAAAAAGTCAACCAAAACAAAAAACTTAAAAGATTATAATAAAACTGAAAAATGTTAGGTAGGGCTTCGTTAAAACTCCTGTTGATCTTGTTAACAAATATTTGAATTCACGCAAATTAAACACTATATTTTTATATCGACAAGATAAAAAAAAAACAGTAAAGATACTACGATTGTTTACTTGAATTAATTCGATTCGAGCACTCGCATGTTAACGTCTAAACTGTGCGCCGCTCTTTTATCAACTGTCCGCTGCTTTGAAAATCAAATTTTAAATTGAAGATGAGCTTCTGTTGCCACTGAATAACGCAACTTAACGCATGCTTACTGTATTTGATTGTTTGAAATGGGCTGCAAAACGCCGGAATATATGCAATACGCTTGGCGATGGTGATAAAGTATTGGATTTTTTTAAATGAAAATTAGTCAACAGAGAGTAAGCTTTGAAGAGCCGAAGGAGCACTGAGGAATAGAGCTCTTCTTCAGTGAGGAGCCAAATATCCATTTTAATTATTTTTTAACTTACAATATTTTGCTCCTCACTGTTGAGCAGCTCTACTTTTCATGGCTCCTCAGAGCGCTTCTCTTCACATATATTGCTCTAGTGGATTTTCGTGAAGTTGTTATAGTTGAATATGCATGCATATGATAGATCATTTGCTTTTATGCCAAGCGCAAGGATAACAGACCTTGTATATTGTCACAATGACACACAATGAAAAGAATTTTTTTGATCAAAGTCGAATTATAATCGAAAAATCTCGAAATTTATTCAATAATTACCTCAAATTTCTCAATAATAATAATAGTTCTACTACAAATCGTGTATTATCTATAACTATTCAATTAAATCCCGAATAAAAAGTTATACAAATTCATTTAGACAAAGAAACGAAATGAAAAGAATAATATAATTTGGTAAATCGCTAGTGGGATTCATTTATCGAATATGAAAAACGAGTTCAAGGATTTCAATTTCGTTGTCTATGTCATTCGTGTGATGTCCTCTTTTTTCCATGCAATTATCAAAAACACGTGATAATTCATTTAACGATGATATCTTCAAGGTGGCTAGTGGTTTTGAGCGAACAACCCTTACTCATCAGCGTGGCACGACATTGACGATGACACATTTATAAACAAATACAAAAAGTGTACGATATATCGTGTCCTTCACTTTGTCTTTTCTAGCATTGTCGTAATATTTTACGATGCCGTTTGGCCGTCTTCGATAGGAACATAGGTTTGATAACCGACTTTTGCTCGTATATAATCGGCTCGAATTTGACGCAATTTTTCCGACAATAATTTAACACTATTTTCAGCTTCCTGTAAATCCTTTATAAGTGTCTTTTGGAAAATATCATGTATCCATATGGTCGATTTTGAAAGGCTTTTATGATACGCATCGAGCACATGTTTTGTGTGTTGATAACGCTCTGAATTACCGATGTCTGTCAGTAAATATTCATTGGCATGAGCAACGGCTACTATCTGTCGATTCGTTATATGTGGAATGTCGACCTGTGGCAATGCCTCTTGTGCGCACTTGAATGCCATTAACGATCCCAATAACGCTGTACGGCAATCAGTTGCCGATGTTATTTTATCTTTTACCGAACTAAATGGTAAACAAAATATAAGGTTTGTAAACAATTATTAATTTATGAAAGCAAAATGGGATTGATTACCTTGAGGTCTGTATCAATGTATAGTGTTCATTGGCTAATAAAGCTGATTTGGCACTTGTGCGTAGTAAATTTGCTGATGTTCGCCATTGTTCGGCTGTACCACCTAATTTATCACGAATCTGACGCGATGACTCCAATTCGGTATCAATGTTCATTTCATTTGGATTCGTGTAATTATTTCCCGATATAGAAGCTTTTGAAAAAGAAATTGAAAATCATACTCTCTTTTGCCTAAAAGTACTATTTTTTTTAACCCTCAAACGCACACGTGGGGTCTCTTAGGCCCTAAGAGTTAGTTTTTTGAAAAAATCACAAAAATATAAAAAAAAATTGGAAAATTTCGCTGAGCGTTTTCTTTTTTAATATCATATCTATGTGATAAAATCAAAAATTTCAATGTTTGGTGCATAAATGAAGTTTTGGGAAGTCTTATACAAAATACTAACGTAAAAGCACAACGGGGTCTTTTGGACCCCAAAGTATTTTGTATGGGAAATGATGTATTCTGTATGGGCCAATATGAAACTCATGTAGATTTGTTGACACAACAATTTACATTTCATCAAACAACAACACAGTAAATTGTTTCGTCCGTGACGTATACTGTTCATCGCAAATCAAATGGCATTTGCCATTATAATATATATTCATACATTGTTTTTTTTTGGATAGGATAGATCCGTAAGATCTCCACAAGAGCTTGATCTAAGCGTGCATACGCCGCCGCATGATATATTCGTTCGTTTTTCTGTGTTGCTTCGACGCGCAAATCAAAGCAGGCGTGCCAATCAAGTATGTATCATGCGGCGGCCTACGCACGCTTAGATCCAGCTCTTGCGGAGATCTTACGGATCTATCCTATTCAAAACACAATGTATGGGCATATATCGTGAATTTGGTGAACGTTGCTGGTGTGGCAGGGTTTGCCTTGTTGCGAACGTCTAACAACATGTTTGCCAAGTATGGAGGAAGAACGGAAGCAGCGCGATCTCATCGCACTCCATATAAAGCAATGTAATTGGTTTCGATCACGCAAATGTGCTGCCACCTGGTGTCTCAGAGTTAAGCTGATATATCACACATGCTTCTTGCAAATGCAGAAGAAGAGGAAGGAAAAATGTTTACATAGGGTTGAACTCATAAATGCCAGAGAGCTACAGTGTTCAAAGTGCGATCGCCCTTCGGGAAGCAGTCTCGAGACTCGATCTATATTGATCTCACATATCGAGAGGTAGTTCGGCGCAGTACACGAAGCACATTAACTGGCCAACGACTGTCGATTAGCGATATTAGTGAAAGACACGACTGTCTGAAAGTCGTACATATCAATAACTACCAAGCATTTTGGCTATAATTGATTTTTTTTCCATAAAAATCAATATTAAATTGTGATGCTGTATTGGAAAGTAAGGAATAAGCTATGGTTTAACTATAAAATGACATATTTTACTCATTGGATACCATTTTGCATAAGTTTTGTATGAAATTTCTCATGGGTCCAAAAAGACCCCACCTGTGCGCTTACGTTACTGTTTTAGCCTGTGCGGTTAAGGGTTAAATACGTACACATAAGTGCGTCGAGTTCATTATATTTCATTCGTAATTTTGTCCAAAGTTCGCGTAGATCATTGGCCCGTTTTTGTGCATGCTCCAAGATATCGTCTTTTAATGCTTCGTTGCAACTTTCAATATAACGACGACTGATATTTGCGAAAAACTCTTCGTGCTTTGCCGCTTGTGTTGTGTCGGTCATAATATTTAGGCTTTCTATAAGCTGTTTTTTTTTTTGGGTGGTTAATTTGAGTGAAATCAAAATGAGTGGGAGTGTTATAATGGTATATAATTTGTTGTTGTTATTATTATTTTTATTAAATCATTTATTACTATTATTATTGCATGATTACTGTGTGTTCGACAATTTGAACAGCAAACACCAAAACATACATACATCACGAACCTTGAGCTCCGACTCATTGTCTTTTTCGAGCCGTGTTCGTCTATTGTATTTGGCTGTCTCTTGTTCCTCATCAAAATCATCGTCCAACATGTGTAATGGCAATTGAATTATGTCATTTGTTAAAACCTCTTGTTTCGATTCAAGATATTTGATCCATGCCTCGATGGTTATTAGTTTTGGGCCAGGACATTCGGCTTCTAATTTGCACACTTCCTCATCAAGTTTTATGTATGCCTCGAAAACTGTTTGATCCGAATGCTATTTGTTCAATGACAAAAAAGTGATTTCACAATTAATCACAGACTTTTATCGAATAAAAATAAAGCACTAACCACACCGCCATTGGCACGACTCACTCCTGACGCACGTTCAGTATAGTAGTCGGAGGGTTGTGGTGATACATTTTCTGTGTGGACAGATTCATTTGAACTTCCACAGCCCATTTGATTGCACATTTGGAATAAATTTATTATTCTATCTGTGTTTCTTGTTTTCAACTCGGCTCTAAATCATACATTTCAAAATTTTCAATAATTTTGCACGTTGTTTTCCTTTTCTATCACTTTTCACATTAATCAATTGAAAATGCAAAATGAAAAAAACAACAATTGTAACAAAATGAACACAATTAATTTGGGACAAAACAAAAATTAAGCGCTGAACGGTGTTTGGTGTGCGTGCACATGGCCATCAAATCGCTCACTATCATTCGAATGAATGAAGAAAATTTTATTGGAGTCAAGCAATTTGGTTTAAACATGCCATAAGTTCTGACACGCGCACAGCAATGAAATCGGAACATAATGATTATCGCCATCGAAATTATTCTACATGACCAGTGACCAATACATACCACATACACACTTACATTTACATGTAAATACATTCGATCTAATACAATTCAAATAAATGAATGAGTGTGTTTGGTCTGTATTTTGATTGCAATTGTATTTGTATCCACGATACATTTTGCTTGATGTATATCAAGCTTTAAAAATAGGCTCTAGTACAGCAAACTACCACTTTTTCTGGATTTTCATGAATTTACAAGTTTATACATCGATACATCAAGCGTTACTTCCAAGTACATGGCAGTGAATTTTTTTGTATCGTCATAAATGCCGAACGAATGGAGAAAATTCGCTTCATATAATTGACTGTGGGATGGAAAGTGAAGTTGACGTTTTTTTAATCAAGTAAAATGTGGACAATCAAAACAATCATTTCACAACAAACTTATTGAATGTAAACAATGAAAATAACAGCGACCTTGCTACGGTATGCGTGCATGTATTCAAAGGGACATTTATTATGAGACCGAGCCATTCAATAATGGAGTTCATAGAAATTCATTCAACTTTTTTCACTCATGTTTAGGGATGGTTATATTTATGACATTCAAACACTCTTATTTGTCTTATATACTTTATATTTGCTTACCAACTTAAATTTTGATAAGTTAAAACACCAATTTTCAGTGAAAATTTCGCGACCTCGTATTTTTTTATTATCAATGTCCTATCATGGGCTACTAAAAAAAAGAAACCAAACCAATAGCCTACATTTCATGTAGTGCTAACAATTAAAAGTGTAATTTGCACAAGTGTCTGAAAATGATGTAAAAAAACATAAACACAGGTGTTCTTGACAATTAAAATTGAAAATATGAAAAATATTTGAATATTATAATTTTACGGAATTCCTTTCATAATTATTTTTTCACTGTGTCGAAAAGTTTTATCAATAGTCTGGGTAGTTTACTATATGTTATTCACTAAAATCTTTTCTACTTTCAGACACGATAGTAAAATGCAATTTCTTCGCTACAAACCATCTCCATGGGTTCTATTCACATTGTAAGCAAAAATGATAAATAAATTAAAATATTGTCAGTCTTCTTTGCCTGATACGTATGTTTCGATGTTTTTTAATTGAATTTATTTATTTTATTAGATGTCTCCTTCTATCTTATCATAATAATATATATTGTAATCCTGGAAATGTGGAGAAATTATTGCACAAACTTTAAAAGCCAAATAGACCTGTTGATCCCGGAATAATCAATTATTTTATATCAACGTTGAATCTTACACTCACCCCGGAAAATATACTACGATTTCTGGAAAAACACGTGATATTCAAATTTTATACGATAATGCAACTAATATGGGCCATTATATGTGCATATATTATGATCCAACATATGAAACTGTTTATTGTTATGATAGTCTTTACGATGATTATATTCATATGTGTAAAAGGAATTGTTTTTGTTAAGCCGAAAACTGAACAATATGAAGAAACATCAAGTGGTGCATTTGCAATTGCAATATATGCAACGACATTGATCTTGAGTGAAGTCCAACTTATGGCCTAAAAATGAGTTCAAATCATCTTGACATAGCTATTCATTTAAGAAATCATATTGCAGAAATGTTTCAAACTAAACATTTAACAAAATTTCCATAGTAAATTTCAAAAGTAAAATTTAAAATATTTAAAAATATTGAATTCATTCTATTTCATTTAAAATAGATCCGATCACCTGCACATTGCAGAACTTCATCATTACGTTGTCAATTTAAACCCGGTTGTACTAGAAGAGCTAAAAATTCCAAATGAGACAAATTATTTATTTATCAAATTAGTTCAGGTAACAACGAAATTCGATATGATTTTTGCCGATTTTGTGAACTATCCTGAATTATATCCCAAATACAATGGAAGCAAAAATTGGTCTTTATATATGTGTCCTTTATAATGCTCGCCATCGGACTGTTTCCATGTAGGATGGTCACTATACGCAATGGTTGAGTGAAACACAAAAGCAAATTATAAATAATCGCTATCCAAATCGTAAAGAAATAATTCATTATATTGATACAACGAGAAAAAAAGCTGATAACTCATCGTGTGGACACTTTTCCATTGCAAATGCACTGCATTGATTCTTGATGGCTATGATCCATCGAGTTATCAATTTAAAATGGGCACCACAGATGATAAAGCATTTTATTTTGAAAAACATATTTTGAAAATGTTTCAAGCAAAAAAATGGTCATTATTTCCGTAGAAATCTGTATGAAAAAGATTCATTTTGATTTGAAATAATTTTATTTTAATAAAAATTATGTGACAAAATACATTGTTAAGAGAAAACGTGAACTCTAGAATTTTTGCATTACTGGCTACTTAGCAGAGTTTGAAAATAAAAGATTATGATTAGCTATTTCATGATGGCAACGGTAAATCAGGTTAGATCGTGTACTATAATGTATAAGTATACTATTGTTTTTTTTTCTTTCAAAAATTGCTATACAAATTTCCATGCAAAAAATAACAATAATTTGAAATGAATTTGATAATTCAGCTTTGCGTTTTTGTTTTCTTCTTTAAGCTTTATTCGTCTTATAAAAACCGTTTAAAATATTGTTACTAAATCGTGTTAGTTATATTTTTTAAGTATTGAACTCACTATAGCATATACATTGCTTAGTTGAATTTGCTGTGCGAAATTTAAGTTACGTGAAAATTCTTGCAGGGAACTTGTCTTGATTTGAATCAATTTGAGGTTTATTTACAACCTATTACAAATCTATTTTACGCGATTTATTCCAATGGAGAAAGTTTTTTTCAATATCGAACTTTTTCCTCCTTAGTACGTATAATAATGTTAATTCAACATTGTTTGTTTTTGTCATTTTTCATTATTGATCGTTTTTTTTGAAATAATATAGAAAATAAAAAAGAAAATGAATATTTTGTCGACGTTAAACTTATGAAAAAAATATTAATTTTTTGAGGACCGATATTTTAATCAATGCATTTTCCTTCGAAAACTCGGTTCATCAAACCGCGTTGTGTATCGATTTGGCCTTCTTCCATCAGCTTCGAGCGCAGAACTCCCAATGCCGTCGATTCGAATTCAATTCCATTGAGTTTTTTCAAATTTGACATGTCTTCTACGAAATCCATCACTGCATCCACCGAAATATCCATTAGTTCCAATTCAAGGTCTTCCACTGTTTGCCAATATTTCTTTATAACAGCAAAAAACCAACTGTAGCCACCGAACATGCTCAAATTGGCATTCAATTTCAATTTTTTCAAATCATTTTCAACGACAAATTCAAGAAACGGTGCCATCAAAAAATCACAATCAATTTCAAGTTCTTCAAGTTGATCGAATGCAAGTGGCAATGGAAATGCATCATCACCGAAGAAATATTGGAACCGATGAAATGTCACTGAAGCCTGTTTGACTGTGGTGAATCGGATTTTCTCGTTACTCACCAAAAGCTGTACCTAAGGGGAGAATCACAAAAGAAAAGAATAAAATTGAAAATAATCGATAAGTAATCGGAAAATAATCGTAAAACAATCAATAATAATTAATAAGTAATTTTCAAGTGATTTGCCCCTGGGCTGTACCATTTCGCCCATAACTCCTTCTCTATCAGCATTGACGTGTATTTCCAGGCGTTCTAGCTCTGGCAACTGGGTGTTAACCGCTTTCAGAATTTCCGGTGAACAAGCTGTTAATAAAATTGAGAGTACAATAGAACCAATCTACCTCAGAATTAATATTGCTCTTCAAGTGAATGCTTACCATAACCAAAACTAAGAGTTTGGTGTTTTGGGTTCGTGATCATTGCCGTTTCTGAATTGGTGACGAAAACATCAAGCACTTCATCATGCATGAACGGATGTTCTTCATAACTTTTGAGGACATTGCGATGCAAATTCAAATGACGCAATTTTGGAAACCAAATGTTGAACTGGCTGATTGTTCCACCAAAAACGCTGCAACAGAAATAAACGATTTCGACACCGTTGAACGGCTTTTCGATTGTATCGAACGCATTTTTTTTGCAGCAAAACAAACGAATCTCTTTCAATGCATCGCCACAGTAGGTGGTTATGTAGCGTTCAAGCATCGGAATGATTTTATGATCAAAGTTAATGTGCAGCTTTGAAACCATTGCACCAAAATTGCGCAGCAATTTTAGTAACATCACCACTGATGTTACAATCATTTTTTCCGACGTTGATTCTTTACGGTTGTTCACCGCAGTTTTATCGTTGACATACAACTTAACCAACTTGTTGGTGTATTTGCGTGCGAATAACGACTTTGCCAAATGATTCATGCGTGTGCAGGTATCAGCCATTTGGAGGAGTTCATTGACATCCATCCGGTCCAAAATAGCTTCAAAGCAGTCATTATTCAGATCATCGAATTCCATTTTTGATGGTGAACCAGGAACCAAAAGTGACTGATCGATTGCATTTTTGCTTTGACTGCCGACATCTTCTGGTTGCGAATATGACATTTTCCTTTACGATAATTAGCCAAAAGAAGAAAAAATAGATAAGATACGCTCGTCTCAAGTATGAATTTTAATTCGAAAAAAGGAATTTTTATAAATATTTTGTAAAATCACAAAGTGTCAGTATAATGTACAATATGAGAGTGTGTATGGAAAAATACCTTGTTTGTGTTCAAAATCCGACAGTAAAATAATACGAAATTCTTCTTTCACTTTAGACGATGCAATAATTTGGTTTTCACTTGGAAAATATACTTTTTTTAGCGAAAAACTACATTCAACATTTATTTTGATCACAGAATATGTTGGAATCACTGCGTTGCTTACTGTGATTCAATCGTTTTGGTTGTTTCCACAGTTAAAATGGCGGATGGAATGAGATGTGCCCGTTCATTTGTGCTGACACATTGCTTTTGAATTTGCATTTGTTGTAGTGTATTCGGAATAAAACGTTAATTGGTCTGCGTGCCTGTGGCATTTGATACTGACACTGATCAATGTGTTAGTGGGTATTATAAGAAATACAGCTTCATTTGGAAAGTATTGTGATGTCAGCAATATATCATTGACAGGATATCTTATAATTGAAAAGAAAACACCAAATAATAACAACAAAATAGTAACACGAAGAATTGTCACATGCAAAATCATTACATTCAAAGACAATTTTCTAAATAATTTCAATTTTCTATACATTATGAAATAAACAATATACTTATGATGATCAACACTGTAGTTCTTAAACATTAAATTCAGTGTCAACAATACTTTCATTTTTTTCGTTTTTCTTCATCATTGTCGTAATCTGACAATCTGAATCTTTTATTCTTACTGATCAATTTGATACAGATTCACGGTGTAAGAGTTGTCCTTACCATTTTATGAATAAACTACACATATGCTTTTTCTTAAATTTCAATTTTGACTCAATCGGTTTAAAAAATATGAACAATTGCCGTTATGAGCCAATTTCTTCAAGAAATAAAAAGTAAAACAACGCTCTTTGTTAGATTGCTTTCATAACGACATTATTTATTACACTCAATTCCTGGTGATTGAATATGAAATATCTTCACAAAATTACACTTCAAAAAATTGGTACTCTGAAGTGATTTTGTTATTAACGTAGCATTCATCATTTTCACTATTGGAACGATTAGAACAATATTTCAGTGCTCCACTTAGAACTTGCATCATACCTACAAGGACAAGCGTTACAAATCCAAAAACGGCCATTATCTTTACAGTCATATTAAAATCATCGAAATTTGGTCGTTTGTCGAATTTTGAATGTCTATGGATCGTCTGTATCAACCGTATGCCTCGTCGACTTCGGGTTTGCTTTTCCTTGGGTTGATTGGTTGACTTATCACCAGTTGTCTGTAGGGAAAAAACGTTTTTTTATGTCATGGAATTCAATGTTTTCCAATATGTACCACTGTCACATACCTTTCCAGCCAGGCCAACGGCATCGCAACACCAATCCACACCAACATCGTGAAACACTTGCATCATGTTTTGACCGTTGTTTGCATTTGCCTTGATTCTTTCTTGTTTCCATGCGTCATTTTCACATTCTACAAAATTCCAAATGCTTTACTATTTAGGCACGAATAATCCTGATCTTTTATTACCTGAACATAGCTTCTCCAAATGGCTTTTGACACGATCGTTTGCCACAAAATTTGTCAAGACGTTGTCACCATCACAAATGGTACAATATTTTTTGTCGTAAAATACATTCATGCACATTGAAATCTCTTCGTCCGAATAACGTGGCGGATGATTGCCAGCAACATTTTCGCTATAATTGTGAAAATACACGTTGAAATGAGTATTTCTTTGTATTTTCAAGTGAATCACTTACCCCAATACAGTTCTAACGAGTAACAGAGCGAAACATAACCTGAACATTTTTATTAAACTTTTCGGTGTTGACAATGTGCAACACAAATTTCTGATTGGATAAATACGAAATTGATTTAAAGTCACAAAACAATTTTTACAATATTGAAAATGGGCCTAATAAATTTAGATAGCGGATATATCGAAGAAATGAGTTTCTTGTCGTATCTGAAAATATGTACGATGAATTGTCAACGCATTGCGGTATATATCCGAGTGTGATATTCAAATTCGCATCACCAATATAAGAGGTTATATTTTCAAGACAGCGCTGCATACCAATACATATGTTGAGTTGGATGTGACAGTACCCTTTTGAATGTAAAATATTCGGAGAAATACCAGTTCGTACAACACAAAACATTCATTTAAAAAAACACCAACGGTTAATTTATTATAACATATAATATATTATTGAAATATGTGTTCAATTCTTTCTATTTGGCAATGTACACATTTGATGCTTTCTTAAAATATAATGGCCATTCTTTTTACTGATGTTCAAAAACATAAGTGGTTGATGTGGAATGTCCGTGCAAACGATTCCGTCGGTTGACAAAAGAACGTAAAATCAACGCTGATATAATTAAAATTGTTAGTAACACACCAACAATGATAGCAATTAGATATACAGAGCCCATGTAATGATGAGCTTCAACAATTTTGGTTCGTTTAGTCGGCTTTGGTTTGGTCGAATTGGCCGCCAAACCTGAGAGTTTGGTCGTTGACTCGATGACCGTTTCATTCATGGTTTCATTAGTGGTTGTGTCATTTTCGCTCGATTTTGATTGAGTCTCTTCTGTGACCGATGCATTCGTTGTAATGTCCTCTGATCTCCCAGTTGGCTCTGTCGAATTTATGACCTTTTCATTCTGATTATCGGCGGTTTGACCATTAATATCGCTGCTATTGTTAAGCAAACTCTTTTCACCAATGCTATGACTTGCTGTAGTATTCTGAACAATAAAAAAATGTTGATTACAATTTGTACATGTTACAGTAGAACAGAAGTGTGCATGGAACATTTTTCATGGAGATGATTTTTCGAAAACTAAAAATTCTCTAATTTCAAATTTCGTTTTTTTAGAAGTCAATTTTTGACGCGAAAATCCCTAGCAAATTGGGGAAAGTTATCTCGGATCCAAAAACTCTAGCAAATCACCCCGCACACTACTGCAGTAAAAAATATAAAAGCAATTCACTTACCGGATCGACTATTTGAAGAGCTCTGATACACCATTTCTTATCTTTCAGTTTGGTCACAATGTTCGTGTACGATTCGTTAACTTCTTTGATGGTGCAAGTTTTCGTATTACTATCGATGTTCTCCAATTCTTCGCTGCAAAGCACAAATTCTTTCAAACTCTCCGATGCCGAATATCGTTCGTACTGTCCACCATCAATTTCTAATGAGCAACCTTAATTTGGAACGAACGAATATCCTATCAATCAGTTGAAATAATAAAAACACACGTTTTACCTAAACACTTTGACGAGGCGATAGATTGTGCCGTTTCGTTGAAAAACAGTAAATCATGTGCCTGCACGATGGACGACAGTGTATCATTTGGCAACGGTTTTAATGTAACCGATTTCTTTGGACAAACGCTACAAAACGTCTTGTCAAATAACAATCTAATGCATTCAAATGCACATTCATCGGTTTGTTGATTTGACTCGCTGGTGCAATTTAATCTAAAAGCAAAAAAAAAAAAGAGAAAATGGCACACATATTTGTAAATTAGATCAATTGCATTGGAAACCGTAGCAAAGCAACAACAATTTGTTTTCTTGTTGAACGAACTTACCCCCACACGAATGATTTTGGTCGAATCAAAAACGCCAAAAAAATGTAAACTACTAACAATTGTTTCAGCATTTTTGCCTATTGATGCACTTCACACTTAATCACGGTGGTTTTCTTTCTGTAGAAAATTGACTGGTCGCAGAAAAAATATATGTTCCCTTTTGACGATACAGTTAAATTGAGTAAATTCATCGGCCTAAACCGGCAATTCGCATGTGCTTGTCTGTATGAAACGTCAGAACGCACGCAATGCACTAACACAAAATATATACGCACACAGAGATGGTCGCTTGATGGTTGCAAATTTTCCTTTGCATGACACCGCGACGAATGTTACTGGAAGAAAAGAGTAAGAGTAAATAGACAGATGGACGCGCGAAACTATATACAAACACACACTTCAACTTATCGACACGGTTTTGTGTAGCATCTTGGTATTTGGTGTATTTTGTTTATGCGTTCGCTGTCAACAGCTCTTATGTATTGGAGTCAAGAATTCTTCTCAACTTCGCTGTCACACAAATCAAAGCAGCACTAATCTGATGTTAAGAGCTCTTTTGTATGCAATGCAACCTACCAAGCAAATGTGAACGATGACTTATTTTTTCAACTAGAGTTAAGGCCGGCCGACATGCTCGACAGTAAATAATTTTTTTCAAAGATGATTTTTTATGCGATGCAAAATTGATTTCAAAAACTAATAATAGCATTTCAACTGAACTAAAAATGGCTTTTTTAATCGCTTATGTTATACAAACTGTGAAATATGACACCATTCAAATACGTCTTATATCACAATTATCGTTGGTTTAATAAGCATATATCCTTCAGATTTCCACTCGCGTTCTGCAAAAAGAAATAAACAAACAACGATTTTTGTTCTTATGTTCGACTTAACATATTCTGTTTTATTTTACACGATTATAAACAATTTTTTGGCATTTTTTCTTTTCTTCGTTTCGTTCTTTTTAACGTTTTTTTCTTCTTTCATGACAAATTCACTTACTAACCAGACTGAAATAACAAAAAAAAACACTAACAATAAGGCGAATCCGAAGTGTTATGACTACATTTTACTGAAGCGATTCTAATTGCTTTCTTTTTACATTTAATCTTTTTCTTTATTCAATTTCCATTGTTCAATTGTGTTTGTTCATTCACAAGGCTTGTAGGGATCGCAAATGTTGAGTCTGATTGATTCTCTTCATCAAAACAACGCATGCCAATTGAACAACTTTCTTATTTTCCGAATGCACAAATAAAAAAAAATATTGTACAACCTACATGTTGAGATATTCATTTGTAATATGCACAAATGAGTCGATAATTCGTGTGTTGATTTGTTTTGATGGGATCATTTTACATTTTTTTCGCTTTCTTATTGTTCTTTTGTACGGATTTTTGAAGTTGATAGCCTTAATGCACATTTCAGTCTTTTTTCTTTGAATTTGAAAAATATGCTGCCTACACGTTCCATGCACTTCAAAATGCAGCGTGCATGTTGAAAATTAGAGGAGGTTTGTTGAACTGCCTACATTATTGGATGATATCGCTTTCAATACCTCTTCTTGTAATGTTGATGGCGGATCGGACAGTATATCTGTGGTGGTCGATAAATAACGTAGCTTATCGGAAACAGCTGCAAGAAACAAAAGAAAATATCGATTAGATCAACCACAACTTGTATAATTCATTTACATTTACCTGGACGAATTTCAACTAAAGAACAGTGTTGATCCACCCAAATCATTGCTGAACGATATAACTCGTCCATGCTGGCTACTGAAACTGTTGAATTGTATGAGTTCAAAAGTGGTTCGAATATTAGGCCAAGCTGAAATAAAAAAAATGCATTTTATTACTTTGAATATTGGAATGTAATTTTTTTTCGGATCGAATTATTGAGAAAAAAATTCGACTTACAATCCAAAACTTCCAATTCTGTAACGTTTTTTCTCTTACATATTCCGTATACATTTCTTTGACGCGACTCGTTCTCTGTCGTGACACTGGAGCTCCGTTTGCCGGCAGTACTGAGTGTAAATGACTGAAAAATAACAAATTAAAATCGACTTCATTCCGCAAAAATCGGAGATCAAACTCACTTTAACGAATTATTAAGAGCGTCTCGTTCTTTGCGTAGTGTGTCCATTTTTTGATTAACAGCATCCCGTTCGGCTCGTAGCTGCTTAATATATTCGGCGCCCTTTTGTAGCATAGCTGCCTTGCTCAATTTTGCATTTGGATTTTGATGCAATGTTGGTATGAGTGTGTGAAGCATATCAAAACCATTCTTGATATTATATCGTCGTTTTTGTTCAGCATGTATGTGTCCAACGCGTCGTTGCATTGATTCGCCGCTTGATCCAGGCGATAATTGTGACAGACTCACACCAGCACTGGGTGAACCAACAAATTTATTATCAGGTGATAATGGTTGAGAAAATTGTGTTGAAAATTGACTTTGGAATTGATTAATTTGTTTTTTCTGCTGTGTTTGTGACATCGTAATCTCGTTTGGTGTTACAACATTGGCGTTTTGAAGTACATTTGATTGCTGTAGATTTGTAACCGATGAACTACCGCCGCCCGAATTTGACGGTGACGTCAACAATTGGGCAAGAGTTTTTAGCATGGGTTCACTCGCAGCCGATTGCAGTGATGGTGTACTGTGATGTTGTTGCTTTGAAATCATTGAATTACTTCTGGCACGAATGCGATTCGATGTCGATGTCGATTTGGAGGCTTGGTACTTTGGCACAACAAACGATTCTTCACGCATTACCGGCAATTGCAACGTACTATTCATTGGTAGACTCTTTGAGCGGAACAATTCTTTATCCATTGCCGCTGTATTTACGCTAAGTTGTTGTGGTTGTTGCTGTTGATTCATTTGTGTTGCCACCGACTGTAGATTTCGTTGTGACAATTGCTGGTACGATGCACTTTTCATCGATTGTTGCAATGAATATGGTTTATAGGCGTTAGTTGGTGATCCGGTCGTTGTCATTTTATACGGATCCAGTTGACTTATATCAATGTCGGATGCATTCGATGTGCTTTTCATTGACAGCAGCGATAGAAGATTTGAGCTCGATTTAGCGGTTGAAGTTTGTGTTTGTGATGCCATTTGGGGTTGTTGCGTTGAATTTTGCATCATATTCATAACATTTGCATTCATTTGATTTTGTGGCACATTGAATGTATTATTTGATGTTAGATTCAATGCATTTGCATAGGTATTTGTGGTGGTTTGAATTGGTGATTGGACATTTTGTGAACCCAAATAATTTGTACTATTATAAATTGTTGTGCCACCAACACCGCTCATTGAGCTATTTAGTTGATTTTGTTGTTGCTGCTGTTGTATTTGAAGTTGCGTTCGATTTTGTTGTGCAAGCATTTGATTGTACAGATTTGTTTGATGTTGTGTAGGTGTTGATTTATCATAATTGTGTGGTTCACGTCGACCAAACAATTGTGACCGAAGACCACGTTCTTTGATCGGTATTCGCTTTTTGGCTCCAGTTAAATTGGATAAGTCGACATTTTGCGATTGAATTACCGCTTGATTTGTACTTGCACTCATGTATGGAGTACTTTGACTGAGCATTGATTGCGTTTGAATTTGTGATGGCACAACGTTACCACTTCGGCTCATTGTCAATTGATTCATTGGCGGTGGCATCGCTTGATTACCCTGATACGGTAAGATTGAAGCTTGGGATTGTGTATTGAATGGCAGCATATTTGCTGAATTTTGTGATTGTTGCATTGTTCGTGCAGAGGAAGCGCATATTAATGAGTCGGACAATTGATCGCGTGCATTTAAATTGGTCACATCGCTGATTGTCGTCTGTTGAATCATCGATGAATCCATCGGTTCTGATTCTGAAATTATGAAACCGGTATTATTCAATTTGATAAATGCTAAAAAAAATCCATTGCATACCCATTATCGCAGGAAAATCGTAGGAGATATCTCCTCTGTACATGCCGTCGTCGCTGCTCTCCTCGGGAACTGGTGGTAAACGCGACGATAAATGACTATTTATGAGTTCTGAAATACAAAACGAAAAAAGATAAATCAATGACGAATCAAATTGGAAGTGTTTAGTGTGCAATAATACCTTGCAACGGAAGTTCATTCATAAAATCCTCCAAGTTTGGTTGAAGTGGCCCCAAGCTTGGCTGAATAAAATCAGCAATGCCAGCTTTAGCTGTGAAACAATAAGCAAAAATATTTTGTAATTTGAGGAATAAGTTCAAAAACTAAAGTAAATTCATCAAAAATCAGTATTTAAAAAAAAAAAAAAGAATTCTCGAAACATACCAATTTCACGTGGATCCGGAAATGGAAACGGTGTTGAATTAATGGTTGAGAATAATGTATCAGCTGTCCAGCAGTAATCATCAATGCTCATTAAATTCTTATCACTGGTTGCCGGCGACCAATCGAATATATCAATTTCACTAACCTGCGCAAAATGTACGAATTAAATTTAGTCAATGTGTAACATGATAATTATTCAATATACGTTGTTTGTATGTGAAAACAAAATGCATGCGGTTACTCACTGTATCTAATATGGCATTTGCGAGCCCACGGTTACGATAAAATTTTCGCCATTTCATGTATTCGGCTTTAATAACGTCAAATTGTCGTTTCCAATATTTGCCCTCAAGTACGACTGATTCGGGTTTACTGTGTAGATCTACATCTAATGGTGACGCAAACTGACACACCAGTGTTTTTTTCTTCATTATAACTGGATATGAATAGCAAAATAAAATCGAATTACAAACACATTGATGATAATATAAGATTAAAAAAAAAACATACGAATAATTCGCGGAACTTACACTGCATATGCCAACATCGCCAAATCAAATTGTTCAATCGAATTTTATCTTTCCAACGCAGGCGAATTCCTTTAAAACTGTTCCATTTGGGTGATGTCAATTTTTGTCTACAATCAAAGTCGAACAACATGAAATAATAAAACAAAATTTACACACAATAAACTAACACTAATGACTAGATGATAAAATATTAAACTTCAAGCAAAATGAGAACGTGACTTTTTTTTGTCTCTGTGTGTCTATCTATCTTTGTTTGCTGTTATATTTTTTGCTGGCACCAAAACGAAAAAAACGCGGTTAAACAGTCATCGAGATAACATGGTGCAATTTTAGAAAAGATGACGTTTCTGGAATTTTGTTGACCTTTGTACTGTTGCCAAATTTTGAACCAGCTTGCTGATTGCTACGCGCTAATCTCATTGGAAATTTGACAAATTCTTTTCATTATAGCTTGATTTTGAGTTTTAATCAAATATTTCGAAGTAATTTAAATTAAAAATTAAATACAATTTGGTTGGTTTTTGCACCAAATCTTATCTTTATCTATTTGGTTTTCAATTTAAGAAAAATTATTTTGATCCAACAATAAATCAGTATAATTGTGTTGTAAATGTCAAATGAACGAGAAAAACGCCGAATATGTTTATAATATTGCTCATCATTATTTCGTATCTCCACGCAGAGAATTTCACGTGCTCAGTAGGAACAAAAAATTAATTATCGGTGGCAATGATTTTAAAAATTTAAAGAATTGATGAAGTAGCGCAAATATATTAAAAATAAACGGTAACCCACAAAATGAGTGCTGATTTTTTTTTCTCTCGTCATAAAAAAGCTATATATATATATATATGAATGAGAAGATCGCAAAATGTGCATAAGGATTGGTCATTTGCTGCGTACATTCAATATTTTAGCCAAGATCAAAGTGCAAACACATACATATATACTGGTGATATACAAGACCAGAAAATGTAAACAAAATAATTTGCCGCTTGTGCTGACTTTGCCGTCCCAATACTTCGCGGCCACAGTGAATTCAACACAAAAACAGAAACAGAAAGTGAGAAAGTGAGAGAGAGAGGGAGAAAATTAAAAATTCGCTTCTATTGGTTTTTATAGCAAGCTAAAGTGCATTCTGTCATCCGTTTACATTTGAATGTATTTATAGAAATGTTATTTAAATTTTATTTATGCTATCACCAATAAATGGCAACAAGAATCGACTAAGTACACAGAAAACTTGGTTCTGTGTCGATGTTTCACTATCTCACTGCCTCTCATTTTCGTTCGGCAATGGTTTTTTTTGCGCATACCCAAGAGACAGCTGAATTTCACATTATGCGATCAAAACAAAAATTTGCGAATAAAAGGAAAATATAAACAATACTTGTTGGTGGACACACTGCGTTTTTATGTGTTTAAAATTGATTATTCGTTGCTTATACACACAGCGGGATTTTGCTTTGAGAAATCCAAATAATTGCGTCTAGATTTTGCGATACTACATTTGTTTTTCGTTATCAATTTTCTATCTTCTGATACGGAAACTTACTTTCAATAGCACTTTTATCACAATTAGTTTTTTTATGAGGTGTCTATATCTGCCCAATACCTAATATGTATAGATAGTAATCACTATGGTAGAAAAAAAAAGTTTCCAGGCCAGAAAAAAAAGATCACAAACACTCTGTGTCTAGATGTTAAGTGAGCACCGTTTCTAATGTTGCGATGCAAATTGACCGAAAAGTAGCAAAGGGTGTACATAGAGGCCTTGGGAATATTAAGATAATGGTGATAATACACTTGATAAGCAGTACCATTTTTGAATCGGCGATGAAAAAAAAAGAAATCCCGTATATGGATTACACTGGCGCACTTTCTTTATGTGCCAATTAATTTCTATTCAGTGCGTACTTGAAATGTTGTCGACACAGATAAAGGGGCCAAAATAAAATTGAAAAAGAAGAAGACAAGGAAGAAAAATACGGTTTGCTTACAACTCTTGCGCTTAGATAATTATCAATTTGATTAAATATTTTCACTCGCGTGTCACTTTATATTTTGGCGCAATATTCATCTTCTTTCGGCGTGCGAATTACGAACGTTTTTTGCGATTAAAAAGGCATAAAACCAGAAAATATAGAAACGTAAAATTGACGAATGATAGCCTATTGACATCAATGAATCTCTATTTTACATCGAAATGTGAGATCATGCCAGCTCATATAGTCATAACCAACAAATCACTTCAATAATTTTCCTGCAACAAAATGCGCACGCGGAAAATTCCAATTTGTTTTCGATACAAATGAGCATGTCTGAAATTCAGTTGTGGACTTTGAGTTCGTTTTGTCTTTCAATCTACAAACACTAAAAATAGAAATTGTAATGTTAGAGTTATAATATTTTTTTGCCGTCGTAAAAGTGAAATATGCAAGTTAATCGCCAACTGAATTCCATTATCGCGTAGCAAACAACCTTTTGTCAACTTGAAAAATAGCGATATATAAAAATTTGCTATGATTTCGTTTGTTTTTGTACATTCCAGGGCGCACACACACACATCCATTTCTGGTTGAACTGCTGTGAACTTATCGATAACATGTTGAGTATGATAATTTTTCGATATGAGACACTCACCTGTATGCTAAATTCATGCATTTGAAGAGTTTCGCCAGCGAAATATCGATTACAGCATTGTTTGCTCTTGCATTTGTTGTGGCAATGGCATGGCTTTGATGGTTAGTACCCGATAATGCAACCACACCGGTGCATGTGTTTAATGGAACGATGGCACTGCCACCATCATCGTCGGGCATTGGTAATTCGGTGTCTTCATCATCTTGAGCTTCGGCTTCAAAGTGTGATACCATAAAATGGCCCGAATGTATTATCTCCTTTTCACGTTTGTCTGCCGTTTTTGCACTGTTCCGAAGTGCGGACGATGTTGGCGTTGGCGGCGACGGGGCTGAAACCGATGTTAGCCAAGAATCGCGCAGTAACTGCGCTTGATGTGACACACCTTGTGCCATTTTCTTCAGTGATTTATATTTACGTTTTCTGCTCGAGCACCACTCTTATCAAATCTAATAACACAAACGATAAAAGTTTTTTTTTATTAATTTTCGAGTAACGAAAATTGTGCGTAATCAATCATATGATGTATAAACACACATTGGTAAACAATTTATATGATATTGAATTTGGTTTCTTGTTCGAATGTAATTTTTTGTGGTATTTAATTAGGGAAAAATAAATATTTTTCTTATCAATTGCTGTTTTAATGATCCGAACTTGAAATTATCGATTTAAGACGGAATTTTTTAAGCTTATATTCGATGCAAGGTATTCGTAATAATTCGAGCAATTTTATCCACAAATCGAGTTTCTTTTTTTTACACAAACGACCAAATACCAACTCACGGAATAGCGCGGAATAGATACAATCAAATGCATTGAAAACGTCGCACTATTAAATCGAAACTATTTCAATCTATACACACAATAATTTGGGTAATCGATAATGACAACATTTTTGTGACATTACACAGACATTACGCTGTGCTGAAGATACACAATATCAGAAGATTTATATGGGGTTTTTTATGTGGCTGTGGCATACAAATAAAATGTAATCAATTACACTGCGGGCTTGTCTCGAACTTTTTATTAAATGTCTAACTCTCTCTCTATTTCTCGATGTGTATCCGATTTATAGTCGCATTGTCGACATCATTAATCTCAATTGAACTATTTATACAAAAACACAAATAGAATAACTTCTTTAACTTGTAATACGAAGGCTTTGTTTTCGATATATAATTTTTGTTTTGGTCGAGTGTTTCACTTACATGCAAATAGTAATAATTTATAGTTATCTAGCGACTATAAGACTTTGCTGTTATATCCTATCGAATTGACTATAGCGCCATTTCGCGTTTCGGCACGATATAATGTATATAAATTCAAAATGAACATGTGTGTTTGATTTGCGGGCTTGAAAAAAAAAACAAATTTTTTGTTTTGTTTTTACACTTTTCTCTTTCTAACTTGCTTCTATATCACACAACTCGATTTACAATATCCATTCATTTGGATTGACGCGCTTTACATAAACGTCTATGCGTGCAAATGGATCTATGTATTTGTTTCATGGATCAATTCATGAAAACACACAACCGAAAATATGTATGACGATATGAAATTTAAATGTCGTCGTTCTATTTTGTTGGTTTGGTCAAAATAAAAATAAATTTCCACGATGAGCCCGCTCAAACGAATTGCGAACCGAGCTCACACTCACTTCGAATTGGCTGTGTTATGATGTCTATAGCCGCGAATGTGCAAACCGAAACGATTTGAAAATATCTGATAACTCAAAGCGAAAAATGAAACAACAACAAAATATGAAAAAAAGGCCAGCGAATGAAGAAAAAAGATGATGAAGAAACAAATACGACAACGACAACAACAACAAAATGGACTGATAAATATAAATATTCATTTACTTTGCGCCTGACGTTTGTTTTTGTATGCAAAACACTATACACAATTGAAAGAAAAAAAAATGTAATGAGACTGACTGCAGAAAAATATCGTTTCGATGGTGCTCGAATTTAAGTTTTGTACACTTTTTCTGCACACACACACACACCAAACACTTGGTCGTGAACTTATGCGGCTGTTGAATCACTTCTGTCACATATTTTCTGATTGATTGAATCAAAAAAAAAAAATATTTGTTTCTCTCTGTTCGTCGTGTGCTCGGTTATGTGCTCTTTTACAGTTTAATCGTGCGATATCAGCAATTGGAAAAACAAATCCAAAGAACTATAAAAGTCCGATGATAATGATTTTTGTTTTTTTCGTTGACAAAAAAGAGAGAAGAAGACATACACACCGCACCAAACGAGCGATAATCGTTATTACGTTTGATTGTATGTAGCTTTCGATATTGCATGTACTCTTGTCACATGAGATAACACAAAATCGAAACGAAGCAACAAGAAAAATAATATCACTTTCAAAAGATAAATACCATATTATATTTCGGTTTTTGTGTCGTTTATTTATTCGATTCCGATTGTGATTTTGCAAGCCCCAGCTAGAATGTTTTTCTTCTCGCTTAATGTTGATGTACAGTCCGCATGGTTAATTTACAAATCATTGTAGTGGCGTGTTTTTTTCCTCTGTTGTGTGTATGTTATGCCACCAGTAAGTTTCCACTTCAAAAATAAACACAGAGATACAGTTCCTCTAACTACAACACTGTTGTCTTTTGTGAATGATATTTCTTTACTTAAATTTATTCTCTTGTCACATTTTACGTTTGCACCTCATAAATTTCATCAAATGATTTTTGTTTCACTACCCAAATCACATCAAACAATCGAAATTGATAGAAAACGAATAAATTTATTATACAAAATAGGCACATAACAAAAATGAACGGAAAAACCAACAAAAAAAACCAAACTCTCTCGACTATCTTCTGTCTTGTCGTGGTCGATGATAATAACTCGCTCTGTCTATACGTGCCCATACAAACACAACATTGTGGAACAACTACACATGCAACTAACACACGTCATCGTCTTTATTTATCTGAATACGTTATTGTATTGTGGCGAACGTATTCACGAAGTTAGCACGTAATACGAACGGTCGTTGTATTGGTGCCGTTCAAATAAAATACGGAAATGTCAAGTGCCAAACTAGAGAGCCCCTTTACTCTGTATGATTATTTCATTGAAACGCAATAATGATTTTGTTTTTAAAAACCTTCAACCGATCGTCATTCAAATGAAATGATTTCAATTGCGTCACACGAAAAATAAATTCATTGCATTAGTTTTTATTTTATTATCGGATTGATTTGAGTTTCAGCAACCTTAAAAACCAAACAAAAACACTGATAATAACATTCAAAACGTCATATTCATGCACGTTCGCCATCTGGTGCTGAATTTTATATGAAAACACAATTCATTTTGGGTACATACATATATATAACTGTGTTCAAAAATTTCAGTTGATTATCATATTTTATTTGAACTGACCTTGTATACGATATTCGAGTGGATTGGTATAACAAAACCAAGCAATAATTTTTCGTTGGGACTTTCTCTGGACGCGATTAACCAGTTTTGACTTTCTATTCACCGAAACGCAGAGTTCAAGATGTCAAAGTAAATGTCAAACCCATATGATATGAGCGTTTTGTTTTGATTAGATGTCGAACGTTGTTTTTATGGCTTAGAACGACAAACCGCATCTAGGAAGTTAAATAGAGGCAAGAGCAGCACTTTTTAGAGATAACGATCAAAACGATTCCACACATGCTTTATAACGTGTTGCATTCAAACATTTATATCAGTGTAAATTGTTCATCGAAATTCGATTTGACGTAAGTTTTATATTTCATAAATTTTCATTACACTGTATTTTATGTAGAAATGATTATTTTTGTTGATTTCATTTTTTCTTTCATTTTCACCAACCATATTGCATCATTCAAGTAATTAACTCACATTTTGTGGAAAATAATCTTATTTGATCTACAACGATTCTATATTCGTTGAATCTTTATTTATGTTATTTAGTTTATTTTAAACTGATGTAAAATTTTCCGATCTCACAATAGACACTTTTAACACGTGTACGTTATTCATGGCAATTTTCTTCGACAGCGAGAAAAAGAGAAGAAAAAAACAAATAATTTTTTGAATTAGTAATATACTAATTTAATGAAATGCAACAAGTGTCTGTGACATATTTTTATTTTTCGAAATAAAATAATAGAAAATTATTTACAGTCTGTTCACGTTCACTGTAAAAAGAAATGACGGAAACGATACCGTCTCCCGCAAAAATGAGAACAAATGTGTTAAGATAAATTCCACTGTTACCGGTGTGCAGAGCAAATTGTATATATGTGTAGCAAAACGCGTTTTGATCACCTGTTGTCGATTCGGTTTGGCCAAGAATTACTACAGAGACTAATTTATGTATTTAACGAGATTGTCTGGTTTGAAATTAAGTAGGCTTTTAACCGGTTTCCACGGTTTCCAATTCGGTCTATAGTTTCAAAGGTGAAAAATGCTTGTATTACATGAATTTTTGCGAACACACAATTTCAAATCATTATTTAACCCGATTGAAGTTTTTGAGAGATAAAACTTAATATAGTAGGAGATGTGAATAATTTGTGTAATAAATACACATGTATACATATAATTAAACTTAATATCAACTGTGGCCTACAGAGATACATTACATTGTGTATTAAATAATACGTCGTCAGTTGATCTGATAAATGAAAGATTTATATAATAAACACTAAATAGCAGTCTGTTATTTTTGTTAAACATTACATAAAAAAAATACGCGGTAAAATCAAATGAAGATGCGGTTATTCAGTATTGTGCGGTCAAATTTAAACTCAGTGCGGTCATATTTTCATCATTTTTCCAAATTTGTGTTCTAGAATTGACCGCAATTTACCGCAGTCATAGAAAATTTTATCGCACACACATAAACGTCAAAATCAAACAACCAATTCATCGTGTAGGAAAACATTTACGTCAAAAATATTATTTGATTTCAAATAATATAGAAGAACATTTTCGTGATTTGACCGCATATTTTTTGTGTGTAATTGTTCTCCTTTTTATTCTTAAAATATATTAAATGACTCTTATGTTTGTCTTTATTCCAGGTAGCACCGCGAACAAAAGAAATAATGGATCATTTATTCTTGGGTTCAGTTGCGCATTGTGAATCACGTGATTACCTGGAAACATTTGAAAATGGATTTGTTGCCATTGAAAAGGGCAAAATTATTGGTATTGGTGATCGTTCAGCGCTGCCACCTGATTATTTAAATTCATTGCCAGTGACTACTTTATCACCATCTCAATTTCTGCTGCCTGGTTTCGTAGACTGTCACATTCATGCGCCACAGTATCCAAATATCGGCTTAGGTTTGGATCTTCCGCTATTAAAATGGCTTGATACGTATACATTCCCGTTAGAATCGGCCTATAGCAATACTGATTTTGCCAAACAAGTCTACGAAGCGGTGGTGCGTCGAACAATCAATTGTGGGACCACTATGGCGTCGTATTTTGCTACCAACCACAAAGACAGTTCATTGATACTGGCATATGAAGCCACAAAACAAGGTAATGTTTTTTAAAATTATCGTAAAAGTCTGAAATAACTCTGAATTCTTTTATAAAAAAAGGTCAACGTGCTTTTGTTGGAAAGGTGTGCTCAAATAATGCATCGCCAGATTACTACATTGAAAAAACTGCGGATTCACTGCGAGATACTGAAACATTCATCAATGATGTGTTAAATTTGAATAATCCTTTAGTAAGACCTATCATCACACCACGATTCGCATTGTCTTGCACATCGGAGTTGCTGAATGGATTGAGTGATTTGGCTGCCAAATATGGATTGAATATTCAATCCCATATTTCAGAGAATTGTGGTGAGATTGAAGCGGTTAAAGACATCTTCAAGAAAGAAACATACACCGAAGTCTATGAAGATACTAAATTGATGACGAGCAAATGCATTATGGCACACGGGGTACACTTGGAAGATGAAGAATTGCAACTTTTCAAAAAGTATGGCACTTCAGTGGCCCATTGTCCAACATCGAATATAAAGCTGAGATCCGGTTTATGCGATGTACGCCGCTTGTGGAATGCTGGCATTAAAGTTGGACTAGGAACCGATGTTTCAGGCGGTCATAATGCTTCGATGCTCGTCGCAATTCAAGATGCATTGAATGTGTCACACTGTTTGAATATATTTAAAAAGCAACACATTTTTGGATCCGGAAGGATTCAAAATCCGAACGACAATAGCAATAAGAACTATGAACCATTGGAGTACAAACACGCTTTGTATTTAGCCACATTGGGCGGTGCGCATGCATTATCCCTCGATAGTGTATGCGGGAACTTTGCAGTCGGGAAGGATTTTGACGCATTATTAGTTGACATATCCAAAGCACCATTGGATCTATTTGATATTCCAGCTTCCGTTAATGAAAAATCGATCGCATCACATGGTCGTGTGGATAAAATGGTTCAAAAGTTTTTGTATGCCGGTGACGATCGAAATATTGTCAAGGTTTTCATTGCAGGCAAGCAGGTGAAGAACGACCATTCCATCTAGCATTCCATTCAGTTTTTATTTTGTAATACTGCCAAAACTATTCTTTACCAAAGAAAGTGCTATGTATTCCATCGGTTTGTTACTTTTTTAATTAGTTTCTTTTTTATGTTCAGAGTAAATATTCATTAAAAAAAATGAAAAAGAAAAGGTTATATTTTAATTATTCGTGAACAACTTTTCAATGCCGTGAGTTCGTGGTGGACTCTTTATTACCGTGAGTTCGTACGTGTACTTAAAACGAGCTATAATTGGAAAAATCATGCACAAATTAAATATTGGTGTAATGATTGAAATTAACTCAATTTTTTTAAGTTATTATAATTGAGAGACGTTGTTTTTATTTTGTAATGCTATTTGGAGCCTACAGACTTAATTAAGTTAGTAAATCTTAAATTCTACTATGTCTATTTTGTTGGATTGCTAATGCATTTCTAATTTTGTATTTGTTTGTTTTTTGTTTTTATTTCACGTTGACAAATAAGATATTCTTTTAATAACAGATTTTAGTTTGTTTGCTTGTGTGTAAATAAAATGAAATTAAATTTCACATTAGATAAAATATATCTGGTCAACCAATAAAACAATCAAAGATAATAATATTAATAATAATAATAATGATAATACATGCTTAGAAAAGTGTATTTGTGTGTGTGTGTTTTCATTTTGAGTAATGAATAAAAGTTGAAAAGGTGTTGTTTGCGCTCGTGCAGTCGCTATATTATATATATGGTGAGGATCTTAAGAAAATGTTGGATTAGCAAATAAATGTTGTTTGTTTTCGTGTATGCAAAGCTTTTGCTAAAAAGAAATTTGATCAATGACTTCGATTGAGTGGCTGGTTTTGAGTAAATGCGCAAATTTTAATAAAATTGGGACCGAGTGTATTTTTAGAAAAGATCTGCAACATTCGCCGGCATTTCCTATGAAGATAAAGAATAAAAAAATGACAGAAAACGATTTACAGTCTCGATCAGTGCAAAAATAAATTACGGAAACTATACCTCGATACGAGTATTGTAGAAGGTTTCAATGTCTTGCAGAGTACGTTTATCCTTTTCTGTTACAAAATTGATGGCAACACCTTTGCGTCCAAAACGACCTCCGCGACCAATCCTATAATAAAATTTATTGAAATATGTTTTCGATCGTTTCAAATAGAAAAATCAAAAAATTTGGATTTCTCATGTCACTGACCTGTGTATATAATTTTCCCGATTCGATGGCAAATCATAATTTATGACCAACGAAACTTGTTGCACGTCAATACCTCGTGCCAGTAGATCAGTTGTAATTAATACTCGCGATGATCCACTTCGGAATTGTTTCATGATCAAATCACGTTCTCGCTGATCCATGTCGCCATGCAATGCCGACACCGTAAAATTATTTGCACTCATCTCTTCCGTCAAATAGTCGACTTTGCGTCGTGTATTACAAAATATAACGGATTGTGTAATTGACAACGTTTCGTATAAATCACATAGGGTGCCAATTTTCCAATCTTCGCGTTCGACATTCACAAAAAATTGTTTGATGCCCTCCAATGTGAGCTCTTCCTTCTTAACAAGAATTCGAACCGGTTCGCGCATAAAATACTTGCTCACATCTAAAACATCATTCGGCATTGTTGCTGAGAGCAAAATTACTTGGACATCAGACGGTAACAATTTAAAAACATCGTAAATTTGATCCTTGAAACCTCTGCTTAGCATCTCGTCGGCTTCGTCGAGCACAAATAGCTTGATAGATTTAGTGCGAAGCACTTTTCGGCTAATCATATCATACACGCGACCAGGAGTGCCTACCACAATATGGGTTCCCATGTCCAATTTGCGCATATCCTCATTCACATTGGTTCCGCCGATGCATCTGAAATTCAAAACCATTCTATTGTACTCAAACATACTTACAATCACAAAGAGGTATCAAATTTACATGAAAATATTTACGCTAAACATTCACTTACGCTAAACACTCCGCGTTCATGTAGTCACCAAGAGCGATGACCACTTTTTGAATTTGCGTTGCAAGTTCGCGCGTGGGTGCCAAAATCAATGCCTGGCAATCAAGAATCGATGTGTCGATTTGTTGCAGAATTGCTATAGAGAATGTAGCCGTTTTTCCGGTACCTTAACACGCCATGTAGTACATCAGAAAAAGCACCATAATTCCAATTGAATTAGACATCATAAAGCAAAGCCAACATTTAGCATTGAATATTTAAATAAAGCCGATTTTCAATCAATTTATACCTGATTGTGCCTGGGCGATAACATCACGACCACGAACACACGGCAAAATTGCGCGCTGTTGAATGGCCGACGGCCGCTCAAACCCATAACCATAAATCCCACGTAAAAGTTCCTCTTTCAAACTCATATCATCAAAATTGTCAATAATCTCACTCCAATTGCTCTCGATAATTTGAATACCATCCGGTTCCAAACCGCTCGGGTGATACATGTCAGAATCGTTGATTGAATCATCATTTCTGCTTGAAAAAATAAACATGACCAAATTCAAAATAAAAATTAAAATTAACTTGAGAAAATTTTAAAAGTTAAATAATAATTGAATTTTTTATTTATAAAAAATTTCATCAAATAAAATCGATGGATTTGGCTAGATTAAAAAAAAAACAAAGCAATGACAACCACATCAAAATAATAATATTCTTCCGAAAAATGCATTTTCATTTGAAAACTGGTCATTAAAATGGACTTGTTGATGAAAATGCACAAAATTTGGCCAATAATTCCACAATAAAATCAAAAGACGCCATATTTATCACGGTTATATGCAGAATAGTGATGTCGCCGCTACAGATGCACACTTTAAACCGTCACTGTCTCACAGTCTACTTCTTCTTCTTGTTCGCTTTCCAATTGATTTTTTAAAAAAAAGCTTTTCAATCAACACACCAAATACTGCACCGGGTCAATAATAATTCGTTCAACAAACATGACATCCAATAGAAAATCAAACACTTTTATTATTTGTCAACAATTTACCTTCGATCATACAAATAGGACATTGTTCACAAAATGCAATTGAAATATGTGTGTGGGCAAATTACAATGGAATATCTATTAAAAACTTGCTCTTCTTTCTGTTCTTCGTACAAATTACAAATTCTGTTCAAAATTCCTGCTTCTGGTTGTTTTGTGTGCTATAATTGCACTGGTGAAAAAATTGCGCTGTAGTTGTAATTGTATCAAACATCTCTCGCTCGCTTTCTCTCCATGCACAATACACAAGCAAATCGACGTGCTACATATGAATTACATACATGCATATTTTTCTGATGCTCACATAGGCGCCGTTTTCATCAACACACCGAAAAATTGGCAAATTCAACGCCAATAAACAATGTTTGTTGTTTTTTTTTTACTTCTTCTCTTCTTCGGCTTGTATTCTTCAATTCAACAGCAACCGCACAAACATATACATACTCAATCCGTCTCTCATTGAGAAACGCATTTGAAATTGCATATATTCGCGTTTGTTTACTTCAAACATACAGCCCGATTGTGTAATAGTATTCACACTTTTAAGAGAATATACCTTTTATTGCTGTCTTCGCTACTGCTACTGCTGCTACTGCTACATATGTGTGTCGTTGTTTGTTTCGCGTTCGTTTTCTTTTTGTTTTTGTTTTGTTCGGACACCGACAGAATTCTTACAGTGGATGACGAGTGTGCGTATTATACATGGAATTATGACAATTTGTTGCTCGTTACTTCAACCAGAACATTGCACTTTATTGCATTTCATTCGTTGAAATTATAAAAAAAATATATTCTAAAAATTATTAAAATGGCCAAAGTATTTTTCCCAATATAGAAAACTTTCTATAAATATTTTTGTGGTAAAGAATAAACAGAAAAAACATAATGTCCAATAAAAGAACAAATGAAAAAAATATTTAAACAGCTGATGCGCAGTTTCTACAAACGAAATATAACGCTTCGCAACGGATAGCAACGCAATATTGGTGAAAGTGTTATACAGCTTTCTCGTTGATTCGTGTTTGTAAACAAATTTGAATTGCTTTTTATATGTAACTGCCGGTTGCCGCCTTGCATTTGCCGGAGCTTTGATTCTGTACCATTTTTTGCTGGTCTTTTAAAATGATACATTTTGGACATTTTCCTTTTCTGTAGAAAAATTGGACTTTTTATTTTCCTTTCTTTTTTTTACTTTTTACATCTAAAATTAAACTTAAATACGTATGTAATATTTAGAGCTAAGAAATTCTGGCTAGATGAATTGAAATTTTATTGTCTTTCGTGGAAAATTCAGAGTTTTAATTTATCTCTAAAAAAATTGACCTTAGACCCTACAAATTGATACATACAAAACTCCTAAAACTGTTAAGAACACAAAAAAGTATTAAATAACTACTCTTATCGTCTATTTTTAGTTATCACAATAAAATGTAGGTTTACCAAACAATTGCCAAAGGCAGTGGCTGAACTGGATTTCATTTTGTTTCGTTAAGAACGCTTTGTGGGTATCTCACGTATTTATTTACATGAAATAATGTTTGGAGGCTTTTTCTCTCTGTTTATTCGATTCCATGGATATGAAAAATGTAAGCCGAACAGTGAACACTGTAACGATTACATAAGTAAAAAAAGAACTGAAAATAGGGTGCCGAGGTAAATAAGAAAAGTTACGTTGTATATGGATATTTTCCCCCAATTTTCATATGAAGCATCAACATTTCAGCCATTATGTCAAACGAAACGGGAATATTTTATGTTTCTCAATAAACTAGTGGTTGGAGTTTCTTATGTATATATTGACTTTTCTTCCTGTGCCATGATTAGAATTCGTCATGGTGTTTTGATGGCTTGAAGCTCCCAATTTATTATATATTTCATGTCATTTCAAATGCTTACGGTTGTAAAACTAAGAATTGCTTGATATAAGTTTGTTGATAATAAATTGGATAATATAGTAAGAGGGGATCTATTGAGAACGAAATATAATATTTTTAAGCTCTTCAATCATGAAAAATTAATTTATTTTCGTTTTGAAAAAAAATCGAATCGAATTTCGAAGTCAAGAACCCTAACAACAAAAATATATCGCAAAATTTTAAATAAACAACGACTTCATGCACAATATTTTTGAAATTCAGCGATACGATTCTGTGTTGTTCATTTTTAAAGATAAAAAGAGCTATTTGAACAACCAAATAGACGAAACATGGAATTGGATCGTTCAACTTTCGAAGCTTACACCTTTTCTTATTGCAGCTATTAAGAAAATGCTCAAAGTACATTCAAATAATACCGTTCGATGTCGCAAATAATCTGCATCTTCTTTGATGATTCAGGTTAAACATATATAGTAAATAATTTTTTGTACAGTAGAGGCAAACAGAGTCGAAAGTGTATCAAAAATATGCAGAATTTGGAACAAATGTATCAAGATATTTTTTGTTAGACATATAGCAATGACGCATATCCACACAATTCGCATAGTATCATATTTCTCATAGCAATGCATATAAAAAAGAAAGCAACGATAAATACAGCAACAAAGTTAAACCTTTTAATACGATACGTACCTCCCAATCAATAAAATTAATTTTGCCGCTCAAAGCATTTTACACGATTTTACCAGTACTCATAGCTTGTATTGGAATCTCTCTATTTTATTCACGATTGTGGAAAGAAATTTTGCTTCCCGGCAATTCTACTAATGGAAGGTTTGACTGCTAAAAGCGATGACACCCCGACAGATTCAGAGCTGTTATTGGCACCGGAGAAATGCGACCTGCACTTATTCCACATGGAAGTGATAAAAATCTTTTTATTGTGCCATACAAGATGGATCATTCAAAATTCCTTCTGTGACTCAAATGACGTTAAAAACTTGCCCGTCACAACAACCGTTCATTTATTTGGAATTATTAAAATGTTGCACATGTATATCTTGTTCATTTTTCTTTTCATTCATTCGATATGTATATTATAAATAAAATATTGACGATGCAAACAAATGGTTTAAGAGTTTTTTTTTGCAACATATGGCCCTTGAAAAAAATACACATGACACAGATTCGATTGCGTTTTAATTATTAAATTAACTTTGATCGTAGTCAGTCTGAATTTAAAGTTCTTAGCGAAATATCTTCCAATAATTAATTGTTAACAATAAATACCAATTAATTTTATTCAAAAATTGAAATGGATAGAGCAAATCTAGAAGATTCATATACACTTTTACCAAGTGATGAAGAAAATGTGATTAATAAAGAAATTGAAAAAGAAGTTAACGATGAACATTTTCAAGAAACTTCGCCTCAATTGTGGCGAAAAATCGGAAGTGCATTATTTTATGGCATCACCTCTTTTTTACTAACTGTTGTAAATAAAACGGTACTTACATCATGGCACTTCCCATCGTTTCTTGTGATTAGCATCGGACAGTTGGCAGCCACCGTTATTGCATTATACATTGCTAAAATCATGGGTGTAGTTTCAATTCCAAATTTCCACCGAGAAATACCGAGAAAAGTGATGCCATTGCCAATTGTTCACTTTGGTAATATTTGAACGTTGAAAATCTGTAAAATTTGAAGAGTAAAAATTGTGTTTATATTTTTTACTAAAGGAAATATGGTGACTGGATTGGGTGGAACACAAGCAATCAGTTTGCCAATGTTCACAGCGTTTAGACGTTTTTCAATTTTGATAACGATGATATTGGAGTACAAGATTTTGGGCGTTCAACCATCGTTGGCGGTTCAAATGAGCGTTTGGTGCATGTTGAGCGGGACAATGTTAGCCGCGATCGACGATCTAACATTTACAATTGAGGGTTATTCATATATTATGTTGGCGAATTTTATGACAGCCGCTTATGGTGTTTATATCAAACAAAAATTGAACACGGTTGATATTGGAAAATATGGAATTATGTTTTATAATTCCTTGATTATGATTTTGCCTGCTTTGTTATTGGCATGGCTCACTGGCGACTTGCATACAGCCTCCAAATATAAACACTGGGCGGAACCATTGTTTTTCGTACAATTTTTATCAACTTGTTTTATGGGCTTCATTTTAACATACAGTACATTTCTTTGTACACAATATAATTCAGCGTTGACTACCGCAATGGTCGGTTGTATAAAAAATGTATTTGTTTCGTATATTGGAATGTATATCGGTGGCGATTATGTATTCTCATGGTTGAATTATATTGGAATAAATATCAGTATAATCGGCAGTATTTACTACACCTATATCATATTTGCTAAAAAAGACCAACCGACCCCACAAGTGAAAACTAATCAGAAATATAACGACATGATATGAAGAAACCGTTATGTCACATGTTTATACTTTATTTATATTGTGCTTGTATGTTTTGTTTAGATAATGTTTTGATTCAAAACTTTTGAATAAAAAAAAAAAATATTGATAAGGCTTAGTTTGTAAAGAACAACAAAAAATGTGTGTTAGTCTTTTCTTTTTGTTGATCATTCCAACATTGCTATGACAATTGATAAGTAGTTGTTGTTCAAGCAGTTTTAAAATTCATAAAACCATGTCACATCAATTCTATTTCTTCCAAAAAATTGGTAATAGAATGGTCGCATTTGATGCTGACGAAAGAAGTAGAGAGAAAAAAATGAATTAACGGTAAACACCTCAATACAAAAGCCGCTTCATCTCGCGGTTACAATGCAATGCTCAAATGCTTAATGCATTGTGCCACGTGTAAGTGCTTAGTGTTGTTCTGAGTTCAGTTCGTTGTTCCTGTTTCCAAAAAGCGGTGCGCACAACCAAACAAAAATTCGAAAAGTTCTTTGAACCCTACACACTCAATCGGTATATATCAAACATGCGATGAGAGATGGAACGAACATGAAAAGCAAATCATCGTATTTATAGGAAAAAATGGGTCAATTGAGTTGTTCATAAGTGTGTGCATGCGTATAACAAAAACAACGTATTATTTTTTTTTATGTAAAAGCATATATAGATAATCTATGGTGCGGACACAAGGCGCAACAATCGCATTCTATTTCTATTTCTGGAGTAAACGCATCGCACGCATTAGAGTCCCCGATATCGTAGAAAAACAACTAAAAATTGGTAGAACAGTCGACGCATTTGGCATGTCATCGTTCATATCGTCTACATTGCGCCGTTCACACATAAAAGATGTTCAGAATGAATGAGTTCCCTATTTTCAATTCGATGGATAGAGAGAGATCATTAGTTTGCATCCAAACAAAAGATACACATACAAAAAAAAACGCATTTTATTTTCATCCAACTGAGAAAATAAATCGAACAATGTTTTCTATTTCAAATGGATAACAAACGTTCTAACGAGTTTGTGCGTTGCCAGAGGAAAGAAAAAAACGAAGCAACTACGCATTTCAAATGCATCACAAATTGAAGATTTTAGAATTTTATTCGGTCGTTTCTTCTGAATTTACTTGTCTTTCTATTTTTTCATTGTTTAGCTCTTTTATTCGTTTGGGCCATGCTAGATCGAGTCGACGCACCGTTAAATCAGGAAATAGATTAACGATTTTCGTTTGAGAGAGTCTCTGAAATGATATAGAATGTGCATTAGGCCAGTTATTCTCTTTAGGTATTTACACTCAACAAACATTTGATGAAGCCGTTGACTACATAACCAAAACGTGTTTGTACAATATACGCTCAGCTTTGAATGAAAGGCGCAAGTGGAAAGTTTTCATCTAGTGTGTTAAACATGATGAGTGAACAAAGAAAATTCTCTTGGTTCTTTGACTTTCTAAAGAAGAAATGCGTGAATCTCAATTGAATGGTGCGCCGATGCAACCGACAAAACAAGCATAATATTTAAAACGCACGTATTCTCCCGAAAATAAAAATGCTAAACGAACTAAATGTAGCAAACGAATGCAGGTTTACTAAGAAAATATTTAAATTTTTTTTATTATCTAAACCGAGCGCATTCTCTCCAGCAATCATGAATTTACCTAACCTACTGCATTTTAAGTCGTTTTTGAAGAAAGAAAAAACGTGCCTACGAAAACAAAAGAAATAGAATCCGGCTTTTTTTTTTTAAATGAGTGATAATAAAAGATGCGTAGATTAGATGGCATTATGTGCGGTATTCATCAGTAACGATGGCAACACAACGAACATAACGGGAATCAGTAGTCCACAATGAACTCGTTTTATGGGTGAAGAATGTAACGCATTTGGTGCGTATCAAAAATCAATAGATATTTTGTTGCGTGTGTGCCTTGCTTTTTTGAAAGAGCACAGCGTAACAGCGCAACCAGTAGGGATGAGAGTGAAATACATAACAAATTCGAATAGGGCTATCCCGAAGGAACCACTTTTTGTATATAACAGCAGTGCGCATTACAATAACAACAGGCAGCAGGTTCCTGTCAATGTATCAAGAAGGATATTATAGAGGAAATACTTTTACTATGCTATTACGCACAATCTCATTCATCCGATTTTATTTTCGGCATTTTGTGCGTATTTTTGTGGTTGTTTTTCGGAGGTTCATTGACCTAACATTTCCATCTACTTTCGGTATTATATAGAAATTGTGCGTATACGATAAGACGATCCCCAAAATTGTTCCCTATTCCATGTAAATGTTTCGCATAAAAACGAATCCATTTCATTCATGTTTGCATATGATAAAAAACGAACCCGCTTTTTCTACACACACACACAAACGAAAATATTATTTGATAAAACTTTTGTAATAGACGCATAATGATAGAAGTACCTATAAAATTTTGAGATTTGAAATCTAATCTAACAAACAATTGGGTATTATTATTTCTAAAGATTGCACGTGATTTAATTAACCAAAACACTTGATATTGTTTTGACGTGTCTCGTGTTTTCGTCATGGTTTTCGGCCCCATCAATCGATTACTATGTTAACTTTCGAAAACAAACGCATTATCCGATCAACATGACAGTATTCTGTGGAATTGTATGACTTTTGAAGCACACGCCCTTTAATAGTATGTGATTGGTTTTGTCACTTTCCGAGTCATTATTTTGCAAGAAAAATAAATCGTTTTCTCCCCTAACATATCTGCCCAAATTTCATTGATCGGAAATAAAAGACTTACCTGCCGTTCAAACCAACTCAACTTCGATAATACTTACCTTTTAGAGTTTCTCTTCATTTCGTTCTTAACATTGTTTGAAATCGAAAATGTTAAGATCACATCCACAATTAATGTGCGTACATGATTTTCGATTCAAAAGCGATAAATAATCGCCTTTGCTTGAGAACATTTCAATTTTTTTTCTCTCGATCCCATCAAGAAAACGGTATTTAAAGTTAATTTGAAACGATATGCGTCCGCGACCTCAATATAATACGATGAGAACTCACTATTGAATTTGTAGAGTTGTCGATCATAAACAGTTCAAAGGCAGTTCAACAACCAAACAAAAACTCGTTGAGAAAATGAATTTCAATTAATTCTTTCTTGTTGTCTTTTTTTTATTCAAAATATTTTGGTGTTTTTCTTTCTCCTTGCGTATCGTCATTATTCTGGTTCAACGAATGCATAACAACACAATTGTCTATTGAACGAAAAGAAGAAAAAAAAAACGGCACGAAAATTTCATGAGACTCCATACAGTGGCTAAAGACAAAAAAAATCAACCGAAAATTGGTTTATGTATTGTGTATGCAATGGTATGGTTGCATTAATAAACGCATTTAACATGAACACATGCTTTCCTCAATTCGATTCGTTTGTTCATTCTTTCGTTTTTATTCTGTTTGTGTTCTGTGAAGCGCGAGTTCAATGTGCATAGTGTTGGACGCAGCAGGCGTGCAAGAGTGAGCGAGCAAGAACAGGACAGATTCCAATTTCAAGTTGCGGTACATGAACTTTTGATGCACGGAACGATGCTAGTTTGTTGTTGTTTTGTTGGGTTTTTTTTCGTCGTTCGGTTCACTCAATATAGTTGCTTTGATGCGGCGTGTGTAAACCCACGACTGTGTGCATGAGGCCGGTATCGGTTTTTTCAATCGCCTCTCTCAAGCGCATTTTCAGTGAGTTGCAGTTGAGTCGACACGTGTTTGTATCGAACAAATCCCTAGTGCGCGCTCTATCTCTCTTTTACTCTTTCCTTTTTGGGTTCTTTGATCTCTTCCTAGTTTGTTTTTCATATACGCGCTCATTTTCGGGGTTCATTGACTCCAGCGTAGAAACGCGTGTATATTAAATGCATAGCCCAAATACTCTACAACTTTTGGTTGGTATATGCGTCGCTGTGCAAGTGTGCGTGTGTGTGTGTGTGTATGTGAGTTTGTGTACTTGTATATAAAAACGAATGGTTTTTGTTTGCGGTGAAAAGGGGGTGTTTTGTACATGTTGTACACATGAATTGCATTACTTTCTACGATCAAAATAAGTAAAAGAAGCAGTGGCACATGACATGAGTTGAAACTGTATCCGTTTTGGTATTGTGCGTATGCATGAAATAAAATTCGGCAAAGGCAATCGTCTTTTCATCCGTTTTTGGCAATATGGCCTTTACAAAGAGGGTTCATTCATTCACTTGACGTACGTTTCGTTTCGCTTTGTTATGAACGCACGTATAATATTTGCTCTTTACACTCATCGTTCATTGACCTTTTTTTCTTATACGCCGTACTATCTTCGAATGCAACAAAAGAAACAGAAACTCTTGCTTGCACAAAGAGTTCACAATTTTCTAATACGAAAAATAGAAATCACTTGACGATTTGAAATGACGATTTTCTTCTATTTAGACAAGCCTAGAAGCAAGCTATGCTTATTTAAAAGCGATTAATTTCAATCCAACTGATTTGATTGAATAATCAATGCGGAATTTCTCACATCGAATGACATCATCAATCATCATACGTTTTTTCTATACATATACATGAACTCAATACTTTGCTTCATATATCAAATATTAAGATTCATTTAATTTGAACAAATTACTTTGTTTACACATTACACACTCGTGTTACTGAGTTCGTGTTATTCTCCGAAGTTAAACTGCAATATTACTCAAAAACCTATATTTCTCGTCGTTTCGTTAGATTTAGTTTCATTTGAGCCAGACGCCTCCTTTTTTTTACGCGAGAATGAAAACTTAGAATCTAATTCCCATGGAAAAAAAAATACCGAAAAAAATCGTTGGTGCATACAAAAATAATTATGAAAATCCTCAAGAATTCGTTGCTTCAGTTTAGATTAACGACATGGAATTCAGCGCAACAAAATTGAGTGCAGCAATAATTAAACAAAAAATGTGTTTGAAATCGTGTTTGCGGTTTTTTTCTTCGTATGTCGTTAGTCCGTTGTTCATCGTGTTCTCATTGATATAAATAGCCATGTTTATACACATAAAGATGTTTCTATTCACTTTCGTGCAGGGAAAATAACTACAACAAAAGCGACGGCAACAGCAACAACAACAAGAATCAGCAGCGGCAGCAGTAGAGCAGCCATGGAGTCGCATATAAGCCAATATACACGTTATTATATTTACTATTTTGTATAGCCAGCGCGACTATAGACACACAGTGCAATAGAACGTAAACGAGTGGAAATGAACTTGACGAGAGAGAGAACGAATTCTATGTCGGTTTTCGTATCGTGTGTAAAATCGTACAAAAACCGATCCATCGCCTCCACGTGCTTCATTGAAAATGTGGTTTGTGCGGCTGCTGTTGCTTGTTGTTGTTATCGCTTTCTACACTTTTATTTTTAAGCGTAGCACAGCCGCAAATTATATATGATATTTGCTATTCACCATGGACTACTCGTCTGACAGTATTGCGTGTTGGGGCGCATTGATAAATATATTTTGCATATGTGTTGCTCAAGCTTTAAGGTGGATGATTTGTTGCCAGTACTATCTATCTTTGGCCTGCCTTCAAAAAGTATGGTCGACACCGTATCGATGGCGGCAGCGGCGGCCACCTCAGTGACAATCTATTGATTTGAGCCGAAGTTTGAGATCGACGGTCACAAAATGCCGGCTGAAGCAACAGATTTGAACTTCATTCGAAAAGGTTTAAAAACCTGATATCTTTTAAATGAACTTGACGCAAACCAATTTAATTGGGCATACGCAACTTTTTCTTAATGTTTTATTACATTTCACTTTTATTAAATTCGCATTCATGAAAGATGATGGACTAATGAAGCGGCAGCGTAGTATGAGTGAATTCAAATATAGCCGAAATAAAAAGCGATTTACATATTAAAGAAAATGTTGAATCAAGACAGAAAATACATATTCATTGTGGCCTGATGACGCTTTGGCACGGCAAAAATTTCGGACGTCGATACAGTCACAATGCCAATGCTTTTGTGTGTGATACGTGTTTATGAGTGTATGTGTACCGGTTTGTATTGCTGTGCTCGGTGTGTCTGTCTCGGTCTTGAGTTTTCTGTCTCGTTTCGTCTTTGGTATGTCCCTTTTGCACGCTTTACATGTGTTCGATGTTCAGACTCGCGCTGAACAAGCGATTCTATATTGTGTAGGTCTCTTGTTATATGTATACTTGCGGACTTCAAATTCGACGTCGATTTTTTCAGTTAACAAATTTTGTACACATACAGAATGCGATAAACGGTCATAGAGAACGCGCGCCACAGAGCTACAATTCCCAATTCCATCGACAAAGTATTACTCTTCAGTAAAACATACTGTTCGATGCTCATCGAATAATATTAACGGCTAATTGACAACCGAAAAAGAAAACGTAATTAAATTGTTGCTGTCAAATACCAAATTTTACATACACAATCAGAAAAAAGGCTGAAACTATTGTGAATTCAAATTCGTGTGTGTGTGTGTTTTTTTTCAACAAATATTTGTTTTCTAAATAATTTGTGCTTATCATCGGTAATCACGTTATTAGTTTCTGGTCATAGCATCAGAAATTTTTCCACTACACACCATAGGCCGTGCAAAGGCACATGAACAACAACAACAACAACGAAAAACTGAAAGTTTCAAAGTGATAAGTAATATTTCAAAGATTTATTGTGTAGTGTGTATCAATAAAAATAAAGGAACAAACAAAAATAGCCAAAAATTGGTGATAACTATTTTGAACGTTTTGCAAGTGACCACAGTGAGAATCACATACAATTTTAACAAGATTAGATGTCTATTATTCACGACAAAATAAATGATGAAGTCAGTGAATAAAAAAGTCGAATAAATAAGTATACCGACACTGTTCAAATTCGTTGGCAAAAAATACGATTAAAAAAAGTGCTGATCTCGCTCTAATTTTGTTGAAACCAATTGTCACAATTTGAATTGAAAATCTCACTGACGGTGAGACACATCAACAGACATACAAAATAAAAAGTAACATCGCAATTTGAGAGTGTGAAAGACACGGTAAATGATGAGAAAAGAAAAAAAATTGCGTTGAGACTGATGTTTATGTGTATGCGTGAAATGCGAGAACCTAGGTCAATTTTATTTGTATAGAGAGTGCTAATATTACCAGCTCGTTTCTTTTTTTTTCTCGTTGTTTTATTTTTGGCGTAATGTTCGCACAAACAAATTCGAATAAATCATAAGAAATATTTGACTAATCGTAATTTATTTGAAGAAAACATTTTTCGCATGAATTGAATGAGTCAGGGTGAAAGACAGCATAAAACGTGTATCAAATGTATTGAAGACAGACAGAGATTTATCGCATTAAATTCGGTTTTGTTAAAACGTCTCTTTCTCTCGTTCTTTGTAGCGGCCGTGTATACTAACAGTCGCTAGATTTTTTGTTATTCGAATTTTGTCGGTTTGGGTGACTTTTTTTTGTTAACGCATATGCTGGCTCCACTTTTTGCCGACATTCATCGCATCGCATTCGCCAAAAAGGTTAATGAATTGTGTTGCCGAATTCGTTCGAGTGTGTGCGTGTTATTTCTTCGGCACTTTTGCGTCTGTAACGTGATTTCTGCGTGAACGAAAACATCAAAAGAGAAAAGATAAAGTCTGCTTTTGTTTTAAAGACAAGAAACGACGACAGGCCAATTCAAGAACATAATAACGAAAAGGAACAGACAAATAATCATAATAATAATAAAGTATAGTTAGAATAAAAGTGCTTCGTTCACATTGGAAAGGCCGTCTAACGCACACGATCGTACCACACTCACATCAGATCGCTGATAGTGTTGCCAAAAAAAAACAAAAACTATACAGCTTTCAACAGCCCATTTGGGCAAACGACCGTCTGTGCGGATTTCCATTGGCTACACATTTTTCTCTCTCATTTTGAGCCAACGACATTCTTCTTTTTGTGTTTGCTGTACGGCGTCAATGAATGCCGAATTCAATTTTGACGGTGGCCACTGAAACGATTTCGCTGAAATTGCCTTGGGCAAAATATTTTACCATCGATAGCGCAGGTAAGCAAAGCTCATATTTTATTTTTAAATGAATTCTTTTTTTTGTCAAGCTTTCATAAACTTAAAAACAAAAACGAAAAATCAAATCCATACTATCAACCGATTCATGAAAGTGTTTTCATTATGCCATAAGGGATATTCGAAATTTTGCAATTTAAATTTTGTGCTGAAATTGCAAATTGTTCGATCAATTAAAGTAGTATTTTATTTTTGTAGTGCGCGGTATGAAAAATTGGCATGAAAAATAATGAACAAAGAAAAGATATATAGAGAAAAAAAAATCAGATTCATACTTAAAACAGTTTCTTTTTGGTCGATACACGGTCATTCACTCCGGCCCCGCGAGCTTGATATACGAGCCAGTTGATATGTGTGCGCTTGCTTTTTTTGAATTGATTTGTTTCTTTTTTTTTCGTTTACCCGATTGAACAAAGCACAGAATTCGTGTGGCTTGGGCACAATAAAACATTGTTGTGACTTTGTGAAAGTTCGTTTCGATCGGTCAAATTGATTTGCAATTTTTTTTTTGGCCAAGACTGACAACTTTAAGCCGGTTTTGATATAATACGCAAATTTTTAGAAAAATCCCATTTGCAAGTTATTGAATTTTAATTAGTTGATATTGAGCAGTGCCCAATAGGCGGAGAGAGAGCATATCGAAAAATGATGACAATATTCTGTAAAGTGAGTCACTGAAATATGTATAAATATTAGATTCTTCCGGAATAGTTTATGTTGCCTCGTCTCTGACATTCGCAGCGAAAACCTATGAGTTAAAAGCGGCATATAGTAGAATCTAAAAATACGGGACATGTAATCAGTCAGCGACCAACTAAAGTAAATGTTTTTTCCTTATTTTGAACAATTAAAACGCAAATACTCATTCTCACATATTTGTGGTCTTATCGACTATTCCTCTTTCTCTCTCTCTCTCTCCGCGCTCAATATGATAAGCAAAATTCCAAGTAAAAAAAATAATAAACAAATGACTGCAGAGAAGTCGCCACCGCACTGACAAATTCATTGTGCCTGTGTGTCTGTAAGCCTTGCTTTAGCCCATAATTCATAATTTATTTCTTTATGATATTGATTCGAGTAATTATGGAAATTCTCCTCACATTTCTTTGTTGCTAAAATAAAACGCCAATGTTGTATAGATTGTTGTGATTCTAAGATTCTCGACCAAATAAAGTGGAGAATAAGTCGAAACGTATGACATTCCATTCTATTTGAAATTGCAATAATAAAAATATGGCGATAAGAACAAAAGAATCTTTTATTGCATATATCGGCATTTGTCATTCATTTCGAATAATAATTTTAAAAAAATCGTTTTATGGCATCTCTATCTCCACGTGAATTACGCCGTTCTACTCACAAATAAATCGAATGTCAATTCAATTTGACGGCTATTCATATTTATATTTGCATTTTTTTTTATTTTCTTTCTGGCTACGTCGTTTGATTTTTTGCGTAACTGATAAAAATAGCAAAGGCGTTCCTAAATGGGATCATAGATGTAGGTTATGTTCATTGCCATGGACAATTTGCGAGCAAGCTCAAGGTAGTTTAATCGTCGATATGTTGTTGTTGTTGTTGTATAAATACAAAAAACACACGATCACACCATAGTCTTGCAAAACCTGTAACCAAAGCGATCCACATCGGTTCGCACGTCATTCAACCATTTCATATTTCAGTACAGAAAAAAGCACCGAGTCAGAATAAACAACACGGGCAAAAATGCAAATAAATTTGCTGGGACAAAAGGACGAACCGAAAGGTGAAACCAGATATCGAATTTAATTTCAAAATTAAAACAGTTTACAATGTACATAATAAAAAAGGGCAGTTTGATTAACAACGTTGAAATCAAATGCGCTTGTTCGATGTACATTTAATTACAAATTATACAGTACAACAATAATCAAATAAGAAAATAATACGATGTTGCAATTTTTTTCATTTATTTCAAAATAATTGGCGACTATCAAGCGAGAAAACAACCTCATTCTGTCGTATTGTTAATATTATCCATTTCTCGCGTCGCGTTTAAACAAAAGTCATGATATCTCAAAAAAATGCTCTCCTTAATTCTACGAAATTCGTCGTGTTCGATTGATAGAGGATGCTATCTACAATGGGCTGATTGTGTTGCTGTTGTTGTTGCTGCTGCCGTTGCTTTATTTTCGTGTGTTAGCAAGATCGTTGCACGCGCGAAACAAAAACAAGCATAGCCGAACTCATCTTGACTTGGAAAGGTCGGTTTTCTCTAAAAATATACGTATATGCTTTGTGCAAGGTGCGAAAGAGAAAGATAAAGCAGCGAGCGCACAGTGCAGAGCAACGAGAACAACAGGCGACGACGCTATATTGTTATATTATTGTTTGCTTTACGCCGGCTTGTGAGCGACAGTATACGAGATATTGAAAATAAAGCGAGTGAGTTCAGTTCGGATGCGTGTAGCAGTGTGCATTGCACATCGCCTTACACGTGGAGGCGATTCATCGGTTTTTGCCCCCGTTTCATATAGAACAGCAAAAAGAAGAAACACACATTCATACAAATACACATGCACACAATCGCGTATCGCGTAACGTTTACATTGCCGTGAAGCCTGATATACTTACGCTGCAAAAGGTTCATGTGTCGAATGCGCTTACGCCCTGATTGACTCTATACTATATAATACATATTAAATTTATTATCAGCCTACAAAAATCCACTAAATTGTGTTCGTTTGTTTGTTTGGGTTCTATGTCGAATTGGTGCGACAGTGACGACGACAACCGCAACAACAACGACAAATACAACTCGATGACGGAAGAGCAACAAATAGATCTCTCTATTACATGATCTACTCAATGTTATCTAACAATGAAAACGCAAGTTTCGACGATATATATGATTTACTCTGTAGAAGCGACATATACATCGTCAATTTATTTTTTGGCAGTTTCATGTCACAAACAGTTTAGTGTGATACTCATGTTTCTACAATGTTTTTGTTCATACTCTCATTTAAATTAATTGAACTGTCGAAAGCGTATCAATCATGGTGAAGCTGCTAAGCAACACAATCTCTTCGGATCAGTATGTCCAGTACTCGCGCAATCATGCAAATACTCACTCATGAACAACAGATGTGAATTTTAAATAGAAACGCGAAAAACACAGAGAAACACGATAATAAAGTAAAGATTTTATTTAAGCCAGCTCGTTGGTTTGCTTTTTGAGGCGATTCATCAGTTTTTTTTTCGTGTTGTGCGCGCATCGCTTTCAATACGCTATAAATATGCATAAAAAAATAATTTGTTTATTCCATTTCAAAGTAACAAAAGAAGAAGAAAAAACAACAGATTTTTTTTCTTCATTTTTATGACTTCGATGTTATTATCGAGAATTCTCATTCCATCGGATTCTCTGCGCAGTATCTGTTATTTATTTTTAATTACACAGATATCATGCGCGCGCGTTTTTTAAAGAAGCTAAATTTTTATTCCATTTGAAATAAAATGTTAATGCGTCACACTACAGTCTACATATTTGATTTGAACTCATCGAAAATCATGACAACCGAAAACACATTCTAACTTCATCCACACGCTCAAAAATATTATATAGCAACCGCATTCTATTTCATATACCTACGAATTGTATATGCATGGAAATGCGTTTAACATGCGTTAAGCACAAAACGTTCAGTCTTATTCGAACTAATAAAAAAAGAATTCATCAATGCGTACGCGGGTTGACTGTAAAATGCATGACCTATGTCAAGTTTCTTCTATTAAATTTAAAATAAAAAAAATAAATATATATAATCCAATGGAAACGTACGCCGTATCGGTAAAAGAAAATGAGGTTTCAAAACATGTTTTGGGGTTTGCCTCTTTTAAATTTAAGGTTCATCGTCGTTGTTTTCTTTATTTTATTTTTTTCGACTTTATTTTGTGAGATTCGGTTACACGTGCATCGGGTTTTTCCGCTGTACATGAGACTTTGAATGCATCGATGCGTTTTGATGCAACAAAGCAACGGTTCTTCATTATAACCTCCTACTCAAGCGTGTGTTCATTGACCTCTAGAAGAAATGCCTTGCATTTGAATTTTCGGCAGTTCTCACTTGCATTGTAGAACTTTCGTCCATTCCTCTTCGGCTCTATGTTTTTCTATTGTATTTTATTTAAGATATCGCTGCATTATTACAATGCATTCTGTCGACACATCTTTTGTGATTCTTTCCGTTTTTCTTTCCCAAAAAAAAAAGAAAAGAAAATTTCTTTTGTACTTTACTTCGATTATTCTATCTGTGCCCAATGTCCAATGAAATCGAATGATGTATAATTTTTGAGGGAACACATATGCACCCCAACTTAGATAAAATCATAATTCAGATTTGTCATCGCAACATTAGACTTCGCACGCGCTTGCTCTGCCATATGCATCGCAAGCATGTGATAAATTATGATATCATCACATTAAAAATAAAATTGATAGCTCCGTTGCGGATTGTTAATTGAACATGTTTTCTCGTTCATCTTTCATGTTGAGTTAAGTGATTGAGTCACAAATAAAAAATAATCGTCGAACGTTGAAATGTGAATAACTCAATCATAATTTAGCTAAAAAACGGGTTCAATCAGAGTTTGGCTAAAAAAGAAACGGATTTTTTGTTCATCGAATGCGATTTGCATTTTTCAAACGGACATTTGACGTAATTAGAAAAAGTCATAGAGAGGACAGATCAGTCGAAATTACTAAAATACTGAATGTCACCATTAAACAGTAAACAAACATAATTCCAAAAAAAAAAAAAAATCAAAACAAAACAATAAAACGGGTTTTTCAGTTTCATTTCTGGTTTATTATAATTATTATCTATAAGACAAGTTTCATAGTTTCGGGACTAAATATGAATTATGACAAACATGTATATTGAGTTGATGCATCTGCGCCAATGAATGAAAACAATGAACATAAGCGCACGACCAATATCAATATAATTCTATGATGGTTAAACAAGACGGCTCTCTAACATGACGGATGAGGAAAATAGGCAAATGGAAATGTGTAATGTAAAAAACTACATATTCCGAATTTTAAAATACATTTGGGAAAATTAGACTAATTCCATGGCGAATGGTTTTACATTTCAATCGGTTGCTTAGCGAAAAATGTGTGCGTCATATGCTGGCAATGTGATATGTATTGTACGCACTGTTCTAAATGCATGGTGTTAGAATACGGAGCGTAGAGTGTGAGGGACGCCCCTCGCTATAGCCCGAGCTGCGAACATGCACAACGCATATTAGACAGAGCATTAGAAATGCCGAAAAAAGTGCTATTGTATTTGAATATAAGAGAGTGGCAACGTTAGAATTCAATATGACTTGTGAACGCATTCGATGAAAAGGGCCCATATAGTCATTGTGTTGCGCGTTGCACACGCATAATACGCATTATTTTATCTTCTTTTATGTATACAACTTGAATTCAGGAGAACGGTAATGCCTGTATCAACACAATGTTTTAGATATTTTTCGGTTTTTGAAATTGATGTCATGCGTTCATTGCCTTCTCGCTTTGACACCATACGCACACAGTGCGTGTGTTACTTTTTCGGCTATTAGATTTTTCTATCTACATCGTATATATTTTTCGGGAATCAAAATTTGTTGTAACATGCATACATAGACACGGCATTTGACCGATTTGATGAGTTTTTTTGGTGGCGTACGATGCGTAGTCCTATGTATTTTATATTTGTTGTTGTTTTTTTTGGAAATGTGCGTTTCAAATGGGAGCATTAAATATATAAACGCATAAATCGGTGTGTGTGCCGCATCAAACAGGCCCATTGATACCAAAAAATTGTTGGTTGAAAACATTGCACACGATGCTTTTGGGAAACAGTTGATATTGAACTTGCAAGGCGTCAACATCGAACGAATCGTCCAAAATAATTTTTGTTTGTTTCTGAGTTTTTTTTTGAATGTAAATTATAAAGACACTTATTTTGGTCAGAAGAAAAAAAATACCCACCGACAAAAACAATTTTTTCACGCAATTATGTGAACCAACGACAACATATAGTACAAATATACATAAATTCGAATAGTACAACAATTATAATGTTAATTAATTATATTGGTTTTGATGAAATTTTACCGTGTGTGTTTTTTTAAATAAATGAATTTGTTTACGTTTCATATTTTACACAATCACGCGCTGCATATTTTTTTTTGTTCGTAAACCAAAGTGTTGTTCATTTTTTAATTGCGACGTAATTAATTCATAAAATAAATGTGAATTTTTTTTATTGAGAAATAAACACTATAAACTAAAGAAGAAGAAGAAAAAACACTTTACCTCAACAATTTGAACGGAATTGACAATAAAATGTTTTAAATACGAATTGACATTTTTGCAAGTTCGGATTTATACGGGTACAAAATTCGTTTTTAAATGTCATTTTAACAAGTTTTCCTATCCAAAGACTGTGTTCGGCGTTTATTTTTGAAATTAAGAATTTTTTCTAAATGTTAGTGTGAATGTGAATTTGAATTTCAGACGAAAAAAAATCATCTACACATTTTGCGAAATCGATAAATATAACCACATTTCAATTCAAAATACGTCAATGTTTTTTTTATATCTGTTTTCGAATTTATAACGAAAAATTGAAAATAATGAGTGTTCGCAATAAGCCAAATTGGATCAAAGACATTCTATCAAAATCAGGAACTGAAATAACCGCTGTAAATGAGGATAAATCCGAAGGTTGGTTACCTACACATTCTTTCTCTCTGCCATAAATAAGCACAATTTTGTTGTAATAAATAAATAAAGTTTTGAAAATTCATTTTTCTTTTGCCGTTCAATTTCCACGAAACCAAAAAAAAAAAATGTTGCCACTTCATAATTATGCGAATTCATCAATGAAATAATTGCGTAACCTAAATTTTTTTTTCCTGTTTTTTTTTTCTTCGTTTTGGTTTTCTCTTACCATTTTAAATTTATTGTGTATTTCATTCATTAAGCACATTTTATATGCTTGGCTTATTTGCTTCGATGCAAGAAAACAAAATCGCGGCCATTACAATAATGCTAACGTTAGCTGAAATCACTTTGTGAATGGAGGTGCTAGTTGAAGTAATAAAATGAAAAAAAAAAAAACATTCATCGATAGATTCATTTACTGTATAAAGTTCAATGAACAAAAGGGGCGACAACCGTAATAGTAGCGATGTCAATGTGTCCCGCGCGAATGTTTAGAAGTTTTTCACTTCGGCACATCCAAAATGGATGGTAAGAATAATCGTCCCTTTCACTTTCATCCACTTGGTCGATTCATCGAAATGCTCCCGAACCAAACAAATTTCATTCATGTGTTATGTTATTTTATCGTATTGCTTGAACAAACAGTGTGCGTTTATACTTTTATCTATTTACGCACTGGTTTGTTACCCTCCACTTGTATTATTCGGCTTCGTTTCGTTATCACAGTCAATTGGAGTGAGCGGTTTAGTACGTATCCATTCTATACCAAGCAACGGAGTGGCGTGTGAGTGTATGTGACAACATCAAGTGTGCTTTGCATTGCCGATTGTGTTGTACCATTTTCCACATTTTCCATGTTATTCTGGCCATTCGACATTTTTTGTTTTGATTGAATCACTCTCGCTTTTCATTTTGTACGGATTTTCTCCCCTCTCTATCTATTCGGCGTGCGTTTCCTTTCGATTTCGCTTGGCTATGCGCAAAGCTCTGAGCTTAACAAAAACAAAAATGGACGGTGAAAGCGTCGCATCAAGAACGCTATAGAATATTAAAAACTAATTGAATTTTTGAAGAGATTTAAAATGGCGCATTTAAATGCATGTTTAAATCAAATTTTAAAGAATGACAATGAGTTTATGAATACTTGACAAGAAAATCTTCATTTTTTTTTAACGAGAATAAAAATCCGAACATTTTTTTTTTAAATTTTCAAAAATCAATTTTTTTCCTAATAGGTGAAAAAAACGACATGGTTTATTACACATCAGTCAAAACAGAGCGCCATTCAGTGAATAGTGCAGATTTGCATCAAGTTACAAATCTTTCAAGTAATAATCAAAACGAAACACAATTATACAATATAAGTAGCAGCAATATGACTGATCCAAATATGTTGGGCGATTCATCGAAAACAATGATCACATTGACGAATGTAACACGACCACAGCAGCAGCAGCAGCAACCACAACAAACAACGCCAATCTCAACGACAACGAATACAACCTCGACAAAGCAACAGTTTAAATGCGATCAATGTAATATGTTTTTCGGTAGCAAAAGTGCCCACACGAGTCACATGAAATCACATGCAAAAACAAATGGAACTCGTGCAAATGGTACGAATGGATCGGCCACAAATTCAAGTGATCCATATCAATGTGATGTGTGCAAGAAAACATTTGCCGTGCCAGCACGTTTGGTTCGACACTATCGCACCCACACCGGTGAACGACCATTCGAGTGCGAATTTTGTCATAAAATGTTCAGTGTCAAGGAAAATCTGCAAGTGCATCGACGCATTCATACTAAAGAACGTCCATACAAATGCGACCGTTGCGGTCGGGCATTTGAGCACAGTGGCAAATTGCATCGTCACATGCGTATTCACACAGGAGAACGACCCCATAAATGCTCTGTCTGCTCAAAGACATTCATCCAGTCTGGCCAACTTGTTATCCACATGCGAACACATACAGGTAATATAGCATATATGTATAATAGTTATAATTCATATAAGTCTCATGTTAATTATGGAATAGGACTTGAATTATAGAGCGTCAAGTAGAGTAGATCAACTTTACGTGTGACTTATTTGTAACTTTTTTTCTTGTGTTTAGGCGAAAAGCCGTACAAGTGTCCAGTCGAAGGATGCGGCAAAGGATTCACATGCTCGAAACAATTGAAAGTTCATTCGCGTACTCATACGGGTGAAAAACCATACCATTGCGACATTTGTTTCAGAGACTTTGGATACAATCACGTGCTTAAATTGCATCGTGTTCAACATTACGGTTCGAAATGCTACAAGTGCACGATTTGCGATGAAACATTTAAAAATAAGAAAGAAATGGAGGCGCATATTAAAGGTCATGCCAAAGATATGCCCGATGATGAACCGGAGACAGCAACCGAAGCGACAGCAAAATCGGAACCAGTCAAAATGGAACAAGCAGCTGTCACAATGGTTGTTTCACACACAATAAGAGCGTCGCCAACATCGACAATGCCAATGCTCTCACCGTCGCCAAACAGCAATACAAGCGCATCAAATATCTCAATTATGCCAACGCCACGAGACTCGAGCTCAGACACACATTCCGATGGCGATGAAATGTCATATTATACAAATATTTTCACGCGTTTCGATCAAAAGACGCCAAACCATGAATACAAAGTGCAATCAAACGGAGGTGGAGTAAATCCAGCTCTTTTGGCAGCCGTTTCAATTGCTGCACAACAAAATGAAGCCGATGACTTGACAACGCTTCGACCACATATGCCAGCTGCGTCTGGACCCAGCTCGGCAACAAACGCACTATTGGCCGCTGTTAGTGAACAGGACACAACCATGGATCCAAGCTTCATTTATGAACCACTTGCTGTTATGCATCAACAAGGATACTTTAATCCAGCACCTAGAGTCAGCGAATACAAGTACGTTTTTTTTGGTGTTTTTTTTTTAATCTTCTTCTTTTGTAATTAAAACAATTAAATTTTACACTTTACATAAACATTTTTTTCCCTTAAATTTTTAATTTTTTTTTCGTTTTTTTGTTTCATTATTAGATCTTCAATACATGCATCGAACGACATCGTAAAACGTGTTGAAGCTGCATTAGCCAGTGCTGAATTAACACCACCACGGTCATCACCCGAATCACCTGATCGTTCGTCGTCGCCGGACAGTGACGTTGTTATGGCCGATCGTGATGTAATGAGTCTACCGTTGCGTAAGCGTAAAAATTATCCACGTGATGGTCAAGGACCTGGTGCCCAAGGAGATGAAAGCCAACCACCACAAATAATGCGCATGAGTTCGGTTATTCAATTTGCAAAAGCATCATAAATTCTACAATAAAATATCTTTCTCACACTAGGTGTGCAGATAAGTAAAAGAAAAACCGAAACGAAAAAACTTTCGAAATTTTAACATTTTGCATAACCAAAATTTGCCATAAAAAATGACACTTTATAAAAAGCTACACGATAAACATATTTATTGCTTGATTTGTATTCAATGAAAAGCGGTTTTCTCCACACTTTGATAAAATTCTATTTAATAAGAAAAGCATAAAACACTTTAACTTTTAGATAAAATAAACGCAAGTCGTCGTATCTTTTCTAAGCGAACGTATTGAATCTTATTTTTTGAGAGCCAATTAGTAGAGAAATCGGATAAATTATTTGTAGCGGAATCTTTGTCTTTTTTATGTAAAATAATTTCGGCGAGAAAAAATGAAGCGAAAAAAATCAAAGAAAATTTCAAGCAAAAATTTCTTTTCAAAAATAGAAAAATTCTTTTATTTTTTTCCGAATAAGAAGAAGAAAACATTTTTAATATGGTATTTTTAAAATAACATGAAAAACATCCATTGAGCGGAGAGTAAATGGAAATTTATATAGCCAATTAAGAATGAAAACACAAAACAAAACCCAATTTTGAGGGAAAACAAGTATTTTATAGGATTATGGTATATAATAATGAAAAAGCAAGAAGAAAAGGTTTTTTTTTTAAATAAAAAGAAAAAAAAAGAAAAAAATATAAATATATATGTGAAGACTGTCTCAGGAAAATGGCCAGAATAATTAAACGTAATTTTTTTTACATTAAGCCGAAATGGAAATAAGTTGATAGTTTAGTTGAATTGTTATTTCTCTCATTATTTTTTCTTTTGTTTTCATAATTAGCTCACATTTGGTTTCCGTTCTTTATCTTTGAATCCATGTCTCTGTTTTGTTATATTCGATCGGTGTCGTTTGAATATGTATTTCCAATGAATACGCATTCTATTTAAATAAGATTAATTGATTCCGTTTTTTAATTGTCACATGGACCACATTGATTGCTTTGTTTTTTTTTTATCGTACATTTTTTTCTGAGTATTAATGATACTAAATCAATTGAGGATATTTTAAACTGGATGATTAGGTGAAATTGATTCACGATTGTGGCCTATGAATGATAATAAACACACTCACATATACACATACACTCATAAACATATATACACCAAAAAATGGAAACTTGACATCTGCTTTTCTCAATGTTCGATCAATTGAAAGCAAATGAAAATGTTGAGCATGACGTTTTTTTTATAAAAAAAAAGATAAAAAAACACCAAGAGTCCATACTCTTGAGTTCATACACCAACACCATTAAGAAATGAAAACTCTTAATCCTGTACTGTTAATCATAAGACTGTTCGAGAAGCGATAACAATATAATAATAACAATTTAGCTATACTAAATTAGGTTAATTGAGATAATAAGATTTAAATCTAAGAAATTTATTATTTCAAATATCACGAGTTTTTGGGGAGTGGGACCGTAAACGGTAAACGAGTTGTATTCATCTACTTTTCCGCTTGAAATTTCGAATTTTTTCAACTCGAATACTAACTGTGTATTTTTGGTTTGCAATATGATTTCATTTAAAAAAAGTCAGGGATTTTTTTTATAGGTGACATAGAACGCGCGTGTTCGCGATTCGTTTTCTTATTTTAATGCAAGTTTATTGCACCGCCAATTTCCGGGTGTGCTTACACTAATAAGCAAAGATTTCAAAATTACTAATGAACCGTTTCGTGTAGCAAGTTTACTATCTATCATCCAACTATCAAATATGATAATATCGCTACTATATTTTGGCTAAATTTTGAATGAAAAACAAAATAATGACTGAAACAAAAAAAACACGTGCCCAAATTGAAAATGGGAAATCAAATGAGCAATTTAATAGAAAACAAAAACCATACAAATTAATTTTTTTAATAAAAAAACAATGTTTGCGCTTGTATCATATATAGTTTGGATTCTATTCTAACTTATTGCTTTTGATCCTAATCAAATACTAATTAAATAATAATTTGCGTGACATGATTTGATAAAAACTTTGAGAAAAAAAAAATCAAAAAAAAAAAAAAAATCGTGTATTTATTTTCAAAATTCGATTTCTTTGGCTCTATTTACCAACATTTTTGCAATATATTACGTGTCAAATGATCTAAATTTACTTTATTTATTCATCTCAACCCCTTATTTCGAAATCCTAATTGCAACTGAAGTGTGGAAATTGGTCCAAAATGTTATGATCATTATTAGTTATTCAGGTTTATTGTAAGCAAATTTTGTCGATTAGCAAAGGTTTGTTTACTTTCCCATTTTTTAAGTTAACGTTTTAAATATTATTATTTTTTTTCGGTAGCTAATGTTTAATATTATCAGTAATTGAGATGAACGTATTTACGTATATTTGATAAATAAATGCGAAATAAAACAAATTAAAAACATGTGCAATTTATTTTTTATTGTTTTGACGTGGTATGGTGCCGCTGTTAAAATACATGTGGACTAAGGTAACCTTATCTATTTACTTTTCGATTGTTGATTTCAACTTCCAATTTCTTTAGAGTGTTCAGTTTTGTCTTGAAAATGTAAAAACAAAATAGATGATATTATTATCAGAATAAAGGATGGACATTATATCCAATTTACGCATTCAAAAGAAGTAAGTACGCATTCGAATGCGTCAACTTGACAATAATTTTGTTTTACGTATGTTCCATAATCAATATGAAATATGATTTTGAACCAACGTACACTGTCTGTAAATATTGATTGAGGTAAGGTCAAAGCTACCGTCAATAACAAAATAAAAATACACAAAAAGATAAGAATCCGTTATATGAAGACAATTATATTTATCTTTTGTTGTAGTTCATCTCATTTATGAATCGAAATCGCGTCGTCAATAATATTTATATTGTAGTCATAACACAGTGAAATTCTAACAATGTTGTTGTATCGATGAATTACACCTATAAACATATGAATTCGCGAGTATGACATTTTACTGAAAAGTAACGCCATCACATAAAATTTTTGATTTTTTGTTCCATTTGAATAGAATCTCGTTAGAAGCATTCATTCTCGAACAATAATATATGTATTAGAGTGACCCAAAAAAAAAGGTTTATGGTATCCAGATCAAAAATACGAGATAAAAAAAATGTCGATTTAAAAATGTCATCGGATGCACCCTCCAAAAACTTCGGGTGTTTTCTCGATTAAAGAATTTTGAGCACTTTTTAAATCTAGAAATATTGTCTTTTCTGCTGAAAAAAGATCGCACGAAAAAACTGAATCTGCAGTTATTTTTGCGATACAAATAATTTTTGATACGTTTTTCACACAAACATCTGAAGAAAAAAAAACAGAAAAAATGTAGATTTTTTATGGGAGATATACCTGTATGATATCATAATGATGTGGAACTTTGCACAGGTGTTTTTTTTACAAAAAATAATGATATTATGTGTATTAGAAAGAATTTCGACGAAAAATAGGGGAAAATTGAACCAAAGATCGAAAATGTTTTATGGGAGGTTAATTATTGCATTGAAATTTCATCAAATTTGGCGAGATCATGTATTTGATGTATGAGAATAAGATTCACAATTTTTCATGGTGATTAAGTTACAACCAATTGTTTGATTTATTACATTTTGTTGACTCCAAATTCATTGAACTGCCTCCCAAAATGTATGTCTATAGTAACTTAATCACCGTAAAAACTCCCGACATTTTCGACGGGTTCACCCGATCAAATTTGTAAATCAAAACTTGTCTAAGTTTTTTCATATCGTATTTTCGAGATCTGGATGAGGCATCTTGACAGCATAAACTTTTTTACCACTATGTGCATAACTATTTTGAAACATATGTGCTTTGTAGGCAAAAGCCATTAAATAGAAGTTGACTTCTAGATTTCACTTTAAACTCCAAAAAATAAATAAAAATATTCGGTTTTTTTGCATATGAAACTGAATTTAATAGTATTGGTTGAGTTTTACAATCGATTAATAAAATCGAAATTAGTTGTTGATGTGGAATTATCGTTATCAAAATTGATAAAATGTGGCATATCAAATTAGAAGGTGCCTCCTCGTCCACCTGCAATAGACAAAAAATAAACGTTAAAAAGAAATGAAAAAGGAATACGGATAATTTGCATTGAATGAGGTGAGAATTATTGCTCTGACCTGGTGGTGGAGCCCGCGGCATCATTGGTGGTCTCATTTGTGGTGGAATACCGCTACCTCTTCCCATTGGTGGCATACCTAAAAAATTAAAATGTCAAAAAACGTTATTAAATAGTGATTTCCGGAAATGTCTTTTCGATCGAAAAAAAAAACAATCAAAGAATAATGAAAAAAAATAATTACCTTGCATCATTCCAGTCGGGGGGCCGGCCATCATTTGAGGTGGTCGCATTTGTGGTGGCGCTACCGCAGCTCGGCCAACAGGTGCCATATCTATTTAGAAATAAATATTTGGTTAGTTTCATTTAAAATTTACGGGGCCAGTTTTTAGCACATAAAATATGAATTAAAACTTACGTTGTGCCGATGGTCCGCCAACACCACGAACTGGTCCTTGTAAGCCGGCCGAAACATTTGAGCCGAGATTGGCTGGAATACCTCTACCCACGGCACGACCGATACCTGGTCCAGATGCTGCTCCTGGAATTGGAACGCGTGGCAAACCTTCTTCTGGTGGTGGTGGACCTTCAACTGTCAATGAAACAATGTTTTCACCACGCAATAAAACAAAACCAAGAACACGTTTCTCTTCACGTTCCGGCAATTTGTTGTTCTTTGGTCGAATTTTTCTGAATTCTTCGCAATCTCCTAAGATTAGATTCATATGTTTGTCGAATGCTTTGAATGTACCGATAAACGTACGCGAGTCTTGCAATACGATGCGCACTCGGTAGTTTAGGTGCTGAGCCATTTTATTATTCTTGCCAATGGCCTGAAAATTTGAGAAAAAAAGAAAAGAAAAATATGAAAACAAATCCAAATTTTGGTCCAATTTTAAATGGCATCCAAATCGATTGGACTACTGTATACAAACATAACCTAACAATCGATTAGCGATAAATATACACAAATCAAATGAATATTCAATGGAAAAAATGAATAAATTCCATGAAAATAACCACTTACCATTTTGAAGATTGATTATCGGAATTAGGGTACACAAAAATAATGCGCTTTGCAATAGAGGTTTATAGTAAAAATTCGAAGAAAAATCAAAACACACAAACCGTGTGATGCAAACGATTTAAAGCGCTTCGTTTTCTTAATACGACTAAGCGGCTACCGTTGTCATCGAACTTCAATCGTATAATGGATTTAGACCGGTTGAATGTCACTCACAAACATTTACAACCAACTTCACGCAGCAACGGACAAATGGATTTAATATGTTATTTTTCGAGATTTCTTTCAATTTTTAACCAACCTCTTCAGATGTAAAAAATAAAAATTAAAACGAAAAAATAAATTTCCAAAGGAAAAGATGAAATTCAATGACATTTTTAGAGAATAAAGTATGTATGGTTGTTATCGGTTCACATTTGCACTGTATTCTGTGTGCGGTCTATATATAACACCGCCGAATCATATCTTTGACAGCTTCCATGTGTGTGCGCGCTTGTGTGTATTGGTATCAGAAATATATGGAAATGACAGTGAATCGTGTTTTGTTTTTTTTCAACACCATCTCCCGTCTCGTTTCCGCTCAAGCTGCTCAGCGGTGTGTTTCATTTATATCGTACTCCACTTCATTTTGTGTATACAAATTTTCATTAAATCAGCGAATTTCTTGTATGAAACAGTGCGGAGAAATTTCTCATTGTTCAGTTGAGTCAGTGTATTTGTGATAATTTAGTCATTTGGATTGCATCTTTTGTATTTATTTCTTCTATTTTTGTGCAGTAAAATTGTAGAGGTCTTTTTTGTTGTAGTTGTTGTTTGCATTTTATCATTTAAATTAAGACCACTCCCCAGTGTTGGTGTTTGATAAGTCGAAAAAAATACACAAGACAGTCGAGCGAGTAAATAACTGAGGAAATCAGTACTTTCTATCTACTTGAATAAACTTGTTGGTTTGGAGATAACGAAAATGGAGCAATTTTGGAAAGCAAGCGCTGGCCATAATGTGCCACAACAAAATAATGCCGACGATGATGATTGGGAAACCGATCCGGATTTTGTAAACGATGTCACCGAAGAAGAACAACGCTGGGGAGCAAAAACGATCGCTGGCAGCGGTCGAACCGCTGGTGCAATAGAGTAAGTTTGCCATTTTGAATTTGAAGCGTATATTCGACTGCAAAGTAAACAATTTATTTTCGTAATTTCGATAGTATGACTCAATTGCGTAGTGAAACTGAAAAGGCTGACGCCGATAAAAAGAAGAAAGAAATCGAAATAAAAAACCCTGGCCATGGTTATGGTGGAAAATTTGGCATTGAAAAAGATCGTATGGATAAATCAGCGGTCGGGCATGAGTACATAGGCAAAGGTATGTATGTCGTATTTATTTTTGTATGTAGGTGTATACAACGAATAAAAAAATCAAGTCGTCATTGAACTTTGTTACAAATCAATTTTTCGCATATGTAGTTGAAAAACACAGTTCACAAAAAGACTATGCAACTGGATTTGGTGGAAAATTTGGAGTCCAAAGTGATCGCGTCGATAAATCGGCTGTCGGTTGGGATCACATTGAAAAAGTTGAAAAACATGAATCACAAAAGGATTATAGCAAAGGTTTTGGTGGAAAGTTCGGCGTTCAAGAAGATAGAAAAGATAAATCAGCAGCGGGGTGGGATTACGTTGAGAAGACAGAGAAACATGGCAGTCAAGTTGACCATAAAATCGTATGTTTTTTTTCCTATTCCACAAAAGTAACGATGATGAATCATTTCGATGAATGCAAAGTTGGCATTTTGTTAAACAATGACTCAATCACATTGTTCAGCGCATTTAATTAAACAATTGTTTTGTTTCAATTTAATTTTGTTGTTGTTCAGGGTTTCGGTGGAAAGTTTGGCGTGCAAAACGATAGAATGGATAAATCAGCGTTGACCTTCCAAGAGAATCCAGACAAAACAGGAACCAATTATACAAAAGTCAAGCCTGATATCGGTAATTATCGTGAAAATATATGATTAAATTACATTTCTATATTCGACTAAATAAAATGTCCACCGTAGGATCAGCAAAACCATCGAACTTACGTGCTAGATTTGAAAATTTTGCGAAAGAAAAAGAAGAAGAAGATTTAAAGCGAGCGGCCGAACAAAAGCGATTGCGCGAAGAGAAAGATCGTTCGGATCGTGAACAAGCATTGAATAGTCAACAAAATGGCAACGAAAAAAGTGATTCGGAAAGACAACAACAGCCAAGAACACCGATTGAAACCGGCCGTTCGGGTAGTATTGGAAATGCAATAAATATGTTCAACAAAGCTGAAGATTTACCAATTGCACCCACTCGGGTAAGTAGAGACATTTGGAAAATAATAGAATTTTATATAGAATAAACTTAATTATTCACATTGTTCTTCAACTACAGAAAGAACCAATTAAAATCCCACGCGAAGCTGCACTTCCAAAAGAACCCGAGCCAGAGCCCATAGTTGAGCCTGAGCCCGCTCCGGTACAACCGGCTCAAGTACAAACACCAAATTTGGTAAGTCAACAGCCAGACGTGATTCCAACACAACGAGAATCGGTTCAATCCGAAAACTTCGAAGCATTAGCTCCGCCAGAGGAATTTGGCAATCAAAATGGTACAAATGTCGAAAATGTACCTGAAATCGTACAAGATGTGCCCAGCCAAGCGATTGCCAATGAGCAAATTTATTCAAACATCGATTTCATACAACAAGAACAACAGGCCAATGCGAATCAAGCACAACCCGATGCCGAACAAGTTAATGCAACCGCACTGGCCGGCAGCGAAGACTGCGATTTATCCGAGTACATCGAAGATACAAAAGTTCAGGCTATCGCATTGTATGACTATCAAGCATCAGCCGAGGATGAAATTTCATTTGATCCAAACGACGTTATTACGCATATCGAAAAGGTCGGTACTTTGAGTAAAATGTTGAAATCTCTCTCTCTCTCTTTTTCTTACTTTACAATGAAGTAATTTCAATATAAATATTTTGTAGATCGATCAAGGATGGTGGAGAGGTCTGTGCAAAAATCGTTATGGTCTATTCCCAGCAAATTATGTCCAAATTGTAGAATAACATCTTAATCAATTCAATTTACATCAACAAAGCAATAGGAATTTTATGCAATTGCATTTACATGTTCAATAAAACTAAACTTTTGATTTTAAGCGTCATTTTAACGACGTGGATATGCCAGACATTCCATGTATTTTGCAGAGAATTGATCAAAGATTGTCTATTGAATTGATAATGGTTCTTATTTTTCATATGCTCATCAAATGAATATGTTTAACTGAAATTTAGAAATGTTTTAGGTAATTGTATTGTAATGAATTGAAATATACAAGATACATTTATATATTCGCAAAATAACGGAAAAATGGTTTTTTTTTTTAAATTCAGTAGTGGCGTAAAGTATGCATGTGTAAATATTGATATTTCAGAATTCTAGACTACTAACTGGTGTCAACGACCTTTATGGTATTTTTTAAAGTAGCTCATTTGATATGTATGTAAGTCAAGTTTGCCGCAAGAATAGTTGCTGTTTTTTAAAATACGATTGCAATCGGAATCGAATCACTGTTTTTTCCATCCTTACAACATGGTTCACGGTGATAAGGTGCTCATTTCACTTTTTGTGAAAACATTGGCTTTTTCCAATAAAATTTATGGCATTCATTTGTTGACATGAATTTTGTTTTATCACTGCAAGCGATAATGTGGTGGCTCACAATTCTTAAATGATTAAATCGGCTACCGTATATTTAAACTCCAGTTGCGTACTGCGGCAATGACGCAGTTGCCGCATGTCAATCGACGTTGCGTCGACTTAAATCACACACTTGTATAAAACGCAAACCGCGCACCATTTCATCACGTAGAACGTTTTGAGTGAAGTGTTGTAAAGCTACGCGATATTTGATCACATCCCATTTGGAAAGAACTACATATATAATTTAATCGTCAATTAAAGAATTTGTTTGAAGAAAATTTATTTGCAAAAATGAGTCGTTGTCCACAAGCTGTATTCCATGCCAAAAATTTGTTGAAACAAAAGGAAAACATCATTGCCAAGCGATATGGGTAAGAAATTGTTTTTATTCCAAACCCGTTTGTGAATCAATTTTTTATATCTGTGAGAAATGTGACCCATCCGCCAAGGTCACGTCAAATCGATATGCAAAAAAAATGTATGTTAAAACGATAAATAGCGATAAAAATAGTGAAACTAAGTAAGAAATAGGCGACGAATCATAAAATGGATGTAAATCTTTAATGACAATTTGCTAATTCATAAAGTTATCTGTGCGCTGTTATCAACAGTTCATTCGAAGCATAGGCATTTTTTCTATATAAATGTGTGCGTGTGTGTGCGAGAATTGTCGTCAAGTGTTTGCGTAACACTGTTTGTTTTTCACAATTTCAATTGTTTGTTAGAATAATGATTTATTTTTTTTCAAACATTTTTCCGCAATCAATGCCTTATCTTATGATGTCAAAGTTTGTGTGTGGTATTTTCGATTTTTGTTTATTGGTTATGTCAGAAATGCCGGTTTGATTCGCAAACATGTTTTCCATACGCGTTGTGATATTCTTTGCTTACGTCAACGCATGTTGTTCTCATTATAGTTTTGTTGTTGTTTTTCGTTGTCAATTGATTTAGATCATGGTTTTCGGCGGTACAAATGGGGCCACCGGATGCCATTCTTGGTGTGACTGAAGCTTTCAAACGCGATACAAATCCAAAAAAAATCAATTTAGGTGTTGGTGCTTATCGTGACGACAACGGAAAACCTTATGTTTTGCCAACTGTTTTGCAGGTAACCAATGAAATTACATGATTCAAATTGCAGTCTAATCAAGAACAATTAGATATAGCGTGTATATCAAATTTCGTACTAGACTAATCAATTGTTATTTTATATCAATTTATTTAATTGACACACAAAGGCCGAACAAAATATATTGAATGCCAAACTCGACAAAGAATATTCGGCAATTGGTGGCAACGCTGATTTTTGTAAATTATCAGCTGGTTTAGCATTGAATGCAGACGCAAATGCTGCTGTCACACCAAATGTGGCTACTGTTCAATCAATCTCAGGTACTGGAGCTTTAAGAATTGGTGGTGCCTTTTTGAATTCATTTGCTCAAGGCAAAGACATTTACCTGCCAACCCCCAGCTGGGGCAACCATACACCAATCTTCAAGCATTCCGGTTTGAATGTTAAATCATACAGATATTACGAACCAAAGACTTGTGGATTTGACTTCCAGGGCGCTCTTGAAGACATCAGCGTAAGTTATTTCACTTAAAATGCCGAAGAAATTACATGTGACAATTTCCATTTGCAGAAAATCCCAGAGAAATCGATAATTCTATTGCATGCTTGCGCTCACAACCCGACCGGTGTCGACCCAAAACCAGAGCAATGGGAAGAATTATCGCAATTGATCAAGAAACGTAACTTGTACCCCTTCTTCGATATGGCATACCAAGGTACAACAAACCAAAAATAAAATAAATGTATATACAATAATAAGCGTAACTTGTATGGCATATCAAGGTTTTGCTAGCGGCAGCGTTGACAAGGATGCCTTTGCAGTTCGTTTGTTCGCCAAGGAGGGTCATCAATTTTGTTTGGCTCAGAGCTATGCCAAAAATATGGGTTTGTACGGTGAACGTGTTGGTGCTTTCTCATTGGTGTGTGCCGACAAAGATGAGGCTGATCGTTGCATGTCACAAATCAAAATCTTGATTCGTCCAATGTACTCAAATCCACCAATTCATGGTGCTCACATCGTTCGTGAAATCTTGGGCAAAGCCGATTTGCGCGCTCAATGGCTACAAGAAGTCAAAGGAATGGCTGATCGCATCATTAGCGTGCGAACTGCATTGAAGTCGAACTTGGAAAAGGAGGGCTCATCAAAACCATGGAACCACATTGTCGACCAAATTGGCATGTTCTGTTTTACCGGATTGAAACCACAAGAGGTACGATTTTAATGATTTTTTTAAAATTTAACTTTGATCATTGATGAACCAATCATTTTTTTTTTTTTTTTCAAATAAAATAAATTGTATTTCTTCGTCTACTTTCAGTGCGAACGTATCACCAAGGATTTCTCAGTTTATCTTACTAAAGATGGACGTATCTCCATGGCTGGTGTTACAAGCAAAAATGTTGAATATTTGGCTCATGCCATTCACGCCGTCACCAAGTAAATAAAATCCATTGAAGTTTCACAATCGCATCAAATCGCCACAGTTAAATTGTAAGAATTTGAAATTAACACTGTCAGAAAAGGCTGTTATCAAACAGGTTCAATTTGCATTTATCAAATCAAACCCCATTCTTTTGAGATACACACCTTTTATTTACTACTATGAAAATAAAAGTTTGATCAAAGTTACATTCGAAACCATGCTCTGTGTTTTCTCATTTTACTTTTTAAGAACAACTTCAAATTGGAAATAAGCCAGCCTTGCTTCCGATATTGTTATGTGAAATCAAAGGTAATGTAATCGAGAAGTGTAATTCTATAGGGATTGACTCACTTTTGTCGGTCGTTAAAAGCCATTTTCAAATGAATGTGAACGAATGATATCATTGAATAGCGAACAAATAAGAAATTGACATTTGTGTCAGTGGGAACAATGAAAACGAGTGTTTGCTAAGTTGAGAAATTGATATATTTCACACTTTGTCATGCCGTCACTAGGTATATTTGCCAAGTATCAAGCAAAAAATGATTCAAGCTGATAATATTCCACTTCGTGTACTATAACCGTTTTTGAATTGATGGGTGACTCAAAAAACACGCGAAAACAATTGCTGCAAAGAAATTAAAAAAAAACGTCATCTGTTTTCATACATATATTCATTTTATTAATTCTTTTTTGTTGTTACTTTCATTGCCGCTCTCTATCTCTCTGTATAAGTCTACATATCGCTGAAATATATACTAGCTGATGTTTTTTTTTGACTCCTTGCAAATCATAAGATTCTCTTTCATTTTGTGTCTCGTTCTTCAATTAATCAACGTTTTTATATAAATAAAGAAAATCATGTAAACAACAAGATATACAGTTTTTTGTTAGATGAACGAGCTATTGACAACGAATATATTTGGCGAACAAAAGAAAACAACATCTCCGTATGAATTGAATCAAACCGAATAATCGCTATAGTATTTCATTTCGCTTATAGGCTAAATATATCATTTTTTGTAGTGTTCACATAAGTGTATTTTGCACGTAGTATTGAGAGCGCGTATGCAGTATAAATGAAAATATTTATCCAAAAAACTGTGGAAAATATTCGAATTTTTCTTTTGATTGCATCAATATTTCACATATATAATTATAATTATTACATAAATTTCTTAATTAACTATCTATCTTCGTGTGAAGAGTTTCCTTTTTTTACATATTTCCCACTGGGTCACAAATAGCAAAGTTCTTGTTATTAATTTTTTATATTTTTATTTCATAGGAATGCAAATGTTAGCCAAATTGTTATTTTTTTACACAAATACACAAGGAGAGATACACATTTATCTGTACATTGATTTTCTTTTCGTAATCAAAACAACGATTTTGATATTTACGTGAGGACTTTTTTCCAGACTTTTTTAGATGATAAGTTCAGTCAGCAACACAAATTGTTTCTGTATATGTGATGAGTTGTTTTTTTTTCTGTTTTGAATTTAAGTATATCGCTGCAATGAGATGTATTTTATAATGTATGCACGACACAAAATTTTTCCCATTTTTTAATTTCGATGTAAATATTTGTTGCTTTCTTTTGGTTTTAGTAATTGTTTTTGTTTTTTTTTTTTGTATGGAAATAATCAATTCCGAATCTCGGGGCAATATCGACGCAAAAGCAATTATAATGTAGAGCACAATTTTAAAGTAAAAATGATGAAGAAAACTATGGCCAAATCAATGTTAGATCCCAAATTTTAATTACACGATCTTGACCGACTGTAAGTAAACGCTTGCGACTTTCATCCAAATCCATGCCAACTACGCTGTGTTTCATATCATGGAATGACGCTAACGAAGGTCGTCTGTGAATTAAATAATTTTTATGTAATTTTAAGATTATAGCGTGGAATCCAGAGTGATTGAAATAAGTTCAGATAAGTTTTTTGAACTAAAAATACTACTCGATGAATCAGGGCATGAAATTTACTACATAATACTACAGAGCATGAATTTGCAAATTAGAAGATCCCAAACAATACAAAAAATTATTTCAACGTCAATTTTCTGTTTTTTCCCTATTTATTTACCGAAACAATACATTCCGATTTTCGAACAGATTTCAGTTTAGAAAATCTCAAATCGTGTAGAAAATCGTGAAATGTCATGCCCTGCCATAAATTCTAAGATTTGGTTTTGTATTCATTACTTACTCGCATGTTTTCAGCTGATTAAAGCATGGTTCACAAACTCGAACATCAAATTCAAAGCCCATTATCGGAATATTAATGCGATTTCCCGAGCATTTGTCGCAAATAGCCCGGCCACAATGACGGCAATGATGTTGTCTAATGCCGATTTGTCGTTGATCCATCATGGCACGTAAGTTCCAGAAAAATGGGCGAGTACATACTTGGCATGTATCCGATTCAACCCATTCACACACCTCCTTTCGCATTGCATTCATTTCCCACAAAACGAGCGTCGAATCTTCACCAGCCGATATCAACTGTTGCGTTGTGTTTGCGAATTTCAAAGCTGACACCTTGTTACTGAAATGACGAAGAAACATGTGAACGAAAAAAAATAAAAATAAAATAAAAACCAAATGTCAATTTAAATCGCTTTATTTGACATTTGGTATGTGGTTTATATTCTCTGAACATACTTATGCCCTTGTAATTCATAAACAGTTCCACGACGACCACCAACATCCCATACAATAACCGATTGATCACATGATCCGCTGAATAGTAGTTGTGGCCCAGCAACCCAACTCAATGAACGAATTGCACCAGTGTGGCCTTTGAAGGTGGTCACAAATTGAGCACCGCCAGTATCGCACCGTAACATCGTAATTTGTCCACCTGAATCACCCACAAATACGTATTGCGCCTGTGAATCATATCTGTATGACGAGACACGTGATGTAAGGAAATAATTTTATATGCAAGATAATTGGATTTTATGTAGTAAGTCGAAAGAAACGCAAAAATGCATTTGCAATGTCGTAAAAATGACAAAACAATCAATAAAATAAGAGAAAATCCATAATTTTGTGACGAGACAATTCAAGTGAAAAAGGATACTGTATTGCTGTACACATTGATTCGAATGTATAGCCGCCGAGACGGCTTGTGGTGTCGGTACTGTGAAATGAGAAAAGTTTATCTTTTCCGCACGATAAAATCCAACCATTTTTTGCTGCAAAACAAACACCAGTAACTCTTGCTTGATGCGCTAAATAGTCGCGAACCATAGTCAAACTGTTGCAGTCATTTGATAGTGTGTACTGTGAGACGGTTCCATTGTCTTGCCCAATAAAAATCATACGTGTCAACGAATGATAATCAATCGATGTGCAACCCGATGGCATATACTGACATATGCTCGGCCAATATTGACCAGAATCACGTCGTAACCATACACGAATCGTTCTAAAAATGGATAAAAAAATTCAGTTTAAAATAAAATCAAGTGATAATACACACATAATCCACCCATTACTGTACATCACTTACTTGTCATCTGAAACACTGATAACACCATCTTCACCATTTATGAAAATTGCTGCATTTATATCGTCCGCTGTACCTTCCAATTTGCTCAACAATTCCGGTTTGTTTGTTGTGCTAAAACGATCGTTCGCATTGCGAGGCGCTGGCTTGATTTCAGCTGCCATTATTTATTACAGTTCACCGTTTTATTATAAAAAAAAGCACAACAATTTCTCTCTATCTTTCTCGCTATATTCGTTCGCAGTGAATTCTGTAGGCGATAAACTTTCTATGTGATTTGACTTTTTTTCCACCACGTTTTAATTTTCAAATGGCCGAAAAATGTCGAATCAACGTTTAATTCAATTTAATCTATCACAAATATTCGTGCAAATAAACAAAATGATTCAGAAAAAATGTTTATATTACGATGAAAAACAACTTTTGCGTTCCTATGTAACTCTGACTAACAACTAAAAATGAAAATATATGTCTTTCTTCAACCATTGACGTTTCCTATTGTACACTTGTGTGGCGAACGATACAAAATTATGTTAGTGCAACATTTCAACCGATTCAACTGCACGCACACACAGACAAACACTCGATTTGTCTCACTCCAACTGTCAACATAGTTGGCATTTGAGTATGGACCGAATAGCGATGGTGAGAACAGAGACAGCTGACAAGTTGAAATCATCGAATCACTACTTTTTGTTGTGGTTTCCTCCACACCACTCACACATGTACGCCAAAAAATTCACCACACTTTATATTCAACACGATGAAATGTCAGTTTTTGGTAAGAAAAATTAACGGCTCTAATTTCGAATTTTTCATATGTATTTGTTATTGTTATTTATTTGCACCCATTACACATTCATGTTTTCATTGTAAATTTATCATCGTCGGAAATACGGGTGTTCATTTCACAAAAGCCACCGAATACATTCCCATTTAAGATTATATACAATTTTGTCAAGATCGTATTATATTTTTATTTGAAAGAGAAAAAAAAAATGCTGAATTATAATTAAATAACAGTGTTATTGTTTGCCCATCAAATCATATTAGGTAAATAAAAAAAAATGAATAGATTGTTCACTGGTTTTTTTTTCATCATCCATTGTTTGCTTATTACAAGCAAAATGTTGCCCTTTTATTATAGAGTTCATCACACAAAATAACAAATTTGAAATATTTTGTTCTCCGAATTATGCATCCATATAAATGTAAAATATTTATCTCTTGATGCATTTTGTTGATGATAATTTTTAATTGCTAGATATGAAAACATACAAAGGTAAGACCATTGTTTACATTTTCAATTTGATTGAGTGGTGGCAAAGGGAAAATCACAAGATTTTTCCACATACAATGCATTTGTTTTTTATTTGTTTGTTTCTTTATATTTCTTTCGTTGAACCGATCAAAACAAACGAAATATGGTTTGTTTTCGCGCTTCGTAGACAGACTTGGCATATATATGATTTGATTTGAACGCATGCAATTTGAAAATCACTTCCAATTACATTATTACTCGTGCACGCATCATATTTTTTTTGCAATTTAAATGACCACCGCTTGCATTTCCTATTCCATAAAATAATACACACATTCGTGGACGCACGTTAAACAATGAATACAGTAAAAGTGGGCAAAATCGTCTGTTCCACTGATACGTAACAAAAACATTAATTTAAGTGCGCGACCGTGCTTTTTTCCGATTTTGCAATGAATTTTCGTTGCTGTTCAGTAGGGTAAATCGAGTTTTAAAATTAAGCAATATTCAAAGCCCCAATGTGTGGTTTTCGATGGCCAAAAATGTGGATTTTTGCTCAACAACAAAACATTTTGTATGGGATGTACACTCATTTACTGTTGTCAACGTCACGAATTGGGGGACCCTGTCAGATAACTGCTCAAAAAACTTCCGGAACAAAAGATTTCAGTCTCGACGTGCTCTATCAAAAACCACATTGAAGTTTTGAATATTGCTCAATTTTAAAATTCGATTTACCCAACTATTCAGTTTTTCCATTTCATTTCTCTCGAAAGGCTTGCATAAATGTTGAAATTGTACTAATTGTAGAAAATAAAATGTCGTAAACATATCAACATTATCAATCATTAGTTGGTATTATATTTGCTAAGTCTAAAGCTTTAAATATAATCAGATTTTCAATATGAATTTGATGAATCTGTCATCGGTTGAATTAAGTTGATGAATGAATAAAAGTTAACATTTTTAATGAGTTCGAGTCAATTTTTGAAACTTTGACCAAGTTTTCAAATAACCCTTCTACCGCTAATAATGGCTTTTATTCTATTTTAAAATCGTTCATTTCATCACCCATATTGAATGCATCATGTTTCGTTGAACCGTGTAGCAACAAGTCGTTGCGGCTTTATTTAATCGCATTAAACGCGGTAATTCCGTCAATTTGAAATGTGTGTTTATTTGATTCTTTTCATTTGGATACATCATGTTAAAAAAAAAAACACATTCGCTCAAAAAAGCCCATCATTTATTCAAGTTGATTTTTGTTGGTATTTCTTCTTCTTTTCCCTCGATTTAACTCGAAAAGCAACTTTTTCCTCGATTTAACTTCACTCATTTCAAAATCAAAATTCGCATTTATGCAAAAGTTAATGAGAGAGTCGAGAGAATTATAACAAATGTAAGTTAAATTAGCATATCTAAATGAAAGATACAAGTTCAGTGGTGAGACGAAAGGAATAAGCGGGATGTGAATGAATAGAGAAAATAAAAATCACATGATATAAGTTGAAGAGAGAGAGAAAGAGACGACACTGGTGTTGAAAAGCCTCACATCACGTAATTTTGTATCATTTTGTAATAATAATTTGATAGATATGAGCTGCGAACGGTTATTATGGTTTGGAAATTATATCATTTGAGTGCATAAAACAAAGCAAAGCCAAAAGACTCTCATGGTGCAAAAAAAGACTTCCAATCAACGGCGATTTTATTCCGCGGCGATTTTATTCGCATGTGAAAAACACACAAACGCATTCAATTCCTGAACCAACTGATGATGATTACTTGCCCGACGTAATTTGGTTTTGCAATATTATAGACAAGAGAGTACAAAGAACGGATGCCGATGGTTGCAATTTTGACTAGAATTATTCTCTCTCTCTCTTTTTCCTCTCCCTTCAAATCCAACGACTACCGACGTTCATGACGAATGAACAGCGGCGAATAAAGTGCAATTGAGACCAAATGAGATGTGTGAAATAGATAAAAACTAGAATAGATCAATCTTCGAATGGACTTGCACACGCAAAGCTCTCTTTCGGTTAATGGTATACGGTTGCGAATCGATCGAAATCAGTTGCATTCATTTTGTGTTCGTATTTGTTTCGATGTGACTGTGAATGTGTGTTTGGAGTGATGAATGCGGTGTTGTGATGATCTTGCGGCACAGGTGTACACTTTTAAATGGCAAAAAGGAACTGACTGATGGCAGATATGTGTGCGTAATATATACATTTGCATAATCAAAATTGGCGCATGGTCATATTTTGTCGTTTTGGATAAACTAATTTAAATATTTACAAAAGCGGCACCAAACACATACGCACACACTCATTTTTACGGCTTCGATCAATGTGAAAAGAATATAGCGGTTTGAATCACACGTACACCGTATTGCAGCACAATGCAATGGAAAAACTTGTTTTATCGGTATATTTGGTTGTATTACATTTCAGTGGAAAAACAACTCGCCAAAGGTCACACTTACAACTATCATGAAGTTCAAGAACCATGCCTAAATATAACACATATTTCCAGCAAGTCAATGTTGAAATGCTTTCATAAGTTTTCGAACAAACAATTTTCATTCGAAGCCGAATGGGACAAGTGTGCTGTTGTTTTTTTTTATCTGCTTCTTGTTTTGTTTCTGTTTTGACACCAACACAATGGAACGAAAAAAAGGCACAGAATCTTGTGTCGATTTAAACAAATAAAAAAAAACACACATTTCAATGGTTCCGCATGTGAATATATGCGATGCAAACGCATATTGAATATAGATCGCATGAGAATTCAATGCCCTACCATAATGGTGTAAGTCATTGTATGCTAAAGCAGCTTACGCAGAGCTCAATGCGATTTGTAAGCTCTGTTCCGATCGTCGATTGCCATTGTGCTGTTTATGTATGTGTGTGCGACGTTCGCACTGAATGAATCGCCGTCATCGACGCATTCACACTTACACACATGCATTTAGCTCATGTATATGCCGCTACCTGTTTCGGATGTTTTTTTCGTACAAAACACACTCTTGAGCTCAATGTTCAAGTTACCTGTCCAGTTTAGTTCTGTACTTGGTAAGTGAACGAACGTACTGCTTTCGAATCGCGGTTGCGTTCTACCATCATTACAATCATCATCATTTTTTTGTAGTGACTTTTTTTCAAATTCACATACATTTATTTTTGTCATATTTTTTTTTCAAGTGTTGTTCCGATCGAATGCGTTTTGTGGCATTTAATTTTTAGTTTGGTTGAAAGACTGAGCGTGCTTGATTCTTTAATATATTTTTTGTATCGTTTTTAAAATGTTCATTGATTCATAGTGTTTTAAAATTGCAACGTCGACTCTGTATCTCGATCTCGGAACATAGTTAAAGAGAAAGAAGAAAAAAAAGTGCAACTCGTTGAAGCTACACCTAACTAAAACGGGATGGAAATAGAGAGAGAAAAAAATTGTAGAAGCAAAATGATCATTGAAAAGTACAGCACAAATAGCCAGCACCGCGCCATATATACATATATACATGAGAGAGTTTAGAATCTTTTTCGCTTGATGTTTCATTTTGATTACGTGTACACGTCTTTCATTCTTATGTCTTCGCTTATTCGTTCTTCGACGTTATTGTTACTTCTTCATCTTTCGTGATAATTGAACCGCAAAGAGGTTCACCACGATCGTCTATTTTTTTATCATATGCAAACGGGGCAAAGGCATGAGTGTCATTTTTCTCTCTCTTTCTGTCTTTCTCTCCATAACCTGAAATTAAATTTCAATCAAGCGAAAATCTATTGAATCATTTGATTTTCTCTCATATATCCGAAAAATTCACAAAACAAGATCCGCACGCCCAAAACAGAAGAGAAAAAAGATAAAGAATTCAAGTGAACGAAAAAAAAGAGCAAAGAAATATTGATCTAATTATATACATTCCAGCGCGAAATTGCTGTTGGATGACTTGTGAGCGTGTGCACATTTTTTTTGCGAGACAATTCGGTTAATGTGAAGTGGCAATTGTTTGAAAATATGTAAATAAGTTTCGTTTGTTAAAAGTTTATAAAAGTTTATGTTTGTTTTCTCCGTTTCTAGATAAAGTACAAGAAGCAGCCCTCATTTTTATTTTTATTTTCAATTGTGAAACACGACATAGAGAGTTAAAAAAAAGTAAACAAAATAATTAACCATCGAAATTAAAACAAAATTAACCGATTATTTTCTGTTCGTTTCATTGTGAATTTTGTTTTTTTTTTCGTTTTTTTCCTCCAGTTTTGTGTGTGTGTATTTGTGTACATGTGTGATGTGTTTGGCTGAAAGACAAATTTGAATATACGGAGAGAAACAATCAACAGTGGTACACCAAAAAATTTCAAACAGTGAAGCTCATTGTATATCGAATACTAATTGGAAGTCGAGCAAAGAGAGAAAAAAGAAATAAAACGGAATAAAAAAAAATGAAATTCGGAAATAAGTCAGTGAAATTCAATTGAATGTAAATAGACGTGCCAGTGGCATTGAACAGTGTGCTCTTCGTTGGCTGTGTGTGAATTTTGGCCATCAGTGAAAAATAGTGCTTGATGACACCAAATAGTTTATGACACAGCAGGAATGCTTGTTAGACGCGGTGGACTATAGCTTAAGCGGAATTTTTTTTGTATTTACTACGACCCAATTAAAAATTGAAAGATCACAACAATTGTGAGTGTGTGCGCGCGATTTGACACTGGTAATTTATAGGATTCTACTTTCATTTTAATTTTGAGTTTGTTCAAAATGGATACCCAAGTTCTCGGCTTTTTTGGTTAAAGTGGTTTTTTGACGAATAAAGCGGGTCTTCTTTTCAAAGCGAGCGAGAGAGATAGAGAAGTAAAAGAACAAAACCAACGGCTTGAATAAATCGGCATACATCCTTTCAAATACATGCAATTGAATAAATTGTTTACGATTCTATGCGCGATAACACCGTCTTCCGTTGTTTCTTAAATTCACTTCCATAAATTACGGTGTTTCAATATTGCACCGAGCGCAGCCAAATCAAAAAGACCTCATAAAAGTGGCTTTTTTTTATTCACTTCAAAACATTTTCGTTTGAATATTAATTACGAACAAAAAATGTGTGTATTTGTTTAATTTTTTATTCCATTTCTTTTATTTTTTTTTTGTTGTTGTTTTTTTTTTGTCGAACACGAATCCAAGTCTTAGAAAAACAAATAAATATATTTTTTACTGTACAGATTGGTGTATATGTGTGTGCGTCGTTTTTTTTTGCCAGTTGCTTCTTCCAACACAAATTATAAATTTATTAACTGTAATGCTTCGACGCATTACAGCTACTTCACAAAATCAACTCAACCAATGTACAATCTATTACAATTTATATCACGATATATATATGTGTGTTGTGTGTGGAAATAAATATATAGGTGCACACGATAAACGAGGAAGAATAAACATAAAAATAATAATGCTATATTTATAGCAGAAAAAAAAGAGTTTTGAAATACAACAACAGCAAACATTTATACAACAGACAGAAAAGACGGTGGTGTTCATTGAAGAAACACATGCGTTTTAAATGGCAACCAATATGGTCGCTTCTGATTGACGGTGTGTCTATCAGACGCGTTTGGCTTTTCATGTATGGCGGAAATTCAGCCAACACCAAGTGATCGAGCGAACGTGCAAGAGAAAGAAAGAAAGAAAAAAAAATCAAATTAAAATGGATCTGCAATAACAAGCGATCAAAATCCACAGTCAAGAATCATTCTTTTCACATTCTCCGTGTATGCTGCGATTGCGTTTTATTATAATTGAACGTAATGTGCTATGTTACGGAATGTTGGGTCGTTTTTTTTTTCTTCAAAGACGATTGCACCAATTCGGTCCGAACGTGGTGTGTTTTTTTTGTTCTTGTTGTTGTGCTTCTAGTTTGTGCAATTGCTTGCAAACACGAGCTTCTCTTCATCTCGATCGAAACTGTTACCAGTTTTTTTTATTCGTCTTCTTCGTTTCCATTCTTGAACACAAATATTTACTTTTAAGCGTTTTACTTTTGCTCGCGTTATATCACTCAGGCCGAACCAGTCTGTGTGCGCAGTCTCCATCTCTTTCTCGCATTGTTTAAAAGTGCTTATTATAAACTTCAGTAAATTATTAGTTCCCCTTTGCTGAGTTTTATCACTGTTCACCAGATGCCAATGTATGTCTGCGTGAATGTGCGAGCTCCGATTTGGTGTTGTTCAAGCTTTTTTCTGCAATTCGATTTCTCATTCGAAAAGAATGCGTGTACGGATATCAAGAATCGTCATCAGTTTACAAAAGAAGATAAGCTGGAGATTCGTTTTTGTCTCGATCGAAGATCAACACCAAATTCAGCTCGTGGTCATTGTAAACCGTTAAACGTTCTCAGCAGATTTTTCTCACTCGAATCACATTGATTGAATCAATTGACAGATTTTTGTTTTTCTTCGCACAAACATTTTGTTTTTATGGTCAGACATCGCATTTCTTAGGAAAATTAACTACAAAATGCTGTAGGATGAAAAGCACAAGAATAAAACGCATTAGAAATCAACAGAGTTAGAAAAATTTTTGAAGCTCAAAACGCGTTTGTTTAACGGTTGATTTGATGGTCACTAAAGACAATGAATGTTGTTTAGAAACTTGGTAGTAAACGAGAGAAAATTAGCAAACACACTCTGCATCGAATCATAGATCTGGATGTTTATTTTGCTCTCTCTCTCCATTGAAACTGAAATCGGAGCGTCACCGATTTTTTTTTAATCGAAATCATTTTACCATGTCGATGTCATAGATTCAATCTAAATTTTATGTTTTAGATGAGAAATCTATTTATCGCCACGCATAATTCACTTTTGAAAACAATACGATGTTGGTTCATTTGTTTTCGATGGATCATCATCGCTTAAGTAAAATACATTGATTTGATCTATATTTCTGATTTTTAATCACTTTGCTTTTAATTTGCATGATGTTGCTGATACATAATGTTCGTATATTAAAAGAAGATACACTAATAAAGTGCTTTTGATTCATTTCAAACGCTCGTTTTTAACAAAAACACAACTCATAATCTAAATCAAATGCTCTTTTACCCTAGATTTTTTTTACCATAAAAATATAATGAAAGTGAAGTGTGCGATTTCGATTTAAATTAAGCGTAAAAATTGAATTTCCTGCTTTTGTCCGAATTTGTGACCCACTTAATTGGCCAAATAATAGAGAAGCTTCCGATGGTTTCATTTTTCGATTATTCTTTCGGCATTTATTTTTTATGCGAATCGCTTCTGAGGTTGGCAATCTAGTGGGAGGGTTGATTCTAAGATTTTCGAAAAATTAAGGGGGTCATTTGGTATCCGAAAAATTGATGATCATAAAATGTGAAGAACTACATTTTTCATCAAAAACCATGGCCAAATGAAAGAATTTACGCATCGAAAAAGTGATAACCAATCACGGTTTCCATAAAAAAACCAACAGAATTTTAAGGGTTATTTTCTCACTCTAAAAAGGGGGATAATCAGAGTTTGATGCTCCAAGATCAGAAGCTATGTATGCGATTGGTATAGTTTTGACAATGGCAAAACAATCGTTTTTATTTAAATCGTATGAAATCATCACGTCTATTGAGCGTTCACAACAAATATAAGTTCAAAAATAAATCACGACACAAAAGAGAATGGCGTGTGAAATGGTCAGTGACCTAATGTGAATGTGTACATTTATCGACAGTAGCAAACTACAATTGGCTTCATATTTTATTAACCATTTTCGCTATTCTAACAGATTTGATCGATTTGCGAACATTTTCAATCAAATTGGTTGATAGGAAACGAAGGCTAATATCCAAAATGGACGTATACTTTCCATTAAAGTTTACATTTTTCACAAACAAAATCAGTCTTACGTATGAATAATGATTTTTTGTTTGGTTTATTCGCTTTAAGTGGATTTGTGATTGATGTCTTTCAGTTCGAAAAAGGAAGTTTCTTTCGGTTTTTTCTTAAATGATCTCATCGGCTTTCTTCAACGCTTACAACATTCACATGAAATCAATTTCGAAATATATTTTCTTCATTTCATTTGAAATCTAAATGAAGCTTCCGGCTTAGAGGAATCTCTAAATAGTTCATGGTTCATTTTATGTTAATGACAGCAATGAAACTCGGATCAATTCGAAATTCTTTTTTTCTTCAATGAAACGACTTTTTACACAATAAACAAACAAAATCACTTGAACCACTTAGTAAAGTGTTTATTTTAACGAGTTGTCATTCAGCATCATGCTGAAAACTGTTTCCATCATCATCTCGTTATTGTGTTTGAACTAGATGCTCATCTGCATGTCAACTGTAGACGAGTTTTTTTTGTTCTTCTACATAAGATTGTGAAATGACATATTCGTTGATCGTTTCCCAAATAGAAGAAGAAAAAAATAAAAGTTAAATAATAAAGAAAAAGTAACAAAAGTTCTTTTTAAGTCAGATGGAAAATGTTGATATTTATGGTGAAAACCTGTTGCAATCCACTCAGATGAGCATGCATGAATAGAAAAAAACCTTTTTACTTAAAAGCAAACATAATATTTATTGCAATACATATACATGTATGTAAACATAAACATTTTGTGGTTACTCCATAATATTACAGGATTTTGTTATGCTGCATGACAACAACAGAAAATAATAATATAGAACTGCAATTACAATGTATTAGAAAAATGAGCTAGTAACGCAAATCCATTCTCTTATTCTGGCGCAAAGAAATTACAAACGTTTTTCAATTTGCTTCGCACAACAAAATTATTGTATCGGATACAAAGAAAACGTCATACGTTTTGAAAATAAATGAATGCGTCAGTAAACATATAAATACCGTAATTGGTTACACTTAATATTGCTCAATGGTAATCAACATCAGTTGTATGGCCGACTTTGATCTCGAAAGATTGCCATCAAGAACGTAGGCGCTACGGCTTTTCTTTTTTTTTTCGTTTTTTCACGGTGAATTCGATTGGTACGCAAAAGCATTTTTTATAAAATTAAATTCCCCATCGAAATTAAAGCATTATCAGAGACTATTTCGCAGAGGAATATATGTGAGGCGGAGTGCTCTGAGGAGCCGGAGGACCACTGATGAGCTTATTTTTTTAACTTTTTTATTTTCTTTCTCACTGAGCCTATTTGTTCCTTTCTGCTCCTCAATGCTCCTCCAACTCCTCAGAGCGCTCTTCCTCACCTATATTGCTCTGAAAACAGTCTCTAGAATTTATGTACAATTGATGACGAACTCTTTGGGTGCACTTTATTTCAATACTTTCTCCGACAATTTCCAAACTTTTTGATTTCACAAAAATTTGGAACATTACCAAAAATTTGCCAGTACGTCGGAATACGTTTTAAAAAAAATGATTCGTTTAGTCATTCATATGACTATCATTTCAAATGACCTGAGATCATATCAATTTAATTTCAAACCCTGGTCATGAACACCACTGCCAAAATAGGCTGAAATTTGTGAAATACGTGTTCGACGAAAGTGTGTATTCACGAGAAAAAAAATCAATGGTAGAACGTGTAATAATTTCACCTCGTTTCAAAGTCTAGTTCTACGGTGATGACCTAAGTCTTCTCTATTATAATGCAAATTAAGTGTTAAATGAGCTCAAATTATTGCTTTTTCATCGCATTCAACATTTTAAAACGTAGCAGTAAAATGAGTGTCTTGCCCATATAAATTCTTCTCAACACGAACAATGAGAGTGTTTTTTTTTACTTTAAATTTAATGAATGGAATTTATGTTGGGTATTTTTTTTTTCATAATTGGACAATTAATATGTTGATTCTTTTGGGTTCATCTTTTGTACTTCATTCAAAGTTGTTTTATAAACAAAAAAGAAACCTGTTGATGAATCTGAATAGATTGATATAAGCCGGAGATTCGGTTCTTTTTGTGAATTTCCCCAAAAACACGCACACATACCTAGCAGTAGAGAAAGCATCATTATGGGTCTTCGATGTTTTGCCAAAAAGAAAATAAAAACAGTTTATGAAATTAATAATTCTTGGTTCGAAATCAAACTAGTTATACGAGTGCAGTATTGCCAAAGCGACTGTATCGAATCACATTTACCGTTAGATTCTTTTCATTAAATTTCTGTGTAGCTTACACTTGAAGACTGCTTGCATCGACGCAACATCAACACTTTTAACTTGTTGCATGTAAAAATGCGCGACATATACGAGCCACCACATAAGAAAATCGAGACGCATAAAAACTCGTTTGTAAGTCAATTGATTTGTTTACTGTGCCGTTGGCAGTGCTTGGTTCATACCAAATCGCATGGAAAAGACATTGACTTTGAAAATGATCACGTTCAGCTTAATTTCACACCGAACAAATAACGTTTACCGCTTTTGGTATGACACAAACAAATACACCGTGTTGTACATATGTGTGTGATTGATATGAATGTAAACATTGCTTTAGATTTTTATATAGTGTATCTAATAAGAGTCGCACCGAAAATAATCCGCAATTAAATGTACATGCGTCACACCCAAGCGTTGTCACAAATCAATCGCAAGCTTCCATTCAAATGGCTTGAATGGGCCGCCGCGTTCAGACCAATCAAATTTGTTGTGCACCACAAGGTGCCACTATTGTGTGCCTATTCCATTTATCTATCCCGTGTGCGGCAAGCACACAACAACTCTTATACCGGCACAATTTATACGTTCGTTGAACGTAATCGCCAAGAATTACATAAGCGAATTTTACAACACAAAACCAGATTCTATTTTGGTCTATATGTTTAACAATCACCTGCCACATTTGCAACCCGTTTGTATTAGTGAAACGTCTATTTTTTGGAGAGCGAACAAAAATAACGATAAGCCGTACACACTGCCACTGTTCAACGTAGTATTGTAATGTATGCTATCTCTCGATCAACCTGCATCTTTACAGCACCCGCTTGCATTGCATGTTTCAAGCGATGCACTCGTGTTGAAAACAATCATAAAAATTATTCGCTTTTTTACGGGCAAACGGTTACATTATAAATGATGATTTACAGAGGTATTGCTTTGCTTGCATTGAAATGCGTGTATGCCAGGTACATACATATACGCATTCACACACATATACAAATACCTGATGTCCAATTTACTGTTATCTGTATGGAATGAAAAGAACCAGTGATAAAAATATATGCCTATGCATGATTTTACTGTTATTACTATGATGCGATCAACAAAAGCCCACAATAAATAAATTTTACACCAATCGACCGAGTCACATAATACAGACAAGCCCAAAATTCTAACAATAATCAAAATGTGATTTATTGTCATATTCTTAATCGTTTAATGAATGGTGGATTTTTTTTTCAGATTGACGGAGGAAGTGTGTGTGAGTGGGGAGCAAAGGCTTCTGTATTTTTGGGTAATAAAAGCGCGTCAATGAGGTCAACAAAATGGTCATTGTAACACGAGTAAGTATTCTCTTTTTATACATTTTGCAAAAATAAATAAATCACTCAAAATGTCTTTGAACCTAAAGTGTCTTTTTTTCGAATAAAATTTCATTTATGACACACAATAAGGTGTCACTTAACGAAGTTAACCGAATTTTATTTGAAAGAAAAAAGCAGCCGCGATAAAGACTATTTCGATAAGATAATTCGCGTGAAAATACAAACGTTAGCACATTTTGTCGGATATGACGAAGAGAAATGGCACAGACACACAAATCTCATTTCAAAATAAATCCACTTTCGATGAACTACTGAATTCGATACACTTGCTTAATTACAATCGACGAAATTCCAAATAAATGAATTTTCATACAGAGGTTATTATTATTTTTTCCATTTTCCGTTTTGAATTTTGCAATCAAAATAATATATTCATTTTTTAATAGTGGTGGAAGTGTTCAAATCGAGTAAAATATACCCAAATAACGTCTAATGAATTTGTTTAGCTCATTAACGATGTTCTACAAAGCGGAAAATTTCATTTAAAATTGAAAAAAATGCACCTTCTTTTTATTGAAATGTGAAGTGGTTTGAAACGATTTTTTTTTCATTGTATTTACAACGATTTTGGGCTGTTGAATTAATTGCATTTTAAAACTCAATTTTAACCGAATTTACTACATATAAACAGGCTTATAAAGATAACCATAATTTAATGAATGGCAAATGCTCGGTCGCACAATGACTGTTGGTGTGAAGTGACTTTCAATTGAACGAAGCAAAGTGAACGTACCGGAAAATAATTGGTTTACGAAACATTTCGAAATTGCAATGTGCTTTGATGACGACGAAGACGACGAAAATGCAAATGCTGATTTTTATCGAACTGAAAATTAATCATATTTCGCAAAACCATAATGTGCTTAGACTTTGTTTAAGCGTGTTTATTTTTAAAGTTGTGCAAGACATCAAAAACAACGACGACCAATTGCGCTCTTTTTCCGTCGAATGCACGAAATGTTTCGTTTCTCAAGTGTTACCAAGTGAAACTGCGTGCAAAATGTAAAAACGAAGAAAAAAAAACTAACAACAATACAATAAACTAGAGTCATTGTCATGCACATTTGGTGTCATGCATTCCTTTGCCATTATTATTATAAAAGATACAACTCTCTCGCAATGGCGCGCGCATAACGATTAAACATAAAAAAAATAAATATGAACAAAAATTGTTGTCTGAAAACAACAGAAGAAAACAACACCAAGTGGAGAGTAAAATGCGTGTAGTTAAATGAATTCAATGTGGCATGGAAGTGAATGAATATTACTACGTCAAGTACGAATACCACACACTTGAAAGCCAGCGAACGAATACATTTGGTATTGGGTGCGCTCGCGAGCATATTTTTCGCTTTTTCAAATTGGCTTTGTGTCAACAGGATGTGTCGGTTATAAAATGGTTCCACTCAGCTGATCTTGATGAAACATATTTACAAAAAAAAACTGAGTGAGTGAGAGAGAGAGAGAATGAAAATTACACACCGTCCAAAACAAAACCAGCCCAAGAAATTTACAAGCGAGCGTTTACAAAAATACCGTCACAATTGTTGTTGTTCTTTATTTTTTGTGTATGTTTTTTTTTTACGTCGTCGTCGACGGTGTATTCTATCGGCCTATACACGAAAAGTAGGGTCCCAAACTTGAACCATGCGTCTCGCTGAGTAGAATAGGGCACATATTCAGTTTTTGTTTCTCGTTCGTTTATGTTGAGTGCACGATCGTATGTTTAAAATGAAAATGAATGAATTGTCATTATATATATATGCTCACAACAATATATACAACAAGTAGAAGTTGCATGGAAATGAGCACACACCAATCACCTGAAGAAGAAGAAGAAGAAGAAGAGAAAAAAACATGACTAAAAATCATTAAATTAGATCGTTCATTGTTTAGTAATATTTTCACCTAAGACATATCATCGGCAGCACAGTCACACGCACCGCTTCGAAAAATGGAACAACAACAACGACGAAGACAAATATGGTAGCCGCGGTAAAAGTCTCTAAAGCACACGAGCATCGGTGCAATGCGATTATGATTTTGCATTGCATATTCGCATAAGTGCTTTTAAAATAAAGATTGTGCACATTCTGTAGCAGAAAATAAAATTGCACTGATCGTCTCAGATGTGTAACACAATGTACGCTTCCATGTTCTCTTGCACTTGAATTTCATTTTTTTCCATAGTTTTCATCGAAAAAGAAAAGATATACGACATCAAATTCGTCGAACAATACAACCGTAGCGAATTCTGTATTACTCTCTTCATATCTTCTTCTCTCGTTTTAAACTATAGTCATTTTGTTGTTTCATACGATGAAAAGTCACATTTTGCATACAGTTCAACTATTCTTTGCGTTTATTTCATATGCTTCACAGCTCTCTCGCATCTCTAGTACACTTCGTTCTTTTTTACTCTCTATAAAACATGTATGAATAAATTCATCAACATTCGGATTTTACATTTTTTTTACTTCAACTTATAAATGATTTCATATAAAAATCTATATATGGTTTTTTTATTCGCGATGATCAAAATCGTCATTCTAAGTTAGAATTTCTAACTGTGTTGAGTCACGTCTCTTCGTTAGAAATTCTAATATTTTTTTTGTTCGCTTATAACGCGCCGACTGTGGAATTGTTGAAGCGGTAGCAAAATGCCATTAATTTTTTTTTCTCGTGCTTTTAACTCGTTTCTCATATCTTTGCTATGGTTGCGTGTGCACAATTCGGTTTCGTACACCAAACACAAAAATCGCTTTAATCTTTTTTTTTGCTTTTAAAATATAATTGCTCGTTTTTAGTCTATTCCGCACGGCAGCCTGTACAACTTCACCAAATGACTAGTCTCTTTTTATATTAGTTTCTCTCTTCCTCTCTCTCTCTTTATCTGAGTTTCGGAACAAAAGAACCAAGAATATGACAAAATGTCAAAATATACAAAAGCAACAGTCGACAGAAAAACGCTATGAATAAATTTCATTGTAACGTTAGTTGGGATAAACTTTAGTTTTCATCACGGTTGCTTCAGCAATTTAAAAATAAATAAATTTCTTAAATTCATTAGTGTCAGTTTTATATATCTAATGTGTTTTATTTTTCAATTCAAAAGGGTGACTACATCTGGATTGAACCAGCCACTGGAAGAGAATTCGATGTAGCAATCGGAGCTCGTGTCACTTCGGCTGAAGGCCGTCGAATACAAGTACGCGACGATGATGGCGAAGAACAATGGCTATCGCCCGAACGTCGCATCAAAGCGATGCATGCATCGTCCGTGTCCGGCGTCGAAGACATGATTTCACTTGGCGATTTGCACGAGGCCGGCATCTTACGAAATCTTCTCATTCGCTACAATGACAATCTAATTTATGTAAATATCATTCAAAGTCGTTAAGACTGTTTTTGCAAATAACCCAAGAAGACCAGAGACTGTTTCTCAGAACAATAGACATGAGCAAAGTCAGTCATTTCAATTTTCTCCTCGGTGCTTCTTTGGCTCTTCCTTGCATATATTGGTTTTAAAAATCAGTCTCTGCTTATTGCTTTTAATTTTTACTGAGCTATTATTAAGCATCTTTTTAATCGTCACTTTCATTAAAAAATATTAAAACTTATTTTCATTGGCACAGACTTACACCGGTTCTATTTTGGTTGCTGTGAATCCATATCAAATTCTGCCCATTTATACAGCCGATCAAATCAAACTGTACAAAGAACGTAAAATCGGCGAATTGCCACCGCATATATTTGCAATTGGCGATAATGCATACACAAATATGAAACGATATCGCCAAGATCAGTGCATTGTCATTTCGGGTGAATCGGGCGCGGGAAAAACTGAAAGCACAAAATTAATCTTACAATATTTGGCGGCGATTAGTGGAAAACATTCATGGATCGAACAACAAATTTTAGAAGCAAATCCCATTCTTGAGGCGTTCGGCAATGCAAAAACCATTCGAAATGACAATTCATCGAGGTAAGAAGTGATTTTCAATTTCAAATACGTTGTAATTTTCTAATGCTTTAAAATTGTGTTGCAGATTTGGAAAATACATCGATATTCATTTCAATGGACACGGTGTGATCGAAGGTGCAAAAATTGAACAATATTTACTGGAAAAATCACGAATCGTATCGCAGAGTCGACACGAACGAAACTATCATGTATTTTACTGTTTGCTCGCTGGTTTATCGAACGAAGAGAAACGCAAGCTGGATCTTGGAAGTGCATCCGATTACAAGTATAAAAAATCATACACTTTAGCATCACTAAAATCGTAAATACTGAATAATTAATCATTTCAAATAGGTACCTAACGGGTGGTGAGAGTATCGTCTGTGAGGGACGTGATGATGCTGCTGAATTTGCTGATATACGTTCGGCTATGAAAGTTTTACTATTTTCTGATGCTGAAATATGGGAAATTCTAAAATTACTCGCTGCATTATTGCATTGCGGCAATATCAAATACAAAGCAACCGTTGTAGATAATTTAGATGCAACCGAAATCCCCGAACACATTAATGTTGAGCGAGTGGGTGCTTTGCTTGGTGTTCCTGTGCAACAATTAATCGATGCCTTGACCCGAAAAACTCTATTTGCTCATGGTGAAACGGTTGTGTCAACATTGTCTCGTGATCAATCGGTGGATGTACGTGATGCATTTGTGAAAGGGATTTACGGTCGTATGTTTGTCTTAATCGTTCGCAAAATTAACAGTGCAATTTTCAAGCCACGATCAACATCACGAAATGCGATCGGTGTTTTGGACATTTTTGGTTTTGAAAATTTCGATAATAATAGTTTTGAGCAATTTTGTATCAATTATGCCAACGAGAATTTGCAACAATTTTTCGTGCAACACATTTTCAAATTGGAACAAGAAGAGTACAATCATGAAGGTATCAATTGGCAGCACATTGAATTCGTTGACAATCAAGATGCACTTGATTTGATTGCGATTAAACAATTGAATATTATGGCTTTGATCGATGAAGAGGCGAAATTCCCAAAAGGTACCGATACCACAATGTTGGCCAAACTGCATAAAACACATGGAACGCACAAGAATTACTTAAAACCAAAATCAGATATTAATACAAGTTTTGGATTGAATCATTTTGCTGGCGTTGTATTCTATGATACGCGCGGATTTCTAGAGAAAAATCGTGATTCATTCAGTGCGGATTTACTGCAATTGATCAATACATCACATAATAAATTTTTACGAGCTGTTTTTGCCGAAGATATTGAAATGGGAGCGGAAACACGAAAACGAACACCGACCCTATCGACACAATTTAAAAAGAGTCTTGATGCGCTCATGAAAACATTATGCAATTGTCAACCGTTCTTCATTCGTTGCATCAAACCGAATGAATTTAAGAAGCCAATGATGTTTGATCGAACATTATCGTGTCGGCAATTGCGGTATTCAGGCATGATGGAAACAATTCGAATTCGTCGTGCTGGCTACCCAATTCGACATGGATTCAGAGAATTTGTTGAACGATATCGATTCTTGATAAACGGCGTACCGCCAGCCCATCGAACCGATTGTCGATTGGCAACGGCACGCATTTGTTCTGCCGTTTTGGGCAAATCTGACTATCAACTCGGTCATACAAAAGTATTTTTAAAAGATGCCCATGATTTATTCTTGGAACAGGAACGTGATCGTGTTTTAACTCGAAAAATTTTGATTCTTCAACGATCGATACGTGGTTGGGTGTATCGAAGACGATTCCTTCGTATGAAGGCCGCTGCAATTACCATACAAAAACATTGGAAAGGTTATGCACAACGAAAACGTTATAAGAAGATGCGTGTTGGTTACATGAGATTGCAAGCGTTGATAAGATCGCGTGTGCTTTCGCATCGTTTTCGTCATTTGCGTGGCAACATTTGTCGATTGCAAGCACACGCCAGAGGTTATTTAGTGCGAAGAGAATATGGTCACAAAATGTGGGCAATTATTAAAATTCAATCGCATGTACGTAAAATGATTGCGATGCGAAGGTATCGAAAATTGCGTGAAGATTATCGTAAATACAATGAAGCGTTACGCATTCGACGACTTGAAGAGCAAGAGTTGCGACATCAAGGCAATAAACATGCAAAGGAAATCGCCGAAAAACATTATCGGGACCGTTTGAATGAGCTGGAACGCAGGGATTTCGAACAGGAATTGGAGCAAAGGAGAAAGGTTGAGGTGAAAAAGACATTGATAAACGACGCAGCACGGAAACAAGATGAACCGGTCGATGATAGTAAATTAGTTGAAGCTATGTTCGATTTCCTGCCAGATTCAAGCAGCGAAACTCCAACACCACATGGCGGACGGGAAACGTCAGTTTTCAACGATCTACCGGTCAATGCTGATAAGAACGAAGATGTTACACCCATTCAAATGGTGTCGGAAGACGAAGAAGACTTGTCTGAGTTTAAATTTCAGAAATTTGCTGCCACCTATTTCCAAGGCAATGTTACACATCAATATTCACGTAAACCACTGAAGCATCCATTGTTGCCGCTTCATACACAAGGCGATCAATTGGCCGCTCAAGCACTTTGGGTTACAATTTTACGATTCACCGGTGATTTGCCCGAACCACGGTATCAAACAATGGATCGTGATAATACGTCGGTGATGTCAAAAGTGACGGCCACGTTGGGACGCAATTTCATACGTAGCAAGGAGTTTCAAGAGGCTCAAATGATGGGTCTCGATCCTGAATCGTTTATTAAACAAAAACCACGATCGATTCGTCATAAATTAGTGTCGTTAACATTGAAACGAAAGAATAAATTGGGCGAAGATGTACGGAGACGTTTGCAAGATGAAGAATATACGGCCGACAGTTACCAATCGTGGTTGGAATCACGTCCAACATCCAATTTGGAAAAATTACACTTTATTATCGGCCATGGAATTCTACGGGCCGAACTTAGGGACGAAATTTACTGTCAAATTTGCAAACAACTCACCAATAATCCATCGAAATCATCACATGCTCGTGGTTGGATTTTGCTGTCACTCTGCGTTGGATGCTTTGCACCATCCGAAAAATTTGTTAATTATTTGAGAGCATTCATCAGAGAAGGACCACCAGGTGAGTTTCATATTCATTTCACTTTGGAAACAATCTGAATAACTGAATAAATTGAATAAAACTGAAACCGTACCAAAAAAAAAAAAACATGAAAATTGGACAAAAAATAGAAGAGTCGATCCAAAAATTGAACAAGTAATGTGCGAGGTCAGATTATCGGAGGAGGTTATTTCAAAAATGAAATGACCACATTTTTCGTTTAAAATTTTGACATTTTCATTTTTGTCTAGTGTAAAAGAAATTTCAAATATCAGTCATAACCTCTTCCTCCTGCATATTACTGAATTGAATTAAAAGTAGATTCTTTTTCAGGCTATGCCCCCTACTGTGAGGAACGTTTGAAACGTACTTTCAACAATGGGACACGAAATCAACCACCGTCATGGCTGGAATTGCAAGCCACCAAATCAAAGAAACCAATCATGTTGCCGATTACGTTCATGGATGGCAATACAAAAACACTTTTGGCTGATTCGGCAACCACTGCGCGTGAATTGTGTAATCAACTTTCGGATAAAATTGCGCTGAAAGATCAATTCGGATTTTCCTTGTACATTGCGCTGTTTGATAAAGTATCATCGTTGGGTAAATATCTTTTATAATTTATGATATGGAAAATGGTTTCTAATAACTTCGATTTTGCTTTACAGGCAGTGGCGGTGATCATGTAATGGATGCAATATCCCAATGCGAGCAATATGCAAAAGAGCAAGGTGCTCAAGAGCGTAATGCACCGTGGCGTTTATTTTTCCGCAAAGAAATATTTGCACCATGGCATGAGCCGACTGAAGATCAAGTTGCAACGAATTTAATATATCAACAAGTTGTACGTGGTGTAAAATTCGGTGAATATCGTTGTGACAAAGAAGAAGATTTAGCTATGATTGCCGCACAACAATACTTCATCGAATATGGAACTGACATGTCGATGGAACGATTATTCACATTGCTACCAAATTTTATACCTGACTATTGTCTCACCGGCATTGAAAAGGCGATCGATCGCTGGGCAGCACTTGTGCTGCAAGCCTATAAAAAGAGCTATTATCTAAAGGATAAAATTCCAGCGTTGAAAGTCAAAGAAGATATCGTCAGTTATGCAAAATATAAGTGGCCATTGTTATTTTCACGCTTTTATGAGGCGTATCGAAATTCTGGACCAAATCTACCGAAGAATGATGTGATCATTGCAGTGAATTGGACCGGTGTTTATGTTGTTGATGATCAAGAACAAGTGTTATTGGAATTGTCATTCCCCGAAATTACATCGGTTTCCAGTCAAAAAACCAACAAAGTTTTCACACAAACGTTTAGTCTGTCTACCGTACGCGCCGAAGAATTCACATTCCAAAGCCCAAACGCCGAAGATATTAGAGATTTGGTCGTTTATTTCTTGGAAGGTCTCAAGAAAAGGTGAGAAAAATCACTTTCAAAAGACAATTTTGATTGAAAGACCAATTTTTTAACGTGATTTTGAATCGATTTCTTCTCTTTACACAGATCCCGATTTGTAATTGCGGTACAAGACTACAAGGCACCAGGCGAAGGAACAAGCTTTTTGTCATTCATAAAGGGCGATTTGATTAATTTAGAAGAAGATAATACTGGTGAAACTGTTTTAAACAATGGATGGTGCATTGGTAAGTTTTAGTTTAAATTGGTTTCAATTGTTTTTCGTTCATGCGTCTTCAATAAAAAAAATCCTTTATTCAATTTTGCAAAGGTCGTTGTGAACGAACTGAAGAACGTGGTGATTTTCCGGCCGAAACAGTGTATGTGCTTCCAACATTAACAAAACCGCCGCAAGATATTTTGGCACTATTTAGCATAGAAGAGGCACACCATGGTCGTCGATTGAATACAATATCAAATGGTGGCACGGAAACACGTGAACGACCCCATACATTGCAAGATTATGCTTTAGATCATTTTAGACCGCCACCAAAACGAACAATGTCCAAAGCACTGACGCTCAGCTCAAAGCGGCACAGCGATGAATTATGGAGATATTCAAGAGACCCGCTGAAGCAACCGTTGTTAAAGAAATTACAGGCCAAAGAAGAATTAGCCGAAGAGGCGTGTTTCGCATTTGCAGCCATTTTAAAGTATATGGGCGATTTGCCATCAAAACGACCACGCATCGGTAACGAAATTACCGATCACATTTTTGACGCCCCATTAAAGCATGAAATCTTACGAGACGAAATTTACTGTCAACTCATGAAACAATTGACTGAAAATCGAAATCGATTGTCAGAAGAACGTGGTTGGGAATTAATGTGGCTGGCAACCGGTCTCTTTGCATGCAGTCAAAATTTGTTGAAAGAATTATTTTTATTTTTACGTAGTCGTCGGCATCCAATTTCGCAGGATTCATTACATCGTTTGCAAAAAACAATTCGAAATGGCCAACGCAAGTATCCACCGCATCAAGTTGAAGTTGAAGCCATACAGCATAAGACCACACAAATCTTTCATAAAGTCTATTTCCCAGACGATACAGACGAAGCATTCGAAGTGGATTCGTCAACAAGAGCAAAAGATTTTTGTCAAAACATCTCACAACGGCTGGGACTAAGATCGAGCGAAGGTTTTAGTTTATTTGTTAAAATTGCCGATAAAGTGATTTCCGTGCCGGAAGGAGACTTTTTCTTTGATTTTGTTCGTCATTTAACCGATTGGATTAAAAAAGCACGATCGACACGTGACGGAACGAATCCACAATTTACATATCAAGTGTTTTTCATGAAAAAATTATGGACGAATACGGTACCGGGCAAAGATCGAAATGCTGATTTAATATTCCATTACCATCAAGAATTGCCAAAACTATTACGTGGCTATCACAAATGTTCAAAGGAAGAAGCAGCCAAATTGGCCGCCCTAGTCTATCGTGTTCGATTTGGCGACAGCAAACAAGAACTTCAAGCAATCCCGTATGTTGAACAATGCATTTTTCAACTATAACCGAATGGGTTAATATTGTTTTTTCCATTATTTCTTTCACGCAGACAACTTCTCCGGGATTTGGTTCCATCAGATTTAGTCAAAATTCAAGGTACAAGCGAATGGAAACGTTTCATCACTTCAATGTACACGCAAGACGTTGGAATGACATCGGAAGAGGCGAAAATTGCATTCTTGAAAATTATTTACAGGTTAATAGAAAACTATGCCTTTTAAATGATTTAATATTTTAAATGGAATTTCATTTTTATCGATTAGATGGCCCACATTCGGTTCAGCATTCTTTGAAGTGAAACAAACAACGGAACCAAATTATCCAGAAATGCTATTAATCGCAATAAACAAGCACGGAGTTAGTCTGATTCATCCACAAAGCAAGGCAAGTATTATTTGGTTTTTATAAAAAGACGTGATTCGTTGACCTTAATTAATATTGTTCATTTTCCATTTTCAGGACATTCTAGTAACACATCCATTCACACGTATATCAAATTGGTCATCGGGTAAGACATCTTATAAATAAAATTCAACTATTTTTGAATAATCTTACTTTTTTGCCCTTTTGTATTATAGGAAATACATATTTCCATATGACGATCGGTAATTTAGTGCGTGGTTCGAAATTATTATGCGAAACATCATTAGGTTATAAAATGGACGATTTGCTTACGTCGTACATCTCATTAATGTTGGCCAATATGAACAAACAAAGGACAATACGAATAAATTAGCCACAGTAGCGTCGACATTTATTATCATCACGAAAAACAAAATATTGAACAAAAAAACTTCTTTTTTTATTTATATAAATATTGTTTTGCTCTGTTTTTTTTTAGTAATGAAAAACTTTCGTTCATTTCGCAATAAATTTGAATTTAGCTTATTTGATATTCTATCGATTAGTTTAATGAAATGAAACAAATGAGGATTACGCACAAAATTTTAGCAAACACTTGAAAATGCAGTCGATAAAAGTCTGCCTCCTCAACAGAGTTTTTTTTTTCAATTCAAGCATAGAATTTTAGACGTTCCGTTGGCAGATTTTTAAGACGAATCATTGTTCAAGTTTTTTACTTTTAAATTGAATAATTTTGCAATTGATTTTCTATTAATTATCTGCTTGTTAGCATGTAATACATCGTATTATTAATAAATCGATTTATAAATATATATATTTTTTGAAAATGAAATCTAAGTCTTTTGAATATTAACCAAATAAAGACATTTGGCATGGAAAATTGATGCATAATATGTCTGGCGTAGTGGTGCCAACGAGCGTTCGAAACAAAAATTAAATGTATTTAGATTTTTTAAGGTTTTCTACGAACGCGAACGAGCACGAGTATATTTAAATTTTTTTACAGCAAATCTTTATTATAACATTAACGTATGCACTAGGGTGGCCCAAAAAACAAAGTATTTAATTTTTAACATTCCAGGCCGGTTTTAGCATATTTGCGGCCTAAAAACACGATGTGGACCATTGGTTTGTTCAAGTAGGGAACCATGGCGCTACAAATTCATTGGGAAAATACCTCGATGGACCCCTTTTGGTGAATTTTGAACGATTTCTATTTTCTAAAAAAATTATGAAAAAAATACGTAGTGGGAGGTTTTTTGGTGCGAGAAAACCGAATCTGGCGTTATTTTTGCGATACGATCAATACTTAACACATTTTTCCTACAAAAATATGAAAAAATCACCACCACCAGCTTGGAGCATTATATTTCGTGCAGGACGACCACGTTGACCGCGACCACGACCACGTTGACCGCGACCACGACCACGACCAATTCTAGCGAAGGTCGGCGTTTCGGTAATTTTCGTTGGGGAAGAAGTGAAAGGTGGCTCAAAGTGAGCAATTGTGTCGTTGACAATAGTGGCTGTAGAATTTGATAATGAGTTATATTTTTAGAACATAGAAGTTGGTGTTCGTCCCCCAAATTCAAATCTTCCGCCACAACCGTGTGGTTGTTAGTGTGCGGACATCAATTATGTCTTAGGAATCAATAAATATATTGTGGAATAAGATAAAGTTATGACACATATGCATACTTAATATACAAGTTTTGTTTCTTAGATTATTTATTCGTTAAAAGTTGCATAATTTCAACGTAAGACTTTCCCCGAGTTTCCGGAATGAAGCAAATGCCAAAAATTAAATTTATTATACTCATAATGCCCAATATAAACATGCAATTAAAAAGTCCAAATGTTTCTAAAAAGATCGGAAAAACAGTTCCAAGTCCAAATAAAATGATCCAATAAAATGAAATGGCCATTGCGAGGCAAGTTTGTCTTATCTGAAAACAGTTGAAAAGCACACCATAAAATTAAATGTTTCATTTTTAACGGAGAGTTAATTTACCTTTTTCGGGAAAATTTCAGTAGTTATGATGAATGGTATGGGAATTTGTCCCAACCAACTGAAGAAAACAATACATGCAAAACAAATCGTAGGCACCCATTCGAATCCCGGCCGATTGAGCCAAAGCGAAGAACAAATTGCAAATAGGAAGAAACCAATTGTAGTTAGTATTGATGACCCAATCTGAAGTGTCTACAAAAAAAATATGCATTAATAAAAAAGAATGCTAAAGTGAAAAACACTACTGATCATGGTGAATATACAAACCCGTCGATTAACTCGTTCGACAATATTGAGAAATACCAAATTGGCGATCATTTGTGTCATTGAAATTAAGAGTGACGATTTTTTTGCAGACAACGGTGATCCCGTTTTAGTGAAGATATCGGTAACAAAACTGATGATCAACAGACTTCCTGTTAGAAAATTGAATGTCAACGATGTGAATGAGATGAACATCGCTCGTTTGGCCTGCGTTGTTACTAAATTACAAAATTGTGATTTTAGTCATGAATATTTCAGTCAGAAGATAATTAACTGAATTTACAAAAATCACGAAGTCTTATTTTTGACGTTGAATCTGTCTCTTCTCCATCATTCGCCCTCGATCCGCTCTCAAATTTATCATCTTTTTGCTTAAGAAATTTGGCCTGTTCAAGCTCGTTCAAACTTCCTTTGTAAAAACGATGCGATTTTATAGCTCGCTGAAAAATGTGGGCAAGGAATTAGAAGGATTACAAAATGAAATAAACAATATGATTCGTAAATCTTTACCTTTTCTTTGTTTCGATTCTTTAAGTATTCGGGTGATTCAGGGAGAAGAAACATAATAATCATGAAAATAATTGGCACAATCACTTGCGCTTTTGCCTGGTCTAACCAATTCAAAAAGTTGCCGAGAAAAAATGAAAAAATCATTCCCAAGTTACTGCTGGGATCATAAATACTGTTCAGTGCTCCCCTGATACTGAAAGAAGATTGTTTATTTTGAAATCGCTTTGAGTCATTTATGGTTATTATCTTACTTATCATGCGATATGTCATTTATTAGTATTGGTATGGTTACTCCGCAAGCTCCTCCAGCAATACCACTCAAAATTCTCGACAGATAAAGAAGAGACACAAGATATTCTCGAGACATAAGATATTTGATATTTCGCGCGTAAATAATAATTAGAGCACTAAGCTGATGTGAAAAATATATGTGATTTTTTTTCATTAAAGATTCATTATTGTACGAGATTCACTTACAATTAACGGTATTCCGAAAAAGTGAAGAGTTCGCTTGACACCAAACATTATGTTGAAAGGCAAAACAATAAAATTGCCAATAAATCCACCGAAATTTATCAACGACACAACAAGCGAGGCCTCGTCTAAACTCAATGGTCCCGTTGGAAATGTGCTATTTTCATTTTGAAGCTCATTGAAATTAATTGTTGACCAACCCATCGTCGAACCGAATGAAAAAGTTAACAAATTACCTGCGAATATATTGCGGTGTTAATTTAATGTGGCTATTAATATTGGCATTTCTTTTACTCACAACATAAAATGGATAGGAATTGTTTGAAAAGGGGTGATATTTTACACATTTTTCTTTTTTGTGTAATGCTATTCACTAAAATATATTTGTTGCCACTTTGAATTTTGCACTTCGTCACTAACGTTACTGTTTTAATCGAATCAAAAAAAGCATTTAATGAATAACAAAGTATAAGTAGACTTTAATCATGAATCTTCATTTATTTAAGTCGATTAAGCAGTGAATTTGTAAAATTGAACAAAAGATAAGATACGAAGAAATGTCAAATCATGCTCAAAGATTCAAAATGTCATTTTTCCTTATAACAGTTATCTATTGCCATAGATTAGGCCAAGATTACTAATTCGATGAATGTTTAATGTCTTATGCAATAAAAATAGAATGTCTTAAAATAATTTTACAGGCAATTAATTGTATGAATATAGACGTTTAGGCTCGAATTAACTGCAACTAATGATGATTTCGTATAAAACATTTACAACAACATTTTGGGTTCAAATACTATGAGATCGAGCGCATTTTTTGTGAAACTGGGCTCGGAGAGCATCAGAAAAAACATTTTCTAAAAGTTTTTTGGGGTGTTGATGCCGAATTTTCGGGTTTCAGGTCAAAAAATCAGGATAGACGTGATATCATATCCATTTCTATAATATAAATTTAATTTAATACGTTGTAAAATTTGAAAATGTTATCATATATAAAAAATCGGTCTTCTCATCGATAAAAACATATTGGCAACTAACTTTGAAAAACCCAGCGAGGGTTTTACCCAGGTATTACTTTCATCCCATGTATACAAAGTTCAATCACTTTTTTTACTGTTGCACTGTGCATGTAATAAGCGGGGATTGTTCCTCTGAAGAGGAGGAATGTTGAGAATGCAAATGAGAAGAAAGAGAGTGCTGAGGAGGTTCCTCCTCCTCAATTGAGGAGAAAATAACAAAAATAACTTTTCCTCCTCACTTTAGGAAGAAAACCTACCTCATCGCTTTCCTTATTTACCTCCTCCTCAGAGCAATAATTCCTGGTAATAAGTATGCATGTAGTAACATTTAATTTAAAACTAAAATATTTATTTATTTAGCAATTTCATAATCTCCTCATGGGACTTTCCACGTGTTTCAGGAACAAAAATTATTCCAAAAAGTGCATTAAGTAAACTCATAACCGCCAGCGCGATCATGCAATTTACGAGACCGATTGCATCTAAAATTATTGGAAATATCCACCCAAGGATAAACAGAATAATCCACATCACTGAAACAGCCAGTGCGAGACAGGTTTGACGGATCTAAAATTCCACAGAAATTTTCACAATGAAAACTATTCAAAATAACAAAGAGTTCTGTGTCACGATTGGTACCTTTTTTGGGAATATTTCAATGTTTAAAATGTATGGAATTGGCAACAGTCCCATGCAGCTAAAATAAGTGATGCACGAAAAACAAAAGGGTGCCATCCATCGGTATTCGGGTTGATCGATCCAAAATTGGCAGTAAACCGCAAACAAAAAGAAGCTACCACTTGTCAAGAATGATGAACATACATAGAGAGTCTACAAATAAATAATGCAATGGCAATTAAAGTGGTTTTTCATTTCTACACAGAAAGAAAATATCAGCCGACGCTATACGCAAAACCGACTGGTACGTGCGCTCATACGTTTTTACATCTTTTACATCTATTACCATACGACTTTTCGACTGTGCGAAGATACGCACAAAGAGTAACGAATCAGTCGAAAAATCGTATGGTCACTAGATGTAAAAGATGTAAAAACGTATGAGCGCACGTACCAGTCGGTTTTGCGTATAACGTCGGCTGATATTTTCTTACTGTGTAATGACGCATGCGTTATGTGCAAACCTTCCGATTAAACCGTTCAACAATATTTAATAGTAACAAGTTTGCAGTTAACTGTACTACACTAACTAAAATTGAAGAATGTTTCTCGGACAACGAAGAATGTGTTTTCTCGAAAATATCCGTAACATAGCTGATAATCGTCAAAGTTCCAGATAAAAATGATAATGTGAGTGATACAAAACCAATAAAAAGTGCTTTCTTTGCCTGTGGTGTGACTATAATTTGAAAGGATCATAATTAATAACATTGAAAACAGACACATTAGCAATAAATTACAAAAGTCTCGAAGAGTAAGTTTTGAATTTGTTTCATTTTCATCAATTTGTTCCAATTTTTCTTTTTCATTTTTTTCTTCAATGGGTATTTCATGAAATTCAATGTTGTCAAGGGCTGGAATGCTTCCTTTGTAGAATTTGCGCGCTTTTATGACTCGCTAAAAAAATTAATTGTTCAATTTATAGAAATAACTCGATGCTACTCACATTTACTTTTTCTTTGTTTCGATTTAACCAATATTCGGGTGACTCAGGGAGTAGAAACATCACAACCATAAAAACAATCGGAACAATCAATTGGAATTTCACCTGATCTAAGCAGTTCAAATAGTTTCCGAGAAAAAACGATATTATAATTCCAAAATTGTACCTGTTGAATTAACAAATAAAGGCGGTGATGAAATTGAATAAATTTTTCAGAGAAAAACTGTTATTTACGTTGGATCATATAAAGAGGCCATTGCAGCACGAACATTATCGTATGATATATCATTTATAAAAATGGGAATACCAATAACCAAAGTCCCGCTCACAAATCCCATGAGAAGCTTTGATGCAAATAAATAATATACATTTTTTGCATATATTGTAAGCAGTGAACTAAACTGAATGAGAAATTTGAAACCATTACATATTGAAACATATTAATCAAAAATTTTCTTACAATCATCAGTGGGCCAAGAATGTGGATCGTTCGTTTAATGCCGATCACGTTGCTCATTGGGCCAATGGCAAAATTTCCAATGAATCCACCTGCGTTTACCATTGAAACTACTAGAGAAGCATCATTTAAATTCAATGGGCCCGTTGGAAATGTGGTATTTTCCCTTTGAAGCTCATTGAAATTGATTGTTGCCCACCCATTGGCGATCCCATATGATAAAGTTAACAAATTACCTGAAAATTAAAACGGCTCTGTTTTTCTGATTTATGTACAAAATTTATATAAACTTACAGCAAAAAATCGCTAGAAATTGTTTGGTAACGGGCGATAATAGTTTACACATATTTCTTTTTGGTTAATTTTGAATATGTTTCGAACAATTTTTTTTATCCCTACAAAATCCCTTGAGTTTAGACATTAAAGCTTAATGTTTGGGTCCAACTGTGTATGCCAATTGATGAATAGATTCTAAGTTGAAAATAAATAGATTAATTTTCCCAGTGTCACTATCTATTGCAATTTTTGATAAGAAACGATAAGAAAATTACGTGTGAATCAATGCATCGCAGTAAATGAAATTTTAAACGAGCACTTATTTGTTCAAAACAATTCATGATGGTAAATCAGTTGTAATGATATAACGATATCGCGTTTTATAAGTGCTATTTCAAGTATAAAACAGAAATAGTTGATATTGATCATAAAATTATTAACACTAAAATAGACATAAGTAATAAAATGAAGCTTTTTTTTCGATAGTGGCATGAGAGTGCAATGTTTTTGTTGAAACCGTAGTAAATAAAATTGAACAATGAACACTAATGTTCTGAATTAAATTCATTATTGCTCCATTGTCAGATCTACTCACACATTGTTGATCTGATATCAATGTTGATTATTTTAATCTTTCTGAAATGAACACGTTTTTTAAAATTAAATGTGATGATAATTTGCCTGTAAACAAATCACTAGACTGACATTTAAAATTTGTTATCTTCCTCAATTGATAAGAAATGAAATCAAATGTAACTAACAGAAATAGTGACTGTGATTCACCAAAAAAAACTTTTGTAAACTGCGCAAATTGAAGTATATTGGTGACAAAGACAAAAAAGACCACAGCAGTCGAAATTTGAACGAATCAAAAGACAAACTGACATGTCAGGTAACAAGAATCTCGTTGCAAGATATTAAATTAAAATTTGATGAAATTATTAACTTACCGCAGCATTCTTTTGTAATTGATTTACTGAATTAATCTAGTTTAATGCAGAATCAAGTCTTATTATTGCACAGAAAGTAAATGACATTAAATCAACTTGAGATTATTTACCTGTGTAGATCCGTGTCTTAATTTCATGTGTTGTTGACGAAGTTTTATTTTATGGAATAAATTATTATGGGGAAGTGTTAATTAGACGGTAAATATGGAGGAAGTAAGCAAGAAACGGCGCATATTTAGAAGAAATATTTCTTGGAATGTAAATAGACAGAGTTATGTGTAAATGAGTTATTTGAAATTATGCACTAAAAACGCCAATGTGCGTCACAAATCGTCAAGAGATTGACTGATAGCGAAAAGAAATTATCAAGACTGCTACTGCATTAAAATGTAATAATGCCTTTTTTATATTATATTTAATTCATTGAAATTGCCGCCAATAAACCAATTTATCAAGATTACCCATGCCTGTTTGTGGAAAAGTTGTCATAAGGAAATAGATCAAGTGTAATTTGATAAAATATATACATTCTCTTTATTTGTTCATCCGTTTATTGCATGCTCGCAATAGTGCTGAAAATAATTATTTTTCACGTGAAACAAACAACTTTTTTTTAATATTTATTATTGTATCTATTTTTATTAAAAATAGATGGCAACGCATTTTCTACTTTATTTGTACAAATTTTTACAGTTTTATACAATTTTCTCTTTTCAATTTAAAAACAAAAGTGGGAAATTCACTTATTTCTACTGCATAAATTAATTTGTCGTCCGATTATTAGCAGCTTTGATGCCGGAATTTTTATTTTTATTTTTTATTATTAGGGTGGTCTTATTAAAACGCAAATATTAACCAAATATAATATAACTGCATAAATTTCGTATACAATTTAATCGAAATTTTCGGTTGTTCAAAATTTTCACTGGGTTTTGTCGCAATTTTTCGATATTTATCCAGCACATTTTTGTTCTTAAGAAATAATGGCAAATCTATGTCTATTCATTTGTTAAACATACTTGTTGATGAAGTGGAAATGAATCTAAATGTTTACTTCATTTTTTTGTTGTTAAAATGTACTAATATTTACCAGTCTTATAGCGAGAAATTGTGATGAATTCTAAATTATATTTTCTAACTAAATTTACTGTAATTGTCTCTATGCATATAAAACAAATCTATTTCAAAATAAAATCCATTCATTACTGACTAAAATTCATTGTTCTATTTACACATTAACGGCACATTTTCTTCATTTTTGTCTATTTTTTATTAAATAACTTGTCCATCGATTTGTCATTAAATAAATTCATGGAAATTAAGACCTCTCGATAAAATCTATCAATTGGTCTCGATTTCGGAAATTTTGTTGTTGTTAAAATCGATGTTTTTTCTTCTCAAAATTTGTCTAATACAATAGGTGTCACAGATTGCATTTAAATAACTATTTAATTACGGTAAACATCGGTCGCATATATCGTTAAATTCACATAAACAAGATTCTCATCCATTTTGGGTTTCTTGTAATAATATTATTGCCGACATTCAATGCTGCACTTTTCATATGTACATTATAGATTCAAATGGATCACTAGCATATTTTGCGATGTGTTGATGGTAAATTTGGTGCACTGACGTGCGGTGAAATGGACGGTGGTTGTGCCAATGGTGATAATGATGGTGAAAATGATGGTGACATAGCCGACGATGTGCTAAAACCAGCTATCGAATCATGACTAATTGGTGATCTAGGTAAAAGGTATTGATTCACAGAGCCCGTATGACTGCTGTTGCCACGTGTCGTTAGCACCGATCGTGGTGCAATATGCGTCAGTAACGGTGGTGGAATATGTTTTGGATGTTGTGGTATTTTGCTCTTTGTGCTTGCACCACTATTGGCACTGTGTAACGAAAGCGTATCATCTTTTAATCGTGCTATTTCTGAGAAAACATGTGCCAACGGTTGATATTGTGGACCCCAATCAAGTAAATAATCCCAATTATAACTGCCTGTCAATTCTTCTTCACTGTGAACAATTGAACTCAATGAACCTTCTATGGATCTCATTGATGGCCCAGGATTCCCGGCCACAACTGGATGATTACTATATCCACTCATCATGTGATCAACAGCCGCATCAATGCTACCAGCTGTGGTTGCCGCTTCATCAACACAACTGGCACGATCACTGCCAACGGTGACATCATTTAATTTGGCATAAATCAAATTCGTAATGTCATTGTGATGTGAATCTTCATCGAACATATGCAATGAATCGATTGGCAATGTATGATGTAAAATTGCATCTTTTGTACTGCCAACACGTGATGATGTCGATGCGCCGGCCGTTAAATTATCAACAATACCTAATCGTGCTAAATATTCTTGTGTATTTTGTACGGAAATGTCGGATTGACGTCCATTTTCCATATGCATTCCATTGTCACGTTGTAATGGTCCTTCGTTAATCATTCGAATTTCCTCATCTTCACCATCATCTTCGGCCGAACCTCTACCCGACGAGCCCGATTGCTCGGAACCAGATAGCTCGGATGTGGTTGCATTATTTGAACGTGAGCTATGTGAACATGGTGGTATTTCATCATATTTTGGCGGTGCAAATGGTCCTGAACTATTCACACTCGCATTTGCACGAATTGGAATTGTATCGAAGCTCGACGGATCCACATAACTATTTGTATTTCCAACGGTATCTGTGCTCAAATTTGGTTTGATCACTTGTTTATGCCTTCGATTTTTGAAGTGTAAAAACAAAAATACCGCACCAAAGGAAATGCATACCAAAATCAATGAGATCAATAATCCCAATGCCCAATCGGCTATGCCACTGTCATTTGGTGCACCCGAATTGATTGTACTTGCTTGATTTGTACCCAAGTTCGGTAGAGCGTCCAGTGCAATTTCAACAACTGTCATATTGGTCAAAGAACCTTGACGTCCCGATGATGCGGTCACAACCAAACTCATGTCACGACCAGCCTCCAAGGTGGCAGCCGCATTATTCAGTTTTCGTTTGATCATGATGGCACCGGTTGTTCGATTGATTTTAAAATATGGATGCTGTGTGGTCAATTGATAAACAACACGTCCATCTGGTCCTTTGTCACGATCCGTTGCCAATACACAACAATACACAATATATCCAACAGGCAATGTGTCCAATTCAGGTGTTGCCAAACCAAATCGATATGTACGCTCTGTAAACTGCGGACTGTATTCGTCTCTGCTATCGATCATAATGCGTACTTTTACATAAGCCGATTTGCCACCAATGTCGGTTGCTTTGATTGCAAAAGTGTATCGATTCTTCTGTTCATAATCAAAAACAGCATTTGTTGTAACGATGCCGGTGATTGGATCGATTTTAAATAATTTCCATGCTTCATCAACATCAGATTGACCAATAGCCGCCGATGATTCAATCGAATAATTCAATTTTCCATATTTTCCCTTGTCCAAATCAACGGCACGTGCAGTGAAAATGGTCACTGCAGTCGGCTCATTTTCAGCGACAAATTCCAAGTACTCCGATACAGCGAAATGTGGTTCATTATCATTTTCGTCGGTCAGTGTTATATTGAATTGACAAATGTTACACAATGCAACCACACCACTATCACATGCTCGAATTATTAAACTGTAGTTTGTATGGCCATGATCGTAGTCCAATTTTTTATTCACCAACAGAACACCGCTTATCAAATCAATGCTAAACAATCCATCATCATTGCCAGATGTTATATCGTATACAATTTCGGAATTTGGTGTATTTTCCAAGTCAGCATCGCTTGCCACTATTTTTGCAATCGAATATTTCAATGGCACCGATTCACTGACCACCACTTCATAATTTTCCGTCTGGAATATCGGCGCATTATCGTTTGCATCATCGATTGATACAAATACATTTATGATGGTTGTATTGTCATCCATTTGATTTGGAATTTCTATATCGTTCAAAGCCAAACGTAAGCTATATGATTGTGTCGTTTCACGATCCAAATGTTTTACCAACACCAAAGCATTGTGCGGCTGAACGATGTCAAATGTATCATTATCATTTCCTGATATTATTTGATAGATGATATTTTGATTCGACTCCAAATCACTCTGGTCAGCACTGGTTAGTTTTAATAAAATAGTTCCCAATTCAGCATTTTCCATAATTGTTGATCTGAAAACAGAAAAGTAATGTATAATTAGCTGTTTTTGAAGTGACCATAGCTTCTGACTAGGGGTCCGAGGGGTTGGATTAACATCAGACAATATATTTAGCTGCCGTCATCTGGATATTTCAGCTCATCTGGATGCCGTCAGCAGATGATGCGAAGTGAAGACAACAGAAGTGATTGTTATAGGTATATAAGCTTGTTATATACTGGTATTACTATAACAATCACTTCTATTGTTTTCACTTCGCATAATCTGCTGACGGCATCCAGATGAGCTGAAATATCCAGATGACGGCAGCTAAATATATTGTCTGTTTAACATTGAGACCACATTGAGAAATAACTCCTTAAGAAATTTCGGAAAAATTCGATTTTTTAGGGTTTCGAGGGTTAATTGGACCCTAGATTTTTCGAAAATTCTGAAGTTACTCACACCTCCCGTTACTCACACCAAATTCAGAAGCTATGGAAGCGACTCGAAAAGTATCGTAAACACTTACCGATATTGATTTTGTATGAAATTTGGTTTTGCCAAATTATTTGGAATCACTTTAATTCGAACAGCAGTCGTTGATTTGAGCATTGGAATGCCAGAATCAGTGGCCACGACAGATAGTTGAACATCATTTGTTGGCAGCTTATTCACTTGGCTTGCGTTTGCTGTTATGATGCCCGTGGTCTCGCCAATATAAAAGCCAGACACTGGTTTAATCAACGAATATCGTTGTTGTGCATTTTTATCACTGTCCGAATCAGTTGCGTTCACTTTCAGCACTTCAATCATTCCGCTTGATGATTTCACTGAATAAAAAAAACAGTCGAAAATTAATAAAATAAACGATTTATTTTGAAACAAGAAAATTACCTGAAATGGTTGATTGATACATCAGTTGCGTGAATTCGGGTGCATTATCATTTTCATCGGTAATGTGAATGGTAAGTGTTGATTGTGCCGTGTACTTTGAGTCGGATGCGAAAATTTTCAATTGGTATTCCTGTCTCATTTCATAGTCTAGTGGTTTCTTAAGTAAAACTTTTCCGCTAAAGCGATCGATGGAGAAAAGAGCAAGTGCATCTTCGTCAGTATGGACTTCGTCAAATGAGTAAGCCAGTGCTGGATAAGTATCAACATCATTTGCCGATGCCACCGTTAGTACAGTTCCAAGTTCCGTGCCTGATGAATTAGAGGAAAAACCAAACCATTTCCGAATTATTGTGGAAAAGAGTCTTTGATTTGTATATATATGTGTGTGATTTTTTTGTGCTTACCTTCGCCAATATTGATGACATTGTGTGGTGGAAATGTTGGTTGGTTATCGTTCACATCGATGATATGAACATGGATGGTAGCCGTGCCCGTCATCTGTGGTATTCCTTCATCGGTGGCAATCACTTTCAATCGATACATATCTCTGATTTCTCTGTCAAGCACAATATTCGTTTTAACCGTGCCACTAAATGCGGGCTCAATGACAAAAGCATTATCATGATTCCCATCGACGATATGATACAATACACGTGAATTGGCTCCCTGATCAATGTCAAACGCTTTGACTTGCATCACAAATGTGCCTTTATTGTTGCCTTCCCACACGCTTGCTTCGTACTGACGTTGTGTGAATCGTGGCGCATTATCATTTTCATCTTGTAAATGCACTACAACCGTACAATAGCCATATAAAATGGGCGAAGTATCGGTGCGAGCAACAACAACCAAATGAATACCATGTTTATTACGCTCTTCATAATCTAAACTAGCTGAATTTTGTACTTTGATTTCGCCGGTTTTTGCATCAATTTCGAATGTATCATGATCGTTGCCACTTTCAATGCTATAAATAATCTTTTGTCGTCGACCATCGCTGCGTACAGCATTTAAATGAACAACTGAATGACCGCGCGGTACATTTTCCATCAATGATACGGTATAAATTTCATTTTGAAAACGTAAACTTGGTATATCCGATGGAACATCACCAACACGTAATTCAATTAAACCCATTGTACTTTGTGGTGGATTGCCTTTGTCACGTGCAACAATTTTCAAATGTATCAAACGACCATTGTCTTCTGACAGACTTTTTGTGGCTGTTAAAATGCCGGTGCTTGGATTCAAACGGAATTTGTCATTCATTGTATCGCTGGCCAAACTATAGACAATTTCACCATTTGGTCCGTCATCCATATCACTTGCCGACACTTGCATCAATTTCTGGCCTGGCTGTACAAATGTTGAAATCTGATTTTTAAATGGATACTTGTCGAATATGGGCGCATTATCATTAACATCTTCAATGAAAATTTGAACGGGAACGCTTTGTTCGCGCGCATCATACAAACCACCATCTGTGGCCACAACCATGAAATTATATTCACGAATCTTTTCACTATCCAAGGCTCTGTTATAGCAACAAAAAATAAAAATAAAAATAAAAATGGTCGATGTGTTAAAAACTTAAGGAAATGTTTCTAGAATTTTTTTTACAAGAAAATGGCTTACCCCGTCGTTGTAATGACACCACTGCGATTATCGACACTGAACAACCAGTTGGTTTCGTTAGCCAGTGAATAGACGATTTGTGCATTGGTACCAATGTCAGCATCGGTTGCTTTGACTGTCAAAATTGGTGTACCAATTGCAATGTCTTCGGCCACCGTCACTATGTATTTGGGTGAATCGAATTTTGGATTCGAATCGTTTTGATCTTCAACAGCTATTGAAAAATTACATACGCCCTGATATGTGAGCGGTGAACCACGATCTTGTGCAGTGATTTGTAAAAAGTAACGTGCTTGCAATTCACGGTCCAGTGGTCGGGCGGTTAATTCACCTGTATGCATGTCGATGCTAAATTTATTCCCGAAATTTCCACCTGAAATGTAAAATAAAAAATGAAATCCACGTTGCCATTTATATAAATATATAAATTGAGTAGTGTCAATATCGATGCCATTAACCGCAATCCAATGTGATAAAAATTGTAATGAATTGTAAATTGATATATGCACATTTTATATATATAAAAATAGACTTGATGAAATGAATTGTAAACTGAACAATTAAATGAAATAAATGCACACGATAAATATGTTACCTGTGATGGTATAAATGATGTCACCATTCAAGCCATCGTCTAAATCAGTTGCGACAACTGTGTGAATAATGGCTGCTTCATGATTCTCTGGAACGCTTAGTGGATAACATGTTCCCGGTCGAAATTCGGGCCAATGATCATTTACGTCGTTAATTTTAATCACAAGCGTTGCCACATCAAACAATGTCACTGCATTTTTATTCGATTTCGAATAGCTAAAACTATTGCCAAAATCAGTGGCAGCCGCTTCTGTTACATAAATCGGAATTACGTAGACATCTTTTGTTTCGCGATCAATTGGACCACGAGTTGTCACAATGCCACGGGTTGAATCGACAATAAACAAATCATCTCCCACACCGGCTGGTATCTCAAACATTAGACTTCGGCCTGCAAATTCATTTATTTATTGAGTAAATGTTAATTTAAATGGAGGAAAATAAAATTGTGAGTCGATTGAATTTCGAATGAACAATCATCAATGAAGCACTATAAGTGCATAAATTCTGTAATACATTTGTACTTCCTTCCAATGATTATTTATTTCGAAATGAAATATATTTTATTTCGAATCACACTATTTCTTTTTCTTTTTCAATTTCAACTTGTTTACTTCTTTTTTTTAATTCAATGTTTATCAACTTGTTGGCCAGTGAATGGGAATACAAAACATATTATGTGTCACCACGAAAAAGTATTGAATTACAATTTATTTTTGCAATCAAGTTTTTTTCTTGTTAATTTTATTTCTGCTTACAAGAAACAACATATCGGACAAAAAAAAAACGCAATTTTATATGCAATACATAAATTGAAAAGCGAATGTGGTGTATACACTCATTGGTGATCATATTAAATTAAATAAATCTAAATGTAAAATGATTATTTGCATAGTTTGCAATAAAAAGAAGTTGAAAATTACCTGCGTCAGAGTGATAGGATTTGGCGGTGACACGAGCAACAAAAGTGCCCGATGGTACGTTCTCCGAAATGTTTGCATAGTAAATTGATTCACTGAATTTTGGTGGATTGGTTGTTAGACCTTGTACAATAATTTGTGCATTGATTTGTGTACTAAGTGGAATGGGTGAACCATTATCAGCGGCACTGATCACGAGATTATGTTTACGACTGTTGCCGTTTGAAATCATATCGTTCGATGCATTCGTCAAAAATGGTTTATGCAATTTGATTGTTCCTGTCATTGTATTGATACCGAATTGGCCTTCTTCATTTCCACTAATGATGCTGTACGAAATTCGACTGTTGTTATTGGAATCCTTGTCGGTAGCAATGACACGAGTGACCACATCACCAATGCTTAACGATTCACTAACATAAATCAGTGCATTATCAACATTTGGATAAACAAAAATGGGTCCATTGTCATTGGCATCAATCACCATGATGCGTGCCGTTACCAACGAGCTCAAACGTTCACTCAAATTTATCGATTGATCGGTGGCTTTTACAACCAACAGATATTCGGTGAGATCCTCGTAATCGATGGGCAAAAGTTGTGTTAATGTGCCCGTCAACGGGTCAACATTGAATGTTTTTCGATTCCATGGCATTTGTTGAACGAGCTCATATTGAATGTTACCATTTGGACCGAGATCAAGGTCAGTTGCTGTGAAATTATACAATGCCATACCGATTGGTGAATTTTCCATAATGTGAATTTCAATTGGATCATTTGGCCATTGTGGATAGTTGTCATTTTGATCGATGATTTCAATTTTAATATTGACTGCTGAACTTTGTGGATTATTTGTGGCGGTTGTGTCAAGAGCGCGCACTTCAAGTCGATATTCACTTTGTTGTTCACGATCCAATTGGCGTGCAACAACCAATGAACCAGTGCTGCGATCGATATCGAATGCATTTTCAATGACATCCGTCGAAATTGAATTGAGCGTGTACGTCACTTCAAGCATACGATTCGCGGCTATCATATTATCGGAGTCAGATCGATCAGTGCCGCCAATAAAACCAACAATGTAACCGATTGGCGCATCTTCACGAACCTGTTTAACGAACAAATAGACAGAGAGTGAGTGAGTGAGTGTGTTTTTTTTCATCATCATCATCATCTCATTCTTCTTCTTCGTTTAATTGTGTAATGGTTTTTTTTCACTCGTTTTTCTATCCATTTCAATATTTTTTTTATTTTATTTTGCCATCAATACGAATTGATGACACTTAAAGTGGAAAATCCTCTTAAGTCGGATAGAAAGATAGAAATGTACACAAAAAAACACAGAGGCTTTTATCTTTTAATCAGAATTGAGTATATTATTGAAGTTAACTTTTTGAAATAAAACAGAGGGAAAAAAAGAGTGTACCTTGTAAATCAAACTGGAGCTGGTGAATGTTGGACGGTTGTCATTCAAATTGAGCACTTCAACGCGAAGTAAACGTACGGTTTGTTTCGATGGTTTGCCGCCATCATTGGCTGCAATAGCCAAACGATAAATGCTACGCTCTTCATGATCTAATGCGACACGAGTACGAATTATGCCGGTTGATGAATCGATCGAAAATAATCCATAACCGTCAGAATCACGTCCTTTTAATATCGAATACGTGATGCTGGCATTGTATCCATTGTCGCGATCAATGGCCCGAATTCGAACAACATACGTGCCAGGCGGTTGCTCTTCACGTACACTCACCACATCTTCTTGTGGATCGACGATTTCTGGTGCATTATCATTTATATCATTTATTTGAATGCGCACCTGTGTTCTCGAACTTCGAGACGGCGTTCCTTGATCACGAGCCTCAATCACAAAATCATAAGATGCATGCTGTTCACGATCTAATGCTTCTCGCGTTATTATTTCACCTGTTTTTACATATTTTAAATTGATGAGAATTTTTTTTTTATTATACAATAACATATATAAAATTATCATCATTCCCAATTAAAATTAAATGGAAAATTCAAAATGAACGGATTTGAAGTATATAAGTACATTGAATTTACCTGTATTCGGATTTACGTGAAAGCTTGAATTATCCGGAATTAAGTTGTATTTGAGTTCAGAATTTATTCCCAAATCAACATCAGTTGCGGATACAATTCCGACAACGGTGTTACGCCGTGCATTTTCATCAACCGTAAATTCATATGAATCTTGTAAAAATGTTGGATCATTATCATTTGCATCAAGTACATTTACAATAACATGTGTGGTTGCCGATGCGGATGGTGTACCACCATTATCATTTACAACAACCGTCAAATCGTAATAATCACACGTTTCACGATCCAATTCACTGCGCAAGTAGATCCAACCATTGTTTGGAAATATGCCAAAAATATCGGTTATATTTGTAGCCGTTTGAATATTTCCTTTTGATGCATTCGATTTTGAACGTTGTTTTTCGTTCTCATTTTTTGATTGGAATATTTGCGAGCCGCTCACAATGCGATAGGTTAATCGTGCGTTGTTACCAGTATCCAAATCGGTTGCCGTTACTTGTAAAATCTATGGAACAATTTTAATCGAAATTGCAATAAATTAGTAATTTTTTCTTGATAAATTAGTATTCTTCACAAAAAAAATTTAATTTGAAACTTTTTTTCCAACAACAGAAATTTCGAACGAAAAAAAAATGTTGAAAATTTAAAAAAAGGAAATTGATAAGATAAAAGCCCTACCTGTGAATTAATTTGTGTGGACTCAATAATACTTATCGAGTATTCGTTGCGTTCAAACGTTGGACTATTATCGTTTACATCTTGTACTTCAACTAAAATTGTCAAATTGGCCGTTAACGTTGGTTCGCCCAAATCCGAGGCCGTAACAATCAAAGCATGTCGCTGAGCAGTTTCATAATCTAAATGATGTAGCAGCGTTAAATGACCGGTTTCGGCGTCGATGCTAAATAAATTTGGATTACTCTTTCGATCGCCGGTCGACAACGATGATGATAACGAAATGGTATTTGTGGTGTGCATGTCATCAACATTAGTCAAACGATACCGAACCGTGCCACTTTTGCCTGAATCTTTATCATGCGCATTTGCTGCATACAGAGGTGTGCCCAATTCAGCATTTTCCGGTATCGAAATTCGAACCGTTGTCGATTCAAATTCGGGAGCATTATCATTAACGTCTTCAATATAAATTGTCACTTGTGTATGAGCATAATCGGGTGGATCGCCCGATGTTGCTTGAACATTTAGTAAAACTTGTGATTTTGTCTCATGATCCAATTTATTTGCAATTCGAATATTTCCGGACGATGCATCGATGCTGAAGTAATCATCTGGATCACCGCCGTAAATTGAGTATTTTGTTATACTTCGACTCCCTGCATTTGAAAATATTAATTCGTTTTATAACATTTTTACTTGATTTTTCTGTGTTTATTAGATTTAATTTATATTTTAAACGGAAATTCTTCTTACCTGAATCGCTGCTCGTTGCCAAAACTGACCCAATAACCGTACCACGGGCAACGTCCTCTTTCACCGAATACGTGTATCGTGATTTCTCAAAGATTGGTGGACGATGCATCGAATCAATGACATTAATGTAAACGATTGCATCTTGTGATGATCTTAAGCCACCTCCATCGGTGGCCGAAATGTTTAATTTGTAATTGGGTTGTGTACGGCTTGACAGCATACTTGGTTTGTTTACAAAAATCTCACCAGAAACGCGCTCAATACGAAATATGGCCGCCTCATTTCCACCAACAATGCGATATGATACGGTACCAAAACGATCCGAATCCAAATCGGATGCCACAACTGAAACGATTGCCGTTGATCCAGCCGATGCTTCACGTATAGATACATTGTATTCCGCTGGATAGAAGATCGGTGCATTGTCATTAAAATCGGTTACTTGAATCTTAACAATGGCCGTCGTACTCAAGCCACCTGCACGTTTTCAGCCAAACGATCGAACGAAAAAAAGAAACGAGAAATGCACAAAAGAATTTACTTATTTGCAATTGGATAGGAGATTGAGAAGTTAATCATTCGTTATTTATGTAGCTAAAGAAAATCAATTTATCTCTGTGATTATTGTAGCGATTCACAAGCATAATGATAGGTTTACTGTTCTTTCTGGTATGCCAATGTACATTTCAAAGCGTTCAAAGTAGTAAATTCATTATATTTTTTTTCCATCGAATGCGAAATGTGATATAGAGGAGGAAAAAAAAGCACATTGAAAAACTGGAAAATGCTATCAAACTATCGGTATGATCACGGTGAAGAAAACGATTTTCGTGCTCCCAATGTCAACCATCTCTCTTTCTATGTGCAATTGCTTAATGAAAGAATTTCATTTCATTTCGCTAGTTTATCAATTGTGTACAAAGCTACCAATTAATGCATTTTTTAATACGAGCAAATTGAATTGCCACGATTTGGTTGGGCTACAAAGTAAATCGGTTCGGTTTTTTTCTAACATAAATGACCGTATCAAAGAGAAATGCTTTTCTGATGATGCCGTGAACCTTTTTTTGGCATGAATGAGCTTTCCAATTTAAAAGTGTGTTTTTTCTGCTGGTGCTGTAGTTGCACGAAACCGAGTTCTTCATCATTTCATCCGTCTGTTTTGCTGTCATCATTTTATTTAAAAAGAAACTGTCTTTTGTAGGATTCGTTTTATAGTTTGTCACAGCTTGAAATGCCTACTACGCAAAATCCGATAATATGCATTAAAAAAATATTTTTTTATGTCATTTTACCATAAAATTTTCACTCGCGGGTCTAGGAACTAATAAAACATTTTATCGACGATTTGATTGGTCTGAATGTAGCAAAATCATCAAAACCGAACGCTTGAACACTACTTGGCATTACTCAAAATTTTATGTTTGCTTATTTTTCATTTCATTTTTTTTACAATTTCTGTCTGATTGTTTGTTGAACTGGAAATGTTACCTTGATCGGTGGCTATTATCGGGAATTCATACGAGCTGCGTGTCTCAAAGTCCAATGTGCCACTGATGCATATGTCGCCGGTGGTATGTTTCACTTCAAATTCCATCATCTTTTTGAAGCCATCACCAAGCGTATAATTTACCATAGCATTCACACCACAATCCGGATCGCTTGCCGAGACCTGTACGATAAAAAAGACAGAAAAAAAACAATAAAATGATGAGAAAAAAGCGTTAAAATTGGACATCCATAAAACTAGATAAAATGCGTGCTTTGACATTGCGAATGCGAATATGAACAGCCCATTCCAGTCACAACAGACGAAACAGATCGAATTACAATAGCAAATTAATATAATGCGCAATGTGTCACCGGGGGGTTTTTTATGATACCTATTTGAATTTTGTCTTTTTTGTTCGTTTGTTTGAATCACAGTTGTGTGTTGCCAATATATACGATGATTATGTGATGATAAGAAAAATGTTTTCTAAATTATGTAATAAAAAGTCAATTTTGTTGAGGTAGAAAAAAAACGATACCCACATATCTCACATGTAAATCTGGGCGTGAAATCATTTAATTAAAATTAAATCATCACAAAGTACAGTTGAATAACATGAATTTGATGATTAAAAACATGAGTCTGCTTATTTAAAATAACAAAAAAAAAACCGAAGATATTGATGATAATGAGGTCGTTTTACGGAAAATAAAGAACAAATCTTTGAAAAGAATTTACTCTTTACAGACATGGTGTGACCCCAAACATATGTTGCCAAAATGAACGAACGAAAAAAAAGAGATTAGTGGTTATAATAAGCGAGAATGGAATGAATTGCGGATTCTCATAGCGATAACAAGTTCATTTAACTGTGCGCATTTGATTTGTTTTTCTCTTTCTTTTTCTCTTTCGCGCACACACATCCAAAGTTGAAAGGCTTTTATATTATTATTTGCTGATTTATCGCGATTAATCCAGGACGTGTTCTACATTCAATTAAATGAATTTCCAGTGAATGGAGATATAATCCGCCTCATAGAGAATGAACCAGAACTTCTATCATTATCTTAAATTGGTTCTTCTTACATTTTTTCCCACTTTTTTTTCCTACCATACACACACACTCATATATACTCAATCACCTCTCGAAATAATTTTCTTCTATGAATCGCCCCATAATTATGACTATTTGTGCTTCTGAGTTTGAACACACACACACACACACATATGTATAAATACCAAACATACACAGCAAACATAGCACATGCAAAGAAGTTATAATGATGGTAAAATATCCGCCATTTTACAACATTAATTATAAGCTCAATTATTTCTACCGACCAATCCAAGACGAACGATTGAAGCGACTATGTAGTTGCAATCGTTCTTCTCTCTCTCTCTCTCTTTATTTCTTTTCATTTCATTTTGATGTATGCGATGTGCACTTGGCACATAATGGCCCCCGCTCGTTGCAAGTGTATTTATTATAATTTTGCTAAATGCCAGGTATTTCGCGGTAAAACACATGTACAACACGTATTTGGTGGAAGACGAACGAGACTGTGAAAATTGCCAAGTGCAACAATGCAATGCATGATGACGTTTCAGGGCCGATCGCAATAGCATGCAACATACGCATGTGCATTTGATATCATTCCATCAAAGTGATGGACTGGCTTGTATTCATGGTTTTTGGTTTAACCACTTTTTTTCTATTCAGATGATGTACTTTTCTCTTTGATGCGCGTCTAGATCATTTTAGACCAGATTATGTGACCAGCAACGCAAAAGTGTCAAAACAAAATAAAACAAAAAATAATATCATATCCACAACAAAGTGACATGAATCACAATTTTCGCGAAATGAAATATAATGTGCGTGCACCATGATAAAGATACACAATAAAGTGACTAATAATTACTGCATGAAATGCATTACGATGCGAGCACACAAAACATAAAGTGAAAGACAGAGAGTGAAACGAGAAGAGAATGAGATGAAATAACGAAATAAAAAGGAAACAAAAGTCAGCAACAACACAATAACGACGACGATGACGACGACAAAGAAAACACAAGAAATGAGTATAAAAGAGGCAAATCGACGAAGCAGAATAAAAGAATCGCTCAGCGATTTTATTTATCAACCAACCGAGAAAGGGAAGGTTGTGCCTGTTTTGATGGCAAGCACCAACCAACGTCAAGAATATTATCATATTATTATTATTTTTCGGTGCTCTGTGTATGCTTTTTTTCATGTTCTTTTGGCTCTCAACTCAGTGCACTTTTTGACATGCATTGTCTCTGTCTGTACGCACACATTCAGGCATTTATCGGTCTGTGTGGCTCCCAGTGTGCAAACGTTGAAGTCATCCGAAACCATCAGTTATTACTTTTTAAGAGTTAAAATGAGAAAGAGATTGGAATGAAAAAAGATATCATGCACCAATATATTTCGAAAAAAATACACATCGAAATTATTATATAATATCATGCGGTTGTTAGTTATATGCTCGTCATTAGTTTTATGATTATTATAAATCCCTTGATTAGACTCACTGATTAGCCGAAGGATGTTGGATCGCAGGTTTTTTATTAATAAATCTATCTTGCTGGCATGGTTGTTTCATGAAAATATAAAAAAAAGTGACGACTAATTTTTTTCTGACCGAACATGGAAGAGAAAAAAATTACGAGAGTTGAATGTGATGTCCGATCTTTTCTCAACGCATTTCTTTACCAGTTTTCTATTTAACATGTTTTCACCCTCCTAGACGAAACGAGAAAAATTGTGGTCAGCACGAAGTAGCAAACAGAAATAGAGATTACATTACATATTCCAAACATCACTTGAATTGTACGCTATAAAAATTACGTGCACGTTTTTGATTGAGTATGCAAAATATTGTTAATAAGTTTAATTGAAAGTGGCTGCCATTTACTGCACCGTACTTGAGATGGTGAAAAAGAAATGTTCAACCAATGTACAACCAAAACGTTCAATTGAGTGTAGTGGATGACAGTCGATTTGCATTGCATGTTTTAAACTATCGATGCTTATGCGATAGAGCGCTAGAATATACCGTGAAATGTGATATTATGTTGCTGCCGAAGTTGCTGCAACAGCTCAAGAATCTATTTTCGAATTCACAAGGTGTTTTTATTCAATAATATTTGGCGTACATATGCGACGGTGAGGTTCGCCAACAAGGCAGCCATCGTGTTTGGGCGTCTCACAAACACACACAATATTCACATAATGTTTTTTTTTTTTTGGTTCGTTGAATACGACAACGATAAACTGTTAAACGATGTCACAATTTACCGAAACGAAGAAGAGGATAAAGCTCATACTCAATTTCTTATTTTACTTGGCAATGATACACGATGAAACGCAGTTTTTGCCATTGTATGGTAATTTTTTGATACTTTTTTTCCATTTCGTTGGCATTTTCCATGTGTGTGTATGAGCGAACTTGTGTATAACTTTCAAACAAAGATGCATTTTTCAATTTCAGAAAAAAACGGATTCGTTTCTCTTTCTTCTTCTATGCATATGCTTGGGTCAGATGATCTCGTCTGCGCTGAATCTTCTTTTCCATGTACCATCATGATTTGATGCTACCGTGAGCAAATCGAACAATTTTACAAGAGAAACGGACAGGGACAAAGAAAGAGAGAGAGAGAGAGACGGGATAATCGAAGCCAGAAAAAGAATGTATTTCGATGTTTATACGCATTGGAGTTCGGATCACATAAAATATGCCGAGGAATGGCTTGGCAACACAGAAAAAAGCGTGTGCGCAAGAGAAAAATGTTTAACCTTCAATAAACAGCTCCTAAATAGCAATAGAAGTCAATTGCATTTACAGCAGCATAATAAGCTACCATTTACATATTTTGTGCACGCACATCGCAGATGGTCTTGGTGAATTTCGAAATTTTCTTTTTTTTTGTGTGTGTGTGTGTGTGTGCCTTTGATTGAAACTCTTTCGAATCAAGAGATGCTGAAAAGAGATGAAATTACTAAAGAAAAAGATGCAACGAAAGAGACAAAGAGAAAGATAGAGCCGCAGATCAAAAGGCGATTTCATCTTTATTAGTGCAAATCGTAATGCGCCTTGTCGGTAATTACCAGCCTCAAAGAGAAATTATGATGAGCTCTTGATTAATACCATGAGATACCGTTTTCAATATTATGCCAAAAATCTCGAATCGTTTCATTTTATTATTATTAAATGGAGACTCATTCTTGATCTCTTCAGCTTACATAAAGTGTATTTTTCTTTCTGCGTGTCGTCTCAACGGTTCATCTTTCTATCGTTAGTGAAAAATGCTAATAAAATGCTCATTGTTTCGAGATATATATAGAGAGAGAGCATCATTACGTTCATATGTTGGTTGGAATTGTATTCGTTTCTCTGCCGTACGCTTCAATCGGCTCTATTCAATACGGATCCAAAATGTTTTCGTTTATTTTGTGTGTAAGGAAATTCTTTGTTGTGCTATGCCTAGCCAATTTTGTTGTGGAAAGGCTCGCGCTTCTCTTTAACAATAAAATCGATGAAATAGCTTGATGGTTTAATTAACTTTGCGTTCTTGTATTCTATTTCTCTCGATTTGATCCAAGACAGTATAAGTCCGAGCAGAAGGTACTGAGCGAGAGACAAAGCGAAAGCAAAAAAAAAGAGAAAAACATTTCGAATCCAATCCACTTACAACATATTCACGTATTAGCGGAATGTATGCAATCGTTTAATGCGCATCTTGGCCACGGTTGTGCGATGCCTTGCGAATCATATGAGAAAATACTTAAAATTTTTAACGGCCATCGTAATTATACGTACAATACAAGTAATCAAATCGATGCCATGGATGTGCTCGTGTATGAAATAAAACGAACATTTTAGCTCAATAATGAATATTTTTCATCTGCATGGTGTTTATCAGCCAGTGAAATGGTTTGCGAATGCATTTTTTTCTCTCCACTGGTATGAAAAGGTTGCTGCTAAACAAAAACAACTATTTAGCTATTCGCAAGCGATTACCATCGGAGCCATTTTTGGATGAAACTTTTTAAATGCCGCATGCATTGTCACAGAAATCTTCGGCGGTTGAAAAAAAAAAAGATATTTAAAAGGCTTCGGCATCCAATCAACGGGGCGAAATAAAAAAAATCC